GATTGGTGAACTCGTATTTATCTGGTGAAACCCAAAGAACCCAAAATTTACCAAATTTAAGTGTTTCCTTCAAAAGTGTAAAGTCTTTTGTTCAATCGTTACTTTCAATTAATCATAATCAGAAGAAGAAATGAAGAAAATGTTCAACTTTAACCTGAACTGATTTATGTATTATTTACCCTTAATTGCATTGAAATAACGCCATTTGAAGACGAGATTGAAATTGAAAGTTCAACTGGGAGTTAAAGAGAAAATGAGAAAATGGAAAATAATCTTTTCAAATGAACACTGAACACAATGTTGTACAGATAATCATGATAGTTATTGTTGTTTTTGGCCTTTTCACTCCTCATTTCAACATCAACTGAGGTAACCTTTTATATTTGGAGTCAATTTTTCACTCAAAACAATTGACTTTTATCCTTTCCAGTCTTCATCATCATCATTATCATCGTCATTTTTTCCTCATATTAACTCTCTTTAACCATTGAGTTGGTGAAGGGAAAAAAAGGTAAAGATGAAAAGAAATGGAAGAAAAAAAAAGAAATTTGGAAATTTTCTTCTCATGAACACAATGAGATATGATTGTTATTTCATTTTCATCTTTTCTTTATTTTCCTCTTCATCCTCAATTGGTTCCATCGATTTGTACTTTAACTAATAATCTGACTCGTGAACGACTTGAATCTTTTCACACTTTCAAAGCGATTCAAGAATAGATTTTTGAGTCGAAAAATGAAACACAAATCAGATTCTTTAACTGCTTCTGTTGAGTGAAATCAAGAAATCTTAGAATTTGTTTTTTCCATTTTGTGGAATTGGCGAAATTTACTTTCAAAGGTGAACTATTATTGAGGGTTAATTACTAAATGTTCATTTAGCCTCGCACTTAGTGCAATTGATTCAATAAAAGAGTTGATTCAAGTTGCAATTATCATTGCCTTCCAGTCAAATCGTTTACTTTTTTCAAATGAAATACATTTTATGCAAAATTATCAAAAAAATGGCTTTTCTGTTGAAGGAAAATGTTCACCATTGTAAATGCTTCACTCATTATCTCAAACAAATTAACCTTTAAGCGATTCATTATTTGAGGGAAAGAAAAGGATTTAATATTTTCCAGGGAAAATGTTGAGCTTTTGTTTGATTGAAATGAGGGATTTAAAGACAGGATTGACAGTCAAAATTGGTAATTTAATGTTATATTAAAGGTAAACAAGCAAAAACCAAAAAAAAAGGATTAAAATTTGTCCCATTTTTGAATATAAAAACAAAGCAAAACAACTTTTCTGTTGTCTTTTGTTTTGAGCTTACGACTTTAACACTGTTTTTTGATCATTATTATTGTCTGTAATCATTAAGCTCACGACTAAATTGTTTTGTTTTTTTTCAATCATTTCAATTAACAAGCTTTAATTGATTTGTATTAGTTACTTATATCAACAGAATAATAAAGCAATCTTTTGTTTTAACAAAAATTATGATTAAACAATTGAACATTACTTTCTCCTCTTTGATTCAATTTGTTACTTGGTCAAGTTTAATTGAAACAATTGTGATTAAAGAAAGGCTTGCAGTTTGGAGGAAAGAAATCAAATTGAAATAATTTGTTCAAGTAACAATTGAATATTACATGGGAAATTAAATGTTACTTGTCTTGTTACTTATCAATCATAATTATTGTAGTTTTCAGGTGAAGTTGAAGGAAGCAACAAATTTTTAAACACTAATTCACTTCACATTATTGTCTTCATCATGATTATCTCTGTTGATTAGTATTATTGGTAATCAGGCTTGAATCATGTTGACGATGAGACCAATGATGGGCAACGACGGTGGATCAATGGGTCAGTGATGATGATGTTTACATGATGATTGGGGGCTTAATCCAGGGTTAATTGTATCAATTAAACTATTTACATTTACTTTTTGTACAAGTCGAGACTTGGGTTAAACATGCTTCTCTGGGTTTCACTTAAATTTGAACAAAAATAACCTCTAAAGTAAATCATCTTTTAAATCTAATTACAAATACTCTACACAATTGATTAAGCCTGATTGTTAATTGTTGATTTGATCCACATATTGACCCAACAATTAGTTAATGGTTTAACCAAATAAAATAGTTTCTCCTGAAATCTTTAAATCTTTGCATTTTCCATTTTTTCCAGTTTTGCATTTTTCCTCCTTTTTGTTTGGTGGTTCCTATTGTAATAGCATGTGAATCTGTATTCAACTTTTGGTCTCAATTTTGACAGATTATGAATCTTCAGAGAGTCACGTAATATTCACCATCATGGTGATGATGATAACTGTTGGTGATCATTTTTTAAGTATGAATTTTTGTCTCTCACCCAATCTGGTTTTGCTTGTTTCCTTTATTTTGAATGTGCGTTTACAGAGGCAATTTAGCTTCCTTTTTATTTTGTTGAATCTTGCTTCATGAAAATTCTGATGGAAGAGGAAATCTTTTTTCTTTGACCAGAATAAATTGTAAACTACTATTAGTCTAATAGTTGTTAAGATGGTGGTGATAGTATTGTATAATAGATTACAATAAATTTACAGCGAAAATGAACTGAAAAGATGAGAGAATTCATTTGAATTCATCTTTTTCCATCTTTCATAATGAATTTTCATCTTTTGTACTTTTGTTTGTTATCATCTCATTACCATTAATGATGATATTTATATTGAATTGAGTTGAGAAAAGACAAAAAAAAAACAAAAAGCAAAACCAACTTTGGATAGGATTATTATCTTTCTCATTATGCTTATTACTATTGTTGTTGATGGTTGATGATGATGATGATGATGATGATTTGGTGTCGCTGGGTTTTGTTGTTGGTAAGAGTTGAATGTCAAATGTTTTAATATGGAGGTTGAATGGGTGTAAATCTTGGCACTGATATGAATGAGGTTGCCGATGATGTACTATTTGCACTATTTGGTGGTCCATTTGTTTTAACTATTATTGCACCTCCATTGGGTAAAGTGAATTGACCCAAACCGGTGGTTGTTGTGGTTGTGGTTGTGGTTGAGGAAGAGTTTGATCGGGTTCGCACTTGGTAAGCAAATAAACAGGCAAAGGCGAGGACACATCCTAATACCATGGTAAGAATCCAAAAGGTTTTACCTTCCAGGTTAAACAGTGAGTGTTCTGGGAGGACGAAAAAAGTTGCCACATTGGAAACCACGAAGAGCACTATTATGATTGAATAGATGATCAGAAAATAGGCTTTCTGATGGTGAGCACCACAATAACCGATTAGGGTAAAGAAGATCATCACAATTGATATTGCTGCGGTTGTTTTACCTCGATAACCACCGGGGAATCGTTCTTCAGGATAAGACATACCAAAAAGGACAACAAATATCCCTAACATTATACCAAAGGCATTACATGCCATTAAAGTATATTTTGTACAGCAAAATATTTTACTCTTTTCAGCCATCCTTTTTGATTGTTGTTTGCTCGGTTCACTAGCCAATTTTTTAGATTGTTACAATCCACTGTCAATTGGTTCATTAACTGGTCTGGCTTTGTTTTTTGAGCTAATATTTCCAAAGGCTCTGAAGGGTTTAATTAAAGTAACCATCCAATTGACTTGCTCACTATTAGGTTTAACACACATTTGGAGAGTTGGCTAGGTTTTGTTGTTGTCAGCAGCAATATACTGAACCACAAAACAACTTTCCAAATTTTATTTGTTTCGATATTTTCACCAAATTTTCACCTCCAACTCCAGATAAAATCACATTTTTTGCAACTAAGATTCACAATTTAGAGAAGAAAACACTCAATAAATTGATTCTTTCATCCCGATGGAAACTAAAACTGGCTTTCCACGGCAGTAACATTGTTTAATAGTTGCTGTTTGCTTGTTTTCCTGGTAATGGTGTATTTGGTTGATGGTTGTTGACGGATTAAAGTTTAACTGTCAATAATAAGCAACGGTATAAGTTGGCTATTTAGATTCTCCTATTAGATAATATTATCTGTTATGAGTTTCACTTTGAAAAAAAGAGTTTCGTGTGAGATCAAATCCAACAGACAATCGCAATGGATGAGGGAAACAGCAATATTTAGTCAATACCAGCGCTCCTTTAACCATTTAGTAGTGTCATCTATTAACATTATTTAGTGTCAACAAATTGTAAAATCAATATATTGACAGAAAAAGTATTGTTAGTTTTGATTGCAATCCATTTGTAACCATAATCAAAATCAGGTCCACTATTGTTGTTGTCCATCCTGGTAGCTCTTCCATCGGCAAAAATCGTTAAATCCTGTCTTGGAGTGGAGTATAGATTAAGAGCAATCAATTAGAGGAAAAACTTGGATTAACTGTAAACTAACAGCCATTAGTCTCAATAAATTTCCTTCAAAATTTAATTTCCAGTCATCTTTGTTGGATTAAAGTGTATTGATAGTTTGTTAATGGATGATGGTAATCCTGATTGCTTGGGTTAAGTTCATCCAATTTCAAGTTGCCAATTGTTTTTTATGAGACGGGATTTTGTCCACCTATCCATTAAATTGATGATAATGGGAATTAGTTGATGGTCTTTAATGCTAATGATGATAATAATGGTGATGGACGAATGTATTGATGACAGTTGAATAAAGGTTGATAGACTTAACGGAAACAAAAGTCTCGTCTCCATACCTAATCCTGAATTAACTTCCTAGGTAAAAGAACTTTCCAACCAATCATGAACAATGGCAATGACCTGATCATTATTCTGATTCAATAAAATCTCATAGATTATAATAAAGATAATACAAATAATACAAAACAAAACAAATTATCGATTATTTTGAAATTCGTTTTCAAGCTACAACAACAGATGGCAGGGACTGCATCAAAATAATCGGATCACAAAAATTTTGCCGTTAATTTCAACACTAACAGATGGCATTGCAATACATTTGAGAGATAAAATGATGCAATATTTTGCTTTAATAAAAATATTTCCTCGTTTGTTTGAATAAAATATTTTCATCTTTTGTTGCAAAAATCAACTTTTTTTTGCTTTTAATGAGGCTAATTGAGCATTTGCTTGAAATTTTTATCCATTTTTTAATTAGTGATTTAATCCTGTTCGCAGAATCAAAATTAATGGTCAAATATTTAATATTCAGAATCAAAAAATTGCAGTGGAAGTTTTTCTCGTCTGTTTCTTTACGTAGTGTCAGCTAATGTTGATGGTGATGGATATCCTTGATTTACTTACTTGATTAAAGTCATCATCTTGCAGAATATAAAATGCATCAGATTCTGATGGAGATGAAGAACCAGATGATGTAGATGACGAATTCAGAGGAAAAGTTACATTAGCCCTTGGACCTGCAGCAGAAATCGGTGATGTAAGTTTACTGTTCAACTCTTGAATGAAATTTTATGCTTATAATTTCTTGATATTTTACAGGAATTTGGTGCCACAGTTGACGATGAAGAAATGTTTCAATTAGATGAAGCAATATTGGTCTTGTGTCCAGTTTCATCTTTGCTTTAAAAAAGGTTTTGATATTGCAACAAAAATGTTTACCTTGAATGTAAATTGTGAAAAGGTTAAAAAGAGTGTAAAAGGTTGTTGCTTTCTCAAGAAAGGTCCAGTGTAATTCATAGTTAAGGTTGCCACATGGCTCCTTTAAGATCACAGTAGTAACTTTTATCTTTCTTTCTTTCTCTTCTTTCTTTCTTTAGACGGGCAGACGGAAGTTGGTCTGCAAGCCTCTCTTTTACCTGAAACCTTTCTTTACCGAGAAAAACCAAACCTTTAAGACGGAAAGTTAATTATGGCTTCAATGGCGAGCACAAGTTAAGCGAGACGTTCAAGATGGAACAGACTCTTGGAGCATCTTAGTAGAGCAGATGTTTGTGTCCACTTTTTCTTTAGGCTTCTCAAAGTGAATGAGTAAGTGACCCACAGGTCCACTTTTTCCCGCCAAAAAAGCATGTCAAATGTCAAGACAAGTTAAAAATGATGGTACAGACGTTAGTAATATTACTTGTACTACATCTTTCAAAACGTTTCACCTTTCATTTCTGGAAAATATTTCAACTCCACCTTTAACCAGATCAAGGTGATTTTACTAAATTTACCTAAAGACAGACGACCAAATCAAATAATTTACTTGCAAATATGCAAACCGCTTGGAGCCAGAAAATGGGGCTGAATCTTCATTATCCATTGAAACTGGATCAATCATTGGGACATCTTTTACTTAGATTATTGTAATTAGATGATTTTCAAATTGAATTTCAATAAGGATTGTTATGGCTTTAATGGTAATGGATACGTGTTTAAAAGCCACAATGGACGGAAATTGATTTACTCCAACGAATACATAGAGGAAATATAATTACAACGAATAATATTTATTATCATTATTAATGGTGATATTATAACAAAAGACAAATGGCTAATTGAATGTCATTAGCTAACAATCTTGTGACGATGATAATATACAATTGTGAAGATTACTCGATGCGAAACAATATTATCTTGGTTGCAAAAAGTAAATTTAATCTTGATTGTCGGTGTAGATAGACAGATACTTCAGTATCATAATCATTATTTAAATTAACCAATTTCATAATGTCATTCATTTCCGTTTACATAGGGATAGTTTGATGCGGAATCGTTACTAACCAGATTGCGCTACGATTTGTTTACTATTGGAGCGAAACTGGTAACATCCGATTTTTTTAAGACGAGAGATAATGAACGGAAATGTATAAATAAGTAACGAAGCCGAATGATGATGCTGATGATGAGAATGATGAGAAGAAAGTAACGTAGAAAGTACAACATCCTGTCGGTAATCAACCTCATATTGGCCAGTTTTACCTTTCTTTTTAGGTCATTAACTGTCTGCAAGGTTAGACTCTTCTCATTAGCAGCTAAGAGACACTTGGACTGAGTGGGAGGAAAATGAAGATGATTTGTTGACCCTTTGGCCATTTTAAGAGACACCTTAATGTTTGTTTAAACCTTGTTGGCTGTCACCGTCCATGTACCTATTTTAATTGTCCCAGAACATGTTAATGTCGCAAATAAAGGCTCCAACTCTTTCCTCTTTTTGTCCACTTTTTGTTCCCTTACTTGTAATAATTGACACGATTTGCTATGGTTTTTTGTTGGTCTTGTTGATGAGCCCATTAACATTGTTGTTAATAGGAAAACATTAACGGTTGCTTAACATAATTCACAATTTATAATTAACTAACATCTACATTTACATTAACGCTTTGTTTTGTTTATCACTTGTTTCTCATTGGTTTGTGCTATTGAGCGGGCAAGACAAAATTTTGAAAATCCCAAGCAACGGTTTCTCATTACCGTTTTTGTTTATTGTTTATTCAATTTGATTAAATTATCTTTTCTATCTAATTATGGTTGACTAAATTTTCTCAAATTCACCTTTATTTTGTCTCATTATTTTATCCATTAATTTAATTAAACGCAACTCGGTTCAAGATCAAGATCAACAAAGGAATCAGTCAAGCTTTAGTTGCCAACATTGAAAAGCATAAGTAACGTTCATTTTTTATTCTTGTGAGATTATGTTTATAATATTATTCAAACTTATTGTTTATGATCATCAGACTGTGATTAACATTGCGTGATTATTTGCAAAACTTATGCTTCAAATAAAGCGTAATAATCGTTTGAATAAATAAATATGAATATGATAATGTTACATCAATAGTAATGACGTGAGAAACAAAAAATCATAAAGCTCAACTTTAACCCAAAGGGCGACCTGTTAATAGAGTCCGCATCTTCGAAGCTTAATTGCAATATCATTGAATTATTTAATTTAGTTTTTTTAAGAAAATTAGAATTGATACAAGTCTAAAAATTAATATTTTTCATTTGATGCATGAAAATATTCCTTCTATACTGAATAATCTGAGTTCTTGAGTAATAAAATAAATAAACAGAATAAAATAGAAAAGAAACTTTTGGCAAAAGTTTCTTTTCTATTTTATTGGATAAATTGGTCAAAATTTTGCGAATGAATCCAAATTTTTGCTCAATTCTGTCTTTTTCAATGCTGATTAAAATGCTGTATTATTTGTCTCTCTACAACATTCCTAACTTGCTGAAATTTCCAAGTCTTCAGGAGGAATCTATTAACAGGTCGCCCTTTATCTTGTTTTGAACCTTTTCTCATTCATTGAGGATCCATAGTCCATAGTCCCATCATCTTTGGCCATTATAATGAACAATTAAGTGCCATGAATTAATGGAGTTAATGTTGAACATGCAAAAAAGATAGTTTAGTGAAACATAAATTACATAAATCACTGTCAGTTGAATGGAGTAATTTTTACCTTTGTATTGACCTTTAATATATTTTGTGCTGATTTTGTGTGAATATTTCCTCACAATTTGCTGATTTTTTAGGCTAACAATAATTTGAATTTTCTGTTCATCGATTAACTACTTTTTATGAAGTGTGTCTATTTAAGTTAATTTTTTTTCTTTTCTCCTTTTCTTTTTCTCTTCTTTTCATGGTTCACTGAGTTATTTGTGTTTGAGATAAGAGTTTCTTTTTGAGGCCCTTTTTTCAATGGTCATCTCATTGCCCATTCCTATCAACTATCCATGTATACAGAAGCTCTCACTTGCTTGTTGATCATGTTATGTTAGCTTGAAGCTACTGGCTGATGTTACCTGCTGTGAAGCCAAATTGCTCACACCTCAGGCCAAGAAAATAAACTCGAGGCTCTTTTGTAAATTAATGCAATGCTTTCTTTTTGTTACAATCAATGTAATAAGAGAAGATGATGATTAGTATAACAGTCAACTACCGTTTCAAGATGATACTTGGATCATCATTGCCACCATCATCATACCATTGCCTCTGAGGTAAATACTGCGAACCATTATTACCATTACAAATGAGCGAAAGAGTGAAAAAAAGAAAATTGAATTCAATTACATTGCGATTGAATCGAGGTAAGGTCAAGACAAAAGGGTAACAATGAAATAGGAAATAAATCATTTTGGTATGAAAAGTAAAATGATTTACAACAAAGAAAAACTAATCAAATGGAATCATTAATTCATGAAATAATTATCAACCCTACAATGGGTCAAGAAATTTGTATGATGATCATTTATTAATCATGTCCAACTTTGATTTGCTTTATTACAGCTCAAGGTGATTATAAATGGATACCAACAATATGGCTGACGGACACTGGAGTTAATTGTAGACATAAAGATAACTGTAAACCATCATTATGGACATTAATTGGACAAGAAAACTGTTTATCTACGTTTGGTCCTGTCAAAGGTTATTATCGTTGGACAAAAAAACTAGCCAATTAATTATTCCGTTGATTTGTCTCGTGGCTTCAATCTTGCAAGAGATATGTTAATCAATGTCTTCAATCAGAGGAGAAGTGGAAATAATCGGAAATGCTGTTAATTTGAATTTTGCTGCTTTCCACATGAGATGATACCATTTAACACCATGTTACCTTAAAACATGTAACAAATAACTTTGCCTGGCACGTTCAACGAACCATTTGATTCGCGCGTCTCAATCTTGTTCCTCTTAATCATCGTCTTCTTCCTCTTCCCCTTTACCTGATTTCATCCCTTTCACTTATAATTCATTATAACAAATTGTTGACCCACTCGAGTGTAACATGTGATGAACGTAATAATCGGTCAACAGATTGTCTTCCTCTTGCATGTTGATGGATAAACAAAATTTTGCCGCCAAAACAGTCAGCTCACTATCAAGTCAACAACAAAATTAGCTTGAAGGAAGCTCATCTCAAATAACTGGTGAAAGTGATTAGCAATGTTTATTTAAATGTGATATTTTCAATGCAACTCAACCTAAATTGTAAGTATAACCTCGAAGTGAGTTAAAATTAATCAATTATATAACTTATTCATACTCAAAATACGGAATCAAGTCTCGACTTATGCGCCTGTTTTGTTTGCGGTCATTAGCCATTGAACCTAGAAAATGTATTCCTATCGGGTCAAAAGCCTCGGATGAATAGCTGTAACCTGCCAAGTTATAACCTCAATCAAGTTTAATCAAGTACAGTCAAGTTCAATGTACTTGTATGCAGAGACATTCAAATATTTAACCTTTGAAATGTCAAGCTGAATGAAAGGTAACACCCAAAAGGAGATATTCATTCAACAACTGTACCTGGATTCATTGGGTAAAGTCATGTTGATTCATGGAAGCTGTTAAATCAATTGAAGTACGTTATTGAAAAACAAACAATTTCTTGATGGTTAAATTGAAATTATAATCAACAGACTGTGAGACTGGTTTGAAAACGAAGACAGTTGAGATTCATTTTCTGAAACGCAATTTCAGTTGTTGCTTGCGTATTTTGATGAGTAACTTGAGTGTCTGTCTCTCCTCTCTTTCTTAATGTTTATGTGTGTTGGGTAAAAAAAGCGCCAAAAGTAAAGGTGTGACGGTAAGTGAAACCTTTTAAGACATTTGCTTGAGAAAATGTTGAGTTAAGATGATACAGAAGAAGGTTAAGAAAATGTTAACATGTAAAGGTAAAGACTACTGTTTGGGTCCTTCAGGGTCAAAGTTAAACTTATTTTTCGAACGTCTGTTTCCTTCTTTTTCCCGCCATTTCTTATTTTTGTAAACCTTTTCATTCTTACCTTATTTTTGTTTTGTTTTTTCAATTTTCCTTTACTTTTTTTTATGTTCAATTTCAGCTTGAAATACTTTTCAACCTTTTGCTTACATTGATGGTTGTTGTTGTTGTAGCCTCAAGCTTAAATAATTGCTAAAATATCTTGTTACCATTTGCTTTAATTAGGTTCCTCTTTTGACTTTCACTGTTGACGAAATGTTTCCAATTGTAATTATCATTGTGTTGCTCCTGTTATCAACTATTGAATTAATTAACCTTATTTTACCTCTTTCTTGGTGGTAAAAAATGTTGATTTATCTAGTTCACTGTATTCAAGGTAATTCTTGCTTCATTATAACAATAGGAAAGTTTAATTTATATTATTACTTTTTTTCAGGTGCATTTGAAGCAAAAATTGATTCCATTGGCTGTCGACTATTTAATTTAGAGCAACCCAGCAATTAGTTGATTACAAGTGAAACAAATTAACTAATAAATGATAAATACTAAGCATTGGCAACTGTTTTCCTGAAGCACATAAAAATGGCACATTTATTGAATAAGCATTCTTTCCAGTAATCATTTCAAACCTAATCAGGATGAATGCCCATAATTAGATTCTTTCAACTATTCGAGTCTCTGAATTTTCAATGTCTCGCAAAAATTGTTAAGCAAATAATTTCAAATAGTCAATACGACAGGTTCATTGGTCAATGACAATATTTGTGATTTTTGTCTGGAATCCAGTTTTGTAAATTGTCGATATTGTCTGTTGGCATACATTCGCATATGATACAAATTGGTTGGACCTGATGGCTAATGAGGACAATTTAACCTTTCGTGGTGAATTATCAGCTTCACTAATCACCCGAGAATGAGCAAATTGTAGAGCAACTAGAGAGTGAAGTGAAAAAATGTGACCATCAGAGCAAATCCAATGGTTTCCATCCTTTAACCATCACTGGATTTTTTGATGGCTATTATGTTTTTATTTCATAAAAATGGTGATGAAGATGATGATGGACTCATCATCGATGGTTATGCTATTTGGAGGGCGTACAAAGCCTATGGAAGTCAATGAAGGGCAAACACACAAAGTAACGATTGAACTGGATGGTTGAACAGACTACGGGTTGTATTATTAAAGTCAAAGATGAGAGATGATTACTTGTGATTATTGAAAGTAAATTATTTCACCAATAAAGTGGGAATACCTTTGTAACTGTATTGAACATGATGGTTTCCCTGATTATTATCATCTTTCCTTTTGACCATCACCATCATCTGGATTTGCTTGATTACCTTTTAAACAGCCCTGTACCATATAAAAGTAACCCATAAACAAGAAAGGTAATCGGATCATGAAAACTCATCACTAGTAATCAACATTACCAATCATCTGTCTCTTGTCCATTATTATTATCTTTCCTTCATTACCTTACTCAAATTGATGGAGACGGGCCAAAGCCAGGTTCTTTACAGTTTCACTTTTGATTGTTACCTTTGATAAACAACAATAATGATAAACAGTGTTATTGTCCAAAAGGTGGCAAGGTGTTAAAAGGTGAACCCTCAATTGGTCAATTACATTTTTGTTTGCTGACCAAGGAGTGACGCTTATTATTGTGGTTTATTTGATTGTTGACCATTTCCAGTCTCTACTTTTTTGTTACCCTTTTTTTGCATTTTGATAAAGTGTTTTGATAACATGATTTTTATATTTCATATGATCAATCAATCAATTAGACTTGCATTTTTTGTTTCATTTACTTTCAGAGTTGAAAATGTAAATGTAAAAAGGGTTTGCACGTTAAGTTGTCATTACAAGGGAATTGTTGAAAGGAAATGTACAATTGATTTGATGGTAATGAAGATAGGGAAGCAATTTGATCGGTTTTTAATAATCTGGTTTCTGGTATCATCATGGATAGAGGAACCATTTTACGGGTGAAAATGGGAAAAGAAACAGGAAAATGATATTAGATGTAAATTAACATTGGTTTTTGGCTATGAAAGAGACAAGCTGAGAGGTTGATTGGAATAGATTTATGATTTGATTGTGGTTGATGTTTTGCTTGATGCTTTCAAGTTGTTAGCTATAAATGTCAACATTGACAGATGAAATGAGGTTATTGTTGATAAATTTCATCTCTCATTTGTAAATGTGTTAATTGTTGGAAATACTCAGCTCAACTGATAGCTTCAGCTCAATACTCAAAGCAACCATGTTAATATTAAATCTCTAATCAATAACTGGCTTAATGTAAATGGCTGCATTACTGTTTGTTTTGATAATTGTAATTAGATGATGAAAGATGAAAGATTGGGCCTTATACTTGGATAAATGTCATCATTTTTTAACCTAATTTTGGCATCAAGTCTAACGAAAGTAAGTCGTAAGCTGTTTCAATTGATTAACAGATGAAGATTGATTATTTTTGATGGTTACAATGATAATTTACAATCGCTTTGGAGATCAACTCGGAAATATCTCAAGATGGTCTTGAATTCATCTGTTGGAATATGATGAAAGAGTTAATGATGAATTGGAATCCATTATCTTTGAGTATTCCATTGTTCCAAACACCAATCTTTACATGGAAGTTGTAAGTGCTGTCGACTTCAGGAATCACAATTTTCCCAAGAATAGTCCTGGAACCAAACGATAATCCAGAAATTGTGCTTTAAACGAAACAATAGAAATGAAAATTGTTAATCTTTAAGGTTTAGATTTAGTAATTTATCTTGATTAATCAACAAGTAGACTCTTAACTCAATCTGTTTTTACCTTGACTTCAATTGATAACCATAACAGCCACAACAGCTTCTGTCTAATCATTAATCAAATGATTTTGCTAGTTTAAACTGACACTGGCTATTGATTTATGATTATTGAAATGGTTTCACATCTAATATTGGAAATAATTACAATAACTTTTCCATTGGTATGACAATGTAATGTTTAACAAAATAGCAATATATTTGGATTGATTTAGAGATGATGAGCAACAATCTTGTAAGATTTATGTTCATCAGTTTACAATGAAAATGCAATTACAGTGAAAAAAAAGATTCTCAAGAAATACAAAAATGAGTAAAATTTACTCGAAATTTAATATTCATTGGTTTTTTTTGGCAAAATGTTCAAAAATGAGTTCGCACAAAACTGAACTTAAAGAAACATTTTAACTCTAATTATATTATGATAATCAACCAATGATAAAACCTAATGAATACAGTTTTGATTGATATTTCATAAAATCACAATCATTTGATACATCAAATTAAACTTGTGATTGATGAATAACATTACGATATTTAACACGCAAGTAACCAAACTGAATTTACATATCTTAAAATTTGGTTTTCTCGTTCTCTGGCTTGTCAGTCTGGTAATGCTACAAGATAATCAATCTTATTGACAAAGAACCATTTAATATGACAACAACATTGAAGATGATGATGATGATGATGACAACTGTGAGAAGTCTTGAAGACAATTTTCTTGAAAATGTTAATCATTTAGATGATGTTGAATGTAAAGAAACAGGCTGAACATTATAGTTGCAGTGACTGTCAGTTGTTTCAATGGTTACAATGTTGCCATGTAATTGACTCCAATTGATTGCAGTTGTGAGTTGACTGAAGGCCTTTTACAATGGATATTTCAATTGGTCAATTAATTGGCCAACACATCGTAAAGTCAATCAAGATTTTCAGTTGATTAAGTTTTCTTTGCCTTTAACTCAGGCCTTGCTTTCAGTTTGACTTGATCCTTTGTCCGTTCAATGCATCAAAATGGTTAAAGCAAGCAAGAAAATTGTTTCAACCAAAGTTTACTTTGATCATGATTAGTTGAAAATTGGGAGAGTTAATTGGCTTGATCTTGACTTCAATTTGATTTTAACTTAAGATATTAGTTTTGTCTGTTAGTCTCTTCTCTGGGTAATTTTTTTGCTCCAAAAAAAACGAAGAACAGCAAAAACTGGAATCTCTCGTAATAGCCTCAAGGTAGAAAGCATACAAGTTGTATTTATAATGAAGAAAGAAGCTGGATGATCGTCTTCAAAGATGATGATGATAATGATGATGATGAAGATGAAGGCAGCAAAATGCGTCTCTGAGTGTTTTATCCACCTTATTTTTGCACCTTAACCTCTCAACACTTGGACTAATGTTCATTTTGGAGTAATTTTTTTTTAAAAAATGATCGACATAACACGAACGGAAGATGAAGCAGAAGATAAAGTTGAAAAAAGGAGGAGAAGACAAGATAAGATGATGTTGAAGAAGATGAGTCTTAAAGGTTGAGATCTTTGCGTTCCTTTTTTTATTTTGCTTCAAGGTAAAGATGATTATTTTTCCTACAAAATGATGATAATGTTGATGATGAGGAGGAAAACGTTTGCGATGTAAATATATTTCACTATGATGGGTCACCATTCCTAAGTCACTAGGTAAAGTGAAGATGATGCTGATGATTATTATTATTGCATCAGAAGATAGGAGGATGAAATTCTGTATTCTGTGAGAAACAAAGAAATAAGATTAGAGCTTAGAGATTTTGCTATCCATTTATTGTCAGTTAAATGGTGTTTTCAGCTAATTTTCAGACTTTTATTGAGCTAATTGTTTGCTCCAATGAAATATTGACTTACCTAATTAATTGTAGTAATCAATCAAAATTGTATCCATCAGAAAATGATATTAATGTAATCAATAACACATATTGGATTTGAAATGCGAGCGCCGTTGTGCTTTTGAGCTTATGTAATCAGCTGACTTAGAAACGCATTTTCACTTTTACAATTTGTGCCTCTAATGTTATTTCAATTGAATATTAAACCATTTTTTTTAATTGTGAAGTTAATACATAATTTTTTTGTTTAAACATAATAGAGTAATCGTCTTAATCAATATATTCTTGGAACCCAAGTTACTCGTTATTATGGATGTCAGTTTAAGATGAAAGATAAGTGAACAAAAGGTGACAGAATATTGAGGAAAAATTTTCAACATCTTGAGATGATTTTCAAGTGAATTGAACCCGTATTTAGTTTTTGGTAACAATTTGATTAAATAAACTGTCAGCCCGTATAATCACCAAAAAAACCATGAAAATGATGATAACTCTTTACCACATTTACCAAATTTGTATAAGTACATTATAAGATGTGGCTTTGCTGGAGATGAAGATGGTGGTGGTTCAAGTTTCCCTTATCTTTACTTGAATAATAAGGGTCGATTCAAGTGGTCCAACTGTGCTGATGTGTTGACAAAAATGTTAAAGGTAAATGTTAATGTTTTGTTAATAATCAAGAAAGAGTCTCTAAGAAAAAAAAAATGTGAATCAAAATTGATAATTCAACAAATGGTTAGTCAAAATTGAATTGTGAACGATTTTTTTCTCTCTCTTCTATTCTTGATGTTATATTGTTATCATTATTTAATAATAATTTAATTTTTATCAAATAATCTAAATAAAATTTTGCTTTCATCGCATTTTTAGGACAAACTCAAATCGGTGATTATTGCTGAGGAAGTCTATCAACACAATGTTAACAAAGAAGACACTGCTTTTCATTTTTTCAAAGAAATGAGGCATAAAATTGGACTCGAACTTGAGTTAGCTTCTCTAATGTGGTCATCTTAGGATATATGGACTTTAAGGTTTCAGTCAAACACTTGAAAAATATCATCATCTGAAAAAACTTCATCCAAAATATTATCCAGAATCTGTCACTCAGACAAAGTAGTATTTGGATACTACAGACAAAGGACTTCGTTCAGGCTGTTTTGATTACGTTTTATGATGTTGAACATTTCATTTGATTAGTTTATTGTGATTGCTTTGTTGATCTGCTTCTAAAGTGAATTACATCTTGTTTTGTATAAATGTTTTGTATCATTGTTAATGATCAAGCAAAGGTCTCTGAGAAAAAAGGTGAATCAAAATTGAAAATTCAACAAATGGTTAACCAAAATTGAATTGTGTACGATTTTTCTTTTCCTTTCTATTCTTGATGTTATATTGTTATCATTATTTAATAATAATTTAATTTTTATCAAATAATCTGCATATTTTTAGGACACATTCAAATTACGCTGGCAACAAAATAAAGGCAACTACTCAAAGCAAATTGGATTACAGTTTGGATTGTACTTTGCTTAGGATCTAAAGATGGACTAACTGATTTGACTACTAACCCTTTCTTATGATTTGGTTCAAGCTGATTGTTAATTTGATTTTGACCAACTAATATCTGATTGAGTTTGTCCTAAAAAGATAAAACTATAAAACTAATTTGCTGATGCTCTGTTGGATGGTAATTCTGATGCTTGGTTTAGGTGTTGCTGCTCATTGTTGACCCACTGTATAGGAGCTTAAGCTCATAGCATCTGTTGAGTGGAAACATAAAAGTAATTGACAGAGAAATTAACAAATCACGATGGAATTGGATTAATGAAGTTACTCTTGATGTTACTAATGGTACTATGGATGATCATCTTCAGCTGTAACCATCTATTACAACAAAGACCAAGAGGGTGAACCTTTAATGATTTGGCCTGATATGGTTAACAGTTTGGATCGTTCATCATCTGCTTTTTCCTGTCTTTGTTTTATGCCTTTTTTTACCTCGCCAAGTTAATTGTTAGAGCAATATGCGAATACAACATTTATTCCCATCTTCACTATTCTCATCCTCATCATCTTTCCCTTGTTTCCCTTGTAAATTAAGGTAACTCTGCTTCCTTTAGGGTTCCAGTTAACTAATGAATAACCATAGACTTTGGCTATTTTCTTTTCCTCTCTTCATCGTCGTCATCTTCGTCTCTTCAATCACCATCATCTTCTGTTACATTTTACTTTGACATATTATCATCAAGCATCCTCTTGTTCATCATCTTCACTATCATCATCGCCATCTTCAACATCTCTCATAGTGATTGATCCATTTCCTTTCTCACTGGGCATTAACCACAACATGCATTCACTTTAAATGAACCTTGACCTGGTAATTAACAGATCATTATTCATCAAGTTACTTTAATAATAGTCTTAACTGTTGTTAATCAGTCATCTTATCCTTACATTACTTGTTACCTTAGCTCACATCAATCACAATTATGTATTTGTTTAATCATAGGTATAAGGTTAATGGCCGTTAGGAATCAAAATGAGACAATTTGTAAGTTTTTGTGTTTGTATCATAATTTTTAAGATGAAAATATTTAATTTTTAATTGCATTTTGCTTTTTTGTAAAATACATTTTTGACTGGTTTAAGGTTAAAGATGAGAAATTAAGGATAAACACAAAGTTGTAATTAGTAAACTCGGCTTCCTTAGTCTCATCTTTCTTCACCTTGGCACCTTTAGGACAATTCGTAAACAGAAAATTGCATAGATCAAGAAGAATTGACTTCTTGCCAAAAAATAGTGTAACTTTTTACAGTAAACAACAAAAAAAGGATGAAAGGATGTGATTGATTCTTTGTGACTTTTGTTTCGTTTTTCTCACAGAAAAGGAAAAAAACAAAAGGAAATAAAACAGTAACCTGTATATTTATCCATTTAATATAAAGGTAAGAAACGCAGAGTCCCAAAAATTGAAGCATTAATAACCCAGTGAAGGTCTTCCGTTGAAAGTAAGAGATGAAACGGTCAACTGGTCACAATCTTATCTGTCTTCATTATTTTTTTGAAGCTTCGTCATCACAGTATGTCTATTTTTTGTAACCCATAATGATTACAATAAACTATCTGGAGGTGAGAAAGTGAAAGGGAGGGAGGAAGAGGAGGAGGCCAAGGATCAGCAATATGTATTTGATGATGATGATGATGAGAAACCAGGTAAGTGAGACAGAAAACAAGAAACCTTTGCTTTTTAATAACCGGTTTCTCTTTCCTTTTCCTCACTTTCTCACAATCACTGAGTTAAGTAAATCTCCATTTTTTAGTGCTTCTTGGACCCAATTTATGTTTCATTTTTTTCTCTGTCTTTATTTCCTTCTTTAACTTCACATTTCATGCGTAACGATTTTCAGGTCACTAAGAACACGATATGTATCTTTCTGTTTGTCTCTCCATTGACATGGAACCAAGGAGATGAAAATAGGGAGATGGAATAGAATCTCAGTTGAATAAAGGAATCAAATGGATAAGAATGCATCCATTATTGTGATGAGTAACAGGGTAATTTGATGATTACCAAGCTGATGAAATGTTTATTTTGAATGATGCCAATAATTTGCTTATAATCATCACGTCTTGAGATCCATCGATAGATTGAAAATATATCAGCAATATGCAAAAAAATCACCGGCTGTGAGGAAAAAAAACAATGGAAATGAGATGAGAAAGGCAAATTTTGGTTATTTAATTAGTCAATTGTTTCATGTATTTGCATAAACAAATGAACTGATTCTTATGGAGATGATAATTCAATAGATGATTGATTGATGCTTACCTTGTTTACTTTAAGGCAGTTTAATATTGATATACAAAAACAGTATTTACAGAAACCAATTTGCGTATATTTACATTCATATGAACATGGGAAATGGTGATGATGATGGTAATGATGATATGCAAAATTTAATGATCAACTTTACCGAGTTAATTTACTCCAAACAATTATTTGCCAAAATATAAATGCTAAGTAACTTGTAGTAACTGGACCTTAAGGAAAGAAAAGAAAAGGAGAAACATCAAATTAATAATGAGGATTAATGATAAAATAAGGTAATTGTCGCAAATAATTGTTACTTTTTTGATTCAAATGACATTTTAAAATGTTAATTATGATATACTGGTGGTCTTATATGTTACATAGTTTATAAGTTACAATTGGTCTCATAATATTGACCATTTAAGCTAAATCTTGATATAATAACCAAATTTTTCATTGACTTCTCGCGCCAAGTTGGATAACTTGATCAATATACAGTTTGATACAAAAATTGGAAAAAGAGCGGGAATTTTCTTCGACTTGACTCCTTTTTTTGTGTTACTCTCTCCTACCCAAGGGACAAGTCGATATGTGACCTGAGATATAAAAACATAAAACCACCTCTCTCTCTCTATTTTCATAGATATGTTTTCCGGTTTCCCACGGGTCGCTCTTTCGTCTGCTCTTTTTATCTTTCTTTTTGTACTTTTGTCTCTTTCTTTTTCTCTTACTGTATCTACCTTACATAGATTGGTTCTCTATCGATTTGTAGACATATATCACCATAATAACAAGTAAACATGCAGGTTCAAAGGTTCCAGCCAAATAAAGGCGGCTCAAGATGGCAAACATCATGTTCAAATTAACATAACACGAAAGCATAATTAAACAGTTTTATTACAATGACAATTAACCAGATTCAGGTCTATCAATATCTTCAATTCAAAGTATTCTTATTATTCCAAATAATTCATTTACAAACTAATCTTTTCAAATTAACAGTAAAACCTATCAAAAAAACTGATGTCATTTCAAAAGATTGTCATCACTAGACCAATAGACAAACATGTAAAACAAACATTGATATTAATTTCATTATTATAATATGATAATGTTTACAAACAGGCAAAATTGTCAATTCAATAATGCTTTTTATCCTAGTAATCAAACTGACAACTGAAGTTGACCTAAATGTCCAGGTTATTATAAACTTAATGTTGAATGAAAATGAAAATTTACTGACAAATCTAACAACTTACTACTTTTATAATAATAATGGGTGAACATTTGATTTTAGAAGGTTTCATATTTTTCATTATCTAACACTTGATTGATGTTCAATAGTGAATTTTGGACTAAATATTGGACTTTAAATATGTAATAACAAAGTGGTTAACCTTTACTAATCAAAATTGCATTTGAATCGAAGTCTTCTTTATTTCAGAAAAGAAGAGAAAAAAGTAACCTTAAAAAAGAATTGTAATTCAATAAGTATTGAAATGTCATCTTACCTGGTTCAGTTATTAAGTCATTTTCCACCATTTGGTGATGATGATTATGGAGACTGTGGTGATGTTTATGAGTTTTTTGATGATTTTGATGATTATGATGGTTTATATGGTAAAGATTTTGACGATGATGGCTGGCGAGTATTTCATATCGAGAATGAAATAATTCTGTTTCACTAGATAATAGTTTATCTACAAACTCAAGGTCTTCCTTTTCCCTCTCAGCGAGATCACTTTTATCCACAAACAGGGCACGAGCAATTGGATGTTTCCTTTCCTTAATCATGGTGTAACAGTAAAGATGATGTTATAAGTATACAATGTTGTTGATTGTTAAACGGTTAATAAGAGTTCAGTTGAAAGTTAACCTTTCCAATAGTTTAGTTAAACTGAAATGAAGTTGAAAGTTGTCAGTTGTTTAAAACTTGCCAATGTTGACTAGTTACAAGTTAACTCGCAAAAACACGCAGCTGCCATTTTATTTATCAAGCAAATAGCGACTTTCAAGGCGCCACCTTTGGCACTGGAAAAGAGATGAAATAACAAGCAAACAAGCAAAAAAGGTAAATTCAAATTGCAATCTTGAGGCGATGTTGTGATGATGATGTGATGGTTGAGTAAAGATGGATCCAGAACAGCAAATGCATGCTTTTATATTTCCCACTATTCTTTGCTTGTTAAGTCCAGCCATCTATCGAAGGAAAAAAACAACCGAATCTACCTGTTTATTAAATTTATTGTCGTTAGATGGCTCCATTCAATTGACGTTATGTTTCATTTTTTAAACAACCAGCAATAAATCCATGTTTCTGTTCATTTTTGCTCATCAATTTTTGTTGTTTTCATGATGATCATCAAGCAAATTTCGTCTCGCAATTGATAATGTAATAAGAAGTGTGTGTTTCTGATGTTTCCTTTTTTTTGCTTTCTTGCTTAGCTTGTGTTGTAGTTGTTAATTTATTTTTCACCATTTCTGTTTTATATCTTCTGTTTGCCTTCTGCTTCTCATTCCACTTTTTGTTTGTTTCACTCTTCTTGAAACCATTTTTTTTCATCATTCATTCAAAGGAACTTATTGACAATTAGTTACTTTTTTTAATTTTTGTCCATGATGATGATGATGTGTAAATTGTTGAAACAATCATCATTCACTAATGAACCTCAACCGGACGTTATTTGTGGTAAAACCTGTTATGATTTACCAGTTAAAAACATTGAACCATTATCAAGCCGATTAGTTTCAGCCTACACTGGACCTGGATCTGGATTAACATCTGTAAATGTTGATAGTCGATCGAAAGCTTTTCAAGTTTCTCCTGAAAATGATGTTGCTTTTATCGATGAAGAAGATGAAGATGGGTGTTTATCATCGAGTATTAACAATATCTCATCAGGTAAATTAATCTTATCTTTTCTGTTTTCATGTTCAACTGTTGAGCCAAAATTTTTATTCAATAAATTCTATACCCATCTACAATAGCTTGAGTCTTCAATCTTTTATTTGTCTACTTTTATTAAAGGGTTTTTCAGCTCTCATATCTTTGGATATTGTTAGAATAGCACAATTCAATTTACTTCATCAAATCTTAACAAGAAAATTCGTTCCTCATTGTTAAGTTTGTATCATAACGATTTTAATTTCACTTCTCTTTTCTAATCTTTCTTTCTTTCATGTTTTCATTAGAGCCCGCCATTGATAGCAAAAAATCTGCCCCACATACTTCATCAAAATACAGTTATTATATGTCAAAAAACAAGAATGATAACAAATGTCACAAACTGCCAAACGAAACATCATCATCATTATCAAAATCATCAACCAAAGAAACATCAGAATCATCTTCAACAACCAACTTAACTTCTAATTCAATATCATCGACAACACCTTCAACTACAAGCATATCATCTTTAGACGAGATTGCTGGTGTTGATAATTGGAAGTGTCCTACTGAAAATGCTTTTGGATTAGCAACATCGCTTTACGAAAGTCATCCAACAACGAGCGAACGAGCTGGTGAACCCATTGCTGACTCATTTGGTATTTGTGTTCGTGAAAATTCTGCTATTCTCGCTTTAGCTGATGGTGTTAACTGGGGTGAAGGAGCTTGTATCGCAGCTCGTAGTGCAATTCATGGTGCAATTGAATACCTCAACAAAGCATTGTACCGTGAAGGCAGTGGAAAAATGGCCAATACAATGGACATTTTCGTGTGTTTGTTAAGATCTTTCTCTGCTGCCCATAGCATGATACTCCAAGAAAATGGAAAATTAACTACTCTGACCGTTGCCATTATTGTCCAGCTGAAAAATTCAGATAAATTCATAGTCTGCTCCTGCAATGTTGGGGACAGTTTTGCTTATGTATACTCTAAAAAGCATGGCGTTCGCGAAATAACTCAAGGTTAGTGGGAAGAAAATCGTTAAAATTCAAAGTTAAGGAACAAAAATGGATTCTAAACGAAGGCTAAGCTTTCTTGTTCCTTTTTTTGCTGCCTGTTATTTGTTTTCATGTTTTAATTTGTAGACGAATGTGTTTGAGCAGCAACAACCGTATCGTTTCTTTATTGCCAAAATTTCCTTCTTTTACTGGTTTTCTTCCTCTGTTATTTCTCTTTCAAATTAACTTGTTGGTCTGCTTCTCTCTCCTCATCATCATCTTATCTTCCTCTCCACTCTTCTTTGAAACCATGGTCATTACATAATCCATATTTCTTTTTCTTCTGAAAGCTCTCTTCCTTGTTTACCTGTATCGCCTACAAGCAAATCTGAGAAACTATCTTCTTCATCTGTATTACTCTGATTGATCTTCCCATTGAACCTGATTTACCATTTAAGTTAACAGCTTTTCTCAATCTCTTTATGCATTTAAGACTAATCTTTGCCATTCAGTGTCATTTTTTTTCTGATGGACTTGATGTACTCCGATAATAGCATTTCAATCATAATTTATCTCCAATTATTTCATTAATCTGATCCATCAGTGTTATTAATTTCCTTATTTACACCATAACAATCAGATAAAAAGCAATTCGATGTTTCCTTTTTGTTTCAATTTTAGCCCGACTCATCATATTTGTTGACTTCAATGGTTCAAAGCACTTGTTTATCACAATTAGTTTTCCTTTTTTTTCGGTTACAAGCTCACTATTTGATTAGATTGAATTATTTTTTTTAAAGTTACCTGATGTTGATTTAACAATTTAAAAAGAAAACTTATTTTGATTAAACCTCATTAAAATACAATTAAATTTTAAGGTTAAGTTTTCCTCAAGGCAACTGCAAATGAAACAGTAAAACTACCAAAAAAATTGATGTTATTTTCAAATGATTGTTACCACTAGACTAATAGACAAACATGTAAAACAAACAATGATATTAATTTCATTATTATTATCTGATAATATTTACAAACCGGCAAAAATTGTCAGTTCAATTATGCTTTTTATCCTCTCAACCAAACTGACAATTAGAGTTGACCTAAATGTCCAGATTATCATAAACTTTTAACGTTAATTTTTATCATAATCAAACCAACCTGACAATAACAATTTACCAAATTCAGGTCAATCAATATCATTGATTTAAATATTCGTCTTGAAAATAGTCTTTGATCAAACCATTTCAATCCAAATTAACATGTGAAACCTAAGCGTCAACCAAAAGTGAAAATGAAAATTTACTGACAAATCTAACAACTTACTACTTTTACAATAATGGGTGAACATTTGATGATAATAAGGTTTCATATTTTCATTTCATTTCTAACACTTGATTGATGTTTAAATAGTGAATCAAAATTTTTGGACTTAATATTTGACTTTAAATATGTAATAACAAAGTGGTTAACCTTTACCAATCAAAATTGAATACAAATTGAAGTCTTTCTCTTCTTTTGAGAAAAGCTTTTCCCTTCAAAAATCTCAAACAAATCAACCTTGGTCAACCTTAGGTGGTCCCAAGGACTTTCAGTCTTGTTATCTTCATCGTCTTCATCGTCATCATTATCTTCACAATCATCATCTGTATTATTAGAACTTTTTCCCATTTAATTCTACATTTCTGTTCAATAATTTTCTCTCTGGTTCTCTGTATTTCAACTTTGCTTTCCTCTGCTTTTTTTCAAGCTCAACCAAGAAGACATAAAAAAACTTCACAGGATCACGAGAGGCAAAAATGATGATAAAATGATGATAAAATGAGGATAAAAGACAAGTGACAGTGAACGAGAAAGAGGAGAAACTCATTGACACTTAGCTTTCTCATGTTACTCATAAAGTCTTGTACAAGTCAAATGTATTTTGGTTGACTTTCAATGATGAAAAGTTGTGTTGATGAATGCCAAGAAGGGAAGATGATGATGGATTGATAAAGTTAATTTAACTCATACTGAAGATATTGCCCTTTCAAATGCTGCCTGTTGAATTAATAATTATTTATACTTTAATTTTGAAAAAAGACTTGAATTGTTTATCTTTTTTTTTCCCTTCCATTATTTACTCTCATTTTTAGCATCAAAATCATATTCAATGCACTTTACCGTTCATCAATCAACTCTTTCTCGGTGGGTTTTTTTATATATTACACAAATACAGGTCTACTTAATTATTCACCTTGCAATTGATGAAAATAATGATGAAAAATTTAATGCAGGATCTTTTTTTACTTTCATTGTTTACCTTTTTCACTGTGTTTTCAGTAGATTCAAAAGCTCATGATTTCTGGTTCCACTTTTGTGTTCATTCAATCAAATTATTAATAACATGTCCAGTTTCAAGCTGAATATGAAACAGCCTTGAGTTACTCCAAAAAAAGTATATTTTGATTTGTTTTTTTTTCTTGTATCAACATTATAATTACCAACTATTGGTATTGATTTTGATCGTCCATTCAGAATGATTAACATAATTTGTTGTTGCTCGCCCATTCATCTACATTATTAACTTGATTAACTAAATTCATCTTATGTTTACTTTTCTCACTTTTAACCCGATCCAAATGACTTTTGATTCACACCTCTAGGCAATGTTCAATTAATTTAATTTACAATCTAAATCCTACCCTGACCTCAATTTTTTATGTTTAACTTTTTCTTTTTTCATTCTCTTGTTAATCAATCAATTAACAATCATAATATTACAATAATCACCAAACAATGTAACAAGGTTTTGACCAAGTTTAAATAGATTACTAATTTTTCACTTTTCATCTTCTTCTGCTTACAGGATCACACGATATTTTTTCAATGAGAGATATGAGATCAGCATTGGGAGCACTTGGACCTGTTGATGGTACCAATCCTGAACTTAATAATCTAACTGTTGCCATGACTATTGTTGAACAAGGTGATATTGTATTCCTGGCTAGTGACGGAATTTCAGATAATTTTGACCCAGTTGTGGGTAAATTTGCGTTACCAAAGAAAACAGATTCCGGTAAAAAGCACAATAATAACGATGAATACATAAAGAACTCTGAACAACACCAACAACAAAATAACAATAAGGTAATGACTTTTTTTTTCAAGAGTACCTCGCCTTTTATTGTGCTTGTTGCACTCTTGTACCTCTTTTCAAACACCAACATCAATTTTTTAACCCTAAACTTATATTAATTTTGTCTCTTCTTATTTTTCTTCCTTTATTCTGCACCATTTCCTTAATTATTGCCCGTCTAATAGGCCAATATGCTGAGCAGTAATAAAACGCCTGAAAAAGTTGCCACCAAAAACAAGAAAAATTCAAAATTATTCTGCTCCAGGAGTAACAGTGTTAAATCACCTTCAACTCAACTGACAACAACAACCGGACCCACATCAAATCACAGATCTAGACGTAAAAGCGAAGGATTGATCTCAAGAATTGCAGAGGATCTTAAATTATCATCGTCTGACAAAAGTTCACGAAATGGCCATGATCATAATCATCATTCTCACCATCATTCAAATGGCAATAGTCATCATAATTACCACAACAATAATACGTCGTCTTCAAAAAAATCCTCCAATATTATGAGCAAAAGTAGTAAAGACAATAATAGCAATAATAGTAAACTTAAGAGGTGTAACTCAATGAGCGATCGATCTCAAAGTTCATTACCCATAGTTACAGCTGTTCAAAGGCATGAATTAACATTATTAAGGATGGAGGATATTATTCGAAATGGTTTTAATCAATCAGTTAAACAATCTTGTACAACAGCCAAACAACTATGTGAATTAATGGTAGAATGGGCAACCAAACTGACCACGGCCAAAAGACGTATACTCGAAGACCCTGACTTGTATGATGAAACTGACAACTCATTTGAACACTCTGATCAAAGATCACGTCGTCGTCAGGTTGGTGATAAATTAGCAATGGTTCCTGGTAAATTAGATCATGCTTCCATTGTTGCCTGTAAAGTGTCCTTTTATGGAGACTATTGTAATAAACGTTACATTTCGGACGGTGATTCAAACAAATATAATCTCAAATTGAAAGCAACACTTGCTAAAATCGAGGGCAATGAAGATTGACTTTCGTAGGAGCAACTCTTTTTTTTCTAATTGTCTCACGCAACTTTATTAATAGTATCAGTTATGGTTTTTTTGTGTCATTATCATTATCAACACCTTCATCAACATCGCCATTCAAATGAAACAACACACCATAATTTATCACCCTATTGGCCATGATTATGCATATTACCGTTACCATCATCGGTTAACTGACAATATCTTTCATTAGGAAAACAATTTCCCCTTTTTTCAATTCATCATCATTTAATTGTCTTGTCATCTTTTTAAATCATCTTTTTTTCAAGTGTTTCAAATATTTAAATTGAATGTTAATGACGATGACAATGCTCGGGACCGGCTTTTTTCCACCACTTTTCCTCCACATTTTTCAACACTTTTTTCACCATATTGTCCACCACTTCTGGTATATGATGGCGATATGGATGTGTTAGATTTGGATGGTGGACAATATGTTGGCAAGATGGTGAAAAGACGGTAAAAAGAGGTCGATGTGGTGAACAAACCGATCCCCAATACTCTACAATGGAAATTGAATCAAAAAAGTACAAGAAAACGAAAGTACATTCAAGACAAATTACACAAAATTTAATAATTCTCAACCGAACGCAACACATCCATTGTTAAAAAATTTTTTGGTTTATTTTTCGTTTCATTAAGCAACTAAAGTTGGAATTGAATTAATGAATGGAACTAAGTGGCAATTTTGGAGCTGCCTTTGATGGTTAAAATTAATTCAAAGCTTTTACTGACGTTTTCATTTCAATACAATCGTCATCACAAAATTTTACCACAAAACTGTTTACAAAGAGTGATGCAAGTGCATTTATGTTTATATCATCCTTGTTTTCTTCCGGTTACAATCAAGTTTTTTAATGTTTAAATGTGAAATGAGAAGCATAAAGTTCCATCATACTCGTTTTACAAAGAAAACATCTGTTTGTTTTTAAATAAAAACCAATAAAATTTTGTTTGTTTCACTTTTTTATATTGTTCCTTTACAATCTTTTCTCAAATCGCTCCTTTCAGGAATAAACTTCAACAGTGAGAAAATTAGGGTTCATACAATAATTTATTAAAACCAGTGAATCCCGTTTCCAGATCAAAAATTAATTGTCGAACTTGAGAATCATTAAGTTCATCCGAAGCTGACATGGATGAGAAAACTTTAAGCCAGTCTTGTATTTTAGTTTTACCTTCGAAATCAGGAGGAAGTATGGAAAGACGATTCATTGTTTCCAGTAAAGCCAAAAGATCAGGTTGAAGTTCATCCGTAGATTTGTAATTCAAACGTAATTTATCTTGAATGGTGATATAGAGAGATGTTATATCAGCGATACATTTATTCTTGTCATCTTTCAGGGCAATTGGTTTTCCTTCTTTGATTCGAGCCAAAGCAAGTGGACAGTCGAAACGATATTTCTTCATGAAAGCCTCAATGGTTTGGAATTCATCTTGTATTTGTTTGAAGGCAGCTTGATATTGAACTAGTAATTTTTCACAACAGGCGTCATATTCTTTGGGTGAAACAGCATCCTTGATTATTGCCTTTTCCAAACATTGAAGCGTATTGACAACTGCATATAAATCAGCCAAATTATCATACATTTCTCTTTCTCGTGAATTACGGTAAAGGCGCACATCTTCATAAAGACTTGCCATTTTTTACTAAAACAGAGATTCAATATATAAAAGGTGAACAGTTAAAAATAATAGACTTAATTAAACAATAAACAATCAGATGAACCCTTAGCCAAACAAATACAAACCCAAAACCAGAGTATAAATCTCACATTATACGCCATCTATTGTTCAAATCTCATTCTAACATGAAAATAAATGAAATTTTTCTCGAAATGAAAAAATCTTTTCTTCTGATCTTTTCTTAATCTAAATAACGTCTTTTAAATCGCTGATCTTGAACTAACCATTGTCAACTTAACTATCTTGACTTGAAACATTTGTTTATGATTGATTAAATCCAATATATCTTTTCACTCAAGCCAAATGATGATTCAACCTAATGGATAATCAATCGAGCCTGAATTGTTGCTGTACTCAACTTTGCTTGTGTATATGTGCATAATTTTAATGATTAAAGCAATTTTAACAATCAGCTAACTGGAGGAAAATTTTGTTTTCAATGATCGAATCGTATTATTATTGACATTTTGAAGCAAAACTAGACAACTGAATAATTTCACTGAAATAAAAGTCTAACAATAAGATTGCGCTAACTTTGGCACGATAATCTTTTAGATTTTGGTTCAAAATTAATGATGAACGCATTCTTATCATTTTTTAGAAACTGTAGCGTCTCTTTATTTGATTTGTTAGTAATCAAATTAATCATAACCAAATGTAAATAACAAATCTTAATCATATCAGCTTTAAAGAGACATTTATTAGCGCCACCTTTCGTTAAACTGGTCAGGTTTTGAGATAGAAAGTATATAAAATCAATAATAAACGTTAATCTTAGTCAACTAAACATGAAATAAAATTGAGCTGATTAATATGTGTTTTTAAACGAATGATTAAACTTATTTTGGTCAATTAATGCGGGACAAGGTTATGAACTATGAACCTGATTGTATGGAAGATATACGATCTCTTCCCGATTGGAATCTTCCCGTTGCCTTCTCTGCACTTAGGCTGGAACCTAAGCTTGAAGGTATGCCACCAAATTCAGTTTCATGGAGGATGAAAGAAAGGGTAAGATTTAATTTAATTAAATATAAAATCATTATTCAACTTAATTATTTATCCATCTTATTAATTGGGCTCCATTTTCATGTATATCGGTCATTAATGTTCCTCGTAACCTTTAGACAAGCTCCATCTCAAACCTAGCTGTATTTAGTATTTGTTTTTTGCTATTCCATCTGATTCTCTATCCCAATCGCTTGTTCTTTACTCACGATTTCTTTTTCCTATCTTTTTATTTATTCTTAATATTTTTCAATTGATCATGAATTAGATGAAAACTGTGAGCGTAGCTCTCGTCCTGTGCCTTAATGTTGGTGTTGATCCTCCTGATATTCTCAAAACTCAACCCTGTGCTAAATTAGAATGCTGGATTGATCCATTCTCCATGCCACCTCAAAAAGCCTTGGAAGCAATAGGAACAGAACTTCAGAAACAATATGAAAGATGGCAACCTCGAGCCAGATATAAGCAAAGTTTGGACCCTACTGTTGAAGATGTTAAGAAATTCTGTACTTCATTGAGAAGAGGGGCCAAGGATGACAGAGTTTTACTTCATTATAATGGACATGGTGTCCCAAAACCAACGATTAATGGCGAAATTTGGGTTTTCAATAAAACTTACACTCAATATATACCTCTTTCTCTTTATGATCTCCAACAATGGATGGGATCTCCTTCTATTTATGTTTACGATTGTTCCTGTGCCGGCCTTATTGTCCAATCTTTCAATCAATTTGCTATTCAACATGAAAGAGAGTATCAGATAGCCTTGAATGCAGCTCGAAATCAAGGAAACCTGGCCAATGTTAATCTAGCCCATGCATCCCCACCAAATTATAAGAATTGCATTCAATTAGCAGCCTGTGCTGCTGATCAGATACTTCCCATGAATCCTGATCTTCCCGCTGACCTCTTCACTTCGTGTCTTACTACACCTCTAAGAATTGCTTTAAGGTGGTTCATAATGCAAAACTCAAGTAAATTAATACCTGCCATCAATCTTGACCTGCTTGACAGTATTCCCGGTTCTTTAAGTGACCGTCGAACTATGCTGGGAGAACTTAATTGGATATTCACTGCCATCACTGATACTATTGCTTGGAATGTTCTACCTAGAGAAACTTTTCAACGACTTTTTCGGCAAGATTTACTAGTAGCCAGTTTATTTCGAAACTTTTTACTAGCCGATCGTATTATGCGATCTTATAACTGTACTCCAGTCTCTAGTCCCAAACTTCCTTCAACTTATCATCATCCAATGTGGCAAGCCTGGGACCTTGCTGTTGACAACTGCTTACATCAACTCCCATTGATTAAACAAGATCCCACCGCTCAATATCGCCATAGCTCATTTTTTTCAGATCAACTCACTGCATTTCAAGTATGGTTAACATTTGGTGCTACAATTGATAGCAGTCATAATCCAGATTTTAATCATCCAGAACAATTGCCAATTGTTTTACAAGTTCTTTTAAGCCAGGTTCATCGTCTTAAAGCTCTCGAGCTTCTTGGTAGATTTCTTGATTTAGGTCCTTGGGCTGTTAATATGGTGAGTGTTTTACAATTTAATATTAAATATCAAAATTGAAACTTATATCCCTTTCAATTAATGCTTTCGATTACATACAGGCCTTATCAGTCGGTATATTTCCTTATGTGTTAAAACTTCTCCAAAGCTCAGCTAGAGAGCTGAGGCCGCTTCTCGTCTTTATATGGGCCAAAATTTTAGCTGTTGACGGGGTAAATATTCTCGATAAAACATCTTACTATTAAACATTTATTCATTTATTCTTTCAATATCTTTATTTTATTTTAAAGCAGAGCTGTCAAGAAGAGCTTATTCGTGACAATGGTCACAAATATTTCCTAAATGTACTCTGTGACACCAACCTTCCTGCTCACTACCGAACGATGTCTGCTTTTGTATTGGCGTGTATTGTTCGTAGTTATCATCCTGGCCAGGAAGCTGCATTTCAAGGAAGTTTAATTGCTATCTGTCTTGAACAACTCACTGACCCAAATCCGCAACTGCGTCAGTGGTTAACAATATGTCTTGGTCTTACCTGGAATAATTATGATGCAGCTCGTTGGTGTGGTGTCCGTGATTCAGCTCATGAGAAACTTTTCCCTCTTTTGAATGATGATATACCTGAGGTTCGTGCCGCTACCGTATTTGCTCTTGGAACATTTATTACAGGTGCTGGAGAAAGGACGGATCACGCTAATACAATAGACCATAGCATTGGTATAACTCTTATCAATACTGTATCCAATGATGGAAGTCCATTAGTAAGGAAAGAGTTGGTTGTCGCCCTTCAATGCCTAATCTTGTTATTTGAGAATCAATTTGTTGCTGTGGCCTATCAGATGTTGGAAGAAGACAGATCAAAAGAACTTCTTCAACCCAATAATGCTCCAAATTTAGGAGGTGAAAACAAAGATCATTTATCTCATGCATGATAATTTAAAAATGAAATTGTTTGCTGTTTCCATTAATTAACTAATTACTTATTTTTGTCTCCCCGTTCAAACGCTTCTCAATAACCGTTTGCCCTTTTCCATTTATACCGATTTTCTTATGCTTCAAGATGGTTTGCTCAATGCCGCTACAACGCCTCCTTCTAATATCCTCGGTCTCCGTAAGGTTGCCTCTAGAGAGAGACTGATGAAATTATTTTCCCCGTATACCTCTTTCAACCCTACACTCCCAAATGGTAAGCTTTATAACAGTTATGTCTTGAATAATTTGTTGAACTTTGATCAACTAATGACTAATAATACTGCACTTGTCTTTTCTTTATGTTTTTAACATTTTCGATATCTTTGCGTTGTCCATTTGCTTACTTACTCACTTTAAGTTGTGACAGGCGATTCACTGACACCACCAGCCTACAATAATAATAACAATAATATAACAGCTATTAAAAGGATAAGCTCAACGAACTCATTGACAGCCTTTGGTACAGGTACACTTGGAACTAGTGGCATTGCAAATGTTTACTCAACTATTTGGAAAGCAATAATTGGACTTGGTAATGATCCTCATCCTGATGTTGCCTCAATGGCACAGGTTATCATTGATGAAATCAAATCAAAAGTGCAACCACCAAGTGCTCTGTCTAATGATTCTTACAAAGAATCACGATCAGACCCATCATCATCTGAACCTTCATCTCCAGCGAATCATCCAACATTTGTTATGAGCGAATCACCGCCTCAACCAAACTCAACTCAACAAGGTTTATCATCGCGAACAAATTCACGGGAACGGCAGGGTAGTGAAAGCTCTCAATGTGCCATTGGGACTGTCACAAGTGGAACTGGTGATGGAGGGGGAGGAGGAGGGGGAGCACATGGTCCCATCGCATCCACTTCATCTAGTGTAGGATTATCATCAACAACAACGACCACTCCAAGTGCACCAAGTACTAATAATTTTGTTCATGGTCGTCATTCCATTGGAGGCACTGGTTATCCCTCCCATGCTCAATTTACTTCCTTCTTAACTCCCTACTCTAGAAAGAGAAAAATATTTGGTCGTGAACCAAACATCAGAATTTCTGAAGACAACTCAATGACCACAGATGATCAAAATAATGCCAGTGCCATAACTTATCGATCACCTTTGGTTAAAACTGATTTCATTGGTTGGTGTATTAAATATTTTAATGATCATTGTGTTAAATATTTGGAAAATAGTGATCCCGAAAGTGCCAGTAATGCAGAAAAAGAATGGCGTTTAATGCGCAATTTTTACGTTAGACGTGCAGCAGTTGACGAGCTTTCAACTACTGATCCAACAAGAACAGTTGAGCAAATATTTTTACAAAAAAATTCATCAGTTCCATCATTAATCCAATTTCATCCTTATGAACCTCATTTAATTATTGCTGAACGTGAATCATTTAGTGTTTGGACGTGGGATTCAAATAGTAACAACAATTTCGGCTACAGCAGTGGCCATTCAACTCCTGGCTTATTGGGAACTTTTTCTAATGCCAATTCATATACAAGTCGAATAACATCATCCCAATTAGTCAACTCTCATGATATAACTATACTTTTGCTTGCATGTGATGACGGTAATGTTAAAGCATGGAAAATTCACAGTCTTCAACAAGACAATTCACCTCCTCAATTGGTTACTGCCTTTCAAATTTTGAACGAACTTACCCGACCTCCAGGATCAAAAGGAGGGTCTGGTACCAAAATTTATTGGAACCAAAAATCATGTCATTTAATCGGAGCTGGTGATTCAAAAACAATACGAATCTGGGATTCAGAAAGAGAAGCAATGCTTCGCGATTTACCCACTGGAGCTGATTGTAGTGTTACAAGTTTAAGTTCTGACGGAGCCATTATTTGTGCTGGCTGTCAAGACGGAACTATCCGTCTGTTTGATGAACGATGTTCCCCTAATGATACTAGGATACTCACTTTTCGTGATCACTCTAAATGGATTGTCAGTGCCCATCTTTACCCTGACAATCAAAAGCATGTTAATGTACTCTCTGCTAGTACCGAAGGGATTGTTAAATTTTGGGACAAAAGGATTCCTACTGCCATTAAAACTATTAACGTAGCACAAGGTCTTACCTCCATGGCTGTGCATCCAGAAGCCGACGTTTTTGCTTGGTATTTTCATCATTATATTATCAAACTATTTTATCTTGTCAAACAATTAATTAAAATTTTCTATTCAATCTCTTTTTTTTATAGTGGCACATCATCTCAATCAATTCATATTTACACTCTCGATGCCATTCCTGGCAGTGTTATCAGATACCATGACGGGTTTATGAGTCAAAGAATAAGCCCAATTAGCTGTTTAGCTTATCATCCCCTGAGAGTAAGTTTATTTTAATTACATGAAAACTTGCTAGTTTATTAGTTTATTCAACTATTAACATTTTTCAATTCTCTTCTTCATTAGGTCAATCTGGCAGCAGGCTGTAAAGATTCATACATTTCTGTTTATTCATCACCAAAAGTTTATTAACTCTAATTAAACTTAGCCATAGTGATTAAAAAACAAGATAATGATTGTAAAAAAAATCAATTTTTTCAATGATCTTGTGTAAAAAAACGTTAGAAGCTGAACAAAAACTAAAAGAAACAACGAATTAAAAATGATAATCAATGCAATTCATGGGCATAAAAGTTAAAGGGATACATTTTTGTCTATCTTCAATAAAATAAATCCGCCAGCCCCTTAAGCCCTGATTTATTCTTATATGAAACAATTCGATTTTTCATCATTTCATCCATCAAAGCGTGCTATTATAATTTTTCGTATCAGGATTGTTCAGGATTCACTTAGTTTATTGGCAAAATCATATGACAGATATCATATCTATTAATTACTCGAGATTATCCAAGTTAATCTAAGGTATTACCTTAATAAAAATTATGTTAATAATGATTTACCTCATTGGAGATAAACAAGCGCGTCAAATGCATTATAAAACACAACCCATAATATATGTTATATTATATCTTGACCAAAATAAAACCTTTTCTATCCTCAACAATTGTAAATGATTGTTAACATTAAGATTTAATGAATTTAAGCTTTAATCAGTCAAATCTGATAAATTTAACCATTAATGATTGATTGATACAATCTTATGACAAACATCACTTGAAAGAACTTGAATTGAACCCATAAGAATTTCTCAAATTTTGATACTCCAAGAATAATCTAATCATTTATGTTATAATTAATGCAATTAAATGAAACACCATTCAAAGGATCACCATGTGAGGTTTAGTTGTTACCGAAGCATCACAAATGCTACAAAAGTCAGTGTTTCAGTTGGTTGATTCAGTAAAGATGGAAGATCGAACACATTTTTTCTTCTTAAATTAACTTGTCTATTTTTTCACTTGATAATCACTAATCATTGAAAAGACTGAGGCCAAGTACAAAGTGTCAAGACAAAAAAGTAACATTAAATACATAGTAATCGGTTGAAGTGAAAGAAAAAAATTGAACAATGAAAAGCAGTTGAGTTTTTTAGATTTTCAGAGATCCACAAAGATTGTCAATGAAATACTGAAGGATGGGAAGGAAGTCAGTTGTGTGTTGAATTCACAGCTTTTGTCTTTTATCAATTTTCACTTGAATTGATTAAACGACAACTCAATGAAACATTATCTAAAAATCTTAATAGTAAAGATCAAGTATAAACAAACAATGATTGGACTTGCGGCTTGACCACAAGCAGCAACAGTTAATTGAAAATTGTTAAGAAAGTGAAAGTGAAATTTATCATTTGCAAGTTAAACTTAATTGATTAGTTTGATCATTATGAAAGTCTATTTTTCCAACTGTAGAGTTTTTAAAAGCTCAAATTACTTGTAAAATCATCGTTGCCATCATGATTTAGCATAGATTTGCTATTGCTGTGTAAAAAAACCTCCATCAGCAGTTGTTTATGCTCTTTGGATCAACTTGATCTCTGGTGTAACTGCAAATCGATTTGAGCTTAATTGTGTTTCAATATCCACTTTTATCAATCGGTTTACTTTCAACCAAGAAAATTGAAGTCTATTCAAAAAATTTCAGTTTTGCTTTTAACCATCTTTGCTAAATCTTTGATTATTCAAAATAATCAAAATGCTTGTGTTGAACTTTGTAACAATTGACTTGAATTTGGATTGAAGCTTACACGGACAAATTGTTATTCTAATGAAACAATTGAATGATGTGTATTTAAAATAAAATGAATTGAAAATTTATTTCGGTTTTATTTGCTGCAAATGGATTAAATTTTAGATGACACATTTCAATCTGATACAATCAGAGTTAACCACGGTATGGCAAGTAGATACGATTTTGAGGTCTGTTAATAGTTCCTCGGGTAGAAATATAATGAGATCTGCAACAATAATCATCAAAATATTGTCCGATATTAAAATGGGCAAGTATTTCATTTTTTCGTCTGTCCACACGCGCCAAATGTTCTTCATCAAATATGATTCGACGAGACTGAGCAAGAAGATATGATTCAAAATCTGAATTGAATATTCCAGCTATTTTATCCAAAAAAGCTCTGTTGCATGTATGAAGACAGAGATATGGGCTGCATTCAGTTTCGTCAACTAAATCTTGATGCACCAAAAAATATTCAACATAAACTTTATCCAACTCAAAGGGTAGTTCTAGCATTATATTGAATATGAAGCAATCGCCATCTGTAAAGAAATGATCTCGCATATCTTGCATCTTGAAACCACTGTGTAATGAATAAGAAAAGATGAGTCCATTAAAGCATAACTCACTAATAATACAATGAATTGTTCAAGAATTATAATTACCAAGAGTTCCAGTGATAACGTAAGATTGAAATGTCCGGTTCGAGACTGTGCGCAAAAGGATTTTCAGGATAAGTCAACCCATTACTCGGCTTGTTAAACGTTGCATATTCAATCTTTTCACTTGGTATCCTTGTGAATGTCGAAAGCTATGAATAATGTTAATGATTAAATGTGTTCAAAGAAAGCAAAATTGTATTTACCTGTTCAAGTATTGATTTATGAATTTCCTCACTTTCCTCTGCATTCCAGTCAATAACAATATCTTGATAATCATCCAATAGTTTCACTCTTATTGTAGCTAAAAACAACCGAAGTAAAAGTTATTCAATAATATAAAGCATCAAAATTCAAGACTCACTTTTATTGGAATTACTATCATTTTCATTCATTTTGATAATTTAAGTTGAAAACAATCCAGAGACAAAGTACAAGGCAAAGGCAATAGAAAGTCTGAGCTGAAATTCACAAAAAAGACAAGTGGACCAAAGTTGACTGGTCTGACCAGTTTAGTTGAAAAGTTGTCCGAGAATCCGTCGACTCGCTCAGTTAGAGGTTCACTGTAATTTTTTACAAGTTTCCGAAGTAAATTCCGGTTATTTCAACCATCTGTTTTACGCTATTCGCGCCTTTGGAAGAGCGAGTTCAAATACAAAAAGTTAACCATAGAACCTGTAAGCTTTTAGCTGAAACTTTCCCGCTACTATGGCCTTGCCTTAATAACCAGACAATGTAAAATTACTAGCTTCTGGTCTGTGAAAATTCGTTTAGTGTCCATCATGTTTATGTTCGTTCAAACAAAAATTTAGTCAAGAAAATGTTTGATTGTTGAGAATCAAAGAATCCAAAGAAACTATTTTCAAATTATTCACCTCCATGATGATTCCAATTCTTCATAGTTTAGAATCCATTGTCCCGAGTTAAACCAAAGATTAAATGGTTTGTTAAAGACAAAAGAACAGCAGAGAAAGCCTTTGGTTTGAACAACAGGGAAAGCCTTTTGCATTGTAAATGTGTCTTCAGCATGTTACCTAATTTTGCTTCACCAGTTGTAAATAGAGCAAACAAAAGTCATGATTTATTCGGAAATGTGTGTAATTAACCCTTAGAATGAAAGATCGAACGAAGAGGGATGTTTGAGCAAAAAAATGGTTCCATCAAGAGAGGCAAAGCAAAGATAAACTATTTGAAATGTCTTTATTTATATTATCTTGTGGACTCAAGTTGAGAAGCAAAACCTCGACAAGTCAAAAGCTATCTTCATCATCTCATCATCTCATCATTTTCCTCTCTTTCTCTTCCCTTTCTTGGACTTGAAAATCTTTGGGATTCCTTGTGAAAACGGAAACAAGTCAAAGGAGAAGGTAAAACTGCAAGGTCAGTGGCGTAAAAGAGACACGCGAACTCTTAAAGGAAAGTAGAGAGATGGTGATAAAAGGAAAGCTTAGATGACGGCAATGATGGTGAAGTTGTAAAGGCACGCTCATCCTTCAAGACCTTTGGTGACCTGCAATAAATGATGAAAGCTGATCAAGAATAATCCATTGAAAGCTTACATAAACAAACAACACAGGCAAAGAGTCTAGACAATAATTGTTTTTGATTATTGTTTTCAACTCAATCGTTTTTAATGATTGTTTCCTTTCAAGAGCATCACATTTCACTTTTGCCCATTTTTTGTGCACAAATCAGTAATCTATTAATGTTTACATTTTCACAGCAAATGTTTTCGCCAATATTAATCAGCCATCACGGCATCTAGAAATAATCTTGTAATAGTAATTTGTGTTGATGAAATATTCCAGCTAAGGAAATCCATTGCTGCATTACAAGTTACACTCAAGCTTGAAATGGTGTTTTTCCCGAGACTTGTCCATCGTTTCAATACAGTTGGACTTTAAGTTAGATAAATTTGCTTATTACCTGGAAATTGAATTTGGTTGAAAAAAGTGACAAAAGCATTTTTGTTTACAACTTAACTTTCTGTTTATTTATTGCCATTTTCCCGTACGAACCGATTCTGGATCCGAAGAACCGATTTGTTTTCTCGGAGTTTCCAGAAATATCGGTGATTATTTTCAATTGATATATCAATGTATATCAATGAAAGGGAATCCAGAAAAGATGATAACTACACTTAACAATTGCAGAAAGAATGATGAAAAAAGAAGTGAATGAAGATGACAAAAGCTGATGAATAATTGAAATACGATTTACAGTAAAATCCATCAAATAGGTATTAATAATATGTATTATATATTAACAATTAACCTTCTCTAGACAGCTAAAAACGATTGTAAACTACCAATAGATTAAACGAAAATGATGATAATGATGCCAGAGAGAAAGAGAAGAAAGATAATTGCTTGATTTGAGCAAGATTGTTTAAGTTGGTTCATCGACAATTAGAATTAACTTCTGTAATTGGTAAAGAAAAAAAAGAGAGCAGATAAAAATGAGAAGAGGAACCAAAAATTTGAAGATTTGTTAAGAGCCAGATCCTGGTGATCCATTTGCTCCATTATTTGAGCCTGTTAAATCTTTATCCAAACTTTGATTGGTGTGGTCATCATTTTGCTCATTTGATTCACCATTACCATCATCAACTGCAACCGAATTAATTGGACCTTGATTACCTTGATTGCCATTGCCATTTGTACCATCAACACCATTATCATTATCATTTACAGGGTGAACTACAGAGAAATATCGATCTGAAATAATCAAAGAATTAATGAATGTTGGCAAAAAAATACAATACGAATGGTCGGTTAAATGAAGAGATGGACAAGTTAATCAAAATTTCATTTTCTAATTCTAATTGTTATTTCAGTAATTTTAGTTTTCATTTCATTTGAGTAAAAAAAGAAACAAGGAATTAAGGGATTTTTTTGCTATGTATGAACATGATTGCATCCACAAAAAAACATGATAATGATCTAGAATTAATTAAATTGCACAAAAAGTGATATTGATAGAGATGAGTTACAAAATTGCAAAGGTCATGCTTAGTTTGTTGCTTATAGTTGCATCTTTTGAAGAGAGTTTGGTCAATTTGTTGATTTCATTGATTGAATTTAAATTACATTGTCACTTTGTTTAAATTCAGTTTTTTGATGTATTTCAATTTTCTTGCGATTTTTTTTTGGTAATAAATTTAGATGTTGTTAGTATGGTTTGTATCATCATGCGTTGTGTTTGTTAATCGTTAACTCTTATCATTAACTTTCATCGTGAGCACATAGATGAGGTTGGAAAATAACGATGACTTGCTGTACCTTCAACGCCAATAATACCAGGTGGTGGATCCATATCTGGATGACCAACCATCGATGAAGAGCCCATTAAACCAGCCATAACACTGTAATCAAATGTTTCCTCTATCGATATGTAACCACCTCCATTACCTCCAGGACCACCGTTAGCGCCTCCACTTCCCCCTACTCCTGAAGTGGAGGAAGAAGAGGAAGACGATGACCAACGAGCAATAGTTGGTGACCTATGACCAACATTGCCATTTCCTCCTCCCTCTATGTTCAGGCCACCTCCTATATTGTGACCACCTACACTTGTCCTAACCACTGAAAGTGAATGTCCATTTCCAGATGATTGCAGGTTTGATATGGATCCATTGGGATGAACATTATTACCAGTAAACATGCTCATGTTTGTTGGACTGATTATTCCGCTCATTCCTCCCATGTTTGCATAATTAAATAGCTAAAAAATGAAAGAGCAAAAAAAGATAATTATTAATTTATGAAAGAAAGTTGAAGACGTTGAGAGTAATGAAAGTTTCACTTGAATTGCCAAGGTTTTATCCTTTAATCATTTTCAAGTTTAAGTGCAGAATTAAAAATTCTGATAGTAATACTATTACTATTTTTTAAAATTGACTAACTGTAAAGCTAGACGCAAAGGTTAGGTCAACGTCTTTAAGGCTTTATTTTGAGAAAGAAAAGAAGCGAGGAAAAAAAACTATTTTAAGAATGAGAAGAATCACTTTCCTAAGTTTCACTTTTTTTTCTCAAGACATTCGTCGGAAGGACTGCCTGAGGAGACTTTACTTTATCCCTCTTCTTTTCATCATCTATCTGATAATCTCTCTTTCTCCCTTCAATCACATTTGAGATGATTTAATTGTTCTCACGAGATGTCTCATCCTCTCTGAATAGTCTCATTACAAATGAGCCATTACAGAGGATAAATTTTTCAATCCAATGGAGACAAAGGAAGAGGTGAATGTAGGAAAATTCAAGTTGAATTGAATCTAGAGGTTGATGGTGAACGATTTCAAATGATAGATTCAAGGGTTGTTACGGTTGTAAGCTTGTATTACCTGAGTAACAGGAGTATGAACATGAAAAGAGTGATCAGCTCTTGTCAAGGTAGTGAAGGGGCTCATCACAGCTCTATTATTGCTTATAGTTTCTATTGAATGTCCACCAGATGTTGGAGATGATGTGTTTATTGAGGAGGAAGAGGAAGATGAGGGGACACTTGATGGTGATGCTGATGATGTTACATGATGAGATGATGAAGAGATGGGAGGTGGAGTAGGTGTTGGATCACGAGAATCACTTCCTCCACTTTGATTAGCTGTGGATACAGCTTCAGATCGATGTATTAATACAGATCGATTGGGTATCACTATGGGTCCACTTGCATCAGATCCTGGTGTTCCTGGTGCTCCTGGATGACATGGTGATGATGGTGATGATCCACCTAATTCGGGTGAACAGGGATTCATCAATTGAGATGATCGAATCAATGGATTAGGTGAAGCTAAGAAAGGGTAATTAAAATGTGTTAAAGTTTGTGTTATGGAGTCAAACAATGAGTTAGTTTAATTTGTTAGCAATAAGGATTCATCTAAATTAACCATTAACTTGTTTAGTCAGATTAGTTATTAAGTTTTCATTTAATCTGACTCACCAAAGTCTAAGCCAAGTAAAGAGTAAACTGAAGCATCTATGGTTAATATCTTACCGATAATAGGAACTGGACGTGCCATTGGAGCTGGAGGTGGAGGAGGAAGCATGGAAGTCATTTGGTTATAGTATTTAGAAGGACTTGACCTAAGGTCACCAGGTTCATCATCCTCAGGTTCAGAGCATCCTCCGTTATTATCATTATTATTATTGCCACTGCCACTGTTATTGCTATTATTACCCCCGCCACCATCAGCTCCATTATCAGATCCTCCGTGGTTAACAGTTGGGTGATGATGAGAATGATGAGGATGATGATGTTGAGATGATTCTTGGCAAACAAGATTAACAAAATCAGAAAGTGCATCACCATTCTCTTGATATTTACCGGGTAAACCATAATAAGTTGTGCCGAAAGGACTTCCAACTGATAAGTTTGATGATAAACTGGAACCTGAATGCTGATGACCAGAAAGGGTTGACATTGAAGGTGGACCTGGAAACAAAAACAAGATATTAAGTATCGGCTCGAAATAATTGCGCTCAAAAATTTGCTGATTAATTTAAAACTAGCAAACACATTTCTTTTGTAATTATATCGTAATATTTCTCTAACAAGACTGTGAGACTCATTTTAGATTTAGAAAGTATAAACTGAAGAAACATTTCAATTTAAACTTGAAAGCCTCGATAAAAATTCAATGCAAATTAATCAAAGAAACTTTTTCACCAAACTCATGATAAATACGAGATGAAATTTATAAGATTAACAAAATCTTAATGAGAGCAAAGGCTTTTATTTTGGTTATATTTCACTTGATTTTACTTTTTTTATTAGATTTATTTGACTAATAAAATGATTGGATCATGATCAAATTCATTCAATGTCGCTTTGTTATCAATCTAGTCTGAATGAAATTCATTGATTGAGCTAATTTAGCAATATCTATAACCATTGGTGATCACTGCTGATTTGATTGAAAATGAATTGAATCGTTGAATTGTTAAAATTGTTATTACCTTCTCTTGACCTGTTTGCCTGATGAGAATGGTGAGTATGATGCGGATGATGTAAATGATGTTGGTGAATGTGAGAAGGATGAGATTGTTGGTGTTGATGCTGGTGTTGTTGTTGATGTTGATGAGGATTGTGAGTTTGGTGTGTTTGATGATGACCATGAATATGACCCTGATGATGATGATGAGAGGTTCCATGAATATGATGACTATGTTGCTGTTGCTGTTGTTGTTGTTGGTGTTGGTGGTGGGGATGATGATGATGCTGATGATGTTGAGATGATGGTGAACCTACAGATAAAGGTGAAGTATCAGAAGAAGAAGGGCCACAATTCCCACCACCTCCATTTGATTCCGTTTTAACTTTAATAGATATAATATGAGGTGAATGTAAGCTTTGAGAGTTTGTTTCACCACTTATATCTATTCCCTGCCAACTTGAGTTATCTCCATAATAGGAAGCTAAACTTTCCACAGGTTCAGTTTCACCGGATTGATTATTACCAGAAGGTAAGCGACGAGCCCGTTTGGAAGGTGGTCCTCCACTTCCTACACCACCTCCACCCTCACCAGAAGACGACGATGATGTTGGTGGGGAAGTAGCTTGTAGCATACCACTAGATGTTGCAGTCACAACCACAACAGATCCTAAATTATTGGGGCTGCTTGGTCCTGATCTGTCTAACATTAAATTTCCATGATGATGTCCAATTGGTTGTCCAGTTAAATGGTGATATTGTTTGGTTGGAAGGTCACTTGTTGGGGAGCAAAGTTTCACATTTTGAGGTTCACTAAACACAATTAAAATGAGATTTGTTGAGACCAATAAACAGATAAAAATAACACTCAATTGGTTCAGGTAACTAACCTACAAAGGCCCAGTGATTGACTCATTTGAAGACCTTGACTGGACAATGAATTAACCACGTTAAGTCCGATTGGACTGCACTGAACTTGCATCTCAGGTATCGGGGAATAACTGTCAAGAAAATAGTAAACATAATTAATAAATTAACGAGACTAATATGCAAAAATTATAAAAACAAAAATATAAAAAGGACGTTTCAAGTTTCAGGCAAAAATAAAATCATAAATACAAAAAGCCCGCTCAGATCTTAACAAAGAGCTATTTTTAATAACACAAGTAATCCAAATCTTTTATTGATTGAAATTAGACATTTGCAATTAACAATAGTTAATGAAGTAAAAAAGATAAAACAATTGGAAAAATATTTAATTTATTTAATAACAGATTTATGTAAGTTCAAACTGCCCGGCACTGGCCATGTGTTCATCATCTGTTACATAAAGACAAAGGCGTAAGATATTTTATGACTTTCTATTGCATCTTTATGCAACTAAATTTTTATTTTCATAAAAGCTCGTCGTATATTTACTTTAATCACAATGAAACAATTTATTTATTTAACAGTTTTAGAGGCAATTTAAGTGTTGTGCCTTTATTTTATTGTATTTAATCAATCTCGAATATTGTTTGCATCGACACTGGATAAATTTAACTCGTATTTGTGTAAATTTTAAACTCATCTTTAACCTTAAATTTGCAATGGAGAGGTAATAGAAGATCTTAACGCTTGTTCATTTCAATTCTGCATTCAACCTGAACTTTTATCCTTTTCAAGATCTACAAAACTATCTTTAGACCAGTTACGAGTATAAAGCTATGTTACATAGAACCAGCTCTAAATGAGACTATACTGTTCACCGGGTCATCATCATCATCATCTTCTTTCAATCTGAATAAGTTCAGTGAACTTTCTTCAACTGATAAACCATTTTTACAATGTAAGTAACATCAACATGATCCTAATCTCATCATTATGCAGAAATAACGATGAAAATATTTACCCAAATCAATGTGAAATATTGTTAAACAATAAACTTAACGATTTCCTTTTTTTTGACGAAACCTTTTCAGCTTCAGCCTTGACCTTGACTTGGATCATATTATATAATGGACACCGGAAGCACTCATACGATGAATTAATCCAGATTAAGTATCAAAGTTTATCTTTTTGTTTTGTGAGTGAAAAAAATTAAGCCATGAGAGAGAGAAAGATGAAAATGAAGGAAATACTTTTCTTTAAGTTTACTTTTTTTTCTGTTAAACTGCATAACATCATCATCATCATCTACAGCAACATGATTTTTTTCATTGCTTGCAAAGCTGTCAAGTGTGTATATAAGATGTAGTTACAAGTAACACACAAAAAAAAGATAAACTCATCTTCATTAACAGTTGCCTCCTACTTTCTGTAAACCGTCATGGCTTCCGGTCCACGGTTAGTGATTGGGGGAGGATGAAGTGGAGATACACAAAAAATAGCAGTTTGACTTTAAGAGTCAAGCAAGACTGGATATAAAAGACCAACTCAAAACTATTTCCGGTTATAACAATTAAATCTCTGTTATTTTCATTCACCATTTACCGTCTTTTTTCTTCTCATCAGGATAATCATCATCTCATGAGATCGACTCTCCAAGGAATCATCAAAATATCATCTTCAAGTAAAATCTTGGACCAAACTTGGGAACGAAGAGAGAAGTTAAGTCTCATGGAATGCTTTTTTTCATAAAATTTCATTCAAAATCCATCAAGAGTCTGTAGGTAAGTGAAAATGATTGCAAGCTTGAATGTTAGTAATTATGATGGTTTGTAGGTTAAATTTGTTGATATAAAATGGTTTTTTTTGCTAATTTTTGTTTTATTTTGAAATTTTCAGAATCTCAAAGAGTAGATCTCAAAGTCCCTGATTTAATGGCAATTTGCTGATTATGCTTGAGCTTAATGTTGACGGTGAAATGCAATGATTCTGATGATACTGGTAAAATAATTACAAGTCTGGTTCATATTTCAATAGCCTGCAACCGGAACCGAAACACTCATGTTTTTTGGTTGCTATTGCATGGAACAATGGTTCAAAAAAGGAGAATAAGAAGAAGATGATGATAAAAAGAGATAAAGGCAAAGTAAAAGTAAAGGAGAGGAGAGGAGAGTCAAGAAGGAGATTCCTTTATCCTCATTCCGTTCTGTCTAAAAATAATACTCAAGGAACTTTGCTGATGAAGAAAAAAGTATAAAAAAATAAATAAAAAAGACAAGAGGCGAGGAAGACGAAGAAGAAGAGATAAAAGAGTAAAAGTCATCTGACAAGAAGAGCAATACTCAGAGCTTTACTTCAGAATTTTTATGTCACCAGATAAAATTTCAAATGAGCGATTCTCTTCTCGCATTTCTCATCCTCATCATCATCACCGTTTCTCTAGTTTCTTTGTTTCACTCTTTATCTTCATTCTCCTTTCCTACCCAAGGATTTTGATTGATGGAGCACATTTCAAGGAATCAGACATTGATAATCAAAATAGCGACCCAATCAGTCAACATCATCAACCTCGCACTTCATTTTCAATTTACCAATAATCATAGAGAAAAGGATCAATCTAAAATTGAAACACAAATCGAATGGTCCTTTTTGTATTTTTGTTTTACAATTAATTCATTTAGATTGGTTACATACCCTTGTTGATATGTGCACGAAGGCTCAGTTTTTATCAGGTGTATTGGAACTCCTTGAGGTGGACTTGTTACTGTTCCCGAAGATGAAGCCGAGGAGGAAGAGGTTGGATGAGCGGTCATCAGATTTCCATTTCCACCAGACCCTATTGGGGTCACAATGGAGGCTACAGGGAATCAGCACAATCACGGCTCCCATTCATCGTCACAATCAACACAACAAGTCAATGTGTAGATTACAATTTGAATATTAAACATGCTAATCGAAAGTCAAATTTCCACTTTTAACCTTTCTTAATCTTAATCTTGAGCTGCAATTTAAATCTTGATTTAACCTAACCTTACCTTCAAATCAACTTTCATTCAAATCCTTCGATCAGCATATTTTTATCCAAATTTTATAGCTTCCCATTAGAATCAATTTTCATTTTATTTGTGAATTAACTGGATTGATCTTTGATTAATGACCCTAAGTTTGACTAGACGAAATTAATTTAGCTAATTGTTTCAAATTAGATCAACTAAAAAAGTTGTCTGAAAGTGTAAGTTTTAAAGGAAAATAAGATGAAAAAAACAATTCTTTCTAATAAAGTAATCAAAATCATTCCCTATTTTGATCTTAATTAGTCTGTAACCTAAAGATTCTTTTTCTCCTTCTGATTCTTGTAACCCTTTTCAATGTTTCACATCACTAATTATTCTTGAGCAATCATTTAGCGACTGATTTCAGTGAGGATTAGCTTTTAACAAATTGAAATTGAAGCCAAAAAGGACATCGTCAGTTGATTCAGTTGTTACGCTGGAAAACTTGAAGTAGCGCAAAAAAAACAGTGATGAACCTAAAGACTAATATAATCAGTAAAGCAAGAATGATCGATTGATTCTAATGTTTAAGCTAAATTAATTAACCATTAATCTAACAATTTTCACTAATTAACTAACTTCAGTGACAATGATGAAAGAAAAGGATTTATTTCAAAATTAAACATGAACCATTATCGAGTCCACATTTTTCAATCTAACCTCAAACCTAACCATTAATCAACATCATTTATTGTTGTTGCTGATTGTTGACATTTTTTTTGCTTCATATATTTGCGTTTGATAAAATTAGCTTACCTTTGGATAAACGATATAATTCAGCTGAAGTGAAAACTCCAGTTGCTAATATTGTATTGCTATTAAAATGTATTGTATTATTAATGTTGATTGTTTCATTTTCATCTTGTTCACCATTAGTATCACAAGTGGACTCCATATTACCTCTCAATGACTCTAGAATCAGAAATAAGACAATTAATCAGACAATTTATCTCACACATTATTTCAAGGTAAATCATTGACACATCATCATGATCAACTGAATTGAAAACAAACAAAAGATTTGCTCAAACAATTTCAAAGCCTTAAAATTTGCTTCAACATTGAAAGGTAATGATAAAAAAAGCTCAGCTTGAAATGTTAATCAGCGATGACTTACAAAATTATTATATTTAAATAATAATTGACGTTTAAACTAGTAAATCATCCTTTTTTAACTTGTAAATGATTCATATGCTCAAGATTAAAGTCAGTAAATCATTGAAAAACTCAAGATTTACATGGAATCAACATTTTTCACTTTGTAACATTTACAAATAACATGATCCAGTGTTGATCATCGCTTTTTTACATCCAGTCTTTGAAAATAGGAATCAAAGGGAAACTCAAAGCCAATAGGTTAACATTATATGATAACACAACCCAACAAGGTTGGTCCTCTTTTTTTGGGATCCTGTTTTGGGTGACAAACATTAACATTAACCAATCGCAGGTAACAATTTACAGGTAAAACTAGTTTTGCGCAGTTATTAAATTTCCATGCGCAGTTAACTGTCAATTTACAATTTGATTGTAAACAATTTAATGGTTTTAAATATTGGATGGAGTTAATAGTGAGGCGATATTAAGTTACTAGGAAATTGGCATTCAAATGGTGTGAGGTGCAGATTAATGTGGTAATTGAATTGAATTAAATTGCGGTTTTGATGAAGTGGTTAGTAAATGATTAATATTAATAATATTAATACAAAATAATAGAGGGAAATTAAGCCAAATAGCCTTAGGATGTTGTTACTTTTGGCGGCTTGAAGCCAGGGAAATGATATAGTTGGCTTGGTGTTGTTAATGAGCCACAAATTATTTAACTAACTTGTGCCAATTCAATCTATCAATGAAAACTATACAGGAAAATAACGATCAAGGGTAAAATATAATCAATTAATTTGACATATCAACAGTAAACAAATTAATTTACCTTAGATATATTGCAAATAACGAAAAATATATCATCAATTCAATGTTGGAAAACAATATTTTTTAAGATTGAAAAAAGGTGGAAAACTAACAGCTGATTAACCCAAAATGCTTTGATTTGTTTTGATCTTTTTTTCATCTTCAATTCTGAATAATCTTGACGTTATTCATTTTATTGGATTGTGGTTTTAAGTATGTGTTGTACTTACCATGAGAGAATATGTAATTAGCTAAATAAAGATCAAGTTCTCGAACGGAAACATTAATGTGATATGGATTTACACATAGATTAGGATGAGAACAGTCCAGAGATTTTTCAAGTCTCTCTCCGTCTGTTGACTCCAATGGTATTGCTTTAAATAGGATAACCATAACCAAATCTAGTCGCCAAACCTGATCAATCAAATAATCAGTAATTAAACAAAAAGAGAAGAGAAAGATAATCAATCATTTGGTAATACAATAATACGAATACGAATAGACTAAGTTATGTACAATAGGAACAAATGAAGACCCATTAGCTTATCAAGAGAAACGAGGAAAACAATAAGTCTCTTGAAGCTCAACTAAGCATCAATCTTGCAACAAAAGGTCTAACACGATTGATTAGATAATGTATACTTAATAATTAACGGGAAATCAATGTTCCTATTCATAGAAATGGTTAAATAAACTAAATAGCTTACCTTGTCAGCCTGGCGAAGACAATCGATCCTCCTCATTTTACCTTTTTGATCGGGATTACTGAGGACACAGTTTATCCTTTTCTTTCCAGTTATTCCAAGAACAAAATCTTCCCTACATTCTTGTGTTATGTCTTTCCGTAATTTGCCTAATAAACGAGATGCCCATTTTTGTTTAACTTCATTCTTTTCACTCTGTAATTAAAAGATAAAACATTAAAAATTAATAAAATCATAATCACATAAAAAACAAAATTTGAAAAAGATATAAAAATTAGATCAAGCTGACATCTATGAGATTAAATTTGCGTGAAAATGGCTTGGAAAAGACTTGGTCGCCATTTGTAGGCTTAAATGTGATCCTTTTACGATCTAATGAAAAGACTGTTTTCTTGATGAAAATGTTTTCTAATTATTATTGTTTTTATTAGTATTGTGACAAGTCATATTAAATTAAATGTTTGACAGTTTATGATTTTAACGTTTTTTGAAATGTGCAATCGTCAACAGGATTTTTATTTGCAAAGGTAAAGTACAAAGAAAGAGAATCTCATTTCTTATTTAGCTTGTTTGCCTTCTTTCCTTACAGATTTTAGTTAAAGGTTTATTACTCAAGACCAGCTACTGCAGCATAAAAATGTTCAGTTAACTGTGGATCGTAAGCAGAATCAGTTTTGTGTATAGCTGATGATGATGATGATTATGGTGAAGATGGTAAGGATGGTGAGGATGGTGATGAAGAAAGATGAAGTTTAAAGATGATCCCTTAAAATAGATTGGTGAAGTGAATTTATCTACTAAGACGAAACCAGATAGAAGTAGATGGATGCTTAAGATTTTAAGTTTCAAACTTTTCAAAAAGGATAACTGATCATAAAAATGTCATTTACCAGCAAAGACATTCCAAGTCATCCTCTTTGCTGAGAGATGAGCAATCCTTAAGGATGAGGATGATTAGGATTACCTTCCCACTTTGCAGTTATATTTTTCATTCCCTGATTACCCGTCAATGGATAGACCTCATGATTATATTAAACACAATAAACCACGAAATTTTCAATGCTAATCTGGTCTTAGATGCTGCTGTTTCAACTGTGATTGGGTTATCAAAATATTTGAACATCAAGATTGTCCAGAGAGCATTTGTTGTAATTGTAATCGCCTCGGTTGTTTAAGTTTTATTCATATTTGATAAAAAACAAGATTGGTTTTGGGATTAGTCCAAAAAAATCATCTGTTAATTCATGCTGTTCATAAATCTTTCTGTTTACGATTATTTCAGATTAATTTTCAAAGATGTTTTCATTTTGGTTTGGTCAATGGTTAAGGTTGATACAATTGAGTATTCATCAAACGGTAGAGATGAAAGTTACATCTTGATTGTTGAAGTATATTGAATAAATTATCAACTTGAATTTGACAAATCGTGTTAAGTGAGTAAAATTTGGTTTAAATCCAAATGCTACCATATTTTACCCAACCAATTATAAGAGTTAACAGTTAGGGAAGAAAAAAAATGACTTAATGAAAAATTGTTTCTTGTCAATTAAAATATGAAATGAAAATAATGAATGAATTTTGGTATTATATTCATGAGTGAATGGCGAGAATGATGAGCCTGGAAAGGGTGAAAAGTATTGACGATGAGCAAGTAACAGTTAACAGGATAAAAGACTGACAAGCAAAGCAAATATTACAATTGAGTGTGACTTGAAGGATGAAATTCTGTTCCGAAGTTGAATATGATGTAAAAAGTCTGACTTATTTGTGAAAACATCTTTCGACTTTTTTTCTCGGTTTGCTTTAGATGATTCTTGAAATGATGTTGGTGATGAAAAGAGACTAGAAGAAGACGAAAATGAAGAAATAAAAAAGGAGAAGTTATTCTGGGCTGAGGTCGTATGAGATGTAAAAAAAGAGGATGAACAAGATGAGATGGCGAAAGAGAGACAGAGAAGAAAGATGGATGATGTTAACTGTTTTAGTTTGAGGCTACCAGGAGTTAAGAAAGAATCAGATTATCTTCATTGATAAATCCTTTCTTCTTCGAGGGAGAAACCAAAATGCGAACCCAGAAACAACAAGCTACAGTAACTATCAATGGAAAAGAAAGAAAATGATTAAGAAAAGGGAAAGATGAACAAGATAGAGAGTGAGATGAGGTAAAAATGAAACTATGAAGATGTGGTTGAATCGAGCAGACAAAACAGCTAAAAAAAGGGAAACATTTTGATTCGTATCACAGTCATTTAATATGCTCACTTGACTCTTCTGTTTTTTTACCTCTCTCACTTGAAGATGATAATGATAATGATAAAAGATGATGGTGATGAAGATGAAGATGATGGTGATGGTGATGATGTTAGTAGAGGCAACCGACAGCGAAGGTAAAATTGGAATCAAGCCTAAACCATCAAGAACGATTTCCACTTTACAGTAAAGCTTTGTTTCCTTCTTCAACACTTGTTTTCCTAATGTTTACTGTCCATTTGAGTAACTGTTGATTATAGCGATGATAATAAATGATGAGATTGATGATGATAATGTTGAAAATGATTAAAGTAGCCTTACAATTTGGATAATTAAAGTAAAATTGAATAAAAAACAATCAACCGAGAAGAAAATTTTTGTTAAATTTTAAGGCTTAGGCCTAAGTAAAGCTTCACAGACGTTAAAGGGTTTGTCTTTAAATTACGTTATGTAAATATAAATGTAGGAAACCTTTGATTTAATTGTAACTTTAGCTATTAAAAGATAAATTAAACCATTTGTGTCCCCATATTTTGCATGTTGAAGTGTTTTTGATTAATTCTGTTGGGAGTTTTATACATGAGAAAACGCAAAATCTCGTCAATTTGGGTTTTTTAACGATACTTCATTAACTTTGATTGATGAGGGAGGCAAAGGTTTTTGTTGCATCTTAAAGATGAAGCTAAGAGGAAGGAAGGAAGAAGATATTTCGACAAATGCGGAATGCTTATGATGATGATGTTGATGTGGATGAAGAAGAAAAAAATGAAAGAAGATGATAAACGTCAGCAAAGGGAAAAGGCAAAGTTAGTTAAAAGGTCTGACCATGAGAAATGTTTCTTTCCCTCTGATAAATGAGGGAATCAACATTTTAATAAATTAATACATGTGATATATAAATAAATCTTATAGAGTTACATGATGAGACTGGGAGTGAAGATGAAGATGATTTGAATGAAGGATAAATGAGTAACGGTGGAGTGAAAAAAAGGTTCAATTGGTTCATCATTTCAAAGATAGTCTTACATCTCTTTTCAACTCTCAGCTTTTACTTTCAACTCTTATAGTCTTATCTTAATCATCTTCATTTACCATCATCTTCAACTTCATCTTCATCAGTATCTTCATCAACAACATCATCATCATCATCTTGAAGCATCTTAATGTTTAAATGTTTCCATGAAATTAACAGAGTTTGTTGTTCATTTCAATAAAACCGTGAAGACGTTTGAATCGTCTTTTTAGATTGTTTTTATTCATTATCATCATCAACATCATCAACCTACAAAAAGCTGAACATGATGAGAAGGATAAAAATCTTAATCATCTTCCTCATCGTCTTCTGTGTGTTTATTTTCAATCTTACTTTCTTTGGTTAGTAAACAACAGTCAATCTCAATACAGAAATAGTAATAATTTCAACCTTTTCCCACTTTTTCAATCATTTAACATCTCATCTAATTAAACTATCAAGCAATATGGAAATGATATAAATTGTAAATTGTCCAATTAATCAAGTATTTGGGTTAAAATATAATCTTAAACAATATTAAATATTGAAATAACAAAAGAAAGTCCATCGACTCTGGTTAACCAACTGTTATCAGCTGTTGTTTATCTACTCTGGTTCATAAACTCTGGTTAACCTGCCTCTCATCAGGTTTGATTAATCTGGCAAATCTTTTGTCATTGATTGTCATTTTGTGTATTTCATATCAACACTCATTTATAATCGGAATTAACAATTTAATTGTTTGATAATAATGGAAGTAACTCGTTTTAATTTACCTGATGGCTTACCAGTTTCATCTAATATTCAAAACCTGAGCTTCCATCAACTCTTGCTTGACGTGTATCAAGGTTAAGCACTAATCAATAATATTGTATAATCATCGTATACGTATTGATAATTGTATAAATATGATACAATTTATCTTGATCAACAATTATCTAATCTTGAAATGATTCCCCTGTAAAGACCTTGACCGTCACTTCACATTTCTAGACAATCCTGAGTTATTGTCTTTTCTTGTGTTATCATTATTTTATATAACTCTACCTGATATTAACCTTAATCTAACAAAAAAGCTGCTTTTAATCGCAATTTACTTAATTATTTACAAGCAGAAACAATAAAATTTGTACTCGATTAACCTTATAAATCATTTATTTGAATAAAAATGACAAAAATTTGAGAAATCAAAAAAACCGCCTTTCCAATTTTCATCAACAGCTATTTTAGGTTCTTTGTTTATGTCCAACAAAACCTTAAAGTGTCAACCTTTTTTCAATTGTTATTTTATATTGTGCCTTCATTTATCATCAATTAATGATTAGTAATTAAAACTAAAAGTCTTATTTCTTCAATTATTAGTATTGATAACCAATAAAATCAAGGTTACTCAATTAATTTATCTCCAAAGATTATAACTCATAACTTAAAGGACTATAACTTATAAGGATACTTTCATATTTTCATCAGATTTTTCAGTTTTGCTTGTTGTTTGTTGTTTTTTTGTTCTCTTTTTTTTCATCACTAATTCAATCAGATTGATCAATCGATTGGTAAGTATTAATGATTCATTAATAATGATTGTACACTATCAAGAGTGAATGTTATATAATTGAGAAATGAAACTTTGAAAATGACAATTGTGATTGAGCGTAAGTGATTGTAGCTTTAGATTTTGAGTGAAGCTGATTTCAAGATTGATGGAAAATGGAAAGATGGAAATGTCCAATGGAAACCTTAACCTTTACCATTGGCTGGACATTTTCATCTTGACCAATTTGCCAATTATTGTTGAGGTAATTTTAAGCTGTTTCAAACCTTTATCAATAAAGGAGTTGATTTAGGTTTGCATTTTAAAATATCATTTTATCGAGACTTTAATTTGCCAATTTATGATTATTATTCTTGGGTTTCAGTTGTGTGGTTTTCAATTGAATTGGCTTGTAAAGTTTATTAGTTAATTATGTTTGGTTTATCTTGTCAGAAATGCTGTGAAAAATTTTCCGCTAATATTTAAAGGAATCAAGTTTAATTTTCACATGAAAAAGGTGATTTTGTTGATCATTTAGCTGGCTATTATTGTGATTAATTAATTGTTCAAAGACCTTATAACAACTATTAACATTATCGGTAATTGATGGTTATGTTGGTAATTGAGGTTGTAAGTTGATGGTGACTTTGAAAGCTTGTTGGTAATCATTTTACTGAAGGTTGTACACAACCAAAAATTAAGCTAATTGTTTCAGGTATTAATTAATTATCGCCTGCAAATGTTAATGTTCAATTCGAGCAACTATCTTAATAATTAATTGACTAGGCCAGACTTAACAAGGAAATGCGTGAAAAATAAAAGGTTAAGTTGATTGGTCATTGAAGCTGCATCAAGCTTTTGGTTGGCTTTTAGGTTAAAGTAGGACTAAATTGTAATTTGCTGTTTAAGTCTATAATATTTGAGTTGACTCTTTGATAACTTCAATAGGAACCATAATTTGGCTTATTTTTGGCAAAATGTTTACGCAAACTCAGCTACTGAAATATAACCACCAGAACTGAATCATGTTGACATGTTTTTGTTCCTGTCTTTTGTATATATTTTTGCGTAGGTATTGTGGCTCATTGTAACTTGTTTTTCAACGGTAAACCTGACATTTTGTTGATTAAGACAAATAATTTCAATCATTTAAGTAACTAAATTTTCAAGTTAATCAACTTGATTGAAAGAGTTGCCTGTTTTGTGGGTTTTGTGACTGTTGTTCAACCAAATGACCGTAAGGTAAAGGCTTGATTAAATGGTGTTAAGATGGGGAAAGGGAAACAAATTGTCTTGATTGAGATGATGTTAAGGATGATTGGTTGCTTCATCTAGTCTTGTAATTTAATTAATTGATTGAATACGGGGAATTAAATTGTTAGCAAAGGTTATCAAGTGACACTCAAGATTTTCTCTATTGATGTAATCAGTGATGAAAACAAGTATAAACATGCAAACACTTATTACATTGGGTTAATGATAAATATTTAATTACATCTAATTGGTGGTTAGTAATGAAAATAATGTTCAAGAGAGGAATCGGAGGAACTAATTAATAGCAAGCAAAATATTAACTTGATATCATTATATTGACCATGATTGATGTAGCATTTGCTTGAGATGGCTTAGCATTTTAGGTAGCAGTTTGAAAACATGGTAAATTGTTGGACATTATTGGAAAATTTAGCAACAATCAGGATGAATTGTGAGCATTTGTGATAATCTTGAGATGAAGATTTGATGGAAAGGAATGGAATTTGTTTCAGGTTTTTCCTTGGTGTTCATTCTGAGACTTGGTTCTGAAAGATTGGTCCTATGAAATTGCTCCTGAATGTTGATCCTAAAGGTTGGTCCTAAAGGTTGTCTGATTAAGTCAAATTAATTGTTCAACCGATACTTTTTTAAGACGAAATGAATTTTTTGTCCTTTCTTTTTTTTCCTCAAGTTGCTGTTACTGTTTTTTGTGTCTTGATTGTTGATTGTTTTTTGTTTTCTTGTTGGGCTTTTTTGCTGCTCCTGCTATGTATGTTTCTTAGATTGTTGTTATTGTTTCTGTTAGCTGGTCCATGTAGCTATCTTGTTTAGCTTTCTTGGTCTCTAATCATTGACTTGATCAGTTGATCGGTTGACTGTCAGCATCACGAGGGAAAGGTTAAGGCCATGTTAACTCGACCTGAACTTTAAATTTGCTTGCTGTACATGTTTGATTCTTGGTAACGTTGATCATTGGTTTGTGAGAATCAAAATGTTGTTCAGCAAATGTTTCATCGATACACTTTTAATCCATGAGAAGAGATACACTTTACAGATGATTTGGGCGCTCATTGGACGATTCAACCAGATGACGATTATGGTGATCAGACTAGTGAAACTTGGCAGGTCTTTTTTTTCATATAATTTATAGCAGCTTGTTAATCAGGAGTCAGTTATTTTCCCACCTTCTACTTTATTTTTCGCCAATCCAGATAAGATTGATTGAATTTTGCTTCAAGGCATGCAACAGTATCTATCTTATACACATGTTATAGATAGGCTTTTATGAAACATATTTTCAACCATTGAATTATCATCTTTTAATGCACCTGAAACGGTGTTTTAAGATGGGACACGCGAGTAAACATTTGTTTGAAATTAAATTTTACTTCTTATTTTACACATTAACTGTTAATCACCGTCGATTATCAAGGAATAATCATCATCAACAGTATCATTAAGTTGGAAACACACAGAAGTAAAGGATAAAGGGTAAACATTAAATTTCAAAGGAAATAGACTGCAATTTGTAAATTGTACTTTGCTTAAAGGCTATGTGTATCCTTAAAGAAATATCACGATTACAAGAAGAAACATAAACACAATTAATGGCCAATGATTGTAATAAATGTCGAATGATAACACAATTAATAAACTATGAGACTTACAATAATAATAGCCTTACATTGCTAAATTGATACTAGAGGTCTCTTTGGCCTCAATATATTGTTATAATAGCAAGTTACAGCGAAAATAACTCAATAATGATTGTAATGGAATTATTAATCAACAATTAATGAACATTAATTTTTATCATTGAAATTTGTTTTAAATCAATCAAGAAAATTCAATCCATTATTTGGTTATAAAACAACAATTTAAAGTTATGATTTTTGATATTTCAAGCTAAGAAACATCTAGTTTAAATAAACAAATAGTGTAAATAACAGATGAAGCTAATCGCACGAATTTTAAGTCTTGCCTTTTCTTAAAATTGCATGAACAGGCAAACCTTTGACCAGTCTTTTAGTTAACCTTTTTTCACTTGTTTTCATCTCGTTTCATGATTAATGATATTTAACAATAAATCAGCTGAGGATTTATTTCAAGGTAAGTTTTGTTTTAATGATAAATTTATAATATATGGATGGTAATGAGTAAAAAATAATGATATCAATTGTCACTTACCTGAAGATCTTCTTTACATTTACGTTCTTCATCCAGAGTCATTCTTTTCTCATGTTTCTTGTAATATTTCCTTTTCGCTGCTTGCAGGTTGAACCATGTATAACTGAAAGCCTTAACATGGGGCAGAAGAGCTTCAATGAACGGATGGAATTCATCCCAATGGGTTTGAGAATCATGGGTCCTATTTAACATATTATCCGAATTGGATTAGCAACACATTAGATAATGAAACAAAACATTAAGTTTACAATAGAGAAGGAAAACAAACAAAAAAAGAAGGAAAGAAAGAAAGGAATCAAAAGTACAACAGAAAGCTCATCATCATCATCATTCTCATCATCATTCTACATTTCTCATCAAAACGATTTTGTGTGTGTCTCTCTCTCTTTCTTATCTCGCTCTCGCTATCTTCAGCTTCTCTCTATCTCCCTTGCCTTATCCTCTCGTGTCTTCTTCCCTGGCTTTCTACTTCTTAACGATGTAAGTTTAAGAAGTGCGCACTGCAAATTTGAAAGGCACCGAGAGGCTCATGCTGAAAGTCCAAAAATAGTCCAAGGAGTGATCAAAATGAGGATAGAAAGAGAGAAAAAGAAAGAGACAAATAAAAAGAAAGGGAAACAAATCGTTGAAAGAGGTTGTAGCTTGGAAAAAGAAAGAGAAGCAAAGTAATTAAAAACATGTAATCGTCATTAGGAGGAGTTCAATAAGGTTTGCATACATCATTGAAAAATGCCTTCCCTCCTCCTCTTCCTCTCTCTCTCTCTCTCTCCTTCGTCTCTCTCTCTTCCTCTCTCCTCTGTCTCATCCCGGTTTCTCTGAGCTTTTCATGATAATTCAATTTTATCATTTTCGTTTCTTCAACAGAGTCCAACCTCTACGGGGAAGAGTTAAAGAAAGGTGGTAATAGGACTGACGATGTTGTTACTTTCGCTGATGAGCAAGATTCACAATTCAGCATTTTATTGAGGCAATTGGAATGTGCTGCTAATTGAATTACATTGATTTAAGTTTGAATAACGAGTCAGTGAAGCCCTCTGTTGACAATCAATCCAACAATTAATCTTTTCCCGAATGAATAAAGATTAATGCATCAGAATTTTGCTTTTTTCAATATTATTCAATGATTCCTTTTAGATTGGTTTATTGATGTTCAAACATAACAAAAAAGGTTCATCAAAAAATGTTACACTGATTAAATTTTCTGCATTTAATTTGATTTTCGCCACTTATTTTACACTTTATATGTTTTGAAACTATTCAAAAGACTTTTTTCCATGAATTTTGTTCAGATATTATATTTCAATCATCACTTTTGGGATCATTTAAATTGATATTCAACAATAGCTTAAAAACCCATTGGTTACAGACTTTCATTTTCACAGTTCAACCTCAACTCATTTACCGCTCATTTTCAACATTTGCATGTTTCAACAAAATACATTTAACATTTCATTTTTTATGTTATTTTTTATCCTCCCTTTCAACTCCCTATCAACATCATGGTTTAACTTATTTATGTGTCTGTGAGGTGCAAAATAGATGATTATGTGATCAGCTCTATCAAATTTAGCTCTGATTCTGTTAAAGAATGTTATTATTTGTATAGACTCAAGGATAAAAAAACGAATAAAAAAAGGCCTCCAACGGATCCTTTGTGACATAACCTTTCATCATTACCATCATCATCATTATTGTGATCATTTGTTAACAACCCTTTCAATATTATGTAAATTAAATTAATGGTGAAAGATTGCATTCACACATTTACTACATTATACAGTGAGACTGGACATGATTGAAAGGTTGGCTAAAATCAAATAATATACCCATTTTTGGTGTGATTATCAACAAAGAGAAGCAAAAAACTAATATTTTTTTCTTCTTCATCTCTTCATTGTCAAATTTTCATCATCATAAAGATCAGCTTTACCCTGATCATAATCATCATCATCACTTTTTGCTCATCATTTCTATGGATACTATTGTTCTGGATATTCCGTTTTTTATCTTCAACTCTTTCTATTGGAATGGTTATGACAAGTTAACCCTAACATTGTCATTAACATTATAAATTGTTATTTCACATTTTATGCATACTTACATTCAGTTTTTGTTGTTCCTGTTGTTGTTTATTAAGTCTATCATTTTCACAATTTAACCATTATTACAGTGATAATCATTATGTTTATTGTAAATTTGTGCAACTGAAAGCCAAATTACTTTGCCGTTTGCTTCTGCTAATACATTGTTCAAAGTCGCTCTTGATAATTTATTGAGGACCTTCAAGCAAATTAATGGAATTAGACTGATGATTCATTACTTTGAATATTAATCATACAACAATTATCACAATTATAAACATCATCATCATATCCATCTAATCATCCTTCATCAATACCTCTAGGTTCATCAGCTGGATTCCGTGTTGGACTTTCAGTCTTGAAAGATTCAAAGAAACATTTTTGTGGGTAAATTGAGTGGTCACCTCTTATTTATTAGATTTTTGTTCATAGATTTTTGATTAAGAAAATATATTTACGATTATCAGTTAGAGTTGAATTGATAAATTAAGAAATTTGGGAATTTTGAAATTAAAATTTTGCCGCTTGCAACTATGGATACAATGCACATGTAGCAATCCCATTGCCTACATTGACTTTGTTTACCATTAGACTGAAAACTTCATTTAAACCGGTTTTGGCTGTTGGAGCTAAACCTTCATGTTAACTTAGCTATTTTTGATGGTTTAATTAAATTTAATTGTTAATTGTTGTTTGTGATTTCATACAATGGATGGTTATGGGTCTGATGACATTGCAGCCGATAAATCTCGCAATTACACTAGCTTCGGTTTAGAGTCAATTAAGCTTTTTGCTTCAACTGTTCACTCACCAAATGCTATTGAGGCCAAAGTATTGGCTCAGCTGTCTGAAGATACAAGTTATCGTCTCCGTGAATTAATTGCCTCTTCATTCCAATATACTAGGCATTCTAAAAGATTCAAATTGACCTGTGATGATGTGAATAGAGCCTTGAAAGCATCTGATTCTCAAGCTATCTATGGTTTCAGCGGATCAGAGTCTTCTAAAGAAATTCATGTTCCTGAAGCTGGGGTATTTGTGACTGAAGATAAACCAGTTGATCTTGTCAAAATTTCAGGTTAGTATTTTGATTAGTTCACCCTTCATTAATTAACATTTATGATGTCTAATTTTTTACTTATCCATCTCATTGCATTTCTCTAGAATCGATCATAAACAAATCATACAAAGTTAATTTGATTGCAGAAAGTCCGCAATATCGAATTGATTGGCTTAATCCAGGAAGTCGAACAATTAAAGAATTAAATCAACCCGGTCCTGATGAAAAACCAAGCCCAGAATATTTACAGTTGATGAAAATATTCAACTGTATTTCTAAAGGAATTATAAGTCGTAATATTTCTGTCTTTCACAAAACACTGGTTGGACTTTCTAAACATTCAAATGTCCAGCATATATTATCCTATCTCGTTAAATTTATAGCTAATAATGTTGCCAAGACTAATAATGGTAAAACAGCTAGACAGTTGCTATTGTCTATCAGAGCGTTATCAAAAAACAACTACTTACAAGTTACCAGTGATATCTATGTAACTCCTTTAGTTAAATCAGTTTTACACTGTATTCTAAGAGGTTCCTCTGATCATTCTTATCCATCATCTTCATCTTCATCTTCATCTGCAACATCTACCCTTGCCTCTGTTCTTACCTCATCATCTGTACCACCAACTCCGACATTAAATGGAACCATTGAGGATAATAATAACTGTTCTGACAGTTCGGATACATGGAGTCTGAAATCATTTGCCTCTTCGATTCTAGTAGATATGTTCAAAGAATGGTCTTCATCTTTTGTTCACAACAAATTTTACAATCATATTATAAGAGCTTTGGTATCTTGTATTTGTGACTCATCTCAATCATATGCATCTCATTATGGAGCCATAGTTGCATTCACTCGTCTTGGTTTCGACTGTATTATAAATCATCTTTATCCTTTTATTGGAAGTTATCTCAACGAGTTATCTATTTACCAAAATGACAATTTAATATCAACATCTCACGATGCAATCGGTGCTCAACAAATCCTTGGAGCTTGGCTTAATTTGGCAGCATTCTTGTTGAGGAAATTTAGAGAGATGGCTTTGGTTGAAAATAACTTCCAATTTCAACATATTGTTGGAGAGCTTCTAGAACATTTTGGTGACTCTCTGGCCATGCAATTGCCTGCTGATTTTCCCGATCCTGAAAAGATTTATATCAAAAAGCCACCACAACAAATTAAAATGCCAATCGTGACAGGAGAAGAGCTTCTTGACACTTTCTACGACAACAATATAGGTGGAAGAGGAGGTGAAACTTTATCTGAAGATGAGGAACTAAGAAGCAATGATTCTATTGATGGTAAATCTAACGAAAGTGAAAAAGATTTCAAGAGACATGATGGAACTCATCTGTTGGTCGAAAGTACGATTAGTGATCCTTCTTTAGGAGTTAAGTTAACAATCAAGAAAATAAGGCGTCAAAGGCGATCAGTCGATGAACAATATTCATCTAATGGAAAATCGGGGCGTAAATGGAAAAAACCTAAACTCCAAAATTTCATGGAATGTTTTACAGAAGAATGCGAAGATCTGTTATTAGAAGAAGTGCAAACTAAAGGTATGTTATTCAAGATATTAAAGATTATTAGATGTTTGACTAATATAAATATATACTATTTTTATCATAGGTAACTTATATTCTCATAGGATGGTTAAGAAAACACTGTCATTGCCATATCAGCCTACTTCTTGGTACCTTTTAGCTAATAAACTACCATCTCTTGCAAAAAAACGAAAGTCCAATGGGATAACCACTGACCACCATTGGAGAAGGAAATTATTCTCATGTACATTAAATACTACCTTGTAACTATGTAAAATATAAATTTTTATTCAGTCATTACATTGTAATTATCAAAAAGTTTGGTCATTTTATTTGTAAAATAAACTGCCATGTTGATCGAAGAAAAAGAAAAAATTATTCATTTTTTTAAACTCAGCCATTTTAGTTATTCACAACAAGTTGAAAATTCCAGTGATAAGAGTTTAAGCCCTTCAATCTTTGATGGCATCAACACAGCACGAAAGTTTGCGAAGACTCGACTTTATGATCTAATTTTATTATTAAAAGTTATTAATAGTAAACCTTGGACGGACTTAAGTCTAACAGAATAGCTATAGTTTTAGTCTATTATCAAATTCCTGGCCTTTTGGGCAAATATTTTAATGGTACTAAGCTGTCTCAGTTGAGATGCTATTACAGTGCACTTGTATTTCATTCTCCGCAGGTTGAGAAATAATAGTGACTCAAACAATTCATTTAATTATTAGCAATACAGAAGGGACATCAGCTCTATTCTTACAATAATATTGTTAGATACTCAATTCAGAGGTAGCTCATTGTTTTTTTAAAATCGCATTAAAATCAGTGTCACTACAAACTTTGAGTGAATCGGTCACATAAACATGGCATTAGATGAAGATGGGATCTACGACTTCCACAAGGATGATTGATAAATTGAAGATTGAATTGAAAGAACTCCATACTTCTTTACATTCCATACAATTCAATTACATTCCTTACATTCAGTTTTTGTTGTTCCTGTTGTTGTTTATTAAGTCTATCATTTTCACAATTTAACCATTATTACAGTGATAATCATTATGTTTATTGTAAATTTGTGCAACTGAAAGCCAAATTACTTTGCCGTTTGCTTCTGCTAATACATTGTTCAAAGTCGCTCTTGATAATTTATTGAGGACCTTCAAGCAAATTAATGGAATTAGACTTATGATTCATTGCTCTGAATATTAATCATACAACAATTATCACAATTATAAACATCATCATCATATCCATCTAATCATCCTTCATCAATACCTCTAGGTTCATCAGCTGGATTCCGTGTTGGACTTTCAGTCTTGAAAGATTCAAAGAAACATTTTTGTGGGTAACTTGAGTGGTCAACTCTTATTTATTTAATTTTTGCTCATAAATTTTTGATTAAGAAAATATATTTACGATTATCAATTAGAGTTGAATTGATAAATTAAGAAATTTGGGAATTTTGAAATTAAAATTTTGCCGCTTGCAACTATGGATACAATGCACATGTAGCAATCCTACATTGACTTTGTTTACCATTAGACTGAAAACTTCATTTAAACCGGTTTTGGCTGTTGGAGCTAAACCTTCATGTAAATTTAGTTATTTTTGATGGTTTAATTAAATTTAATTGTTAATTGTTGTTTGTGATTTCATACAATGGATGGTTATACATTTTGTTGTCTTTTTTAGTCTTTCATCTGCTTTTTTCTTCTTCCATTCTGCCTTTTCTATTTATCAAATCTTCAAAGACAAGTATCGATATGAAATGTTTCCTCGGGCAGTTTAATAATCTTATTACATTATATACATGGTTGATATTATTTGATGAAAATGTTTTCGTTTGATGAACAAGAAGGAGCAACGACAAGAGTTGAAATTGACAAAATCATCGACTTTTTTCAATCTCACAGAATTCATCTATTTTTCATCTTGAAATCGAAAAACTTGATGAAGGTTCTGCTCAGAAATTTTTAGTTTACATCACACAAAACTTTGGAACTTTTCGAGAGAGGAATTGAATACTGACGGCATCCACAGATCAATTGATCAAGAGTACGGAGCAAGAATGCACAAGAATGGGTCTGATGACATTGCAGCCGATAAATCTCGCAATTACACTAGCTTTGGTTTAGAGTCAATTAAGCTTTTTGCTTCAACTGTTCACTCACCAAATGCTATTGAGGCCAAAGTATTGGCTCAGCTGTCTGAAGATACAAGTTATCGTCTCCGTGAATTAATTGCCTCTTCATTCCAATATACTAGGCATTCTAAAAGATTCAAATTGACCTGTGATGATGTGAATAGAGCCTTGAAAGCATCTGATTCTCAAGCTATCTATGGTTTCAGCGGATCAGAGTCTTCTAAAGAAATTCATGTTCCTGAAGCTGGGGTATTTGTGACTGAAGATAAACCAGTTGATCTTGTCAAAATTTCAGGTTAGTATTTTGATTAGTTCACCCTTCATTAATTAACATTTATGACCACCATTGGAGAAGGAAATTATTCTCATGTACATTAAACATTGTTCTCTATGTAAAATATAAATTTTTATTCAGTCATTACATTGTAATTATCAAAAAGTTTGGTCATTTTATTTGTAAAATAAACTGCCATGTTGATCGAAGAAAAAGAAAAAATTATTCATTTTTTTAAACACAGCCATTTTAGTTATTCACAACAAGTTGAAAATTCCGGTGATAAGAGTTTAAGCCCTTCAATCTTTGATGGCATCAACACAGCACGAAAGTTTTGGAGGAAGAGGAGGTGAAACTTTATCTGAAGACGAGGAACTAAGAAGCAATGATTCTATTGATGGTAAATCTAACAAAAGTGAAAAAGATTTCAAGAGACATGATGGAACTCATCTGTTGGTCGAAAGTACGATTAGTGGAGTTAAGGAGTTAAGTTCTTTAGGAGTTAAGTTAACAATCAAGAAAATAAGGCGTCAAAGGCGATCAGTCGATGAACAATATTCATCTAATGGAAAATCGGGGCGTAAATGGAAAAAACCTAAACTCCAAAATTTCATGGAATGTTTTACAGAAGAATGCGAAGATCTGTTATTAGAAAAAGTTCAAACTAAAGGTATGTTATTCAAGATATCAAAAATTATTAGATGTTTGACTAATATCAACGCATACTATTTTTATCATAGGTAACTTATATTCTCATAGGATGGTTAAGAAAACACTGTCATTGCCATATCAGCCTACTTCTTGGTACCTTTTATTAGCGTCACTACAAACTTTAAGTGAATCGGTCACATAAACATGGCATTAGATGAAGATGGGATCTACGACTTCCACAAGGATGATTGATAAATTGAAGATTGAATTGAAAGCACTCCATACTTCTTTACATTCCATACAATTCAATATCAAAATATGGTATGTCCAGAAGTATGTGTCCTAATCAAATCACAAAGATGTTGAACACTGTAAAACAAAATGTAGAGATACACTGGATTCATAGAGACAATACAATACAAGACGACAATCACAGTTGAAATTGACAGTTAATAAGTTTCCTCTGTATTTATATATTTAAGAAAAGATGGGAAACTCACTCGAACTCTCTCGTTGACTCCTTCAAGTACATCCTTTGCATTAAATGGGCGCGTCAATACAAGTTGAGGGAAGAGTAAAATGTACGCGAAAATGTTGATGACGATGAAGATGATGGTGAATGGTGATGATGAAGCTCTTACATTGCCCTTCTTCACCGCAGTTTCCTCTCAGTCTATCCTAATTTGGAGATAAGCTCTTCTTTTTTTAAAAGACATATGGTAAAAATGAATCTTATTTTAGGCTAAACAAATTTTGGAAGTCGACCAAATTAGGTCCAAGTTGAGATGGAGAGACAGGCGAAGAAAGAAAGGCATAACGATGAGAATCCTTCATGGGATGAAGATGATGAAGATGCTCTCACATTTCGTATAAGTCTATTCTAATTTTGGGATCATCTTCTCTTCTTGCCTCTTCGTCTTCGTCTTCGTCTTTGCTCTCCATTGCTCTTAACACATCTGGTCAAAATGAATGTTAGTTAAACAAAATTTGGAAGATGCCTAAAGAAGACAAAGATGAAGACAAAGATGAAAAAGAAGAAGAAGAGAAGGGAAAAGAAAGATTTCTTAAAACAAAAATAAAATACAAACTCATCAACTTCGTCTTCCTCATCTTAAACCAAAATTCCTTCTTTATGGAACCCAAAAATATCTCGTGTGCAAAGTCTGATTGGACTTTAATGTTGGTGTCTAATGAAAGTCCCAAGTCAATCATACAATTAGAGACACATGTTGGGAAATTGGCCATTTAGGTTGAGATCAAATTATCCATCGATTAATCAATTGTCGAGACAGGAATCTCCTCAAACCTATCAGTACCAGTATTACCGGCAATACAAACTATTTCCGAGATTTATCAGTTGTTTTACCAGATTTTACCCAATTTTTGTCTGGTCATTGGTTAACCTTTTAGGCTTTACTTTGCTTGGGTTAATCTGACGACTATCTGAGATTCAGTTATGAACATTTTTGGACCCATCTTGTCAATAATTTACTTGAATCTCTTTTTGCAAGGCTTACAATTTAAATCTGTTGAAACACTGCCAGTTAAACTGGAAGCTAATTCATGCGCAATTAACTTGAATAAAACTATCATTTCATTGTGTCACTGTTAATGTTAAGTCTTTAAGTGGAAACAATGCATCTAGAAGCTGCTGTTACAATTAAGCTAGTAAGCACATTTAACTATCCAACAATCAGCCATGTTCATTAAAGATTCATCAACATTAGATTTGCTGGTTTCAACTTTTATCCAGATCTACTGATAAATTAAACCATCAAATGACGCACATGTAAATTGTTTAGATATTTATACTAATCATTGGAAAGTTAAACTAGTAAAATTAGCTTTTTTAGCCTGATTGGGAAGTAATCTTAATTGAGAGGAATCGATGTTACCCTTTTGAACAGTTAAACAATATTAATCAAACCAAGAAAAGGCCAGATTTCTTTACTTATAAGTTTCCCGATGTGGCAGCTCTAGTAAATGAATGGCTCTTTTATCAGGCTTGGATTTTGTTACTGCCAAAAATGGATTATTGAGGTCATTTCCGGTCTAAAAATAGCTAATTATCGGAAGAAAACTATTTTGTGGTCAAAAACTGCTTCATGGACTGCGATCTCAGAAATTGTTGACTTTAAATCACTTTGGATGATCTCTTAAGACAAATCCAATGTAAGAATTTTTGAGCTTACATTAATTATTTACATCAATTATTTAAATCCATCTTCTCAAGGCTCTTGATCAGTTAAAAGATAATTATTTATATATTTCAATATGAAATCAAGACAATTTTCTTAATTTTAAATCAGATAGAGACATTAAAGAATATTTTTATTGTTATCCAATTCATTTTAAATAGCGCGCTCATCTTCAAGACTCTCATTATCTTTGCTTTCTTGATGTAAATATTACAATATGAAACATCTCAACAGTTTATTTATAATTATTTTAATCCAGTTATTCGCTAAATAAGTTGATTAAAATTGTGTCTCATTATAGTTAATGTGTTGAATTTATATTGCGATTTGGATAAATCTTTAAAGAATTGTTGTCAACTATAATTCATAAGTTATTAACAAATCTCACGCTACAATCCTTTTACTTTTTCTTGATTGAGACTGTTTCCATGTCTCGTGAATTTGATGCTTTTGTTTGATTTAGAGTAAATATTTACCTAATCTCACTATAATTAACTATTTTGCGCGATACATTGACTCAAATTGTGTCTTGATACATTTTGTGAACTTGTGACTTAATCTGGTCATGGCTGGAATTTTATTCAACCTTTTTTACTTATTACGATCTCGTTTTTTCTCTACTCAAATATCTAAACTAACTCATCCATGGGGCTTTCCTCTTCCACCTGTGCTCCATCAGACATTAGATAGAACTTTTACCGATAACTATGATGAGATACTTATTTTAGGAGATATTCACGGCTGTTTTGATGAAATGCTTGAGTGTATAAAAACAGTCCACCATTCTAACAATAGTAAAATATTGAAAATATTTGTGGGAGATTTGGTAAACAAAGGAGAGAAAAATGTTGAAGTTCTTAAATATTTAATGAACGATGGTAAAAATGACTGTATTGCTGTTCGTGGTAACCATGATGAAATCGTTATTCGTGAATATTTGAAAATCAAAAATGAAGGGAAAGTTCCAAGTCCAACCAATCAGTGGATCCAAGAATTACATCAAGAACAAATCGATTACATTGTGAAATTACCTTACACAATTACTTTAAATGATTTAAATATACTAATCGTGCATGCCGGTTTAGTGCCTGGAATACCTTTAGAAGAGAATCAACCCTTGAATATGGTTTCCATGAGAAATTTGATTATTGAAAGTGATTCCAACGGAAACAAATACACGCCTAACAAGAGTGACAAAGAAGGTGAACCATGGGCATCACTTTGGCAAGGGCCAACTCACATTTATTTTGGACATGATGCCAAGCGACGTCTTCAACTTCATAAATTTGCTACAGGACTTGACACCGGCTGTGTTTATGGTGGACATTTAACTGCAAAGTTCGTTAAGGGTCCTAGAAGAGGAACATTTGTTAATGTTAAAGCTAAAAAAGTTTATCAGCCAATTACTGAGCCGTCTGTTGTAAATTAAATGCCATAAAATATGATAGTAATTTATTCTCTGTCAACTGGGAAATCAATCAAAGTATACTGTCAGTGTAAATATCCAATGGTTTTATGTTTAATATCTGACTTTAATCTGGAATTAATTAACTCTCAACTACACTAAAAAAGTGTATCAGAATAGATTTCTATGATTAATGTACAAAAATTTTAGTATGAAAAAATAAATAGATTATATTGTCAATAACTCAAATTATAACTTTGACTTTACATTAATGAGCCCTTGAAGCCAATCTGGCTTACCGAATGCTCCTTTATTATTCTTAAGAGCAGCAAATATATTCTCGTAAATTTTACCATCAGATGCACCCAATGATGAATTCAGGATATGATCAGGTGGAGCATAAGAGTCTACAAGTCCAACAGCATTATCTTTCAATTGCCTGCATAATCCAAGAATTGCTTCTCTCACATCAGTTAAAGGTTTAGATTTTAGTTGTGATGAGCTCATGTTTACCGAAGTCGGGACTGATATGTAGCCTGATTCGTAAAGAATGGCCATGTGTTTCTCAATTGACCAGAGTCCGTAAAGAAGTCCAAGCTGTTGTAAAACGTTATTTATCTCTTTTGGTCCAGAAAATGAAAGCAAAAATTGTTGATATCGATTAAGTGCTTCACTTTCAAAAAAGACTGTCGCTAAATTTTTTAGATAATAGACTTGTGTTTCATTTCTGGCTTTAAACGAGTCACCCAATTTTGCTGTTTGATCCAACAGCTTGAAGTAACTTGATTTCAACAAATAACATACAAGGAACCGGTAAGCTTCCAATACTTTTGGTATATCGTCAAAAGTATCACTTGAACCATGTGATGATAGAATGTCATCAATTGAATTGATAAAGTTAACTGAACCAAAATGCGAGGAAATTTCATGACCTTCTTCAATCTTTTCTTTGTACAATTTTACCAAATAATTGCTGGTTTGTTGTAAAAGGACACTGTTATCTCCTTCATAAGTTACATTGGCATCATGATCATTTCGCAGATCCCCAAATCCAGCTGCTTTTAAATAACCATGACCACCACAGCATTCACGGCACTCTTGAATGACATCTCTGGCCATCCAAGTAGTAATAGCTTTACCACAAGATGAAAGTGCATGTATTTCCGATCCCATTGAGCTTTTATCCTTGCCATTTGAGTGAAAGGTTGCCAAGTAAAATACAATATAATCACGGTAAAAAGATGCAAATAAATTGTGTAAAACATAAGAAACTGCTATGTACGGAATTAAACGCCATTGTTGACTTTGATAATCTAAAATGGGTATCTCTTCACCATCAGATGGTCCAAATTGACGGCGAACCGCTGAATAGCGAACAGCAATTGTTAAAGCTGATTGAATGTTAGTGACACCAAAAAGCATGATGAAAAGTCTTCCAGATGAGAGCACACCAAGAGTACTGCCTAACCTTTTTGATTGATCTTTAATTTGTGACACATATTTACCTTCCGAAGTAACTTGAGCATTGCGACTGATTAAAGATGATTTGGGTACAATATAGTTATTAAAAGTCATAAACCCATTGTCCAATCCATTGAGACCAATCTTTTCACCCATATCACCAATCGTAATACCAGGAAAAGGTTGAAAGGTTTTCGTGTCACGAACCGGGACCATGAAGGAATGTAAACCATGACAGGAACCATCAGGAGTATAGAGTTGAGCAAAAACCACTGCATGTGTAGCTGACTGTCCCAAAACACCGGCCCAAACCTTTGTTGCCTCTAGACTGGGTGTATTTAAGATGAACGTTTGATCAGCTGGGTTAAATGTAGCTGTTGTTTGAAGTTTTTTAGTGTTGCTTCCATGAGCCATCTCAGTCATACAGAGAGCTCCAAGTCCCTTGAAATTTATCACATCATCAACCAAATCATTATTTGGTTTACCTTTACCAGATTTAAAAGAGTAAACAAAATATTCATAGCTCAACGTCCGTTTAACAATCAGTGACCAAGAAAATTGACCAATGGCTTGAACAAAGGATAGTAGTCGGTAAGGTTGACTAACGTCTTCGTCATTTGTAATTTTAAAATCAACCAGTTTCTTTAATCGGGCAAATGTTAACCTCCTTTCATCATCTCTGTTATACTCGTCCCAAGGTTTACGTGAAAAATCTGGATCCTTGGCTAAAAGAGACCAAATCTGGTGTTTATAGCGAACCACAAAATCTCCTTCAAGAACGAGTTTCATTTGCTTCCAATCAAAAGTTGCTCTTGATCGAGGTTGGTCAAGTGGTCCAGATGGCCAATCAAGGATGCAATCAGAAACCTTTTCAACCTCCAGTTCAGTTGGGGATAACATATTTTAAACCGATGAACAATGTAAACAAAAATAACAAACCAAATAGTCACTAAGAAAAGGATAAAACAAGTGTTGAACTTATGCGTCAACGGTTAACAGATAAACAAAATAAAATGCAAAATAATACTTAATGTTTTTCACCTTAACGTTTCTTATAACCGACAACAACAAATTCAAATTATTCCGACTTAAAGGTAAGTCAAACTGAATTGGAAAACATGGAGATGAAAAGATAAACTCACCTTTTGCCTCTTTAACTCTTATTGTTAAATATCAATTAATTTTACAGTTCCCTATTTGATTCGCTTCATCGCCTCGTTCATCTCATTGCTCCATTATATTTTCAACTTTCCTCCTTCAATCTCTTTCCTTCATTTTAATACATTTAATTTGATTACTTTGACATCACTTATTACTGAGTTACAAGTCAAAAAGCCATCCGAATAGACAGACAGACAGATTTTGCGTTTGACAAATTTAGTTATGCGTTTATGCGGCACAATACAAGACAAAAAAACGAGCTCGTGATTGGGATTGAAGAACATAGACTTTATAATCAAAGAGTAACGTTAATTACTGTTCATTTTTGATTCCAAGTTTGCTTCATTTGACATGATAATTATAATAGTAGCATGATTGGTTGAAGAAACGTCTCGATTATTTCACTAAACTGTTCTCAAAAAGACCAGTCTATTTATTATTAGCAATTTACAAAATTTCAAACACTTTTAAGAGCTAATTAGCTATTCTGAAAAACAATAAGACTGCTATTTGATTGATCATCTAATGACTGGATTAAGAGAGATTGGTCACTTAAGGTCAACACTTTACTTTCCAGTCTTGATACTTGATCTACCTTCCAAGTCATTCAATTAAGTCAAGATAATAACTCAATTTCAGAGGTTATTCAATACATAAGGTTACGACAAATTTGATTGTTATTACCAAATAATCTTGAATAAAAGAACGCACATTTCTCTCAAATTAAAACTAATGATAATGGCTGCAACTAACCTGGATTATGATATAAGACTGTTTTATTGCTGCAGCTAATCATTCATAAAACAACAACAGTTTGTTATTAATATTAGATTTACGATTCATGAAGTTCGCGATCATCAGTCTAATTGAAATCAAAACTCGAACAGCAATTGTTTCTTCCTGATTCTCTAATATTTGGTGCATATATTATAATTAAAGGCAATTAGAGTTAGACGTTAAATCTTGTTCATGTCAAAATCCCTATTGAAAAGCTGATCAAATCCTTTGAACTTAGCTAATTAAATAAGCTTGATATGCAAATAGGATATGTGAATATATTCCTGGAATATTGCTGGAGATTCTTCAACACCGAATAATACAGCTTATTCACCTCAAAATTTGATTCAGAATCTTGACAAACATTTCAAAGCTAAACTTCCCAAGAAAGTCAATAGGATAATGAAGTAACCCATATCCCACCAGATTCAAATGTGGACACTCAGATAAACTGGACAAAAGAGTACTAAATTGCAGTATAAAAGTAACCCATGTTTGATTGGAACGAGAAATTGTCTTTACCGTGTCGTTGCAAGAGACTAACTTGATTCATTCAGTTGGTTCAATGATGTTGATGTGATCAAGCTAAATACTTTGAAAATTAAATAAGTAATTTATTCTAAGTTTAATTGAGCATCGAATCGATAACAATTGAATATTTTAAACACTAACATAAGAAGCTCTTAGAATTAGTTTTACTAAATTTTAGTAAGTTACGAGCAAAGTTGTGCGAACTGGTTTATTCACTATAAAATGGCCCAAAAGATGGCGGTTAACTGGCAACTGTTTTTGGGTTTATCTTCACTCGACTGTACCCGAACCTTTAATAAATTATTATCCTTAAATTCAATTTACTTGTAAATCTATTGAAATGCTAATTTTATTTGGAATAAATAAAGTTGAAATACTTCATACTCTCTGAGATTTCACTAAAATAGTTGAAATTTTTATTTATTTGATGTTTAAAATGGATAGAAGGATAAACTTGCATTCAACTTGCCAATCGAAAGTTAAAAATATATAATAATAAAAGTAACTTTCACCATTCAAAGACTCATGAATAAACTTTTCTTACGTTGTAAATCTTTGTTTAATCGTTAAATTGTTAAATTTATTGGATCCCTTATAGTCTCGTCTTTGATGGACAAACAAAACGAAGTTTGTTACTAAAAAGACAAAATTATCACAATAATGAACATATTGAAACAAATGGGCAAAAACAGATGAAAATTGATTTCTTATAAATTGGGACTCTGTTAGTTAATGAGGACATAAAAACTGAATAGATTTGTGCCATTTAAAAGTTTCTCTGATGAAAAGTTTTCGAGAAAATCAAGTTCGAAGTTGAAATTTCGATCGCTTTTTATACCACTGCGCGAATTGATCTTTTCATGAAACTCATTTTACTGATGAAACTTTTAATGGTTAATCAGAAAATGTACTCATTTTGAGTGATACAGTTTTGCTTTTTTTGTAAAACAGATAAGTTCGATTCGCGGTTGGATCGACCACATTCTGTGACCATAAGAGTTAGAGAGCTTAAACTTAGTATTTGTTGATAAAAGTTGTCGGTAACTATCGTGGATTAAATACTCTCAGCAATTCAACAATAGTTCTCTTGCTTTTGGCCATTGGCATTAAAACTTTGAGCCTCGATATTTAGAGAATGGCATCACATACAATCATAATTCTTTCACCAATTTAATGCTTTACTAATTAATGATTCAATACAATTCAATGATTTGCCATGAGCTCATTTGAATTCATTTGGGTTTTAAATGCACGAGAAACAACTTATTGAGCAAAGTAAACTCATCTCAACCCATTTCTTGCTAAATAAACCAATTTTCTGGTTAAAGTTGCAAATGAAATGCAAAAAGTAATGCCAAAGTCTCGAAAATTGAAGCCAAGAGTTGAGAATTGGTGGAATTCGTAGGGAATTAAAAACTGTAATTATTGGTACTATTCAATAATTCATTAGATTGACAGTTTTCTAGAAAATTGAGGTCAAAGTTGAAACTTCGATTGCATTTTGTGCAGCTATGGGAACAGATTTTTTAATCAAACTAATTTTCCCCGGCTAAATTTCAATGGTGAATCAGAAAATGCATTTTATTACATTATATAATATTTTGTTTTCTTGTAAAACAGGTAAGTTCGATTTTCATGTAAACCGATCGTTTTCTGTGACCGTAAGGTTTAGAGAGCTGAAACTTATTATGGGTTCATAAAAATTATTTGTATACATCATTGAGTGAATACTTTTTTCAATTAATCTAAAGTTCTCTTGATTGTAGCCATTGGCATTAAAACTTTGAGCCTCGATATTTAGAGAATGGCATCACATACAATCATAATTCTTTCACCAATTTAATGCTTTACTAATTAATGATTCAATACAATTCAATAATTTTCCATGAGCTCATTTGAATTACGATATTTGCGTTTTAAATGCACGAGAAACAACTTATTTAGCAAAGTAAACTCATCTCAACCCATTTCTTGCTAAATAAACCAATTTTCTGGTTAAAGTTGCAAATGAAATGCAAAAAGTAATGCCAAAGTCTCGAAAATTGAAGCCAAGAGTTGAGAATTGGTGGAATTCGTAGGGAATTAAAAACTGTAATTATTGGTACTATTCAATAATTCATTAGATTGACAGTTTTCTAGAAAATTGAGGTCAAAGTTGAAACTTCGATTGCATTTTGTGCAGCTATGGGAACAGATTTTTTAATCAAACTAATTTTCCCCGGCTAAATTTCAATGGTGAATCAGAAAATGCATTTTATTACATTATATAATATTTTGTTTTCTTGTAAAACAGGTAAGTTCGATTTTCATGTAAACCGATCGTTTTCTGTGACCGTAAGGTTTAGAGAGCTGAAACTTATTATGGGTTCATAAAAATTATTTGTATACATCATTGAGTGAATACTTTTTTCAATTAATCTAAAGTTCTCTTGATTGTAGCCATTGGCATTAAAACTTTGAGCCTCGATATTTTGAGAATGGCAGCACATACAATCAACTTTTCTTCCCCAAACATTAGATTTCATTATGGACTATAACAGCATATGACTTAATACCGAATAAAAACTGAATTAATTCATTTAATAATGAAGATCATTCTGTCACATAAGATCTTTATCAATCAAATTTCAAATCTGATGACATAAGTAATACAATGCAACAACTTTTGTTGAAGGATCTTGAATGATTTTATATTTCAATATATTATTGCTCATAATAAAATCTAATGTTTGATGAAAGAAATGTGAATGTATGTGATGCCATTACCAAAATATTGAGGCTCAAAGTTTTTGGACCAATGGCTAAAATCAAGCGATCAATTGATAAATTGACAAAAGTATTCTATCCATGATGTGTGGTAACAATTTTTATGGTCAAATGATAAGTTGCAGCTTGCTAACTCTTGAAATCACAGAATGCAGTCGGTTTAATTGCAAATTGGTCTTGATCTGTTTTACAGAAGAAGAAAATTTTATTTTTCAAAATAAGACCATTTTCTGGTTTTTCATCAGAAGTTTAACTAGTGGAATAAGTTTGATGAAAAAATCTGCTTCCATTACAAAATGCAATCGAAGTTTCAACTTTGACCTCAATTTTCTAGAAAACTGTCAATCTAATGAATTATTGCATAGTACCAATAATTACAGTTTTTAATTCCCTACGAATTCCACCAATTCTCAACTCTTGGCTTCAATTTTCGAGACTTTGGCATTACTTTTTGCATTTCATTTGCAACTTTAACCAGAAAATTGCTTTATTTAGCAAGAAATGGGTTGAGATGAGTTTACTTTGCTAAATAAGTTGTTTGTCGTACATTTAAAGCCCAATTATCGTAATTCAAATGCGCTCATGGCAAATTATTGAATTGTATTGAATCATTAATTAGTAAAGCATTAAATTGGTGAAAGAATTATGATTGTAGGGAATGCCATTCTCTAAATATCGAGGATCAAAGTTTTTGGACAAATGGCTAAAATCAAGAGAATTGTAGATTAATTGAAAAAATTATTAACACAATGATATGTACAAATGATTTTTATGGTCCCATAATAAGTTTCAGCTCTCTAAACTTTACGGTCACAGAAAACGATCGGTTTACATGAAAATCGAACTTATCTATTTTACAAGAAAACAAAATATTATATAATGAAATAAAATGCATTTTCTGATTCACCATTGAAATTTAGCTGGGGAAAATTAGTTTGATTAAAAAATCTGTCCCAATAGCTGCACAAAATGCGATCGAAGTTTCAACTTTGACCTCGATTTTCTAGTAAACTGTCCATCTAATGAATATTTCGATAGTACCAATGGTTCCAGTTTTTATTTCCCTACAAATCCCACCAACTCTCATCTCTTAACTTAAATGTTCGAGACTTTGGCATTACTTTTTGCATTTCACTTGCAAGTTTAACCAGAAAGTTGGTTTATTTAGCAAGAAATGGGTTTAGATGAGTTTACTTTGCTCAATAAGTTGTTTCTCGTGCATTTAAAACCCAAATGAATTCAAATGAGCTCATGGCAAATCATTGAATTGTATTGAATCATTAATTAGTAAAGCATTAAATTGGTAAAAGAATTATGATTGTATGTGATGCCATTCACAAAATATCGAGGCTTAAAGTTTTAATGACAATGGCCAAAAGCAAGAGAACTACTGTTAAATTGCTAAGAGTTTACAACCCACGATAGTTATCGACAACTTTTATCAACAAATACTAAGTTTAAGCTCTCTAACTCTTATGGTCACAGAATGCGGTCGATTCAACTACAAATCGAACTTATCTGTTTTCCAGAAAAAGAAAAATTCTACTTATCAAAATAAGTACATTTTCTGATTGACCATTAAAAGTTTCATCATTAAAATGAGTTTTATGAAAAGATCTATTTGAATAACTGTACAAAAAGCGATCGAAGTTTCAACTTTCAACTTGATTTTCTCGAAAACTTTTCATGAGAGAAACTTTCAAATAGCACAAATGGATTCAGTTTGAATGTCCTCATTAACCAACATAGTCCTAATTTATAAGAAATTAATTCTTACCTGTTTTTGGCATTTGTTTCAATATGTTGATTAATGTGATAATTGTGTTAATTGTGTCTTTTTTAGTAACAACCCAAAAAGAACTACTTGCATCTATTGAAGGCTTCCACTTATGGGTTAGCTTGGAAGCTCCGTCGAGAGGACTCGGTTTATTAAAGTTGTAAAACAAATTGACATACAAATGATTCGACAGAAACAATGGCATTTGTCAGGGGAACTTTGATTCATCCCTGATTCAAATGATATACTTATTATTTCACAAAATTACGCGTTGCAGGCCATTCGATGAAAAATATCCTGATTGATACTTAGTCCCTTTAGGGTCTCATCTTCAAATGGTGCTGATTTCATCTCAATTTACCGAAAACAAAACAATGTAACATTAATTGTAATTATCTATTATTAACAATTCATCCTTGAATCTAAGTTTTGTTCATTTTAAGCATTTTTTGTCCAAAAATTCGGTAAATACAGTGAAACGAGAATCCCCGAAAAACTTGTATTTTTAGGTTTTTTCATAATTATTAGCTTAATTCACTTTAAATACGTGAGACAGTATTTAATTGCTACAAGACAATACCTAAATGAAAAACAAGATTATTCATCAACATATTAATAAATCTGATAACCTTCTAAATTCTGGTTTGAAGTGAACCTGAAATATGAAATATTGCCTAATATTACTGTAAATTTAGATTTGATTATTGAATAAGTAAACGATTAATAGTAAGACTAATAACAAGTTCAACTGCAAGTTATAATCAAGGTTTGTAAACACTAAAATGGCAAGTTCAGTGAAAATGTTATTTCAGGTAAAATTGTAACCTGACAGTAAACTGTAAAACTATAACATCACTTTTGTATACTTTTACTGTTGTAAATAGGGGAAAAATAGAGTTATTTATCTATTCATATTGTTGTTGTTATTATTTGCGATTTGATTTAATTTCATTTTTACCTCAACCTTTTTAAATTGGTGCCAACTATTGAAAGTGACATGGTTACATGAACAACAACACACCAACAACCTTGACTGATCTGAAATGTATTGATTGCCAATTTATCCTTAAACCAGTAACCATCATCAATTGTTAACAAACAAAGTACAATTATTACGTCAAAAGAGCTCAACGAGAAGGTAAAAGAAATAAAATTAACTTATAGTCAAGTTGTACTCTAATAATTGGTTAACGGGTAAAAATAAATAGTTGAAAAGATAAACCTGAAATTGTGGGAAAATATTAGTCAGAGTCCGCCATTATTTTGTCTTGTCCTTGATACAGAAGATTATTGTTTCCAGTTGTTTAATCATTTTAAATTGAGTGGCCAGTGTTAATTGCTTTATTCTTATTGTGATTTAGTGTAAATTCAATTATCGGAAGAAGGTTCAACGTGTCAAATAAGCTTATTGGTGAAAATAGCAACCAAAAGAACCTAAATTTAATTCAATGGACAAACTCTGAGTCAAACAAAGAGGTAAAGGAGAAAGAGAGAGAAGAATCAAGTTGTCTTCTTAATGTTATGTTAGTCTTTATGTTATTAACTTTCCTCCTTATTTTTTTTCTTCTTGTTCCCTCCTTATTTCAATCGTGCTGATTTCATGATGTGAATACCCAAAATGTACCTTGATAAACATGTTAACCTACTTCTTAACTTGTTGGTGATGATGTCTTTTTTTATACACCATTCTTGCTGCTTGTGAACCATTAGAGACAAACGAGTGAACCGTTTTACAGTTTATTAATATTATTGATACTTTTACTTGTGCAATATCGTTTTGTAAACAACATCTACTGCTTCATCATCTTAACCAATGGACTACTTTCATTCCACCAATTGGTTTATTTGAACACGCGATCTAAATTTCTAGAAAATCATCTAAACTTATTCAGTGAAACGATTGAGAGTATCAAAAGTAACATTAACATTGGTGTAACACACGCAAAAAGCTAGTCAACTCAACTCAAAATTATGGATTCATGGAAAGAAGCAGCGTCCCTTATAATTGTTGTTGAAAATACCTCATCACCGTCATCCTTGTCATCACCATTATCACAATCGTTTAATCTATTGATGACCAAAAGAAGTGACAAAGCATCGTTTCTTGGTTCAGCTTTCGTTTTTCCAGGTGGACATCTAGAGACCTCTGATTTCTCACCTGAATGGTGGAAAGTGTTTAATCAAGCTGGTTTCAGTGAATCGCATGTAAATTCAGTTGTCAAACGGATTAATGGTCCTCGAACACCAATAATCACCGAGTGTCAAACCAAATTAGCAGCTCAACAACAGTTTTCCTCATCTTCATCGTCAAAAGACAATGTGCTACCTTCAGATATTGGACTTCGTATTTGTGCCATCCGTGAAACTTTCGAAGAAACTGGTGTTCTTCTTGCTCATAATTCATCTAATTCTATCCAACTCGATGCCATATCAGTTGAAAATTGGAGGTCTAAAGTGAGAGAAAACGCAAACGATTTCATCCAATTCTGTTTAGAAATGAAAATAGCTCCAAACATATGGGATCTCTATGAATGGTCAAACTGGTTAACACCAAATGCTTTAGGACACCGACGATTTGATACAATGTTTTACATTTACTGTACTTCAAACAAACCCGAAACTGACTCTGATCAGAAAGAAGTGGCAACGATTGAGGTAAAAATTTAAACATTTTTATTAAAATTCACAATATTCTAGATACAATGTAATAACAATTATTTCATATTTTTTTCTTGATAGTGGTATACTCCAAATGAACTCCTAGACCTGCAAAAGCAACAGAAAGCATTTTTGGCTCCACCACAAGTCTATGAATTATCCCGCTTAAGTAATTTTAAAGAATTTCATGAACTGAAAGACTTTGTTTTTAAACGTGAATCAGATGGAGTTGAACGATGGATTCCATTGATAAAAGGTTATGCAGATGGCTCCGTATTTTTCTTACCTGGTAAAAACATTTTTTACTCAATTTTTACAATTCTCAAACAAAACACTCATTTAATATGATTAATCTTTTTACAGGAGACGATTCGTACGGACTAGACATTAAAACAAGCATCAGGTCAATGCCAACCTTAGAACAAGCCCGGAGTCTTGTGAGCCATCTTAATCGTATCGAATTCAAACAGAAAGTTTTGCGAGCTTTTTGTAACATTAAACTAAACTGTGGCCAAATTTCACCTTTAACATTTCCTTCAGCGATTTTACAATCATCTCTTTAACTAGCCCGTTAAATCAAATGAAACAATCCTGGAATAAAACCGGGGCCATTAGTTGAATAAATGACAATTTTTTATCAAGAAACGTAATGCGGTTCATCATCTCGCAATGGTGGCCTGAAATCTTAATCGTATTTTTTGCATCTAATTGAAAATTCATTTACAAATTTTTTCTCCTGGAAGAATGAGCAGTGTTGAGCCATTTAATTCACTGCAGGTTTTAATTATAAAGAAAAATTTAAATTTTCCATGAATTGCTTGATTCTTGAAAAATGGAAGATGATTCATGTTTATGAAATTTTGCGGTACTTCTTTGAAGAAATCAAAGATCTGTATTGGAGATTATTACTTGACAATCAAAAAGTAGTTAAAGAAATGCTAATAAAAGTCAAACCTGCTTTTTTCTATTTTAATATCGGTTCTAAAATCTACAATAAAAAATATTAACCAAAGCAGAAAACATTTGATAAATTTAGATATTATTGATAATCACTTCACTAATCATTGAAAGTCAAAAGTTATGAACATTAGTCGATCAAAGGAAAATGATAAATGGTCTGATTAAATTAAACAGAAAAAAAGATATTTAAGGCGCAATTGAGTTCTTTATAAGCCATTTAGAGGTGATTTCAATAAGTTAATATCACTTTTTCTTGATTGGAGAAAAAAGGATGGAAGGCTTGATTGAAAACTTAGGGCGGGAAAGATGATATAGAAGTAATAAAAGGATTTCACAATGTCTTAAAATCTTTCTCCGTCTAAATTTTAGAATTATTGATTGAACGGAGTTTTAACTGGATTGAAGATAGATTTGATCCTGACTCATATTTTCTGCTCCTCTTTTCGAATCTCTTAGTATTTAATATTGTAATTTGTCTTGATAATCAGCCCACTTCTCTTTTGTTTGCTTACAGGATGAGTTGTGTATTTTTGAGAAATTTGTAATGTACAAATCAATGAAAAGAAATTAATAAATAAACCAGATGTACAATAATTATAAAAAGATTGCTAAAATTTATATGGGCTGACTGATGACTGGCTACTAGAGGTAGAATCTCGACGAGAAGGTCCACTACTGTCGCGATTTATCATGCTTTTTGGTTGATTAGAGGCAATATTGCTTGAAGTTACTATAAGAGAAAAGAAAAGATAAAGAAAAAATTAATAGATGATACTAATTACAAAAAAGGTGAAAATTCAACTTACGGTCAATTATTTTCGAACTAAAAGGACCTTCACCAGGTCCAAGATGAGATATATGGCTAAAGTCAGATGGCCCACTGATTGGTAATCTTGAGTTCTGTAAAAATAAATTGAATTGTATTACAAAAGATGATTTAAATTGAAAATTTGAGTAAATAATTGATGGTTGGTCAAAAGAACTGCACTAACCTTTTTGGGTAAATCACTAGTGACTCCTGAAGCCGTTTGTATAATTCGCTGGGCCACAGTAGACCCACTGACTAAGAAAGGTTTACTATCATCACCTTTTGATTGTAGCAACCATTGTGAACCATTCATTGTTGGAACAAATTGAACAAGCATTGGAAAATCATTGGCATTTGTGAGACCAAGAAGATAACCTTTACCATGTTGCTGTAGAGGTTTGGTAGCTTTGAGGTTGATTGTTTGAATCCATTCAGTTGTTTCAAGATCGAAAACATTAATATGAGTTGAGGCAAAAGCTAACAATAATTGGACATTCTTGTTATTTATTTCAGTTTCCAGGGTAGCAACATAGTTAGGTTGAGATGGAAATTGAAGTTCAATAGCTCGAGTTCGCTTTCCACAGGAATCTACATAAACTCCGTATGCTATAAGCAAAAGAAAAACAAAGAAATTAAAATAACTGACAGATGAGAAAACAATTAAATAAGAAAAATACTTACGAGCAAAAACCAGAATCCATTCATCTTGATTGATTTGTCTTGAAAGTAGAGCATCAATAGGATTTTGAATTAAGAAAGACAGCTCTTGACATTCTTGATTAACCAAATCTAAATAAAAAATTACATTAATAGCAAAAGATGGTTATTAAAAATCCATATTGTCAAATGAACTAAAAATTTAAATTGCTACTTACATAAAGGAGGTTGTTCACGATTATTAATTTGATAAACAACAAAACTAGATTTAGTACCAATAGAAACCATGTTGTCCACAATTGAAAGGGTTTGTATCATTAGAGGTAATTGAATTTCTTTCCAAAGGTTATAACGGACTCTTTTACGGGTAATCTCATAAATTAATAGTGTCTTTTTAATGGCAACACAAACATAAGTAGTGGTGGGAAGATTGGCAACTGCGAAAAGATTTGCCCCTTTGGTTTCAGGTATTTTAATCCATTCAATTCCATCATTGTCAAGGCCTCGAATTGGTATTAGTTTGATATGTTTTTGTTTACCAGCCAAAACAATTACCAACTGGTCATTTGGTGAATAATGACATTGAACAATTCTTTTAGAATTGGTTAAACGACGACAAGTACAAATATCCAAGTCACAGCAAAGAAGACAATCGTCACATCCAATGAGAAGTCGAGTTTCATCGATGACACAACAGCTATTGATATCATTATGATGTCGAAGAGCAGATATTTGGTAAGAATTAAGGACAGTATGAGCTTTGAGCGGCTATAAATGAAAAATTAAAAGCATATTTAAATTAAGATTTCGTTTAAATGATTTAAGATAGTTTAAAGATTGAAAATTAATTTTTATACTTACATTTCTATTACAGAGTTTGTTTCGTCTGATAATTCGATGTAATTCGTGAAGAGCATCAATCCATCTATTTTTCTCGATCTCTTTGTCAGTTAGCATCAACTGTGTAAAATTTTGATCAACTTTATTAGAAACCATTGACGTAGTTATCCTAAATATACACGGTATGTCTTTTTTATTTGCGTGAATAACATCGCTCTCTTGAACACCACTTATACAGAATCTTTCATCCCTCATGTCTATTACTGTATTGACTGAAACTGGTGGAGTTACTGTTGGACCACTTTGTGACCCATCTCCTCCAGATCCAGAACCACTGCCATGCGAACCCGAAGGGTAATTACTGTCACTACTACAGTACAGATCGTAGAGGAAAAGCTTGAAATCACAGACTACAACAAACATTCTAATCCAGCCTTTACGAACACCACCACGAGCTTTGGGTATTTTAACATAGCCTTCATAAGCTGTACCGATTCCTCTTGACGGGTCAATTCCTTGAGGTCTTTGACTTGTGTCATCACAGGGACACAACTGAATACCTTGAGAAGCACAAGCGATATGGCTAACAAATCCACAAGTTTCACAAATAAGACCTTGTCGAATCAAACCAATCATCAAAGAAGTGCAATGGAAACATTTTAAAGGAGCAACAAATGTTCGCACGATGAATGAATGTTGTTGTTTACTTTGGAAACTAGATTGTGATAACATCATTGGAGGCCCGATTGAACCAGCTTTAGATCTTGATCGAGTGTCAGCTGATGATGAGGGCGAAACATCTTCAGACTCGATGTCGCTTGTGTCCGAACCTCCAATAGGTGAATTCATTCCAATTCTACCAAGTTGCATTTCGATTTCCTCCATCATTTTACCAGCTGAAATGCGTCTGGAATTGACAGAAGATCCGAACAGCATGGAGGAGGAATCATTGCTCAATCGTTTGTTAGTTTGTTGATTTTTAAGTTTAGCAACTTCTATTCGTAGCTCAGCTAAGTCTCCATTGAGCAGAGCAATTTCTTTCTGCGCTTTAGTCAATTCTTCTTGTACTCTTTGTTTGTCTTCGATTTCATTAGCTAATTCGAACTGGAGTTGCAATAGCTCTTGTTTATCAACTCTGGCTGATCTCCTTTCTTGCCATGTTGTATAATTAGAGTTGACTGGCTCCTTTGGAACATATGCATGAACACTTGAACTGTGTCCAGTATCGTTGTTAGAATTTGATGTTTCAATGGCACGTTGATTGGCATTCTGTTGCTGAATTTGTTGTAGTTGATGTTGATGTTTAAGTAATTCTAATTCTTTAGTCATGGTAGCAGCCATTTGTTGTAAATAATTCCGTGCTTCTTTTTCATTTCCAACCCAATCAATAATTTCACTTATCTGCCTCTCCCAATGAGGTTGTTGTTGTTGTAATTGCAATACCTGTTGTTCAAGTTCTTCAATATGATGCTGATGCACCATAGAGGCTATTCGCTCATCTAATTCACCTTTAAGACGAAGAACTTCTTGTTCTAAATCTGCAATTTGAGCAAGATAGTATTTCTCTTTTTCACTTGGGCCATTAGACATATTTGATCCACCAGTTTGTTCTTGGTTTTCAATACTTGACAGTTGTTTTTCCAAATGAGCTAACTTGGCTTCCGATTCTTTTGTTTCAATTTGCATTTCCTGACGTAATTGCTTTTCCTTTTCAAGCTCATTTTGAATCACTATCATGTCCTCTAACTGTTGTCTTTTGATCCTCTCAGAATTTCTTAGCTGCTGACGTAATTCGGCTATTTTTTCCAAACTTTGGTCCAGTTCTTCTTCTTTACCACGAAGTCGCGAAGAAATGGAGTTCTTTTCTTTCCTCAGCTCATTTAACTTAACAGATAACTCACTCCATTCATGTCGAGCTACCCAAAGTTCATTCTCGAGTTTAGCATATGCATTTGTGTCAATATTTTTACTTGACAAGTTTGTTGAATCAGATGCATCCACAACACAAACGGCATAATTAGATTTCGGACTACGTGGAGATGTTACTTTGCTTCCATTTTGTTCAGATTGTGACCTACTCTTACTTGCATTGAAAGTACAAGTAAATCCAACAAATGGAAGATGAACATTAAGCAGAGAATCTTTGGTAGTGGGGGCGATTAAGTTATCAAATTTATTATTTGTCGGTGGCGCTGAATCGTCAATATCGAAATTTGAAGTATCTTCAGGGCCTGCTACTTTAGGCTGGTAAGGTGGTTTCATTTCACGGAGACGATCCCACTCAATTCCATTAAACCAAGAGTGAGCTTTAAACTGTTCTAATCGCTTGAAACGGTAACTCTGATCACAGATCAGGTTAGAAATGAGATCTTTTGCTTCATCAGTTACTTGCGCGTTAACTGGAAATTTAAAACAGTGTTTGTGATCCATTATATTTGAATAAGTTTGAATAAGTGATTCCGCATAGAATGGGGTTTCACCATACAATGACTCGAATATAACCACTCCTAATGACCACCAATCAACCTCAAAAGAGTAAAGTAAACCTGAATTGCGGTTACCTTCCATAGCTTTAAGGATTTCAGGTGAAATATAATCTGGTGTACCAACAGCAATTGTACAATTACCATTGCTACGTATTTGTGAAACTTTGGTGCATGAGCCGAAGTCAGCTAAGCGGATGTGACCATGTGAATCTATTAAAATGTTATCAGGCTTAACATCACGATGAATGTAACCCATATCATGTAGATAGGAAAGAGCTAAAAATGTGAATAGAAGAGTAAGATAAACAAAAAGTAGATAATTAACAAAACATACAGATTATACCTATAAAATAGCGAATTTTGGTATAAAAGATAAAAATGATTTACCTAAGACTATCTGAGCAGTGTAAAATCGTGACATATCCTCTGGAAAGTTCTCATCATATTTTGATAAAAGGGTGAGCAGATCTCCGCCACAGTAATAATCCATGATTAAGTAAAGATTTGTTTCATCTTGGAAAGCATAATGAAGCTTTGTGAACCAGGCTTCCGATCCATGGAGCAAAACATCCCTTTCCTCCCGGTAACAAGCTGTTTCTGCTCTTTTCAACATTTCTAATTTATTCAGAGTTTTCATTGCGTAAACATTACCATCATCTTTTCCTCGAACTAAAGCAACTTTACCAAAGGCACCTCTTCCAATTATTTTGATTGTCTCGAAATCAGACGCCTTGAGTTGAAGCTCTTTCAGTCTATCAAGAAAGGGTTTAATTGACTCACAAAATTTTTGCTGTTCTTTACTACGAGTAGTTGCAACTAAACGCTGACACTCATAATAAACAGCAATGAGAACGTCAAATAGAAGCTCACAATTGATCGATTTCCCATCAAAAAGTGTCGGTCCCATTGACAAAAGGGTTTGTAACTCTGTGAACCTTTTTTCCAAACTAATAGTTGGAGTTTGTGACAAAGATTGTAACTGCTGATGGTGGCGAAGTCCTTTAATGAAATGATTTTGTGACTCTTGTGCTGACATTTTGTTGACGATATGGTTATTGGTCAAATTATTATTAAATCCTTCTTTGTTAACCTCAGGTGAACTGGCTGAAGACATGATGATGGTTTATACAATGATGATACATTAAACGGGTGGTGACAGAAAAAAGAGACCTATTATTATGACTATAAACTTATTCTCTTTTTTAGTATAAAGTGATTAACAACAAAATAAATGAAAATTTAAGGGCAAGAGCCCACACACTGAAAGGTAAGTGAAAAAGGAAGAGAAAGTGAGAGAGAGAAAAAAAGACCCATGGTGGAAAAAGGAATGAAATTGACTGTATTTGTGAAAACAAAATTGATTGGCAAATATTTGTTGATGATGCTGATGATGAAGATGAAATTAAAGATGATGATGATAATACTAGAGATAATAAGGATAGAAAAAAGAAAGGAGGATCACTGATGGCGATTTCAAGCCATACAAATTATCTTTCACCAAAATAATCAAAACATGATGGATTTTGATTCAAAAAAATGAAAAGGATTTGAGTTAACAAGAGTGAAAAGGAGAAAAATAGAAGAGAGAGTAGAGTAGGGACTGTTACTCCATTGCAGATTGAGCACTCCGTTAATTGTCATAACAGAAAGGGAAGGAAAGTGATTCTATCGTAAATCGAGTCTGTTCTCGTTTTTCCTTCAGAATCAATTAAATTAAACATTCGTTATTTATGAGTTTAGTCAAACATCAATGTAATCATCTAATTAACACAAACACTTTATCTTTATCTCCTTGAATTGAAGGAGATGTAACTCTTAAACTAACCTCTATCTCTCTTCCTCTTTCTCTTTCCTCTCTCTTTTTCATTTTATTTTGTTCAAATTGTAAATAATTTCATTGTCAATCATTTAAAATTAAACGCATTCGTCTCAATAAACACAATACAATTTGAATTATTATTTTACCTTTTACAAGTCATCCCATGAAAACAGTTTAATAGTGAATAACTTGATGATTCTTGCATAATTTTTGTTAACTTAATGATTTTGTTTTCATTTTATATTTGAACAGAATTGTTATAATTCTATAATCATTCGACTTGGTATTATGATGGAAAACCTGAGATAATTGATATTACTTCAAGTTCGTGATAAGCTAAAGAAATCAGTATTGATCTATTCAGATGATCATTTTCATTGAACAGGAAGTTTTTTCTGTAGTTAACCTAATAACTTAACAATTGATCCTTTTTTTCACGCCATTTTTACTAAATCAGATTTTTTTAATCGGTTTTTCCTTTTCACTTGAAAACGCTTCAATCTTAAATTAAATTATCGGTTAGCTGGAAAATGTTGTTTTCTCCAGATTTTTAAGCGAAAAAAGAAGATTGAAAACAATTCTCAAGAAAATCTGAAACTTAAATTTCATTTATTTGTAGATTTTAACTGCATGTTGAGAAAAAAATGAATTAACCAATCCGTTTTGGTGCGTAGCTGATGAAGATGTTTAAATGTTGTTTAGTTAATTATTTTAGACACATATACAAGCTATCCTCTCATAGAAAGGAAGAAATAAGTAAATAAAGAGATAATCTGAAGAGGTATGAATCATGAATAACTTATGGATACTAAGAGTGATGTGATGCAGATTTAGTGAACAATTAGCCTCAGATGAATCAATTATTCAAAATGGAAAGCTTTTCATGTTTTTCTTTTGAGTTTTCGTTCAGCAATGATAGATAATTTCATGTTACAGTATGTAGTCCAATTCATATCGAACATAAGTGTTTTTTTCATCGTTAGGGACTCGTGGATAAGCAGCTACCAGAGCATCTTGAGCTCCAATATAAAGGGTATTATAAACTTTCCAATAAACATCACGAACTTTACGGGCTGGATGGAATAGACCTTGAAGAACATATTGTAACATTTTGATTGGTCCGAGTGAAACACGAATTCCTTCAACTGCTCCCATAAAGGCTTGAACGAGATGAGGGGATGTTTCAAAGATGTTGGGCCAGACATAATTCAATAAGTGGGTTAGTGCGTCTTCACACCCAAATCCGTAAACTCCAAGAGCCATGTGTTGAACAACGGAACATGCTGTTTGACGATGAACAAGATCTCGGTCCATCAAGGCATCTTCGAGAAGAGGGGTGACTGCGTAAATGTAATCTTTGCCCATTTCACCGATGTATTCAAAAAGAAAAGATAATGATTTGAGAACACCATTTTGCACATTCAATTCTGGAATTCTGTATTCGTTCATTAATGCTGGTAAAACGGTAAATGGTGCACAAGTTTCTGCAACAATGGCAATGGCAACAGTTGTACAAACACGATTTTGCCTCTCTTGGACTCTTAAATTATTTAAAAGGGTTGCCAAAACATCGTGTGGACCAATAGCTTTAGCAATGTAACCAAATGTATTAACAGTAGCTCGTCTAATGGCTTTTTTATGAGCTTTCAAAAGTTCTAATAGTTCAAAACAGATTCGCATCCATTCTCTAGCTGAAACATATTCGGCTCCTCTATCAGCAATACGTCCAACTAGATCGATACAGTTTTCTTGAACTTTTTCATGCCTATTCTTTAAAATGGGCGTTAATCGTGGTAATAGATCTTTAATTGGTGGAGTCATTTTGTGCATTCCAATTACATTTACAATTGCTTTGAGAGCACCAAGAATGCTACCAAGAACTTCAGGGTATTCTTCTCCTAAATATTCATAAAGAACGACACCTAAGTGGCCCATGAGCTTTTCTTCGCCACAAGTTTTCATTACAACGGCAATTTTTGAAATAAGATCAGCTGCTTGTTGACGAACTTTGGCTGACTTGTTGTTTAATCTCCATAAAATAGTACCACAAATTTGAGGAAGATATGGTTTCACCCTTTTGCCTAATGCGTTCACAATTGTACCAAACCCGTTTAACATTATCATATCTTCAGTTGTTTGTTCTTGGAAAGCGTAAAGTATACCATCAATTAATTGTTCTTCTAGTTTTGAGTCTATTTGAGCCGCTCCTTGAGCTGCCATGATTTTTTCTATCGTTTCCATGACCATTTTACGATAAGCTTCATTCTCGTCTTTCAAATCATCCACAATTCGACGAATTATTTCAGAAGCGTCCACTTTATTTGCTATTTCTACAGTTGTATCGACTAATTGTTTATAGTTTCGTCGATCAAGGGCCATCCGATGGTTCCAGAAATGTTTGAAGAAATCGGGTAAAACATCATTTTTAATGTATTGAGGTTCAACACCATCAGTGGCACAACATTGTTTGACTACTTTTAGTACAATTTTTTTCATTTCCTCATCTGGAGACGAAAATTCACGAATCAGAATAACCATAACTTCTCTTGTATAGTAATTGGCGTATTCAGGGTCCATGAGAGGTATAAGATAACCGATAGCTTTAAGGAATGCAGCTAAACCTTTACCACGATGAGTACGAATACCTTTCCATAAAGGTTTGAGAACTGAATCAAATGATTCGATACCATAAGGTGTTGCTGCTTCTGCTAAAGCTGCTAATGCTAAAGCAGTTATGGTTCTAACTTTTTGTTGCTCATCAACTAATCCATGCTCGATAATTTCAACTAAACTTTTTAGATGAGGAAGAATAGCACATCCCATGAGTATGGCAATTTGTTGAACAATTTTGATACCAGTGTGACGAGCTTGCCATGACTTTTTACTTTTACATACAGCTTTGAGGAAAGGTAATAATGAAGGGATACCAAGAGCAGAAGCAACCACTGCGAAAGCTCGGGCTGTTGTATTTCTGACATATTCATCAACGTTATCGATATCAGGTCGCATAGTTGAAATCATGGTAGCTAAACCAGCAGCTTTAGCAAGATTAGAAATAATTTCTCGACCTTCAACACGAGCGTAGTAATCTTCATCAATTAGAAGAGGTTCAATGACTACAAGAATTTTATGAACATACGGGCGAACTAAATCGTCAAGTTTATACAAGATACGATCAATAACTTTGACTAATAGATGTCTTTCTTGATCTTCTAAAGTGGGTGACATGAGAAGTGGTAAAATTTGATTGAATAGTGGTCCAGCTCCGAATTCTCTGGCTTTATCAGTTATTTGTCTCAAAGCTGATTTCCTCATAGGAGGTGTTCCATTTTTAATTTTAAGCAATAATTTCATTATTTTACGCTCCTTTTGTTCATCAGGACTCAACGATTCTTCATCTACTTCTGATAAAAGTTTATCAAAATATTGAATATCTTCAGGTTTCAATGGAGGTAAGTTTTGACCCTTTGGTTCCATGTCCATTATTTTTGTTGTCTCTTCTTTTTGGAAGAAGAATCTTTCAGACGAAATACCAGACATTGGTGTTGGAGTCGCAGTTAGTTTACGAGCTGGAGTTCGAATTGGTTGATAGCCCGCAGGTGGAGGTAAAACCTTGTATCCTGGCGGGAATAATGTGTCTAATTCATCATCTGATATAGGCCTGTTTCTTTCATCGATTTCTCGCTCCCATCTAAAAGCTTGCATTTGTTCAGGTGTCATCAGAAGCTGTCCTGGTGATGGAGTAGCCATAGCCATGGCTTTAATACCAATAGGGGTAGCTCCACTTGGTGTGATTGGAGTCATTGGAGTCATCATTGAAGGAGTTGAAGGTGTTGCAGCTCCAGTAGCACCTGCTGGAGTTTCATCCCAACGAGATCGGCGCTTAGATGCACCTGGAGTAGGTGTTTCTGATGCAAGATCACCACCACGGTCTGTACGTGGAGTCTCGGCCCATCCAGAAACCAAACTCGGAGTCTCTAGGCGCTCAGTTTTGGGAGTTTCATCCCATCGATTTCTTCTACTAGCTTTAGTTGATGGTGTTTCATGGCCTGGAGTCATCGGTGTAGTACCTGTGTGTGATGGAGTTGGATCCCAAATTGCCTGACCAGGAGTTGCATCTCCTCTTCCGATTCTACCGGGAGTCTCGTCCCATCTATTAGGGGCTGCAGGTGTTTGTGCTTCATGCAAGTCCACGGATTTTTTAGCTGGTGGCTCATCGGTTGTTGCAGGTTGATCCCATCTACGTCTTCGAGTTGCTTTAGTTTCGCTGTCGGATTTTGCTTCGTCAGTTTTAGGTTTTTCTCCGATCTTTTTCTTCAATTCTTGCTCCTCTTTTGACAATTGCTCCCTCATAATAACTTGATAGGTTCTTGATTTTGGATCAGGAGTTTTCCCACCTTCCTCAAATGGATCGATACGAGGAGGTGATATCATGAGCTTACGATGCCTAGCTCTGTATTCATCTTCTCGATCAGCAACCCTAGGAACCCTTCTACCAGCTAGAGGATCATGATCTTTATCAACAACTTCTTCAAAAAATTGTTTTGGAGCCACAACTTGATTTTTTGCAAATGAACCATTTTCTGCTAATTCGTAATCATCATCATCATCCCCAAGTTCATCATTTGCTGCAATAGAGTCTACATAGCCACTAAATTTGTCACGAACGCTTCCATAAATGTCTTTATCCATAACACCTGAAGAGGCACTGAAAGGAACTCTATCATCACTACTGATCTCTCCATCTCCATTAGAAGATTTGGCTAAATTTGATTTACGAGATTGAATCTCCCTGATCTTAGCCTCTATCTCTGTAATTTTAAATAAAAATTGAAAGGAAGAACAGCAAAAAATTAGAATTTAAATAAAAGTAAATGCAAACATTGATGTGATTTAAAAATACTATGCATTGTAAATTGAAAAGATTGACATACCTTCATGAGTTTTTGCCGGTTCATCCATTATGATTGTTGTATTGATTACACCATTGACTTAATCAGAAGTACTTTAAAAGTGCTTATTAACCCACAAATTAATGAAAATTGAAATGATTAATTAGATAACCAATAATTGTGAAGAGATATAAATTAAGACAGTGAGTAAATTAAACAGAAAGAAATGTGAAATTGAATTCGTGGAAATAGCAGAAGCAGTGTAAATAGCATATACGCGCCAATGAAATGTTAATTTAAAATGGAAACTTAAATAATTTTTAAATTAATCGTTTAATTAATGTTAATATCACTTTTAAGCAATAAAGATTGATTATCAAAATAATTTCAATAATCATCAGAATCATTTCTTAATGATCAAAATTATAATTTCTTTTCTTGACAAAGAAACATTGTTCTTGAGCTTCGAAATTTTCTGAACACAATTAATTATTGATATTGGTGAACCTGTAACATTGGCTTTACATTAAAAATTCAGAGGAATGGATTTCAGATTTTCAATCGTTTATTGAATTTTATTGATTAATAAATGTTTTATTTTAATTACAATTGTAAGTGAAAGAAGATTATTGAGCTGCTATAAGAGTCATCTATTGGTGAATTGGAGAAATTAGAAACGCTTTGCATCTGCGTATATAGCGTCAAAAGTGTTTAAGGCTCTTAACAAATCCTGAATCGTATAAATTGCTTTGTTTTGTCATTTTGTGTAATTTTTTTGTAAAAATTTAGACAGCCTCTTTAATTTTCGTACTAGTTGTGTTTATTTATTATAAATATTTCGAATAGGTGAATTTTTGCATTAGACTGGGTCTTAATGTTGTCTCAGAAGAAAAGAAAAAGTGATATTTCTCCAGATGAAATCCAGCTAACTCCTGATGACAATGATGGGATTAGTGAACAAGAAAAACCAAATAAACTTGGCCAATGGTTGAATTTATTCGATTCATGGTCAAATAAAGAACGTTTAACTGCTCTAGAGTCTTTAATTTCAAGTGATATCTGTGATGCCGGACAAATACGGCATCTTTATTCATTAATAGAACCACAACTTCAGCGAGATTTCATAAGCCTGTTACCTAAAGAACTGGCTCTTTATGTATTGCATTTTTTAGAGCCTAAAGATTTGTTAAGAGCTGCTCAAACCTGTCGTACCTGGAGGATATTGTGTGAAGATAATTTACTTTGGAGAGAAAAATGTCAAGAAGAAGGTTTATTGGATGACGGAGAATTATTAAGTGGTGCTTATGGGTTCAATGGTTCATCATCCAGCTGTGATTATAGTACATTAAGTGATGGTTCAAATAGTATACCCTTTATACGATCAGAATATAAGAAAGGTTATCTGAAACAAAAAACGATAGAATATAATTGGAGATATGGACGTTTCCCGAATGACCTCAGTACAGAGCAACAGCAACAGCAGTCCCAACAATCTCAGCAGTCACAAGAGCCAAAGGTCAAGCATAAAATGCTTAAAGAAATATTACATCTCAAAGGTCATGATGATCATGTAATTACTTGTTTACAATTCAATCCTGAATCTAACCTGATTGTAAGTGGAAGTGATGATAACACTTTGAAAGTTTGGTCTAGTATTACTGGCAAATGCCTGCGTACGCTTACTGGTCATACAGGAGGTGTTTGGTCATCTCAGCTTTCTCCGCACAACATTGTGATCTCAGGGTCAACTGATAGGACTCTTAAGGTTTGGGATGCCCTCAGTGGAAAGTGTAAGCACACTCTTTATGGTCACACTTCTACAGTCAGATGCATGGCTTTACATGGTGATCAAGTTGTCTCTGGAAGCCGAGACACAACTCTGCGAGTTTGGGATATTAACACGGGAAATTGTTGCCATGTTCTAGTTGGACATTGCGCTGCTGTTAGATGTGTTCAGTTCAATGGTAAAATTGTAGTCTCCGGTGCCTATGATTATCTTGTTAAAGTATGGGATGCTCAAACAGAAACCTGTCTTCACACCTTAGAAGGTCACTCTAATAGAGTTTATTCACTTCAATTTGATGGAGAAAATATTGTCTCCGGGTCATTAGATACTTCTATACGTGTTTGGTCCGCTAGCACTGGTTCATCTAGGCATTGCTTAACAGGTCATCAATCTTTGACCAGCGGAATGCAGCTTCGGGGAAATGTGCTAGTTTCGGGTAATGCTGATTCTACTGTTAAAGTTTGGGATATTAACACTGGCGAATGCTTACAAACTCTTGCTGGAGAAAATAAACATCAAAGTGCGGTTACATGTCTTCAATTTAATTCTAAATTTGTGATTACTTCAAGTGATGATGGAACAGTTAAACTATGGGACCTTCAGACTGGAGAGTTTATTCGTAATCTAGTTTCACTTTCTAGTGGTGGCTCCGGCGGAGTTGTATGGAGAATCCGAGCCTCTCATACGAAATTAGTGTGTGCCGTCGGTTCAAGGAATGGTACTGAAGAAACCAAATTATTAGTTTTAAATTTTGATACTGACGATAATTCGCTACAATCTGAAACCTCTAGCGCATATTTAAGTGATCCTAGGTCAACAAGTACCCTTTGATATAACAAATCCTTTGGACTCGAAAGTTTCTTTCAATTATTCCCCCTTTCCAATTCATCCCATCTCTCTCTCCCTCACTCTCATTCTTTCTCTATATTTCTTTTTCTAGCTCCTTCTTTCTTCGCTTTTATCTCTTTTCCTTTTTCCTCTATTGTGTCCACTTCATTGGTGTGTAACTATACCGTCAGATCAAGAAATGAAACCAAGAAGAAAAGTTATATTCAAGCCAGGCTTACAAAAATACAAGAACAGCTATCAATTTTCTCATAATTTTTACCTGAGCTTTGCTTTGCTATGTTTGACTCAATTACTCTTTCACTTTTTTTTCCTTCCCAGCATGAATCAAATCACTAGGAACTGATTAATTATTATACATATTGATTAATCAATTTATACACCTGTAACTTATATACATACATATTAATAGCTCTAATTATAGTGATGATTGATTTTATTTGTGTTGGAGAAAAAGAAAAAGTGAGATTCGCCAAGAAAAACTTGTGAAAAAAAATCAAATTTCTACAATTTGAACTCTATGTAAACTATCTTCTCATCGATTTCCCCTATTTCTGTCCCACATAACAGGGACTAACAAGGCCTTTTTTCCAATAAATATTTCCAAAGATTAAACAAATTGAAGCGATTGAAATGCTTGTAATTAACATAAAAAATGACCAATTATAATGATGTACACATCACACATCTTAATTTCCTCCAATGAGAAATCAACAAGATGGTGATGAAAGCAGCTCAATGTAAAGAGTGATTAACAAGATAATAAACAAATTGTTCTTTCTAAAAAAAAGCATTAAAAAGATTCATCACTAATCACAATACATTCATTGTAGAAATACAATTGTAATGATGAAAAGAACCGGATGAAGGTGATACAAATGAATTGTTGATGTTTTAAACAATTTAGTGTCAATTTGTATTTCAAAAGGTTGCCTTAAATCTTGTTGGTTATAACCATCTGTAAATGGTTAGGTTATTTTTAACTTAACCTCAAGTTGATTTGCTAGAGAAATTTGATTTCTTTATGTTGATTCTCAATGCTTATGGCTTTTTACCTCAACAGCAATTTAATTGCTCCAAGCCAGCTCTTTTTTGCCCTCTACCAAGGCCAGTATAATTAGGTTCAATCCCATAAAAAAAGTAGAAACAGATTTGATTTGGTTTTAGCAATTTAAAAAGTGTTTAAAGGTTGTCCAAAAACGAGCAAATTACTCTAAAAACTAACAGCAATGAGCAATTTAAGTGCATTTAAAATATTGGGAAAAAGGCTCGACAAGTCAATCCGATTAAACTGTAATTACTTATTAAGGAGACATCTTTTTACAATCAAGCACAGCATAACCTTTTAATTATATAATCGATAAATATATTTGCCATCAATAAATGTTTGATTAAGATTAACAATAATTAATAATAAAAACTAAATAAAATGTGAACGTTCAAATTGACCGCTTTTCCTGCCATCAGCCAGTTACACAAAAATGAAAACACATGTTAACAATGAATAATAATTGGACTCATAAGGCGATAAAATGTAATTTTTGGCTTTCATTACAATTTAGTTCAACAGGGAATCAACGTTCAAGTTGAAGCAACAATCAGACGAACCCAAACGGATTAAAAAGTCGGTTTTAATGTCTTGTTAATTATTACAAATTGTGAATAAAAAATGATGAAAATATCTGCTGGAATTAACTGTTTTAATTGTTACTTTGGCTACTGTATTAACTACTTATATGCTGATGTGCAGATTTAATCACCTTCAAGCTATTAAAGACCTAAGGATATTCAATAATATTATGTTAACCTTTAAGAGTGATTATAATTTATATTAGTTATCTTATTAATACATCGATTTAGACCGTTATTTATGACTTATTTAGATTATGAGGCTTTATTTTTTTTTCGGGCAACCTCAAATTCATTACTTGCGTACTCTTGAGATGAAAAGTGTAAACTCGCTTAGCTTAATTACAGTTAAACATCATATTTAATCATTAAAATCTTAGCTATTATGTAAGCTGTAAGTTGATTGTTTTTATTGATTATAAGTGATTTATTAAATCCATTTATTTGGTGTAAGATTACAATCTACCAGATACAGCCATTAAATAAGCAAAATTGGCGAGAGTCATTATGCAGGGAACTTTTTTTAATATGTTGAATGATTGATTGATTATTTCAACTGATAATCAATATTTTACATTGAATATGTTGACTTGAATCAATGTTTCAACATCTGAAAACTAATTGTAATTACACTCAAACCTCTCATAATGAGACCCTCCGATAATGAGACAATTTCTGACCAGAGTCATCTATGGATTTAATAATCAATTAGCGCTATGATTTTACCTTATTTCTTTAAATCATCTATGCCGTTTCTAATGCAATAATATTGTTTAGAATTATTTAAACATGTTTTTTGATGATGATTGAATCATTATTGGTTAAATAAAAATGAAACCGGATTAAATATGTACCATAGTCGATATAAAAATCATTCGTTCAAATAGCTTCTGTGGGAATAAGCCTAAAAGCTATTCACAGAGAGTCTCATTATGAGAGGTTTGAGTGTAGTAGAATCTCATTGATCGATCAGTTTATAATGATAACTCGATGGGAATGAAATTTAAAACTATTGACTAGGACGCTCAATAATTTAAAACTGGTAACTCAATGTTGTTATGCAGTAGTTGAGTTACCTAAAAAGGGTCAGAGTTAAGCCCCCTGGACTATTCAATCCTCCCTTCCTGATGGATTCCCATCTAACTGGATAAAGTCTAGTGCCTATGGGTAGGCCTAACACCTAGCAAGGGGTAGATGGGCCTTAAAAGCTGTTGTGAATGGCCGGTCCTCACAAGTAAAGTTAACTTAGGCCTGACCATTAATGTAGCTTGTTATGTTGATTGGATTTTGGAGCTTAAAACTGTTTGATTGTTTGTTAATTGTCTCATTTTTCATTTAAGTTGTTGAAAGATAATTTAGCACTTTTGAATACATTTTGAAACACTATTCAATCTTACGTCAATTGGGGTCAAAATGCAAGTTTAATTTTACTAATCAAGGTTACTATGAATTTAGTTATTGATTAACCATGGTTACCCTTTATATAATATATTTTTTTTTCAATTCTGGTTAACCCTAATAATAACTCAGATCAACTTGTACATTCTCACTCAAAACCCAATTGAAGCTAATCAAGGGGCACGGCTACTTATGTCAGGTCACTTATCCTGTTCACTAACCAGTTTGACGGGATTAAACCCGGAGTCGACCCCGAAGTCCGAATAAACAGGCATCAGGTCAGTTTATTTGGTGGATTTCTTCCTGAATTAAACATCCAATGAGATATTAAAAAAGGTAGAAACTGTTTAAATTTCATCTTCTTATTTAACATTACATTTAAAACCAATACTCTAGATAGCCTCCATCGGCCTGTTCCAACTAATTTTCAGAGTTAATCTTTCCATTTCCAATAGACAAACCAATTAATTAACTGTATTATTTTAGTGTAAATTATTTAAGCCATTGAACTGGCAATGAGTGACCAACAACCTAAAAGTGATGAACCTACAAGTGTATTACCAGTTGCAGATGAAACCCCACCAGAGACAATAACAATTATAACAACTTCAACATCACCATCCCACACACCGAGTCAATTGTCACCGGTAACCATAAGGACAATCACACCAACACAATCATGTCAAAAATCACCTCTACCTTCACCATCATCATCACTACATCCAGCATCACCTTCACCCTCACCGTCCCCACAGCCACCACAGCAACAGCACCACTACCAACAGCAGCAACAATATCAGCCACAAGAATACCAACAACCACCAGTTTCATTGTCATTTCCCACCGACCAAAGTCTTAACATTTCTGATGAGGTAATCAAGGAAGACCCTTTAACTTTACGGTTAACAGATTTGAAGATTCGTGGATCCCGATTGCCTGGAGACAATGGATCAAGTCCTAGTATTGTACCAGATTGGTTTAACCGTGAATTATTTGATCTTGGCAGACAAGTCGGACGTAATCACCTTTCTTCAGTCCTTTTCAGTCATCTATCAGGATTGTCAATGGTTGTTCACATTCCCTCCATCCTTGCCACCCTCCTTGCTACCGGTAAATCCCGAACACTTGGTGATATATTTACACGCTATTTGGGTACATTGAGCCATGTAATCACATGGTATGAAGGAGATATTTGGAATCAAAATGATGCAGCTCATAAATCGTTAATAACTGTTCGTCGGATGCACTCAAATGTCGCCTCACGCATGAACCCACCGCGATCAGGGAAAAATTATCATTCTAATGACCATTATTCAAATGACAGGCAAATTTATTTATCACAATACGACATGGCTTTAACCCAATTTGGATTCATTGGACTAATCATTTTACACCCTAAACAAGTTGGTTTCCCAGAAAACTCTCAAGACCTTGTTGGTTTAATTCATTTTTGGCGATGTGTTGGTTACCTTTTAGGTCTCGACGATAGATTCAATATCCTGGATGAATCTGATTTACCTGGAACTCGAGCTTTATGTGGTCGCCTTCTTGAAAGTGAATTCAAACCAGCAATTAACCGTTACCCAACCAACCAGGCAAGTCAAATGAGTACGGCAATCATCCAAGCAATCAAAGCCATCATTCCCATTTTATCGACCCGAGGCTTTACCAAATATCTTTATAAAATGACTACTCTGGAAGCACCGGTCTCTTTGGATGGAACCGCGGCTCGAGTTGGTTATCAGGGAATCAAAGTTGTCATGAGAAACTGTTTACCTAAGCCATTATTAACTCCAGCCATAAATGCCCTTCTTAAAAAATCGATACTTAGAGCTCAAAAGAAAAGTGATACAATTAAATCTCGATTAACCAACAAGGATGATCTTATTTTGGAGGAAACCTGCTTCACTGATGTCTGATCTTACCTGACATTATCAACTTAATTCCGATCTTTTTATACAATGATAATCTTATAATCTTATAATCACTCTATTCTTGCACGACTTGCTTAAAATTAAAGGTAAAAACAAATCAACATTCTGGTTAAACTACATTTTTTTGTGAATTCATACAAAAACATATGATCATTCAGAGTATCTGTTGAGTATTTTTCAATGCAATCATTTTTAAAATTGATTTTCTTTCATTTTTTGCTCTTCAAATTAACAATCAAAAAGAGTTGGTTGATTTATTAACAAAAAAGCGACGACATAAACATAAATCAAATTGCTATCATAATCTTGCCACTCAAGTTTGTCTAATTCAAGTCAATGAGACGACTTTTTGCTAACCAAATTAAGTTGATGATTGAGTGATTGGTTGATAAAATATCAATTGGCTAGTTTGCCTCAATTAGAGGTAATTTTCAAAAATTTAGTTCATTATTTACCATCTCAACTGATGCTCTGGTTAATCACAAATTGTTTAATCATCATTTAATTGACTTTCAGTGCGAGTTAATGAATTCATGGACCTTCGACCTTAGCTCAATCTAATTAGTGTAACTTGGATCCTTATGCCAACAAAGTTGATTATACATTCATTTAAGATTTACTCATCTTCATTAGACTGTATGTTCCCAATCAACATAAAAAGGTAATTGTATCAGATGGAAAGTGTATCAAGAAAATTTGATTATCCCATTGTTAATCAAATACAACACCAATTGTCCTCCAGTTGTCGAGACATCTTTGTTACCAATCTATTATATTAATAGCAATGCCCTTCATGGCTAGAGTCTGATTCAAATCTAATTCAACTTTATTAAAATAATGAACTTTTCCTTTCAACCTAAAATGAAACAGAAATGACTGAATAAAGCTTTAATACCAAACCATCAAACGTCTGAAGTTTTATTAATAATCCGAACCAGAACTAATCCGTAGCTGATCAAGGAATCTAATTTTAATAGTTGGCCTAAATGCTTGTATCAAATCTCAATGCCTTGTCATAAGGATTAAGATTTTGCTTTTGCTTGGATTTGCCCTCAATGTTCCGATGTGATTTAAGAGTCAAATATTGATTAAATGAAAGTTGATTAACCTTTGGATTATCCTTGAAATAAATCAATTAAGGAAATATTGAACCATTGCTTTATGTTAGTGTTGATTAAATTGTTGACTTTTCTTGGCAAAAAGGTAACAATTTTGGGTGATAAAAAAACAGTGCATGTTAAACAGCTATTAAACGGTAGTTAATCGGTGATCATGATTATTGTTGATGCGTTAATCAGTTGATCAAAAGCAATTTTAAAGGTCAATCTGATAAAAACAGTTTAAGGCAACCATCAATCAAGATGTCAAATAAAATGAAACAAACAATTGACACTCGCGAAAGTAAAATATTGAGATTACCTCTTCCTCAGAAAGTATTGAGATCATTTCGTTCCAATCCACTTGCAGACAAAAAATTATTTTTTCTCGGCTTTTTTTCGCTGATTTGCTTTCTTAAATCATGGGAGTGATCATGATGATCATGTAAGATAGTTGTTGGTCAGAAAAAACAATTGTCACATAAAACTGAAATTGAGTTGAAAAAACGGCTGATGGGAATCACCTAACATGGTAATGATGACCGAGACTATCAAGAAAGTGACTGCTAATTGCTGAAGAGGCAGAGTCAAGAATGCTAGTTACATTTAAGTGACAACAATTTACTATTTAGTATATAAACTGCGATCGGATGTGAAATTTAATCAGACAATCTTTTGGTATTGATTAGTAAACAACAACAATAGTGACAATAGCTATATTATTGTGTTAAACAGTGTCGCAAATCAAACGGATAAAGGGAACCAAAATGTTTAAGTTTATTTGCTTATTTGCAATCGTGTTCACGGTTTCGTGTGACAAATTGGCTGATGGTACTAAGGCCATATCTGCTTTAGAAGGACCCAAACCCATATCTCAACTTCGAGATGTCCAACATGAACTAGAAACTGCGGCTTGTCACCACCACCACAAGCCTCAAGAGCACCACCACCATCACCATCACCACCACGGCAAACAACAAGCTCACCATCATCATCATCACGGACATAACGTAAGTTTCAGGGAATTATAAATTTGATTTGAAAGCAAGAACTCTTGAAACGAGTGTAAACATTAAGGATAAGGAATGCAAGTTTGGAAACAATTAGATCAGAGTTTATTTTGATGGTATACTAATCCTCAACTTGAATTTTCAACTTCACAGCACGGACACCATCATGGTCACAATCATCATCATGGTCATAATCATGGTGAGTACAGATTGACAAAACTGTCAAGTCTCTATAAGTCTATGAATGTTACAGTGATAACTGATTCACTTCTTAACAATCACAGGTCATAAACATGGACACTGGCATGAGCACAAGCATGGTCATGGACATAAGCACGATCACAAGCACGACCATAATCATGGACACGGTCACGACCATAAACATGGGCATAAACACGGACATGAACACAAACACGGGCATCAACACGGTCATTCTCATGGACATAAACACAAGCATGTAAGACAAATAGTCCCATTTATTTAAATGTTACAAATCTGGACAAATTTTAATAATCCATCTCTGATTTCAAATAGGGCCATCATCATGGTCATCATCATGGACATCAGCACGGTCATCATCATGGCCACAAACACGGGCACCATCACGGTCATGGACATGGACATGTAAGTTAAAACTCACTGACAAGTTATGAGTTACAATAACTCGATATAACGGTATTATTCAATAATTTTAGGGACATGAACACAGTGGATGGCACTCACACTCTCACCACGGCTGGCATGGACATCATCATGGTCATCATGGTCATCATGGACACCACGGTCATCATGCTCATGGTTGGTCAGCAACTGAATTCACTAGCCCAATCCATGGTTTCTCAACTGGTAATGATCACCAAGGACATCTCTCAATGGATCATGCTGGTCAAATGTTCATGCAAGAAGGTCCAATGGGCCACATGTCTTCCAATGATCATATGGGACCTCCATCAGATGCTGGTTCATTTGATGGCTTTGCTATGGTTGAATCATCCGAGCCTGGTCCAGGAGCTGGTTATCAAGTCATTGGATCCCCTAATGAAGCTAAAATATCAGCAGCTGATCAAATTGGCTTAAGTGATTTTGAGACAGCTAAGGTTGCCGCTGAATCTATCTTTGCTTAAATTGTAAAATAATCCGAGCTGAAACCAACTCATTCCTCTGAAATAATGCTACTGCTGTGCAGAATCATTTATGTAAATTATTAATTCTCCATTTAACTGTAAATTATTGTAAATTAAAATTTGACGATGTAAAGTTTCCGTATTTAAACAATGAGTCTACATTTCTCTCATCTCGGTAAATTAATCTTTTAGTTCAAAATCAAAAATAACACTTGAAAATAATACTTGATTTATACTGAATATTCATTGCTGACAAATTACAATTCTAGACAGATGAATTCGTGAGTCACAATTTTCCAAAACAGTTTGAACTTTTCAACCCAACTTTCTGGTTCATTTATTAACTAAACAGTGCATTAATTACAATAAATTTACAAACAATTGTGCAAAAATTAATTTAAACAATGATTCAAATTTCACTTGCTCATAGCAACAAGATAATTCAACAAAATTAAAATTCACATCCAAATTGAATTTCATCCAAAATCATCAAAACACATTAGAGCCATCTATCGTTCAAGATGGACAAATTTTATCAAAATCAATTCATTTTCAAATTAAACTCATTATTATTTAAATCAGCTAACTAATAACAATAATGTCACTTTCTTATTGCGATATCACTTTGATTGAAAACTTTCAATTTAATTTTTTTCTGGTAATTGACCGGTTAATTGTATTTATTTTTGCTATGTACGTCACTACGGCAACTAAGGAGACATGCGTTGAAAAAATAACATCTGTTTTTCATCAACAATTTGTTAATGTTTTAATGGATAGAAGTTTAATAAACCTAACAATTGATTAATTCACTCCTCAATCAACTTCATCGACTTGTTTTTTATGTAAATTATTATTTTGTTGTTGTTTATTTTACTGTAATTACGATTTAGTGTTAATATGGCGCTCACTATGCAAAGGATCACAGCATTTAAATCGTCTTCTTCATCTTTATCGATTGTTCATCGATTTAATTTGGATAGATTTGAGAGATTTTATGGGACTACAGCCTACGATTCATTTCGTCCGAGAAATACTCCCGCTAGAATGCAACGTTTGGCAGAAAATTATATGTATAAAATGCAACAAAAATATGGTCTTCGCACGAAAAAACGATTAAAGCCCAAAGGAGTTCATTTCAGCAAAGGTGTTCCTCCTTCACTTTTATCTGACGTTGATGAAGGTCTCAAAGGTGTTCTTAGACACAGGCAAAGAGTCCTGGATAAAATATTCATGGAAAATTTAACTGAAATTCTTTCTACAAATCCAATCGGGGAATTTCTTAAAGAAATGGATGTTTTGATTACACAGGTATGTGAAAAAAACATGAAATAAGTTAGAGTTGATGTTAATTTATTCTGCTATTGATTTTTATTTTTTCCTCTTCTCAGACTGAAATAACAAAAGATTATCACATTTTACATGTTTACTATTATTGTGATTCAACGAAAGCTAAAACAGTGTTGTCAGAGTTAATCAAAATCAAGGAGAGGCTAAGGTTTTTATTGACTCAAAAATATATTATGGGAAAAGTTCCAACAATTGAGTATATTTATGATCTTTCCTATGATTCTGAATCTAAATTGGCTGAACGGCTTGATTCTTTAGATCTTGGTCCACAGGAAGAGCATCAGCGCGTTGAAGTTGGTCAAGAATTTAGTCCTCCCAAGCCAGATCCTGAACCATTCAAACCATTAGGCACACGAAGACGGGCCAAGGCATTGACTACTTTTGATCCTAATTTTGCCAACTACTCGACAAATCCATATGAGAATACGAAGGCTCCGCAACGATTTCTTGTCTTTGAATATCCAGATGACATGAGATTGGACATGTTTAGTTTAGATTATAAAAACATTGCCAATAAGATTTTATTCAATTTAAGCAAAACTCGATCTCCATCTCAATCGTTCAATCCCATCTCTGATCCATTACCTCCAGTTGATTGGTCATCTGTGAAACCAATGCCTCGTTTACCACCTGATATGAATGATCCTGCTCAAAATTTCAAAGGACGTGTGGTGATGATGAACAAATTTCTGATCGAGAATCGAAAAAAGAAGCAACTATTAGCTCGAGAGGCCAAAAGAATCAAGGAGCAAATGTCACTTGAAGCATCTGAAACCCTCAATCAAGCCTTAGATAATATTGGATTTACAGACTTTTACGAAGAAACTGGAAACATCGAATCACATGAAGATTACGAGTATTTACATTCAAAATTAGATGAGGAGGAAAACATTTGACAATTGAAAGAGAGATAATAATCTAATAAAGAATCAAGATGATGATACTTATGACTATGAAAGATGATGCAGATGCTGATGCGAAAGATGATTATTTCGACAAGGATGAGTAAATAAAAAGATTGTATACAAAAAGAAAATTATAATAATATTAAATTATTTTGTACAGAAATAAGAAGAGTTTTAACTGGAGAGAAAAATATTAGCACCACTCTAATCAAAGGATGAAGAAATGACAAGGAACTAATTTTGATTTGAGATTGCCTGATTTGAAGAGAAGAAACTCTCCAGACCGATGGTTTTTTATTCTCTGAATTCTCCATGATTTTGAGAACAGAGTTGAAAGAACAAAGATAGAGAGCAAAGATGGAAAGGAAACAGAAGAAGTAAATGGAAAGAAAAGAAGAAAGACAAAATTCGAAGGCCAAAAGGAGAAACAATTTTGTGTGTGTATTCTGAATGTGTGAAAGATTGAATGAGTTTGATTGAAAAGAGATTGAGTGAAACATGAATTAGGTGTTATGAGGAGACCACAAGACTGAAATGAACTATATCATTACAAAAATGATGGTATAACAGTCATATAATTGCAGAATAATTGTTTGCCGTTGGATAATGGATTGACTCTTTCTCATTGTTACACGAATTTGACGTTATCTGGTCCACATAGGGCGGAACATAAGTTATATCTTGTTTTCTCAATTCTTCAATGTGATATTCAATTATCTCCTTTCCCTTGTTTACATTGGCTGCATAATGTTTGGCTGCCAATTTTTCAACAGCACTTTCCAGTCCATAAAACGATTTTACTTCTAAACTAGCCGATTGCTCGAAACAAGTCCACTCGGCATTTTCTGGATGCACCTAGAATGGTTGAGGAAATGATGGAAAGATGGAAAAATTAGTCATTTATTTAAACAGACAATCAAGCTAATCAATCATGGCAACAACAATCAGCTATTTATTTTCTCCCCACATCCACAAATCAATTCTTGCTTCAGATTATCTGGCCCTTTTCACGAATTGTCATATCATAACTTAATTACTTGATTATTGTAGCTAATTTTTACCATTTAATCAATACGATTTGATGATGATAATAGAAATTAACCTTCAAATTGAAAATATTATTCAATTGTAAAGCATAGGAACTAAACCTTTTGCTAGACACATGTTGGCCTTATGTTGGATTGATTGTAATTCACTTATTTACCTGTGATCATTAAACTCATTTAACAGATAATTCAAATTATCAAAGCTTTAATTTAAAACTACGATCAACCTGGAGCTTATTCTGGTTTTAAATATTGGAAAGACAAGAAATTTTAAAACAATGAAACTCAACCATCAGAAAAATTAAATTGCAATAATAACATCAATAAAATGAAAATATTTTTCAATGCTCAAGGCAATCTGAAGACACTGTAATGATAAAATGAAATAAACATATTTCGAGTAATTTGTATGAATAATTGTTGTTTCATTATCTTGAATCTATCAAATTAAATTGGACTAATTAATCAATCTTTTCAGAACGATTTTAAACAATTTAAAAATGCTAAAAGCTATGAATTATTGTTGAGAAAAAGAATAGCAAATGTTATTATTAATAGCTTGCCTAATAAAATATAGTCGAGTGAATTGAAGTGAAATTGTTGAACAATAAACATTCAGCAGGAAAAATATAAATTATCTGATTGATTTAACAAAGCTAAATAAATATTTCCACATTTTGACCATTTATACCCTAAGATTCATAACTATAATATTTCATAGCATATTTCAAGTGTAACTGTAAACAGCTGAATTTCAAGAAAAAAAACATTTCAAAAATAGTAGCTGATATTATTTATGTGAACCAATCTCACAATCTTGAAGTTTCATTGAATATGAAAAAATACTTTGAAATGCCGAGACAAACCTGAAGCTGCTTTGTAAACGGTGAAATGATAATGATAATAAATAGCTAAATGACAATAAATAAAATAAGTTATAAGAGGAAAGGCAAGAAAAGAGTAACAATAAAAGTCAGCAACAATTGAAGATAAAAAAGGATACAAATTACTGAGAAAAATCACCAAATTTCCTGATTTAGATACTGGATAGAGAAAAGAAAATTCAAATCAACAAAAGGATTGCATGGTAAATGGTGAAAGTTGAAGGAACTTAAATTTAACCAACAAAAAGGCTTTCGAGGATAAACGCACAAATAGTCGCTGGGAATTACAGAAATTATCAGCTAACCAGAACAATTTTGAAACAAACTCAGGTTCAATCTTTCTTCTCGAAAGGTTTTCTGTATAACATTTCAAAAACATATGAAATTTACACCAATGGCACTTGATTTAACCAACGTTACTGTTAACATTTTTGTTAGTAATTTGAACAATTGTAAATGTTATCCTAGTCTTGACGGCACGCTATTGTTGATTGGAATGATTGCTGTTGATGATCATGTTGACAATCAAGATTATTGCATGATATCTTACATAATAAGTGCAATACTCTTTAATATGTATTCTTGATGCAAAGCTTTCATTCCATGCTTCGATAACAAGTGTCCTTTTCCTTCTGTCCAAAGTATTCCTTTGAATACAATAGAAATAATCGATTCCTGACATCTGAAAAAAAGGAGAGTAAAGAAAGAGTTAATAAAAAGTAATTCATGAACTGAGAGGAAGCATGGAAAACAGAAAGGAAAAGGAAACAAGGAAAAGGAAAAAAAAGATTTCATGTGAAAAATTGTCTAAAAATATCAACATCTTAAAAGCTATTTACAATATAGCAATAAATATATATTTTTAACCAACAATTAATTTAGCGATATTTATAAGTCAATGTCACAATTGTTAAATTATCGACATTTTATCAATTTTTCCCGAGTCGCTTTTCAAGTTTATCATTAAGTCTACCCTTCAAACCCTTGAGTTTAACCAGAAAAGCTCAAGTTACGAATTGTTCAGATGATAAACAATTGAAACAGTACATTGGCTTTAAACGGTTGATTGGAGGATCGGAATACAAGTGAGAATTAATTTCAAAAATTATTCCATTGAAAGTGATTGGTGATTTGTTACAATTATGATCACCTTTTTTAATAAATAAGGAGCTTCCACATTAAGTTTACATCGTCTTTCGATGATCTGAACAGCACCATCATCAGATTCTTCCTCATGGATTATCTCACTACCAACGAATATTGGAATCATGTCACAGGTTGGAAATCGTTTTTCATAGGCCTACAGATGGAATCAAGAATAAACAGAAATTAGAACAAATAAATTGTAAAAATACAATAATCATAACAATAAAAATCAATACATCATCGTCTTGCCCATCAACATGTTTTTTCTAATTTGTAACAAAATGTTTAAAACTCAATTACTTTAATGAGATAAATTAAGAAACTAACATTTCTCAAGTGATTTTACAATGAAAAATTAGATTCAAGTGTTAATTGATGAATAACAATCTAGAGTTGTTTCATATTTAACCAGATTTACAGTTTATGAATATGTATTCAAGAGATTATTAAGGTTACCCTGTAGGAAGAATCAACCTAATTTCCTGATAGCAATGAACAGTTTTGTTCAACATTGAATGGTGAAATAGATGAAAAGGTTTAACTAGGTAAATGAAAGGAGTTAACCCTTAAATCGTGGTTACATTGAATAACTTGTCTGAAAATATTGATTATTTTCAAGACAATTTATTCATCTCAAGTCTATTATTTTAGACATTTTATCAAAATTTTCATTCTCCATGAATTACATTTCAATATGAATGAACCAGTAAATAGTTACATTGAAGCCAATAATATTAAATAACAACATGTTGTATAATTTGAAAAAGGTATAATATTAAACAGTAAATATAACAAGATATTGACAACAATATAACTTAATATTAACTTGATATCTGGAAGGACCAGAGTAACAAAATTGTTGTTATAATTGTACAAGGAAATTATACAATTTGGACATTTTTTGATTGTTATTAAGTTAGTGTCAAAGCTTCCAATTGTCGAGGTTGAATCAGTGAAAAGTGTACAAACATTTCAAACACAAGGTAAACGATTGTCTAACATATTTAAGTAAAAAATGTTTTTCCCTTTTCATAATGGTTATAAAATTATAGTAATCATAATTTTATCATCCATTGAAATTACTAATGATTGGGTTGATCGATCAAAATTTAACCATAATAGTCTTAGGTGGTTAATTAGATCACTATGGATATTGAAGGATATACAATGAAATGTATCTTGTTCAAGTTGATTATCATTTCAAGTCCACTCAAGTCAACATTTCCTGAAATCAAGTTCAGTTTTTAACTGAAATGATTAGCTCTTCAAAATTAACAAAATCAGCAATGTCAGAGTTGTATAATCAATTGGATATTAAAAAATTGTAATCTTTCCGTTTTAAATTGTTGGAAAATGATTAACATTTTGGTTTAATCGATTACAATAATCAGGATTGTGAGAGAACCAAAAAAGGCCAATAATGATTAACGATTGATTGGCAAGAGTTAAATGCAAGTTATGAATAAGGTGAAACCTTAGAGTCAATTGATGTCATCAAAGTATAAATCAATGGATTGTAAATTGAAATCTCAGGTAATAATAACAATGGAAATGATTAAGTAAAGTATCAAAATTGCGTTTCAACCTACAGACAAAGCTAAATGTAAAGAGACAATAAAACCTATTTTTAATCAACCTTAAAAGTGTACATTGAGTTGACAATTATGTTGGTTATTTTTGCGAGACTTAATTTTGATCAGAAAGTTGATTGAAAATAAATTCACAGGTAAGAAGCTTGGAAGAAGTGAAAGTTTTTGGTGAAAAAAAGTGACACTTTTAAAGGTAAATTGACAAAAGCAAGAAGCACAATAATAATGATAATTCAACATTTCAACATTTGTGTGATAATAGTAACAATGAATCAAAAACAGCAATCAAAATACAATCACGTACAGGAAAAATGAAGAGGAAAACCATTGAGAATGAAAATGAACAGTTGAATGGAAACACGTTTCAACAACAATCAAAGGTAAAAAAAGGTAAAGCAATACAATTAGTACAATTTACACTTGAAATGTTGAATCAAGAAAGGTTAGTTTTAATTCAATTTGTTCAACAATTCACACCGAATTAAAGACACACATACAATGACTAAACCTCAATGTATTTAACGTGGTTTTGTAAGCACTTAATTAAGTTGATTCCTAGTTAACGATATTTTTACATCTAATCCTCAGTTTGCTCATTTAATACAGAAGTTCTGTTATTTGTTCTGAATCACAATTCATGGGAAAAGACATTTAAAGTCAAAAGGTCTTGTTGGTTATTGTTTCAGGTGATATCATTTCACATGTTAAAGGCTGAGTAACAACAAGAATTGTTGTTATAAATGTGATTATGATGATAAATATGATGATGGGAAGACCATGAAAACGAGTTGAAAGGGAAAGAAGGAAGTTAAAGTGAATTTGATGATGAAAAAGTTAACAAAAATTGAGTAAATGATGTTGATATATCAACATTTCAGCATTCCTTCCACGCAGTCTACCAACATGTTTGACAAGTTTAGTTTATACAGTTCAACCTACGATGATAATGATGATGATGACCATGAAATTGGTGTTCAATTGAAGGAATCAATCAATAGAATAAATATGAAAACAAATTAACATGACAAAATAGCTGAAATGATTTGCTCTTCAAAGGTAACTTTCATTGATTTCATCAGGAAATGATATTTTCCATGTTGATACAAATTGAAATAACGATGATTGGGTTACACAAATCAACACACACAACATCAACATGTTTTAGGTTGAACAGAATTGACTTTAAATTTAATTAGTTAATTTGAGTCAATGTTGACATGGGAAAAAGTGATTGATATAAAGTTAATTGTTTTCAACAATCATTAGACTCGGGTCATCAGATATAATTATCTTCATCTTGAGTTTATTATTAATCAAATATATTAATTGTTCTGGTCATGCACGAACAATTTAATTTTATCAGATTAAACGGCTTTTAACGTTCAAAGGTAATCAACATTTAGATTGTCGCAAGTTACAATTACAATATTTAGTGTCAATTTATGGTCATTTGTCGATAAGAGTTAATCATTTACTAATTGTACAATTTTCTGATTGTCAACTGATTCAGTCAACAATAATCTCTAGTTTAAGAAATGCTTTTCACTTTCTATTCATTAGCTTAGCTTTTGTTTGGGTGAAAGGAAAAGGGTTTAACTGACGATTTCAGGTGGAAAACAATTATCAAATGAATTTCCTCAACAGTTAATTAATTATGAATAGAGATAATTTAGTTGCTGATCTTACTGTTGATTAATTTGGCTCATCAACAGAGACAGAAGGTGAACAAAATGGAATGTAAATGTTTTCATTTTTACCTCGAATTGCTTACAAATTATATTTCATGACTTTGAGTAATATTTTCTTGCTGCTCTTTTATATTAATAATAACAATTAATTCTGAGTAATCTACTATGATTACGGTGAAAAACTAATTAACTGCAGTCCAACAAAAAAGATTTGATGAAAAGGATGAAATAAGATTATTAGATAGACATTATCAAGTGAAAAAAGCATTTCTATGATCATAATCAGAGTCAGCCAATGGTTCATGTATGATAAATTAGCTTGATTGGATGACAATCAGAAACAATCTGGAAATTAATTGGACAACAATAAATTGTAATTCAGTGTGTTTAAATTGTCTCCAAGAACAATTAGGATGATTGGAAAGATACTTTGAAAGTGGGTTCAATATTAAGATTTTTATTATTCCTCCATTGATCAATGTTAATTAACAGATTGAGGGGAACAAAATTAAACATCTGTCATTGGGATGATGATGCTGGAGGATGTTGAATGATTGAACATTTCATGGAGAAGTGGAAATGGTTTTGAGCAACTGCAAAATAACAATTTGTGCCTTCAACTGGACTTGAAAGGATTGGAAAGTGGTGAAGGTGAAAGGATAGCAAATTGGACATGATTAACAATCATTTAGATTGTTATAAAAGGTGTGAAAAAATGGAAAATTCATTTGATTAAAAGGTTGACATTATTTACATTCACCAGAAATATCTGGTAATCTGATTGTTAATAATGAATCTGATAGTATCATGGCAGGTTCATGTTGGATTGAGGAGTGTCTCGGTGTCAGTTTCAACTCAAGGCTATGAGACTAGATAAAGCTCAACAGATGCGGTGTTAGTATTGAAAAGTTGAGTCAATATAAATGGACAGTTGATTAATTGTTTGATTTGAGTTGGAAAAAAATGGAAAATCAAGTCAAATGTCATTCCCATTAACAACATGTTCAACTAATAACATGCTAATTAGGTTCATCTTTGTGTATTGATAAAAACGTTTTTATAATCGTGGCAATGGAGTATCAAATGAAACTATTCAGAATGCCATGGACATCAAGTTAACAGTCAGTTGAATGATAAGGAATGTTGAGACCTTCGAGAAATCATCTTTAAACATATTCATCTAGCAATTACTTAAAGCAGTCCAAGTAATTTGAGTGGAGAGAGAATAAAGAAAATGAAATTATAAATTCTATGTTCAAGGTTTAGCTGAGTTCACATTCAATCACCATTAAACATGACCAGTATAAGTGAACACTTTTTTATCAAAATTAATCAATATAACATGTAAGTCATAAGTATTGCAATTTTGATAAAATGGAACGATGAGAAAGTTAGATTTCCCGAAAATTGGGTTTCAGGTGAGTTTTTAAACCAATTTTTTCTTCTTACTTCGCCATCATCTTCTTCCTAAGTTTCTCATGTAACTGTAATCATATGTTTATCTTGAGAAGCACAATTATTGTTGAATTTTAACCTTTTTTTTACATTCCTATTTTTTTCCAACAGCAGAACAATTGAATTTGATCATCCTGTATGACACACACACATCATGACATTCAATTATGTACACTAAGTTATTGTGTTTGTTATTGATTGGTGTTTATGTTGACAATCAATGGAATGACGATGATGGTAATGGTGTTGATGATGACGATGTGAGATGCACCGTTGATATCGATGACGAAGTAAAAAATATGCAATAAAATTAAATTAATAATGGTTACTGTCTCACCTTCATAACCAGCTCAAATGGATATTTGTAAACCCTAATGGGTGATTTATACTTTTGCACCATCTCGTGGTTGTGTTAGAGTTGAGTCCCGTAGGGTTTTTTATTAATAAACAAATGCTAATTATCCAAATTTAACCGGTGGATGATAAATATGTTTACAGATGTGTATGTTAATGGAACTTTGTTGGATTCAATTGGAATGATGGTGATTCTTTTAAACAATAATTATGTATAAATATTGAGGCGGATTAAAACAACAAATCTTTCTATTCCTATCTATTCTTTTTTGTTAACACGATGCACTTAAAAATAATAGGAATAAACTGGTAGAGATCATTCAGATTTTTTAACAAATGGTCCAGTAATGTGAGAGACAACAAAAAAATAATACTTGAACCAATAATAAAAGATGTAAGATTAAATGTCGAACCAATTGAGATAGGAAATATTGTTGTTGAAGGTTAAGATTGACATTGGCCTTTCACCCACTTTTCAACAAAACAGATAAAGTAAACTCATCATTGAAGAATAACTGTTTTCTCCTGGCTTGTCTCAACATGATTAAATAAAAACATGATTGGGGTTGAGTAAGAATCAGACGAAAGCACACAGCTCAATACGATGATTAAACACTAAATTGCCTTCCTCCAAGTGATGATTACTGAGTTTACTGAGAAAGCAAAAGCTTTAACCATCTGATGGTTTTTTGAAAATGCAGTTACTCACCAGGTGGCGAATAAAACCTGTAACTTACATTAACAGCATTTTCAATGTAATTTCATGATAAGTTTGAATTTAAACAACAATAAAGAATTCGTTTGGAAGAAAAATTGAATAATTTAAGTTATAAAAAGTGGCTTAAGTGTAGTCTGTGTAATCTAATTTTTAAAAGAAGGCTGAAATAATAAACTGTTCAAGAAGTGAGACAATGTAAGGTTTACTACAGACAATTTGAATGATTTTGTGTTAGTCAAGTGTCTGGGAGTTTCACAATTAAAGCGGAATTAAAAGCTATCTGCGGCAGATTGATTGCTTGAAAAGTTCTGATTCCAAAATGAGTGTTATTCCTTGAGCTTTTAGCGATCAAAAGATAAATTAATGAACAAATGAATCACTCAAAAATTGAGCCGGGTTAGTTTTCCTTTTAAACCATAGATGGCTTTTTTGTAAATGCATGGTTTATTGAAAAATTAAAGCAAAATTTGCATTTATCTGTTTAACAATCTTAACTTTTTGTTTTTGAATATCCAAGTAAAGGTAATTAACATTTCCGCTGTCATTTTAAATAATTAATGACTAACTAAATTGTGACTTGTGATATTCACTCCGGTCTTAAACGTTTCTGTGCTCTTGCAACGAGATGGCGTATATGCTGTTCACATCCCATTATCAAGGAAAACCTTAAAAACACATGAAACGTGTTTCCTACCCTTTTTTATTTACGTTTTATTTTTCCAAGTGTCTAATTAAGTGCAAGTGTTAATTTCTTGTTTTATTTGTGTCAAATATCAGTTTTAATTTGTATTCCATTGCTTACTACGCTGATCAATAATCATGGCTGATGACTATGAAGACCGAGAAGAAATTTTCGATGACTTCGATGAGGAGGCACCAGCTGAGGATGCTATGGATGAAAATAATTTTGACATTTTAGATGCTCCTACAGGAACCGAAACTGGTCGTCAAAATATCAATAGAGTAACTACACCTTATCTAACTAAATATGAAAGAGCTCGTGTTATTGGTACACGTGCTTTACAGATTGCTATGTGCGCGCCTATCATGGTTGAATTGGATGGTGAAACCGATCCATTGGATATTGCCTTGAAAGAATTGAAAGCACGTAAAATACCAATTATTATACGACGATATTTACCTGATGGCAGCTACGAAGATTGGGGAATCAATGAATTAATCATGACTGAATGAAGTTAATCCATTGTAACCCGAGAATCAAAATCAATTTCCATTCTTCATCCCGCCTACACTAGTTAATCTTTCCCTAATATTATCAGTTTTTCCCGGAAAAGTTAACCACTGTATTCATATAAGTCATGTTTCATTTGTAAATGATCAATCGGTCCTAGACGGCTAACTCTTAAGCAAAATATAAATAAACGAGCTATTTCTTATCATTCGATTCGTACAATTCTAACCAAGCTTTCTGATTTTGAATCATTTCCATCAAAAGTCGGATAAAGTGGCATACGAAATGGAAATACGCGTGTTTTAAGTTAATTAAGAATCAAGAATTAATTTAATTCAATTAAATTTTGTGCATTAAAGTGTTCAATTAAATCGGAGAGGATAAAAAATCATAACTATATTAACATTTTGTTAGTTAAAACAATTGTTCATTTGACATCTGAACTTGGAATGAATGGGTTTGTCTGAATGGCTCTTTGTGCAATCTTTGGTGCAACTTGAAAATCGCTGCCCAATGAAAATTTCATGTTTTTTGGAGCTGGCGGGAAGGAGGCAGGAATGTTTGAGGTGAAAATATTTTTCTCATCAATAGAAGAAGACAAGTTAAATGGAGGCGGAGTAGAGTGGGCTGTTGAGCTATTTGACAAACTTGTTGAAGTTGAAAATGGATCATTTACAAGAGAATGACTCGAAATCCCAACAGAATTTTCTAGATAGGCGAAAAGAAAGAATAACAAATTAGTCTTGATCATTTAAAACAATCTAACATTAGAATCAATAAAATGAATATCGTACCATCTTTGTTGAATGACTTGAAATCTTGGAAGAGACTTGTGGGTGAGTGTAAGGGATCATCATTATTGCTTAAAAGAGTCAATCCTTGTGATAATTCTTTACACATTGCACTGATATCATCAGCTTTGTTCTCTGAGGCCGGTGAAGCTTCTGGAATCGGTGCAACTAAAGATAGAAAAAGAAAGTATTAAGATCATGATGCTCTTAGTGTTTGCTTTTAACTGATTAGTTAAGTGCTTACCAGTTAAATTGCCATTTGTGCGGGATAATGGTGAGAAATTGTCAGATGATGATTCCAATGAATGAGATCTTGTTCGTTCTAAATTAGATGGAAGATCGTTAAGTCGCAAAGATAATTGTCTTTTAAATGGAGATGTTTGGCTTAATCCTCCGAGGCCACGGTAGGATCCTTGTCTTTGTAAAAGTTGAGGAGTTGCATGTGGTCTTTCAATAGCATAAGGGTTGTGAACCGGTTTTAAAGGGGGTGGCTCTGAAAGAAGAAGAAATTAAACCAATTAATAAGAAAGCAAAAAGAAACAAGTAAATCTTTAAATTTCCTCCGAATATTAGACAGAATTATTAATGCCTGAGTGGAAAAGGGAAGCATCTTAAAACTTAGAGATTCATGTGTTAATAAACGAAATATTCTTGGCATCTAACATATAAAAATTGTTGATTACAATTTATGCAAGCAATGTTTCAACTATCAAATGTAATCCGGCTATTCATGAAGGCATTCCAAAAAAAGTCGATTATATGACTTCAATTAGTTCCACTAAAAACTAAAATTGTAAAAAACATTGTGCACAATAAGAGGGAGGTTAAATAATAGAAAATAGTAAAATTTAACAAAAGTAACACAAATTATGGCTAAAGTTATAGTTTGCATCATCTTCTCACCTGAAGGTTTTACGCTTTGAATATCTGTAAGTCTTTCAGTGAGTGGTACTTGTCTAAATGATCCAGTTCTAGTGAAGGTAGACGTTTTAGAGTCAAAGTTCATAGAAACAAGCTCTTTGTCTCGTTTTTGCTTTCTTTCTAGACAAACCGCAAAGGCACACCCAACTGCATGGCTTAACCGATCTCCAGAATCTTTACGTGCGTGGAAACCATGGCACATCCACCGACGAGTTGTACCATCACGACAAATATAAGAAAATCCTTTTTCGTGATTTCGGTCAGGGGCACAGAACGATACTTTCTCAATTGTTTGATCAACAAGAAGTCCCTGTACGTAACAAAACCAGAAAGGTAGGAAGGAACATAAATAGAAAGAGAAGTTTTAATTAGCATTGCGATTTTTGTTCAGTAAATTAGAGTTGGTGGAGGGTGTTGCTAAAGTCATGAAGTATGTAATCAATCACAAAAAGATAACAGAAAAAAGTTCTAAATAAAAATGAGAGTAAAGTAAAGTAAAAGACAAAAAAGTGGAGGAAGAATCGAAAGCGAAAAATCCTTGACCTAAACCGGTAAACTGAAGAAATGGAAAATGAAAAAATGGTCTTTTTTATTCAAGTCAAGTCTTTTGTTCCACTTACTTTGGTTTCTTCGTCCACAACCCTTAAACCATCACCAGTCACAAAAAGTGTACCCTTGATCGGTCGACGTCGTGAGGCCTGGAAAAAACAATCATTATGTGAAAGTAAAATCGATTAGATAGACGAACAAAATCATGAAACATAAAAGTAAATAGAACGAAGAGAGGGAGAAAAGATAAAATATTAAGAAGTATTGATAAGAAGAGAATTAAAAATCTATAACAATTGGAGACATAAAAGTGTAAATTGGATTGAAGGATGAATTAGTGTCATAGAGTAATAAGGGTAGAAGAAAAATTAAAAGAGAAACACTTATGAATAATAATATTGTTATTACCCTCAAGAGCTTCAATGCCTCTTCACATATATGCATTCCCCTGGAATCAAAAACCTCGACACAACCCAAATATTTAACAGGGAATGAACATGTTCCATTGCGAACTGCTTGTTCATCAGCTTGCCATTGATGAGGTTTGCTGCTCTCCGTAATATGGTCTTTTTTCTTCCGGAAACTTCCGCGAAAACTTTTCCTCAATCTGTCCATCACTGTTGAAAGAATAAAGAAAGGGTTTTAATTATAAAATATAGGAGCCACAATGGTCAGAAGCACAAAAGAGAAGACAATCATCAAAGTGAATAGGTATCTCTATGAAAAGTTTGCATATACCATCAGATGAAAGGGTAACCAGTTTATAATAGAATCTCGTTGGAAGGAGAACTAAGTAGATTATTGAATGTTTCTCAGAACACAATTTAAAATGGTAAATTGAACTAATGGACAACTAAAGATGGCGAAGTAAAGTGAGATGGTAAAGGGAAAAGAAGTGATTTGCTATGAAAATGAGTGTGTGAGTGTAAATGAAGAGGAAAGAGAAAGCTAAAGATATTTGAAGAGCTAGAGAAAGAGACAGACAGAAGTAACAAGATTAAAATAAACACAAGAATATTGGACGGATTGTCTTGGGAAGAAAAGAGATTTCAATTGTTTATCTGGTATATTAAAAAACTTACTTCACCGCACAAGTTAAAATAATTCAAGTTATCCAACATTTCACATAATATTTAGCATAACACACAATAGAACTGAGAAGTCAACATATAAAAGACAACAGAGTAGATTGACTTTGATCCTGGATCAGATTAAGATTGAAGAGAAATCAGGTAAAAATAACCATGGGTATTAAAAGATTAACAATAAAATTAACTAACTACTAGTATTATAATGATAACAATTATTATCAAACTTAATATTTTATCCTCATACTCGTAAAATTTGACAGACCAGAAATGCAACAAGCAACCACCAGGTGTTCTAAGACAGGGATTATTAACACATTACAAACGTAAAAGCAAATTGTTGAAATTAAATTAAATAGTCAATAAAATGAGGTTTAAAAATTAAATTTAACACAAAATAAACTTCAAAAGACCTGAGATGACTGAAATATAATTTTAAAATTTTTCAATTCACTGATTACGAAGTGAAATTGATTACTTTCATTGTGTAATCCATTGTACTGAATACAATGCTTGTTTCAATCAGATCAAGATAATCTGGTTTAATAAAATTATATCATAATATTGATATTATTTTAATAAATTAGCCTATTATTTAAAAAATCAATATTTTCTGATATTAAAATAGACTTGAATAAAGATGAGGAAAAGGGAATTTGGTGAATCTCAAAGTGATTGATGATAACAAATACAGAAGTTGCAGGGAACAATTGATTTAATCAATTAGTTGAAGCACATAGAAGCCGATTAATTTTGATACTCAATTTTTGCGTAATTAATCACAATTTAAAAATTCACAATGATTAAAAGATGAACAATCTAACCTTGGTGTTTCAAAGTTTAATTGTGTCTGATGACTCTCATAACTGTCATATGGTTGATAACAGGGTCATATTTTAATTAGTCAATTTAGCACTTGAACATCTCACTGGTTCCACATTTTTAGCAGGTTTCACATACGGACACAAATTAACGACAATTTGGATGAAAGAGGCGACACAACATTAATCAACAGAGAGATGATTGCTTTGAAATGAGATGAAATTACAGATTAGAGTAGATATTGACAATAATAGTGTCAATTTGGTCAACACATATTAAAAATGAAAGGAATCTAAATATGTGATCGATAACAGCAAACTGAATCAACCAACAAGTAAATGTAAAGCAAATAAATTGTGAATGGATAAAGCAAATAAATGCTGAAAATAAATAGTCTATGGTTAAAATATTTATATAAATATGAACAGAAGTAGATTCATATGTTTGTAGCTGGTTAAGGTTTGAAGTTAACTCTTTAACCTGTTGCAGTGTCGTTGAAGGTTGAGAGGTTATTGGATAGACTGAGTTCATCTGACTGTTTCAAGTTGAACTGGAAGGGAGATGAAAATGAATAGTCAAATAAATTGGTCATGCATCAAAAGCTAGTTCAGCCTGATAAGGTTTATGATTCATTCGGCAATTTAACCGTCAACCTGGAGATAGTTGGAAAATGATTTCGGCCACAATTGACTGAATTAAAAGCAATAACAAAAAACATTAGGTTGTTTAAGTTAAACACGCATGTTAACTACAATTTAACAATTTGTTAAACATTGAACAACCACCTAAACAGCATTATTTCTTGCTCTCCGAACAGAATTAGAATGACAGAATTGACTTGACGATTTTCACCATTATTTGACTTTCTATCATTTATCCAGTTCACCTGGTTTCACCCAAAATTTGTCAATATTAATCAAGAGATGATAATGTAGGCTTGTTCAATGGAAGCCATTCTTATCAAATGGTGATTTTCCATCTCAAATAATTCTTAGATCATCAGATTGCTGTTGGCAAGGTGCAACAAGGAAAGGGTAGACTGAAGATGAACAGGATTGAAATTACACCAAGAAACATCTCTATCCATTTCAATGCAGTTACACAGTTAAAAGCTTTCTTTCCATTGGTTCAGCCTATTGTTTTGTGAATTGGTTAATTTCCTCCTTGAGTTTCATTCATCTATTACCGTCCTCTCCCTCTATCATATGTATGAGTGTGATATTAATAATAATAGCAGATTATGGTTGCCTTTCAATGTCATTTTTAATTGATAGTTGTAATGAGATGTTGCTCATCTGGTGATTAATCAGTTGCTCTACGGCAAGACACTAAAGCTTTATGTTCCTCTCCTTTGTAAATCTTGTTGGTCTATATTTTAAATTGTAATCAACGTTTTATGGAAGTTCACGGCCATAGAGAATCAAGTAATTTGATTAAATTGCTGGTTGACTTCATTATGGTTATGTAAAACTAGACGTAAAAAAAAGAAGAACAAAGCAAAGTTAATGGACAAAGGAAGGAAGAGAGAAATATGAGTAAAGATTGGAATTGGAAAACAGAAAGCAATTCCTTCTTCTGATCCATCTGATATAGCAAACCTTCAAGATCTCTTAACCAGTTAACTATGTCTTCACTCAATATTTACCGTTTGTATCCTAGTTTTCAATATTTAAGTGTTCAAGTGGCACACAAAGTTGAAAGATATTAAAGACAATAAAAGAAAGTATGAGAAAAGTGGAGAAAACTGATGATCCAAATGTAAAAGTAACACAGTATTGATACATTTTCCCAGTGAATTTCCCATAAGCATGATGAGCAAAAATGATGATCAAGTGGAATGACGATGTTGATTATGGGATGAAAAGCACAATATTAAGGACAAATGAGTTATAAAATATAAATAAATCAACTAGTTTAATCCATGTTTATTGTAGACCTAAACCAAGACAGGAGCAGAAGATATTGAAAACAAATAAGAAAGCAAGCAAACAGAGGCTTCTCTTCACAGCAACAAAATTTTCCCTCACTTTATTAGATACATTTGTTTGAATCACTTTCCATTAGTCTGTTATTCAATCCTTTTACCTGTCAATATTGGGTTTTAACAATAAAAATATCTTATATTGAGACAAAAGCATAGGTTAAACAGTGGGTTAAGTGTATCGATAAATAATACAAAATTGATTAATCGATATTTTAATCTATTAATGCAGCTGATCTTTTAAGCTTTCAAGTAAAATGTTATTGTGATTTTTTATTTTGTTATAGCCAATTAATCAGACTCAAACACATGGTAGACAGCAAATGGTTCAACCAAATGGCTAAATTCTGGTAATTTGTAAACGACTCTTACATGAACAACTGAATTAATGTGAATATTCTGTGTCCATATAATGACCAGAAGTGAATAATCCCTTCTGTTTTATAAAGTTCATACGTAAATAGCTGTTTAAACAAAAGACTAAACCCAAATCATGTCTCCACTGCAAAGTATTTATAATTAATTAAATAGATTCATTTGGTTCACCTCGTTTCATATAAAGGTAGAGCAAATTCAATTGTGTTACCTTTACATCTGAGTTTACAGTAATATCAGACTATTTCTGACCTTCTGATTGACATGTTTGTTTTTCATTTCATCGCTTGCTTTTAGAGGAAAAATTGAGAGGAAAAAAGTTCAACGAATTTTTTCCAAACTCTGTTTGTTCCATTCAGTATTTACTTTCCAGGATAATTAAAGACAAGAGTAATTGCAAGTTCATTTGGTTTTTCAATTCAATCGCATTTACTTATTGACATTAATTCCTTCGTCCGATTTCGAGACAAAAACGTTAATTGTCCTCTTATAAACCTGATTTCAACTGAATCAAGATTCAATACTAAAGTGCTGTCTAGAGATCATGGAAAAGCAAAGCAAAGAAACCAAAATTTGACAATCCAATGATTTTTTTGAGTAAATCACAGATTCAAACATTAGGTTAAACATGAAAATTGCAAAAAGGTAATTTAAATGTTGGTTAATTTATTCCTAATTGCTAGGAATTTGCTGAAAGGAAATATTTATGAACATTGAAAACCATTATTCGTTGTAACAAGTGAAATCTGGTAAATCGGGTGAAAGTGGGTAAAGTTGGTTCTGTAGAGTCAATTCTGGTCACAGTGAGTTAATTGAAATCACGATATCAACCATTCAGCATGAAAATCACGGATTGGGTGAATTAATAGTGAAATATCATTTGAAACATTTCTCTACTTCAAATGATAATCACTAGAGTTTGATGAAGACTGTTGACTGATTCAAAAGACTCAATAGTTTAGACACCTTAAATTTTAAATTGTATTTAGCGTTGTTATCAAGCTGATCAATATAAACTTGCAATAAATGCCTTAAGTTACACACAGCTTATCAAGATTATCGAGTCTGAACCAAACTAAAGGAACATAAGCTTGGAATAAGTCCAAGATTATTTCAATTGAAGATATTGACAGTTGGCAATATCATTTGTCGGTGTTTATTTACATCCGAGATACAATCAAAAATGGCAACGACTTCGCACGAAATGAACACTAAAGCGATTCAGACTAATTGTCTAGTCTAGATCAAAGGCATGAAACAAAATTAACTTAAAATTCAATGTTAATTGAAGATCCTCGGATCTTTAGCAATTCATTTGAACTGTCAATTTAAATAGATTTTATAAACTCTTGTAGATGGCGTTGAAACGGTTTACCCAAATTAGGTAACACAATAAGAAATAGGCTGATCTTCAATTGTTAATGTTTATTATTGAAGATCATTGTAATCCTAATTCCTTTTTTGATAATTAAACTCTTTTATAAACACTGTAATGGTTTCGTTTCTCTAACCAATCAACTTAATCAACTTGCTGTTATCCAATTAACAAGGAAAAAAAGAGTGAACATTCAAGATTTGCAAAGCCGAGGAAAAAACTTGTTTCATTTTGTAAAAATAAGCTTATTCAACTCTAAGGATTGTCAGTTATCGTTTTTGACCTTCGTTCATCAGACTTTTTTGTTCAGATTTCATCCTGATAGCTTCAAGTACTGTAAGGTAAGCTTAATGTCAATTTTACTGATTATAATTGGGTTACGTTTTAAACGATTGTCAATTCTTCTGTTATAGTTTTTCAATTACCTGGACGATTAAAGTTTAAAGCCGGTGGTCTTGCAAGAGAGTCGTTGACTGCACCTTCATTGCTGAATGGTATTGGTTGAGCTCCTGGTTTGTTTCCCATTCTGGTTATTAGGATGATTATGCAGAAAGGAAATGGTGATGAAAATTTATGGTGATAGTATTGGTGGTGGTGAAGGTGATATTAAGATGAGTTAAACACAATTAAAGATGGCAGATTTAATATATCACAGAGTTGAGATGATTAAGAGATAATCAAGGAAAAAGATTTTTGGTCTTCAAGTTTCTTCAATTTTGCTTTTCCTCTGTTCCTCAATCTATTTCTTTTGGGTGAAACTTTCAAAAGCTTTTATCAACAAATCAAAGCATTTCAACTTGGATATCGATAAAATCATGGTGTTGAGTCAACATTAAAAAAAGATAACGATGAGAAAGGAAAAGGTTAAAACCATTCCAGGCTGAGTTTAACCATTAATTCGATATAACCAAAGATCTTAGTGTATTATCTAACTTGAAATGGCTTGTACAAGTGTTCATTTGTCATTGAAGTTGATGAGGTTAATTGGATTTTATGCTCGTTCTTGGCTATTCCTTGATCTCTCCCTATCTGAATCTACGGTTGGCTGTTTGGGTGTTAATAATTTCATTGTAATAAGTTCCAAAATTGATTGATGATTGAAAGTTGATCAATTCCAAATAAATTACCGAGTACAGGCACACAAACCAGCAACTTTGAGTAATTCAACACAACACTCAACAAGTTAAATTTTGTTCCTAGTTACCAACAAGCAAGTTTACAAGTGGAAGATTGAAGCACATAATAAAAATGATGTCATGGTGTCTTATTATCATTAACTTGAATAAATATTAACAGGATAAAATGATTCTCAACGATGAGGATAATTAATACGGAACAATGAAAGTTGAGTTGTTAAAAATAAAAACTGAAAACGTTAAAAGAGTATAAAACATACAAAAAATAGCTGGTCAAACAAAATAACTTTGGTATTCTCAACTTGCAAGAGAATGATGATGGTGATGATGATGATGATTTGGGAGCGACTTGCAGAGAGATGAGAGTGAGTATGTCACTATGAGAGAAACAGGAAAGAAAGGGAATTAAGGAATATGAAAGAGAAGATAAATGATGAAAAAGAGAGGGAGAGAGAAGTGAAAGAGATTGAAAGTTACTTGGTTAAAGAGAAAGAAAACGTACCTTGGAAATAAAATGTAAGGTGGAAAGAAATAAAGGAGAAGAAAAATGTAGAGAAAGAGAAGATAAATAGACAGCCAGTTTAGACAGAGATGATTGAAGGTGAAGAAGATAAAAATGTTTACCTGATTATCTCGAGGACAGCATGAAAAAATCCAACTTTCTTTGGGTTTGTTAAGCTTTAAATACGAGAGAAAAAGTCAAAAATGATTTTCAACAAAACCAATGTTAAAATAATTTTAGCCCAAGTTTACTTTGGGTAAAAGGCCAATTGTCCCTGAGGTGAGAAGGGTTCAAGGATTTCAGAGTGACCAGTGTTTCAACTTGAGGTCAAATATGGCATTCCCTGGCCATTGTATCTTTGAAACTTAATATACATGAAAGATTAAAATATTTCATCAATTTACAACTATTGGTCCATGATAAATGGGTTTTTATGGTAACTGTACATTTAACATAACTTGACAGACTTTTGTTTGAGGCTCAAACATCTTTAGGTTTTGGGTTTGGGTTAACGTTATTAATGTAAATTGCAATTTTAGTGCCGATTCAAGTTGATAATATGCTCTATTATGGCAATGCTTATCATTATATTTTCATCTTTGGTTATGCTCAAGTTGGTTGAATGTTACAAATTAACCTGTTGCCTTGATATACAAAAGGCTTATCAAATGAATTTTACTATTGACGTTTTCAGATCAAGGTTTTTTCACCAAATTTTCATTGTAATCAAAAGATTGAGCTTTTCGATGCTCAAAATTTAGTATCAGTTATTAAAACAATTTAGGGAAAAGGTTTGCTAGAAGCTTGAATATTTTTCCTGGTATTTGGGCAAGATGGTAATTCTGGTTTCCATGTGTTTCTTGTTAAACTCTAATCAGCTCTAAATGAGAACTGAAATATTTAACGCCAATCGCATTGCATTCATATATTCACAATCTGTTTCCAATGAAGCTTAAACTGGATTAAAGATTAAACCTAAAACCAGTTAGTAACTATTAGCAATTTCATCGAAATTTCGTTAACAGCCTGTTAAGTTATCACTCAGATTTGCTCATAAGCATCTTAATCAATACTCAATTTTTATCCGTATCAGTTATTGTTTAGTTAAGTTGATTGTTTGTGTAATAATGTAATCTTGATAGACAAATCAAAAATACTGTTTCTTTATTTACCAGCTAATATTGATATTGAATGCTTAGGAATATTTAATTTCAATATCATTTTGTTTGGTGAAATTTGCCATTTACAGCTTGGAATGATTTTAAACATTTAATGTTGATTAAGCGTCGACAAATGATACACAAAATGACAAGTGATTAGGATAAAACAAGTGTCATTAAATTGTGATTTTTGGTTGTTGAGTAACAATTGTTTAGTTCATTGAACATCTTTTGTTAAAAATTAACAGTTAACACTTTTTTGCACTCGGTCGCAATTGATTTATTTGATAATTGAATGTCACATTCTCACAAGTTTACTATTAGGGTGGTTTTGTAGTTAATGTGGTTACAATTAATACTTCCTTTCAATGATTCACCGAACTTGTAATTATCAATTCAATAGTCCATTCGATTCATGAATAGAGATAATTTTATTTATTCAGTTATAGTTAAGATAGATTTTGATAAGGTAAATTCGGTCAATAGATAACATTCAAAGAATAACAATTTTGTTTCATTTGAGCATAAATTACGTTTCTAATTCGACATTTTTAGTGCTAAATGATAATTTCAACGGTTTGTCTACCTTACAATAGTAGCATATCAAAGTCATCATGAAAATTACATGTAAAAATTGCAAAAAGAGTTAAGAAGACATAGATTAGACTTGGATAATCGATATTTGTACCTAGACTTAAGTTGATGGTTGGAAAAGAAGAAAGACAGGAACATATTTGATCAAAACGCTTTGATGATATGAAAAATGAGTCCAATCAGGAGTGAAAAATGTTTTTGGTCAAATACTGAAGACTAATTACAATGTTCGGTCACATCAACAACAGTAATTCGTTTCCAACAAAATAAAAAGTAACCATGACCAGCACCCAAAGCAATGGCTAGGCAAATCCATATATTGTAAGACATGAAACCCAACATGAGAGTGTAAGAGGCAATCACTTGGAGAACATGTAATAAGGATTGATAAAAATGGGCCCAAGACCACATTCTACATGTTACAACATTCCTAGCTGGTGGTTTTCCGTCACCACAATTTTCTGGACATCCATTTGATCCAGTATTTATCACAGAAACTGAATAACAACGTTTAGAGGCCACACGGGTAAATAAAAATTCACGATAGCTTTTCAATCCTTCATAAAGTAGAGCCATTAAGAAAAAAACAATACAGGCCACAATTGTACGAGAAGATGAATCAAGGACCCAACTTTTAAACAATAAGGTATCACCCAAAGTAGTATGGAAATAAGACTTCATCATATCCATCATGTCCATATCAGTACCATTCATGTCCATACCGTGCATCGAGTGCATCGAATGCATTGACTCCATAGAACCCGTCATATCTTCATGATTGTGGTGGTTCATATGTGTATGGTCCATGTCCGCATTGGCTATAGAGTTTGAATTAAAGGTCAAAAGTAGAGGAACCAAAATCAGCTGAAGAAACATAATGGAAGGGAAAATTGTTTCTATGTTATAGATGAATGTTTAACTTGTTGATGTTGTTAATTTATACTGGATGAGATAAACATAATTCACTGTTAATTATCCTAAATCAATCCACAGTTTTACCAGCTTATACAAAACGAGTCGGACATTTAAAGCATTCATCACTTTTTATTATCTTCAATTGAAATCACAGTTAGAGAGAATCACTTTGGACCATGTTTGGCGGGTTTTTCAAAGAACACACAACTGGAAGTTATTAAAATCAATAATCGTCAAACTTTTATTGTTTCAATAATTTTTCTCTTTTTAAATTAATATCACGAAATTTTTATTGATTAATATACAATGAATAAAACACAGGTCAGAACGATATTTTCACAGACATAAAAGATTTCCTTGCGAGTCAGATTTCACCCGAGAAATGTAAATATTGATAGAGATGAGACGTGGGTTTCAATTTAATTGAACATGATAAGAGTAGTAATGAAGATGTTTCTGTGGACACAGAAAGATGTGCTGTTATATAATGATGATCATAAAATGAAAACACGTCTGATGATCGGTTAAAGCGCAATCATCAGCCGTAAGAAAATAGAACAAATTGATTTTCTTTGAAAAAGATTAACAGAGTGGAACAAATTGATGGGATACAATAAAGCTATACATAATTAAACTCATTGACAAGCAAATTATTGTGTCTGCATGTTATCTCAAGCAGTAAAACACCTTGATTGTAAAAATTAAATCAAGGATGATGATGACAAGCCATATATTTTATAACTAATCAAAATACAGACATTAGACCATAGATGTTGTCCAAACATTAACTTTTGGCAACATTTCAGAGCCAAGTTCAGGAATAAAACAGCAGCTAAAAATAACAAACTGATCATCACAATAAACCTGACAATCTTGTCATTTTAGACATCTTAATTAATTAAGTGTCAGTGATAAATTTACCGAATCATTGATAAGCTGAGATCGAGGCTAACATTGAAAAAATGCAGTCGAATCAGCTAAACGCCACCTGTTAACTGATTTTGTATCTTCTTTGCTATGCCACCTATTGATGATTCGAGTAAGTTTAGTTGTGATTTATTAATCACTGATTAGAAAGGTTGGGACCAACAAAGAAATTTACATTATTTAAACATTTAATTTCTCTCTTTATTTAAGGTATCTTCAAAACTCGTAAGAATAATTTCAAACTTTTATTAATTAAAATAACATGGTAAATTTTTTTGTCTTTTTATGCATCTGATTGAACTTATGCTTTTTTGTGATTGTTCAATAGCACGAAACACTCATTTACATTATGCGTAAGTCAATTTTTAACAATGATAAAAAACATTTATATAAAACAAGATTTAGTTTAAATTTAGAATAGAATCAACAAAGCAATCACCAATAAACTGATCAAATTAAATGTTTAGCACCATAAAACATAATCTAAACACTTTGAAAGAAGTTTTTTGTCTGTAGTATTTAAATACTATGACAGACTCTGAATAAAATTTTGTATCAGGGGGTTTCGAATGAAATAACCCAAATCGATTCAATAAGTTTATTCAACACGCAAACTGAGAGAGGATCCGACGAAAAAAGAAAATGTAGCTCAATAAATTTCTTGATAAATTGCAAGACATAAACGAATCGATTCGACTTTGGTAATCCCCTTTAAACAAGAACTTTTCTCGTCCAATTTCCTGATCCATTGAGTATCAATTCATTGAGTAATATCATTTATAATCTTCGAGAAATTGTAAGTGGAAAACTTTCAGACGATCCATCATTTTTCTCAGTTCACCAAGTTGGGGTAGAATGGTTGTTCGGAAATGATATGTACCAGGTATTTGGCCGAACCCTGAACCTGGAACAATACAGATGCCAGTTTTTTCCAATAGATTTTTAGCATAAAAGAAATCTGGTTCCATATTTTTATCTCGTGCCTCTTTTATTGCCTTCTCGGGTAAGATTATTTGTGGAAATGCGTACATTGCTCCAGCAACTGGATTAGATTTCATGTTTGGAATTGAGTTGAATGTTTCAGCAGCTAATTTTGCTTTAGCTTTTAAAGATTCGAGTATTGCATTTTTCTCAGAAGCAAACAAATCGTATGATTGGTCACCAGGTTTTGGTGGGGAAACAACACAGTCCATTGCTATCTGACCAAGAATTGAACAGCATAATCGGGCAGATAACATTTTCAAGAAAAGAGCTTTGACTTCGGGCTGAAGATTAATGAACTCACAATAACCCCCTCGAAGTCCACATTCTCCCATATATCCCTTGGATGAGGACATTAAAGACGCTAGCTCAATTTCAAGTCCCATTTCATGCATCACTTTTTTGAAAGAATGAAAAGCAGCACCTTCTTTGTAAATATTGTGTTGATAAACTTCATCAGCAATAATCATTAGACCCTCTTCTTTGGCGAATTTGATTATTTCTTTGATATTTTCTTTGCTTAAAACTGATCCAGTAGGATTACCTGGATTAATTATGACAATGGCCTTTGGTTTACACAATGATCTGTCATTATCCAAAGCTCGTTTGAGTTCTTTAATGTTTAGTTGCCATTCATTTTCTTCATCTATTAAAATTACGAAAAATTTTCATTAATAGAGTTTCATTACACTTAAATTTAATTGCACAAATAATAGGTTAGATTTAATAAATTGAAACTCACCTAAATAGTATTTAATAGGATGCATAGCATATTCAGCAATAGTTGCAGTGTATAATGGATATTGAGGAATAGGAATTAAAACTCCAGATGGTTTATCATCAGTTGAAGAAGAATTGATTAAAGCTAATACAGCTCTAACTCCTTCAGATGCACCAGTAGTTAATACAATGTCTTGCCAATTACTGGGTATTCCATCCCGTTCTGCAATATACTCAGCACAATGCTGACGAGCAATCTCTATACCGGCCGAGTCAGAATAAGCTCCAACCGAGTTACCGCCACAATAGGAAAGTAGAAGTTTAACCTTTTCTTTCACATCATTCGGGTACTTCGGAGAATCCAATAGCGATGTATCTGTGCAACAAGCAATCACTTGGCGAAAATAAGTCAATGGTTTTTGTCCAGTCGCATGACAATCCCCAATGTTTGCTCGAATTACTTCACTAAAGGATTTATTACTTGTACCAGCCTTCAATTCCTTCTCGATTTCCCCGGCTCGAATCACCAAAGGCCCTCGAACTGCATACTCTATTCTCTTAACATTTTGATTAATATTATCAAGGTTAACAATGTAAGATTTAGATCTTGATTGATTAGAAAGTTTTCTCAATTGATTTAAGTTTCTTTGCAGGGAAAACATTGATCGTTCCAATTTTCAGATGAGTTTAAGAGACAAAAGGTTTATTGGGTTCGAAAGTATTAGATGATTCTTGATTGGGAATATCCAAACTAGAAAGAATGAAAAAATGAATATTAGTACAATGAAGTTGTGGATCAATTGACCAAATGTCATTATAATAAACAAAAATAGAATGTTATATTGACCAATGGAGCTATGATGAAAAGTGGACTGATAAATCAGCTGATAAGCTTGTAATTGTCTTTTCTTGAAAGCACAATATAAGAGTACAAAAAGACTACAGAACAGAACTGATACTCTGTTCTGATTTGAATTAATTAGGAGTCACAGCTATGTAAAGACAAAACCAGACAAATATTCAAGAGATGATTAATATGAATACTGACTGGATATTATTGATTCTGATAAAATGATTCAATAACAATAATATTAAGCAGTAAGTAATTTGGTTTCTCAAGATCATACCACTTAAAGAAGCGTATAGTCAATTGATGTCTCCTCATTCACTACAATTAAGTTAAACAGACATTCATAGTGTTATAAAATTTTCTTAATGTTAATTGAAAAAAGAAGAAGATGGAAGAGAAATTGAGAAAAGAAAGAAATGTTAATTCAAGGAGAATAAGATGTTTACCTGATTATCCAGAGGAGAGCATAAAAAATTGATTGATTTCCTTTAAATTTCCAAAAAACGATACAATACAATTAAATTCAAAGATGCAATCAACATAATCTATCAAAAATTGAACAATTCAACAATTTAGTAAATTCGTATACTTTTTGAACATTTAGAAATACAGTTTTAAAAGTCCATAATTTTCTTCTCATATTAAGAAACTTTCTGTGTCTCCATCTTGTTGATAATCCTCTAATACAAATTGAATGCGGTAAGATTAAATTTCAGTAAGATTAGATTCCCTGATAAAAGTGAACCTTCCATTCCATGATATTTTCATTGCAAGGAGTGCAAGTATAATCAAATCTTTCAATAAAAAAATATCATTAGTCGATTGTAATCGTAATTTCATAAAGCTAAAGTCCAATTGTAATTTATTCAACTCTTTTTGAATAGCTTAGATGGCAGCATAAACAAGATGTTTGTTTATAAGAAACAAACATTGATAAAAGTGAATCACTGAATCAAAAGTTTCATTTCAGGTGTTTCCCAGATTATTTGGTGAATATTATCCCCCGCACAAAATTACACTTCAACTACTTTGATATTAAGTATTTTAATCAATTGCATTGTATTTGTGATCCTCGATTTTTTAATGTTGTTATGAATGCTTCAACTTTTTCCTATGCATCATGAGTGTACATTCAATTGTTACTGTTACTGAAACCTTACTCGATTTAATTCCTACATTCATCGTTTTCCAATCGTACCAAAAGCCATCTCTAAACTCAGGATTAAACTCAAGACAATTAGAAGCTCTTGATCGTTGAGGAATGATCACTGATGTCTGTAATTTATTATTGAATCTAGCCAGTTAGATGATTGTCATTTTCACATTGAACAGTCAAACACCTAACAAATCTCAAATCAATTTCAGGTGTCATAACTGTTAGATTACATCTGCAATTGATTAAGGTTGAAATGATTTGGAGAGAATCAAGATTGTAAAAAACTTATATTATTGTATCTGTGATAAATGATCATTGATAGTGATTGATTTTTTTATTGTTTTATTCTTACACATCAAATTGATTGATTAAGTTTCGTCATTGACTGTTATCAAATTTTGATAATCTTTGTCAAGCAGTTTTTAATCACTTCCATTACTATCTATCAATTATCATTGACTTACTTAAATCAACAAGGGAATCAACAATCAAGTACCTTTTTTAAAAGAACCAATTAAATTAGCAAAGTTCAAGTCCTTGATTGATCAAGTTTATGATGAAGAAACTAGATCTTGTTTTTTTCCTGACACGAATCTAACAATTAGTCCAATCCTTCATTTAATTTAGGAAAATGTACATTTATTTGAAACACAATTATTGTGCGTAAATTGTCTTGAGTTGTTTGGCAATGGTGTTGAGTTGAACATTTGATGTGCCTTCGTAAATACATCCTATTTTACAGTCTCGATAATACTTTTCAACTGGATAGTCTTTGGTGAAACCAACTCCTCCCATCCACTCAACACATTTGCTAGTCGTGGAAGTTGCCACTTCAGAGGCGTAAAACTTGGCCATAGCACCAGCTTGGACAACATCGACACCAGCATCACGCATTCGAGCAGCAGAGTAGACGAGTAGACGAGCAGCTTCAATTTGTGTGGCCGCAGTGGCAATTTGATGTTGCATACCTTGGAAGTCAAAAATTGCTTTACCAAATTGTTTCCTTTCCAATGTGTATTTAACTGCATGATCAAAGCATCCTTGCGCCAACCCAATCATTTGAGCACCAATTCCTATTCTTCCTTCATTTAAAATACCAATCGCATATTTATAACCATGGCCAATGGTACCAAGAACATTTTCTTTAGGTACTTTAACATCTTCAAATGTAACTGTGCATGTTGATGAAGCTCTTATACCTAATTTGTCCTCAGGTTTAGCCACAGATAAACCAGGCATATCTCGTTCCAGAATGAAACAAGTTATTCCTTTGTAACCTTTACTTGGATCGATATTAGCAAAGACGAGGAACACACCGGCCTCTCCTGAATTTGAGATCCAACATTTATTGCCATTGATCACATAATGATCACCTTTGTCTTCGGCTCTTGTCTTCAAAGCGAACGCATCAGAACCTGAATCTGGTTCAGTCAGACAAAATGAAGCTACCTAAAAGGAGAAATCAATCAAAATTGTTATCTTAATATTTAGATTCACCTTTAATTATTACAAATGGACAGATGGAAAGATTTGGACATTCTTTAAAAAATTGTGTCAGAGATAAAACTTAACACTCACCGTATCTTTGACTAATCGGGGTAAATATTTTTCCTTTTGCTCTTCAGATGCATATTTGTTGAAAGTGGACACACACAAAGTGCTGTGAACATCCATTAATATGCTAACTGAAGGATCAAATTTAGCCAATTCCTCTACCGCTAGAACAGTGGCTAGAAAACTTGCACCTGTACCTCCATATTTAGTATCTGTATCGATCCCCATCAACTAGAATAGACAATTAACTCAAATTAATTTACTGCATTGGATGTTAAATGAATAACTTACCCCATTTTCAAATAAAGCATCGATCACTTCTTTATCCATTGTTGAAGTTGCGTCCATTTTTCTTACTCTTGGTTGAATCACATTTTGACACATTTTGCTGATCATTTCTTGAATTGCGGCCTCATCCTCTGAAATCAAGACAGAAGCTGGAGTTCGACTGTTCAACACTTGAGTGGAGCATTTTTTGGCATGATTTAATTGCCTACTCAAAGTACCATTGAATAATTTTTGAAGAACGACAACCTAAAGTTGTTAACAAAGTAAAAATTAATTCAAGTTGAAAAGGTGATAAATTAATGATTTTCGTCCGTACCTTTGAATTTAAACTTCGAGCACTATTGAAAAGAACCATTGTTCACAATTGAGATGTTAATGATTAAAAATAATTGGAATTATAACAAGAAAATAAGTTTGTACTCAGAACGTAACAAAACTAAAAGTGAACGTAAATTTCAAAGCAAGTTGTTTTTATTCACTCTTCATAGCCAGTCAGTGGAAGTCAGCCGGCTTTGCCATTTTCCCAGGCTTAGCCGAGATTAACAAAACTTAACTTGATAATCTAGAGTAGCCCAAGATGATTTAAGTTTGCTTGCACCTAATTACATGTATTGGCGAACTGGTTGATAGACTCGAAAGGACCGTTCTTTGTTTTTTGAGGTCTATCCAGGTGAATACATTTTAAACCAACGTATCAATCAATTCCAATGCTCCGGAATATTCATCATTTCAAATTAAAAAAGAGTTAATAGAGAGATTTAGTGAACTTAATCAGAAAATAGTAAGCAATGTTGAAAATGAAATTATTTGTTTGATCTTTGTTCAATCAGAATTGATTCTGCACGAATAATTCGCAAGGTAATGACCAGAATAAGCTCAGAATAGATCGAGATTGTTTGAATTACTGATTTATTATATTTTTTATCATTGAATTGTTTGAAGTCAAAGTAGTCAATAGACAATGAAAACTCAGCGATTTGATGGCAAGGATGCTTCGATACCATTATTTTGGCAGCCTTTTCCATATTTTAACCAGAAATTAATCGAAATATCTATTTTGATTTAATACTTCAGATAGACAAAATTCATCTAAAAGATCGTGGAAGAATTGATTGAAGACATGATGAACAATTAAATGGGCATAAGTTGTTTGAATTTACAATTCACATCAAGATAATGAGCTATCTTCATAGTTGAAAATGATTGTTGATGATAAAAAATATATTGATTCAGGATAACATGTTTTAATGGATAAGATTTTGTGATAATGAATAAACTAATATAAACATATTTTTCCATTGTTATTCAACATCTTCTGAGTACTTTTGAATTTGAAGTCAACCCAGGTCGAGCTTGCCACCATTGTTATTTGAATCCGTTATGTGAAATCAACTAACCCGTTTTATTTGTTAATTATATCTCCGAGAGGCTCAAATGTTCTAACATCCAAATGATGGTTTAATTTGTCAATACATTTGTAATTAGGAATAGTGGAAGCCATAGAGGCCAAATATTTTTGGGAATGAAATTTTTGTCATTCAGTTAAACTTTTAATTGGTTGTAGTCCAAGATCATTCGACATCACAATAACTATGATCATCGAGTTTATGAATCGTTAAGCAGGACAAGTTTCCAAGACATTTGGAAGCCGAAAATTCAACTGAAATTCATGTTGTTCCGTGGTCAATCAGCCAATCGGACATGAGCTGATTACAATACAGGTAAGATGCAGTTAAACCTCTCAAAATGAGGCATCGAGGGGATCGCTCTACATTGGCTTATTTCAAAGCATAAAGATATAAGATTAATGATTTGATTTAATCTTTGATAGACTGAGTGATGACGAAGAAAGACAATAAAAGGGGCTGAGAAAAGAGAGAAAGACCAAGTCTGAAAAACATGATTACTTTATGATTAAGGGAGATTAAAATCATGAAAATACCCTGCCCGGCCTGAATAATCTATTCCAAGAGAGTCTGATTATCTCACATTGTCAGTTCTTATTGTATCTTGAGCTATTACAAGATAATAATGTTCACAGATTGAAAATGATAAAAGATTGGGGATATTTATCATTTAACCATTTCTTATTAATAATCTGAATTAATTTGGCTGGACAAATCAATGCTTTTGATTTCCGGCGTCATCTGAGAGTGAACTGAAGATTTGAACCTCAACTTTAATGATTTTTCATTTCATGCTCTCTCTTGTTAGTTTACTCTTTGGTCATGATCCTATCTCAAGAGCTCGTAGTTAGAGAAAGGTAAGTCTAATTTTTTGTTCATTATACTGATAAATGTGCGTTGAAAAGTGTTTTTAACCAAAAATCATTCGTTTCACTTTTTACTAGAAGCCTAACGAATGAGCCTAGAAGCCTATTCGTAAGTATGGATCCAGATCAGCACAAAAATGCACAAAATTTATAGTGTAAATATTGATACAGTTCGTGGCATCTTGATGAGATACAAAAACCGAAGAAATTATTGAAAATTAAAGAAAAAATTCCCTCTAATTAGAAAACATTTTCTCCTTGTTAGAAACCATTGTTTGCCTTTTGGAGTTCGTCCTATTAGCACAGGTGTTTAAAGTAACATTTCTTGCTTATTGGAAACCATTGTCTTTTAATTGAAAAAACTGGTTCAGCAGAATCGGAATCAGTGTATTAAAGAAATAGGTTTTCCGAATCAAGTAAATCTTTACATCTTTTCAAAGAATAATTTTAATATGTTTACTGTTTGATTCTCGAACATAATTTGGCAATCAAGGTAATTGAACAAATGTTTCATATTGCAGTTAAAAAATTGCTCTCGTTGAATTAAGCTTAAACAGGATGATGAGATCTAAAAATCAGAGGAAATTTATTCCACTGTCAATTATAAGAGAGCTCACCTTATGATTATGATATAAAGTTACATTATGCATATAATTATTTGTTGTAAGAAGAATATATCTTCGTCAAAAAAGAAAGGCAAGAAAGATGAATGAATAAAAACTGAAAAGATATGCTAAAAAGCTGGTTCATGGAATTGTGACAGCAATAACTCCAGGATTGACTACTTCATGGCGATAGCGTTTCTGTTTCAGATAATTAATTACCAATGGTTTTAATTTTGGACCACTAATACTGTGAGCTCCACGTCCGGTGATGATTAAAAGGCGTAATTTGTTAATCCTTCGCCGCTTGATTTCTTCAAACTTGTTACTCAAATAATTACCAAGGGTGGTCAGTACTTCGTTAGAGTGTACTCCATGAAGATCCAAAGAATTGGATGGGTTAGCTCGAACTATTGTGTCAATGACTTGGCTCCTTAAATCTGATATTTTACGATCATATTCTTGAGCTTGACTTTTATAGTAACTAGCAACGGCGTACATTTTAGCTTGAAAGGCAGAATTGCCTTTATCAGAAAGTTCCTTTCGTTTTTCTATATATTGGTCCATTTGAGTTCTCAATTGTCGAAGAGTATCACCATTGTAAACGGGAAGTTCTGTTGCGTGACTAGCTGCAGCTTCATTGTAGTTGTCAGAATTATCCGATTCTTCATTAATCAATGCATATACTTCTGGAGTTATGGTAGTTTGTATTCCAAGCGTGTCATCGATTGATTCAATTGTTTCTTTGATCCGGTAATCATTTGCTTCAAACAGTTCTTCTAGTGCTTTTTCATCCAGACCAGGATATGAAGCGCGTAAGCATTCCCTCTTCAATTTGGTTGATATTGCATGCTTTGAATTAGCGTGATTGAATGGAGATGAATTAAACTCTTTGCGACTGAGATTTATGGCCATTTCTAGATCCATAATTTCTTGGAAGGCACTTTTAGGTTCATAAGGCATTTGCTTATTAGCATTTGTTGATAACTCTTTTTTACTTGAATTGCCGTTGTTGCCATTGTTGGTCGATTTGGTAACAGGTTTGCTTGATGAAGAAAAGTTAAAAATGTCGTCAATATTGAAATTATTTGTATTAGTATTTGCAACAGGATTATCTTTCGCCAATGAATTGTATGCTTTGACCCACAAATAATGAATTAATTGAGCAACTTCTTCACTGCATTCAACTCGAAGATATTTTTCATCATTTTCTCCTTCCTTCAAAACTTGGCCAAAAGATGATTGTAATTTATCAGCAAATGCTGGATCGAGATAAAATGTGAATTGAGCATTTTGTTGGTCTAAATTATCCGATATCAGTTGACTTGCTATGCCAAGTCCATGGAATTTTTCATGAATTGTATCAGGTCTGATTTCATTTGCAGAAACAGCTGTATCAGGTGATGGAGATGAAGATGAATCAAATGATTCTTGAATAATTTGCACATCATTATTGTTATTGACTCGATTACTAATATTGACAGATGAAGAAGCAGCATTAGTAAAATGTTCTTCATTAAATTGACTAAGCAAATTGAAAGCCCAATGATAATCCCCGTGACAAGCATTAAGCACCTCTTCAATGTGAGAACTATCAGCAAGCGGGAAATCAACAGCTAGCTTCCCAACTTTTTCCTCGTATCCAAAATAACCAGCAAAACCATCACAATAGGTTCCTCGATCAATCCTTGGTTCATTCCTCAACTTGGAACATGTTTTGGTGAAAACGGTTTCATCATTATTCGTGATATCAAAACCAACAACATGATTATTTTCCTCAGAAACATTTGAACCAACATCTGAGCATAGCTCAAAAGCTAACCCGTTCTGTTGAACCTCCAACAGAGCCCAATCTCGATCTTCAACTTGGGAGCCACGATTGGTGAATTTTTTTACCTCCAACTCATCCTTGGTTTTGGGCTCATCTACCTTCTCTCCTGGGAATGGCGGGATTTCCCAGTTAAAGGTACCACCGTTGGCAAAATTGAATGATCCCAGAAGTTTTTTCGGCCCTCGTGCCAATGAGCTGGCTGAGATTGATGGCGATGTTGAAGAGGATGAGGATGATGGCGGAGATGGAGAACCAGCTGATGATGAGAGTGTTGACGATCCATTCATCATTGGCTCTTATTGATATAAAAATATTAAGTAATAAACAAAAAGGGTAACAGCAACAAGAGAACAATTGGAAAATAAAAATAAACACAAATTATCTATAAGACAATAGTGTGAATTGAGCAGTGTTTATGATTTCAAAAATACCAATGGCACAGAGAATAGGAAAAATGGAACTCTAATAGCAACCAGTTGATAATCATGGATTATCTTGAGCATATCACAAGATAATAATGTTCACAGATTAAAAATGATAATGAAAGATTGTGGAAAATGATGAATTGGTTGGTTGAAGTAGCCATTTTAAGCACCTGTAAGTGAAAAATCTAGTTAAAAATTGTAATAAATTCAACTCAATTAAGTTCCTTGATTGAGGTCAGAAAGTGAAGAAAGTAGAGTGAAAGCAAGGAGGTAGGATTTGGAAAATTAGTTAAAGAAAGCAAAGGTAGATGCCAGCAAATGCAGAATCAGAAAATCAAGTAAAGATTAACATGGAAAACACATTTCTATAAACAATTAACAATTGATTACAATTTAAACACTCAATTCGGGTTATACAATTGATGCCACTAGCTGCATCTATCGGATCACTAGATGATTGTCAAAGCTGAACCTTTTAGCTTTACGAGCTTGGAGGGTTTGTTGTCTACTCAATTTAATCAACTTTGACCAAAGGAACAGCTAATTTTTAAATTTAATATGATTATCCTTTCTGATATAAACAGATTTGTTATGATATTTAGCAAATCAGATAGAAAATTTCAAGCCACTCTTTAAATTTTGAGCCATAACCCATGAAGCTACAATCTTGTACATCAATGAGCGCACCATGGATCTACTGAGCTCTGCATCTAACATTGAAATTTACCTTGCTTAGTTTGTTATGGATATTTGATTAAATTATAGCCAAATCATTATCAGGTTCAGCATTGATTGGTCATTTAATCTATTGGTCAACCGAAAAATGAGCTTTTATAGAATCACAATGCTGAAGTATTGGTAGATAAATCATGGACTGCAAAAATGTTGTCCAAAGTCTGCGGTAGTCTCTTATAATATTTTATAGTGATACCGATTGATTTAATTTAATTTAAATATTCTTATTGGTGATAGATGGTTGAATAATTGTCTGTTCAAGCTTAGATGATGATATTCTTGATTCAATGTTAGGAATAAATGTTTAGATTGGATTTTCAAGTTCAATTTTTTGGTGCAATCTCTGATTTGATATTTGAGTTGATATGTAATTCTTGATAAAAGAGCCTGAACTGTGGTTTATGGTCATTAGAGACAATCACTATCAATTAATTGTTAAATACAATCCTAGAGGAAGATGTTAAAGGGAGTCAGATTAATTACAGAGAGAATGGGAAAGTGAACATGAGTGAGTAGCGAGAGTACAGTGGATAAAGAGAGAGGGAGTCTCATTGAAGAAAAGGTGAGTGCGACTGATGGCGACTCGGCTTGATGTTAGTTGGTAAAAACATCGATAGCTTCAATTAACTTATTATCATCGTTAAAAATATAATAGATTGATCATTTCTGTTATTAATTTTGTTTCATATCATTCAATAATCAACTTCATTTGGTGTTTAAACAGTCATTTTTGCTTTTTTTGTGTGTATTTACAATCAACAGCAGAAGAGACCTACTCTTGTAGCTTGTTACATTCATTTTTGTTTTGTCTTTTTGTGCTCCTATTTTCTTTTCTTGCTGTTTCTCGTTATTAAGATTAATATTTATCATTTAACCATTTCTTATTAAGAATTTGAAATTTAACTACCTTGAATCTAAATCAATCTCGGTTGATATGCCTGCTCGTCGGAAACATTTCAATAACCGTCATGATCCTGTCCCAAGAGCTCGGAGTCAGAGAAAGGTAAGTTTAATTTTTTGTTCATGATATTGATAAATGTGCGTTGAAAAGTGTTTTTGGTCAAAAACACTATTAATTACTAACATCATTCACTAATACTTCATCTGTTTCATTTTTTTCCTCCTCAATCTAGAAAATAAAAAAGTCTCTGGGACCTGATTTTCTTGATCCATCTGACCTGGGTTATGGTTATTTGAAAGATACATATAAACCCAAATGTTATCTGTGTGATTTTCCGATCTCTTCAGGTCGGGATGAGAAGTGTGTTACATGCAATAAATGTAATCTCAAAGGTAAGTTGTAGTTTTATAGTTTTATCAAACTGTTCTCTGCCCAACTCTCATCTGTATCATTTTTATCCCAACAGTACACCGGCGATGTCTAATTCCTGATGATAATGATAAACTCAGTATTTCCGAAGAAGACTGGCAATGTGAGAAATGTACAGCAGTATGCTCTTTGTGCAAATTGAACAATGAAGCCGTGAGTATCGTCTTTAGTATTAACACAAATCTATCATTTGGTTCTCAACAGCTATTAACAGTTGGTTCTTTTTATTCTCTTCTAGGAGCCCACAATTCATTGTACTATTTGTGATACTCCGTATCATATAATTTGCATCCAGCTTTATAGTGACCAACCTAAACCTAAAAGACAATGTAAGATACTAAGATTTCAATCAAGAATCAAATCAAACTCAAATATTGGTGAATAGAATACTCTGTTCACTTATATAAGGATAATTTGCTTTAAATTTATCTTTATTGCAACATTTTCTTATTTCAATCAATTCTTCTTCTACCACAGGCTCATGGGTTTGCAAAAAGTGTCTTGATGTTGCAGGTGACAAATTAATAATAAATAAAGAACCATCAAAAGAAAATACGAGCAGCAATATTAGTAATGCTCATATTAAAAGACTTAATATGACTAATGGGAAAAGTCACTCATTACTGGTTGCCACTGCTAATGAAAATAATAGGGAACCTGAGGATTTGCTTATTGATAACTCATCAACAATCGAGCTACCTGATGAATTAGAAACATCGATTAAAGGAATAGAGCCATCTAAAGCTGAAATTGCCGATTATCATGCCTTTGTCTCTGATAGACTCGCTAAAATGGTTAAGTAAGTACAACCACTTGCACCACCACTAAACACAACCTGCATCTCTTTTTTGAGGTAAATATTACAATAATTTGTTTGTTTATTTTCTTCATCTTTTACTAGGAGCCTAAGTATGGACCCAGATCCGAAAAATTGGACAACAACGGACGTAGAATCATATATCAAAGAAATAGGTTTTCCGGATCAAGCACATCTTTTCAAAGAACAGTTGATTGACGGCCGTTCCCTTCTTCTTTTAAGACGAGTTGATGTCGTCAAAGGACTATCCATGAAATTAGGACCTGCTCTTAAAATTTATGCTCACATTAACCAATTACAAGAGATTGATATTGTACCAGCTTTTAATTCTTTAGAATCAAGTCAACAAGCCGATGATAATTTAAATACAGTCTAAATTTGGTCTATCCTATTACTCCTTTCTCATCATATTCATTACATTTTTGTCATCCATTAACTCATCCACTTTACTCTGTAAAATATCTCTTAAATCATGCAAAGAACAATAAGCAAAACCAATAATTAAGAGTTATTTTCATCATGTAACTATGCCGCTCATCATCTTGAGTATTTTTGATGCTATTATATTGTATTGTATTAGGGTAATTGAATCTTTATTCAACACTTCTTCTTTTGGAAAATAAACTCTTGAAATTATATTTTGTCATTTTGTCATTGTAATAAAAAAATCCTCTAAACACACCGAAAAACGAGTGCAAAAAAATCTCGAATCTATAAACCTCTTGAATGTAAAACTGACCCAATTTAAAACTTGGTTCAAAAGCAAACACCATTAAAGAATGGTGTTTGCTTTTGAACCTGCACTCTTCCCTGCACTTCATCAGGACAGCTTGTCTTGATCTTTATTTGTTAGTAGAGTTCGGCTAAATTGAACAAACAAATTTGAGCTGATTAACATGTTATTTGGCTGATGACAATTCTGACGAGGCTTTATCGGTATACTCTCATTTCGCCACTAAAAAGGATTAAAAGATAATCCTTTTAAGACTAAGGGCTGGTTTAACTCAGATCCATATTGCTCATCCATTGTATGTACAATGTATTAGTTTTAAATCATTTAATTCAATACGGAAAGAATTGAATTCATGATTAGTTTATTATTTAATTTGAACAAAAATAGTAAGATAATTTTACTGTGTCTTAACAGTTCATCGAGTGTAATATTGTCAATTTTTAGGCCAACTTTATCATGAAAATCATACAGATAAGATTTACAAAGCAAGAATCAAATATTTTGCTGAAATTTTACCCTTTGCTGAAGTCAGAGAAATTTCAAGTGTTTAAAAAGATTTAGCTCAAAAGCTTTAGTGGCAAAATGTCTTTGAATCGGCTTTATCATGAATCTTTTATAGATAAAGAGATCAGTGTGCTTTTCAGTGTTGCAGAGCCTCTGGCAATGGGGTGTATTGTTCACAAGGGGAGTATTTGATCGTCTTGATTTATTGCGAGTCTATTTCTTGTAAATTATGAGTATCACCAAATGTTTGGATTAACATTAGACGATACTTATTCAAATCAGCTACTTTTTGAAGATCATCAGACCAACGAGTAATCACTCGGTGAAGAAGACGGAATGTAGCGGACATCTGAGATGCATTGGAATAATTTGCCTTCAGTGTTAGTCCATGCTGGCGAAGAATTGATTGACACCATAGAATATAAAATTCAATATGAGCTGTACTTTCCAATGCTGTAGCCAATAGTGAAAGGCACATTTCAATGTACTTTACGGGTAAGCTTTTAACAGTCAAGTCTATTGAATTAATTGGTGTTGATTCAATGACCATTGTGAATAACTTTTGATCTCGCAATTTCAACGATTGCATTAAAGCGTCTGCATATTGCTGATTGTCCAAAGATTCTTTAACTGAAAGAGGGCTGATTCCCTCATCAAGCTCATAAGGATCGAAGTAATCGACAGTATCCAATGAATAAATGAGAATACCTTCAGTAGTTGCTGCTGCAAAAGCTCTCATGGTGGGTGAAAATTGTAATGAATAAGCAGAAACAATAGGATTAACTGATCTATCGCCTAAGTCTCCTCTTTTAACACCAGGAAGTCTAACTGGAGCGAAATCACCTTCTTCTCGAGCCTTGATGAGAGCTTCATTAAATCCAAATTCCGCTCTTTTTCGTTTACTTATATAATCAAAAATACCTTCTAGTGATTTATTACAAGTTAAAGTGAACTTTTTGACCAATAATTTTTCTGGAGCATGATAGAGACATAAATGCTTTGATCGTCCACCAGCGAGGATGTATTGTCCATCAATTGAATAACATAAAGAGTTGAAGTGTTTATCATCATCTCCACTTTCCTCTTCATTTGTTTTGGCTAAACCAAGGTCGTGTTTACCCTCGATTGGTGCTCCTAACATTTCTCCTGATTCAGGAGAGAAGAAGTAAATATTACCATTGATTGTTGATACAGCTATTTGATTCCCATCCAAGCGATAAGCTAGACCAATAGCATCTGAGCCTAATTGTAAAACTTCTCTGGTGCAATTAGCTCCTTCAAATAAATTCCAAGTTCTAACAGTTTTATCCCAACTACATGAGACAAGAATATTGTTGGTAGGGGAAAATTTGACAGCAGAGACAGGAGCTTCATGTCCTATTGATTAAAAGAAAGAAAATAGTTAAAATATGAACAAAGTAATATTTAAAAATGTATATCAATAAGTACCAGTAAGACAGTCCAAAAGTCGCCCAGTTTTAAGTGACCACAAGAATATTTCAAAAAAATTTTGGGCTCCAGCTGCTATGAAATCACTCGAAATATAATCAACAGCTAAACTGATGAATTGTGCAGGTTTAGATGCTGAAGGTGCTGCGAGAGTTCGAAAGTTTCGATATCGATTGAGGTCAAAAGCTCTAACAGTACCATCCAATGAGGCTGAGATAAGAACTTTGCCTCCAGAATTGGGTTGAAATTCAACAGCGGTTATCGGTGCTTTATGTTCCTCGCTGAAAGTAACAAAACAAAATCCTCCTATTGTATCCCATACACGGACTTTGGCATCGGTTCCTCCTGTGGCCAAGTAACTTCCATCAGGTGAATAAGATAAACATTCAGTGATATGAGTAAAACCAGAACCAGTTCCACTTTGTTTTAATATAAAAGTCTCTGTTCGCCATTCCCAAACGAAAAGTTGGGATTGGGTCAATTTTTCTGATTCTAAATCAGACGCAGTTAGGGGTTTAACACCAGATGCAAAAGCGATCCAATCAGAATCCATATTAATCGTGATTCCATCGATGCTTCCTAAATTGGATAACTCTAAACTATATATTAAACTAAAATCAGGCATATCATGTAGAAGAACCGACCCATTTGTGAAACCAGTGACTAGTAGATGAATTTGAGCGTTATATGCAGTTGATGAAACATAGACATGAGAAGCGTTAGACTTCAAAGCATCATTAAAATAATGTTTTCCAGATCGAGAGAAATTGAGTTTATCTTCTCTGGGTTCTATACTTTTTAAGTCATCCGTACTATAAGATGCTTCCCAAACAAAACATTGACCATTTTTGCTAATTGTAATAAGAGATAAGTCATCATGAGAAAATGATCCAAAGTAGCCACCAACGAGCTCATCTGAATGCCCAGCTAAATTAATCAACATTGGAATATTTGGATGACTTCGGCTAACTCCGAATACTTTAACTGTAGTATCTTTACTTCCGACGGCTACCAATTGCGAATCCGGACTCCAAGCAACAAATGTAGTATCACTATAATGTGCTTTCAAAACTTTGTGAATTTTGAAAGGAGATAACTCTCGTCCAGAGCCGGTGAAAGCTGAAAATAGGAAACATCAAATTACTATCGTTTCAAGTGATTTTATGAATAAACTAATTTGAGGATCAAACTTACCTATTCCTGGAGTTAGATAAATTAAGGCTTTATTGTCAACTAATAACGCATAATATCGACCATCTGAACTAAATTGTATTCCATTGATTGCTTTAGCAGTTTTCTGGTAATCTTTACGATGAAGAATGTAACCAGTGATTGGAGAAACCATGTATAGTTGACATTTTTCTGTTGATACTAATAAGAGTCTTCCATTCGGGGAAATCGTTAGATGATTGACATTATATTCGGATTGAAATGATAGAGCTCGACTTCGTCCATTCTTAAGATCATAAAGAACAATCTTATTTCCACAAGGGCTGTAAAGACACGATCCTTTTGGGTCAAAATTGAGGTCTCCACGATTGTAAACACTGCCAAATAGATTGGCAAATTTGTAAAAAAATTTCATCCTATCTTTTCACAAAACAGAATAGCACCAGTTGCTTACAACTAAATTGAAGATAAATTAACGATCTAAAAAGAGTAAAAAATATAATCAACTTAATGAATAACTCAAGTCCAAGAGTTTAACAAAAACAACACAACAACCAAATTCAATGTTTGTTTGGAAACAGAGGCATGGTAAACACGTGGTAAAGAGAGAGCTAAGCCAAAGAGTATTCCAGGTTAGTGTTTGGGCAACTAGAGATGGGCGATTTTCGATCACAGTGGTGATCGATCTTTTCGATCGATCTTTTTGCTAAGTCGATCGATCTCTTAAACGAGCGATAAATATCGATCTGAAATTTTTCGATATTTGAGCTTCTTTTCACTATTTTTTTACACAAAAAACACTTTAAACGATAATTTTGATCAAAATAAACTTCTGTTATCGAGCAGAGGATGTTTCGATATGATCGATCTCCTTTAAAATTGATCACGATCAAATTTTTCTCTCCGATTATCGATCTTTTCGATCGATCAATCATATCGGAACATCTCTATGGGCAACTCCAACTCTGTTTTCAATGAACAGAATTTTGCAAAGAGTATAACTCTTACTCTTTGGAATTTTGCCGATTTCAATTATGATTTACTAATTACATTAGTCCCTCGATATTTTTGCTAAAAATGACAGGGAAAATTTGCCTTTTCTAACTAGATTTACTTTGGAATTGAGGATGATTTTAATTTTTCTATTGTTAATTTGATCTTTTATAACCACTTCTAACTTTTTATTGATTAGCAAATGACTGGTTATGTTAAAATAATCACCAACTATTCCAACTTTTTTTGCAAAAAAACTGGGATTAATGTATGATTTAAGTTTAATTAGTAGATTCAATCAAATAATTCAAGATCCATAATCGATTCATTCAATTTTATCATTTATCCATAGATTATCATATTTTTATTGTCTTAACTGTTTCAACATTCACCCCTTTTTCAGCGGTGTCCATCACCCAAATCAAATGTTCACCACTTTCCGGATATGATAGACATAATGGTGATGAATAGTGAGTGTTGTAGACTTGGGTGGTGGACATAGCGCTGAAAAAAGAGATTGAAAAAGTGGTGAATGTGGTGAAAAAAATCCGGTCCCAATAAAATTCAAAATTACCGCCTCGTTGTTACTTTTGTTTTGACTTCATGTTATTGTCTCTTTAAAAATTGGCAATCAACTGATTGTCATATTATTAGTGTTCCATTGTTGTAATTAAAGCTATCGTTTGATATTTATAATCACTTTAGGTTTATGTCTGACTGTTTTTAGAAAATTTTACGGAACTGGACATCTGTAGATCCAAAACCAAAAGCAGGCCCATTTACAATCCTCCAGGTCTACACAGATTTATAGAGGTAAGAATAAATTTCTTCTTTAGATCAAGTTGATTTACCTGAAGTGGTTGATTGAAATTTACTTGGTCATCATATTCAATTCTTCTTTATTGTTACCTATACTTTGACTTCGTGAAATTTCTCATTTTGGATTTGAATTATTTCCCTTTTAGGAGCATAATTTGGAAATGTCAAACAAATATGACTAAATTGGAGGAACAACTATTACTTTATCGGGCTGCTCAGCGTGAACGAAAAGAGAAAGCGGAGCAGGAAGCCAAAGCAATTGAAGATGCTCGAAGGTCTGAAGAAATAAAGAAACAAAAGGAAAAAGAAAAAGAGGAAGGAGAAAAGTCGAACCAACAAAGATCCTTGTTTAACTTTTTATTACCCACTCCACCACCATCAGTTGCTCCGCAGCCTCGTCCACAGGTGCTTAGGCCTGAACCTCGTATAGCATATTTTCGAGACGGAGATGAAGATGAAGATGGAATGTACGTAGATTATCTTGAGGATGAACTTGATTTCGACTATGGTTATTTAGATGGTTATGAAGAAGAAACAGGATGGACAAAGAAAGATATCATTTTAGCTCTGATCAAATTCTCAGTTTATGCTTTTCTTCAATACATGGCCTTTAAGGCAGAATGGGGAGCTGTTTTTTTTACCGTTTCACTTCTTTACTTTATTTACTACAACACACGAACTCGGCAAAGAATGATCGGTGAACCCAGTGCTTACTCTGTTTTCAATGATGGCTGTGAACCGATTGATGGTGCTATGGATGCTGATAGGATGGTCAATCAACTCACTCTGGGTCAAATGGTTTTATGAATTCCAATATAAATCTTCTAATGTATTGTTTCTTGGATGGTGGAATCGAATGATTCTCTTCCAGATTGTTTGATTATTCCTATTCATTACAAAAATGTTTATCATGGAGTTTGACTTCTGTAATGTGATGAGAATTTTTATGTATAAATTATTTCACTGTTTGGAATATTTCTTAGATTTTGTCGTCTGTTTTTGTTTCTTGCTTGATAGGTAATAACAATAATAATTTTACTACTGCATTTAAATCATCTAAAGCTCATATTCGTTCAAGTGTACATTTTTTAGTAAATTATATTTTAGCAAATTTTTGAGTTTTAACTCGCCAATCTAAATCCGATCCGATTAACAAGATCCAGGAAAAGATCATAGATTTTGCTACAGCCGTTAGCCAGATATTCAAAATTTACTTTTAAAAACTCATTCGATCACCGTCAAGTAAAAATTTACTACAACATAAAAACGATACGCAGTAAAAGTCAAGTTTTGCCTGTTTCACCCTTTAGCAGAAACAGTCAAATTTAATCACATCAGCCATTCAAATGATGGTATTAAATATTAAGTTTACGTTTACATTCGCATACCATTTTACAACAATTGATGTTTAATATTTCAACTCATCCACTCTATTGTTGAAAAGACAAACAATTCAATATCAAATACTATTATTTTAAATCCTAGATATTTTGCACTGTGTTATTTATTTTTTGGTTACATTTTGCGTTATTTAATTTATTATGGACAGTAACGTTACTTACCCGCCTGACGGCAATTCAGATGGACCTGCGCCTTTTATTAGTGATGTTACTTTACTCTATATATTTGTCTGTCTGATTTTTAGCCTTTCATTGGGCATAATTATTGGTATTACATCGATGATAATTTATGATAATAAAAGAAGGAAAAAAATTAATCGATAAAGGTTATTTTGTATTTTTTTATTCCAACTCCATTTGTATAAACGGGAACAGACTTTTAATTATCTATTGTTCACCACTTTTTAAACATGATAGATACGATAATGATGAATAGTGGATGTGTTGGATTTAAGTGGTGAACAATATGATGGGCAGTATGGTGAAAAAAGTGATTGAACAATTGGTGGAAAAAGCCGGTCCCATGAAATTCTTTGAACGATTTTTTACAAAATTTTGATGCATGATTTGATTCCTTCAGTCCAATGCATCAAGATGTAGTATAGCTAGACATTTCCACCGATGTCTGCAATATTTGAAGAAGGTTTTGAGAATTAAAAAAATTCCAGATTTTGCTAAAATATCAAATTTTGTCCGAATGTAAATTTACTTTACTTTTCTTGACTAAACAAAATATGTTTAAACAAACAAAAACACTAATTAACTAACATTAAACAAGTGAACCAAAGATAAAATTGATACACTGAAATCTTAGCTAATTGCCAATTCTTTTGTAGTCTAATTATGGTTGAAGATAAGATGTTACGGCATTCCAGTAACTTCTTTTCGTAGATTGACCTCACACAACATTTAGACATTGTTAAAAGAGAGGTTCTTTCTCCTTTAGTTCCTAATGAGTATTCAATACTTCGAAGTAGATCGTTTGTTTTGAGAAGTAACAGCATTTCACGAGGTACTCGATTAAGTATAGCAGCAATTTGTGGAAAATATTGTCGGGCATAATTTTTCAGCTCCGCATCCTGTAAGATAACAAACAATAATTAGAATTGTAATCTTCAAGTGAAGAATGGAAAGGAGTTTCGGTTGAATGAGATATCATGATTAATTGAAACAAATCAAATTAAACAGTTTTCTAATTGAAACAAAAAAACATGTTATGTATGGTGGATAAAAACAAATTATTCAACATTGAAAGTAAGATTACTAGCTTGACTAGTTGATTGTTAATAGATTCATCACCTGCACATCTAAATCTGAGAACGTAAACAATAGCGAGAAAAATCATGCCGAAAATTATTTGAATGTTTACGCTCGTGCTAGAAAATCATGTTTGAAATAATTGCTAAAATTTGTTTCCATGTCAACTGGTCTCAGAAAAATTTTTACCTCAGCTTCACTCTGAGCTTTAGGTCGTGTTTTCGTTAAGCCTGATGAAATAGTATCCCAGGTTTTACCAGCAAGAATACAAGCAAGTAATGGAAACAAGTCACCAGCACCAAGCTCCAAACCCCATTTTTTAATGCCTTCAAGATCAGATTTTATTAATGAAAGCCACAGCTGACTATATTGATGGCGGAATTTTTCAGGCAGAGTCTGTAGAAAGAGAAAATCCATTAGTTTCATGAGTTACAATAGATGCAACAGAGTGAGGAAAGTAAACAAACCGTGTAAAGACCATGGTCGAGTAAAATTATTTGTGGATCTCCTTTAACGTTAGAAACTAAAATATTTCCAGGATGTGGATCACAATGCACATAGCCTTGCATGAAAATCATTTCACTATATAACAGACCTAATCGATGAGATATTTCTCTTGTGCTGAGACCATTCTTTTCCATATAATCTTTATCTGTAACTTTACCACCAACCAAGTATTCCATAGTTAAAACTCTTTGACTACTATAATTCCAAAGAACTGTTGGTACTTTCAGCCATGTAAGGTGATGAAATAATCTACCAACACGCTCACAATTGCGCCCTTCATGGATAAAATCTAACTCCAGAGGCAAGTTTATTTTCATTTCTTCAGCAAGCCAGAGAAATGAAAATTCAGGAAATATTTTCGCTACCAGACGAACAAGCAAATCCATGCTAGTCATATCTACCAATGAATGAGATCGAACATCAGGATGTTGAACTTTAACGGCTACAGTTTGACCATCACGAAGCTTAGCCTTATAAACTTGAGCCAAAGATGCTGTACCCAATGGTTTATCATCAAACTCCTCAAATATTTCACTGGCATCTTTGCCTAGATCTTTCTTTATCACCGATTTGATACTCTCAATGGATGATTCTGGAGCACGATCGTGGAGGACTCGTAAAACTTTACAGTACTCGGAAGGCACAAGATAATCAAGGGAACCAATATGTTGTCCAACTTTGATGAAAACGCCTCCATTTATTGAACAAAGCTTCAGTAGTTTTTCAGCTGATCGAGTATGTACTTTAGACCAAGCAGATTTACTTGCTTCACTGTCATCATCAAAATCACGTAAAGAAAACTTGTAATCAGAAGCAATCGATGCCACTGTAAATGCAGCTCGACCGAACCGAGTGATTCCTAGATTGGATACTTGCCAATCATTAGCATGGAGTGTACCAACTGCTGTTCCCGAGGCACCAATAGCAACTGAATATTTTACCAATTTACCAACAGCAGATAACATTTGACTTTATTAATCTTCCAAGCTTTCAACTAAAACACTTATGAAGTACAGGTTTACTCATTTGAGTTAAGATGAGAAACACATGAGATGAAATGCTGAACAAACTGAGCTCACTTACATGTAAAAAATAACAATCAATTCAAATTAAGGAACAATAATGTATTATTTAATAGTAAAGGATTTAAACAAGTTTGATAGAGGTCCTGATATCTCATCAAGAATGTTTAACATGATGCACTGAGATGACGTTGTTAATTGAACTGTTGTATAAACAACATGCTCCCTCTAAATGTTCTTATTTTCATCTCCCTTCTGCTTATCTTCATCACAATTCAACTAGTTGAGCCGGATTTTTCATCTTTATAGACTTGATGCTAGATTTAATTGACTGTTGGTTGAAAATCAGATTCTTCTCAGCCTATCTTTCCAGAAATTTCACACCTTTTCAGTTAAAAATAGACACTTCTAATAGGAATCAAAGAAAATCAACCAACCAGATAAGATTCTGAAATATTTTATTTATTTTTTTGTCTTAGAATTCCGTGAAATGACAGATTACAATAAATATGCAAGACATATACAATTTACAGGTCAAATTACATTTATTAATGTATTAAGAATATAAGAACTCAATTAGAAATTTCCATTTCAGTTTTGTACTTTATTTGTTTATATTTATGATCAAAAAACTGGCTATACCTCGAGGAGAGGGAAGCAAAATTCGACTTGAACCATTATTAGTGTTTTCGTAAATAAAATTATCGAATGGAGGCGATTTTTGACCAGTTTCAAACTCAAAATCGTTTTCTTGATCCATCTTTGGAATAAAATTGTGTTCATATTGAGCGTGACAAAGAATGCCGGTAATATGAGTTTTAGGAAAGACAGTGTGGAATATTGAAACTCCGGCGTTAATATCTTTGGAGTACTCAGCATAACGTTTATAGTGATCGTAATTGAAAAATAAAAATGCAATCGATTCGCTAGACCAACCATATGAGTCAGATGGGAAAGGAAGGTTAGCCTTGAATTCCAGCAGTTTCGATTCAATGTGTGCAAGCTCTTTTTCAATCACATTGCCATCCGTACCATTATTCAGATGATTCAAATCTTCAATTGCTAAACTAGCTGCATAACAATTAGGGCCACTGAACTGGATTCCAATGAGGGACATTTTTTTAGGATTGAACATGGAATTATAAGGAGGAGGTCCATTGACGAAGAAAAAGTTTGCGGTATCATCAGAGAAATATTGTACAGTAGGCTGATTTGTAACCAATTTATCATTAACTTGCGCTCCTGCTAAGGCAAGTTGACCATCAAAATGGTCGAAAATCGTATCAACTTGTGTGTGAATCAAATAGCCACCTTTACTTGAAACTCCAGAGGAGAAAAGTACAACCGCTTTGATATCGTCTTGAAAAATAAACTCTTCCTCGCATTCCTCGCTGGCTCGTTCAAATACTGTCACGTTAAATCCTTCGTATTTGGGTAACACTAGGCAAGAAATGCCAAATAGTCCAGAAATTTCATAACAGATGGTTAATGGATCTTTAGCACTTGTTAAAGCAGACTGGGAAGATTCACCGATAATTCCATAGTGGGCATCAATACCGATAACAGCACAATCATGAGGGAGACTTGATCTTATGGCGTTTATCACCTTAGCACGCTTCCAACGTCTTTTTTTACCAATCTTAATGTTGTTACCCTCCAAGAGTATCAAACAACTTGGTCTAGAATAAGACTTTTGCAAGCATTGGAGAAACTGATTTTCAAAATTTTCAGGGCCTTTTCGTCCAGATATTGTGTAGTATTCATCAACACTTTTTTCTATCAAAGGGCTTGAAAATTTAAGGATTCTAGAGCGTAGCAGGAAAAATGAAGCAAAACGGTCAATCAGAAAAACCGCAATGATCTGACAAATTTTTCTTTTTGGCCTATCCACTGATCTAGCGATTACATTCCATTGTTGGCAAACTTTAAGGCACTGCTCAATACTTTGTTCATCCAGGTAGTAGAAAATATTTTTTAGAATAAGCTCGTTACGAGTGATTTTTGGTAACACTTTTTCCAATGTGTTATCCATTGCTCTGTAAAAATAATAAAAAGTCAGTATTAATTATAAGGCTCAACGAAATGAATTTCTTGTTGAACTTACCAAATTGTATTTATAACTAGATAAAGATATTTAGGTGATTTTTGGTTCATTTAACCACAAAGGTTAAAGGGTTCGAATCATTGTGAGAAGACAAAACAAGAACAACGTTTGAAGAGTAAGTACAACTAAGGATTTGTAAATGCAAAAAAAAAGAAGTTTGAGCCGGCAATTTACAGTTTCATTAACAAATAGTTTAACTACTTAATAAATTAAACTAGTTAACATAGGCATGGAAGGCTTACATTGTAAGTAACTTATAAATTACAAGTTGTAATACTCAAGCCTTGAAGTTCAAGCACAAGTATACTTGTAAACAAACACCAAATCTTTTCTCACAGAGACATCCTCTGCCTGGATTTAAACTACTTAATACCGGAATTTTCAAAAAGGCACTCGAAGCTATGAATCAGTTTATATAATTCAAGCATCTACCAAGAAAAATCGATCATCTCAGAATTTGATATAAACACAAGATAAACCTGATTTCATGAAAGGCAACATTAGAAAACGCTGATAATTTTTTATTAAAAGTTATTCAGAGTTTCGAGTTCGAAGGCAATTGAGCTCTAAAGAAAAACAATTAATTTCGTGAACTAATCATGCTAATGGGCTGAAATTTCTATGAATATAGTTATTAGTTAAGTCTATTGATTAGCAGAAAGAATTTTTTCAGTACTTGGGTCTCACATAATAGCCATTAGGTCGTTTTTATTTCACTTTTACATTTTCAATTTAATTTTCACATTTACAGCGATTGCTATCACTTGAGTGCTAACGATTGTATGATCATTAGTATGAACTTCTATCTGTGGTTTCGGATGGAATTAATCATTTGTCTAATTAAAATAAAGCCATTTCAAGTCTTTTAAAGAAAGTTCCGTGTGGATATGTTGATTCTTTTAGGAGTTCTAACTTGTCTCCTAACCCTGCCCATTCGTGGAAGAGTTAACATCACTAATTACTATATTCGCATCAAATTTCATGTTTCATGTTCATTATATCATGTTTAGTTCATGAGATATCGATAAAAATTGTATCATGTAAAAATATAAATAAGAAACAGATTTATCCTATAAGCTGAAGAGTATAGAAGAGTTGACCTGGATTCTAGATTCTCATTTTCAAGCTACATTGTTTTGAAATGATCATATTCAGTAAGCTGAAATGCAGTGGTCACAAACTCAGAACAGAATGTATAATTTGTGGCTTGAGTTACCTTTTTTGGGTTAATATTTTAATTTTATTAACTGCAGGTAGAAACTATGAAATAAAATAGCTGGCGTGAAATTTAATCCAAAACATGAAATTTAATTTCAAAATGAATTGTTTACAGAAATCAGAATTATTTATAAGTTGGGACAATATTACCAAATTAAGATGTACGTAAAATTAAATATGAAATGTGTCGGATAATTGATGAGTTGGATAGCGACCAGTCTTCATGTCAATTAAAGTTAATTTTTCAATTGGTTTCGTTTGTAATTTCCTTGAAGCATTCATGTCAAAGAATGTTAAGCTTGCAAGGAGCAAAATTGTCTGAATATTATTAGGATGTGCGCATCGATATCGTTCGTGAAGAGGAGAGATTCAAGAACAGAATTATATTTGAAAACATGTTGATGATGCTATAAGAAAACAGAGAATTAGTAACATTGAAATATAGAAAAAAACGACTCTTTTATCTGTTTACATGGTAAATAAAATGATTTACCTCAAATACTTGTTGAAGTCGTCCAATACACCAACGGAACCAATGATTTTTGAAGCTTCTTCCCTTTGCTTCACATGTTTGAATATGCTCGGACAGAATCATAATAAAATGTTGAAATACGATCAAGAATAAATTTTTCTGATCAGAAAGAGCAGTTTCGACTTTTTCCTCCAAGCTCTCTATAGCCTCTTCATTAGATGGCTCGACCTCTTTTTCCTCTTTGATATCTTTTTCATCCTTGTCAGTACTCTGAGCCTAGATAGAAAATAAGTGATAATGGATTAAAACACATCTGCAATTTAGTAAATAAAATAAATAAATTAATACCTTTTCAGATTTTTCTTTTGCTTCTTTCAACTCCTGCAATTTTTTTTGCAAGTTTTCCACTTGTTTGATGTGACGACGGATCGTGGAATGCAAAATCTCCCAAATATAAGACCTAAATAATTGTAATTATTAAGCGCATTAGATTAAGATTATTAAGTGGTTGAATGCTGCTTTACCTAGTGAAATCATTGGCTAATTCTTTTGAAAAAATCCAATTGGCTACAGCAGGGAAATCAACAATACCAGCTTTTAATAATTTGTCAGTAAGTACCACGAGAAGCTGTCGATAAAAATACATGAAGAGTTAGTTAAATGTTTTAAGTTTTAGGTGAATTTTTCTTACTTGTGGATGTCGTCTCCAAACCTCATAAATCGCGTTAAGAATACATCGTTGAGCATCCTCGGAATTATTTAAGGACAGCAGTATTTGATTATACCTATGAATTAAATGATTAAGTTTAGAGAGAAACAGAACACAAAATAATTTTATACATACTTGAGAAGCGCAGAGAATAGATGAGAGAATGATTTAGATGCTGCATTCAGTAAAACCGTTAAGAAAACATCAATTTTTAAGGAATGTGGAGTGAATTCAGCTGCGAAAGAAAGAAATAATTGTACATTGATTAACATTGTTCAGATAAATTTATGCAACTTAATATTACCATCACCAGCGTTAGTACTATTGTCTAAATCATCCAAGGTTTTCATTATTTCTTCTATAGGAGTTTTGTTCTTTATTAGCTCATTAAGTTGATTTGATAAACCGCTTCCAGGTATTTTAATTGACTCGTCTGTAACAGCATATTTATTCATCGGTTCAGGGAGATCAGGTAAAAGAATTTTGAATCCATCAGGAACTATTTCGGCTATTCTTTGGTGATATGAAAGTCTCATACATCGCAGTAAGCACTCTCGGACAAACTTTGGTTTAGGATGAAGAGGATCTAATGTTAAGCAGGCTGACCAATCATCCCAATTCCAAGCATATTGGAAATTACTCAGATGATAAGCAAACCATGATGCAAACCGATCTACACAGGCTACGTTCATAGTGTCTAAGCGATCAAATATCATTTCTACTGCTTGGGCAAGCTTGAAAGAAGAAAAAAATTATGAATAAATTATGATTGACAGAGGGTAACTTATTTTGACACTTACAACTTGAGGTAGAGATCCGGGTTGCATCTTACAGAGTTTAAGAAGCAATGATCCATAGAATATTTCTAAGTACTTGGAAGTAGGCAATGCGAAAATTTCAGCTAAAATAGTTTCTACAAGAACGTATTCCAATGGAAATTTGTGACCTCCTTGTAATCCAATCAAGGAAAATGAGCTGCATAATATGAGAAAAATAATCTTTAGAACAAAACAAAAAGAGTCACGATTGAAACACTTACCAAGTTTTAAGATCTCGGTGATGAGTAGATAAAATCCAGCGTATATTTTGCTCAATCAAATAACGATCAATCGAATGAGCACCAGGCAGAATTGGACCATCAGGACAGTCAGTATAGTCAAAGAGTCGGAACACAACTTTGGGATATGGATAGGTATAAGAAGCATCATGAGGTGGTATTGTGATTGCAGGTAGATTATGTTGGAGTGCTTCACACAAAGCCTTGCTAAAATTGATATACGGTCTATAAATATGATTTTCTTCCCATTTATCACTTCGCAACTTAGTTATTTGAGACCAAAGGCAGTCAAGATACTCTTCTTGTGGATGTGGTGTATCGGAGTACCAAACTCGCAAGGCTGTGTGGTGAACCTTGGATCTTTTAGTCATATAATTGTCAATAGTGTTTAGTAATTGTTCTAAATCTTGTTCTTTTTTATCACAAAGTTCATAGCCAACCCAGGGTAAGGCTGATAAAACTGCATAAACGAAGAAATCTGAGCGAACCTGAGGAATATTATCCTCCATAGTAACATCAACCAGAGTTTCAAAAAGATTCATCAAAGATCCATGAGAGATCACATGGCAGTTGACAAGGTCACCAAAAAATCGGACATATGATAAACTCTTATCCCATTCACATGCTTTTGTACAATCCTTGAAACATTTCACTAGCATTTCGATGATCTACGATTAGAGAAGAAAAATTGTAAAACATTTATGATTGTAAAATATTGGAAATTGAATGGTTTTGAACTTACATCACCACCAACATGGTAGTTTTTATTATTCAGAAGTCCAACCAAAGTGGCATAGATTGATGTTTTCTCCGGTAAATTAGCAACACTGAAAATAATAATAAATGTGGTCCAATGAAAACAATTACATGCAAATTGAGTTATAAGACTTACCAATCACATATAATTTTGATAATATTGCTCTTAGCTGACTTGGAGACATCATGGTCAAGAATTTCCACCAACTCCTCTAAATTTTTCTCCAAAGCTGATGTACTCTAAAATATCCAAAGGTAGATGTTATAAATGGAAGACATTTTAGTTAGTAAATTGATTAATTCTTCAACTGATAAAGACAATAACTAATTGAATACTATATTTGACTTACCCTGTCACCAAGCTTAACAATTAAGTGTTCCAAATTGTCTTCAATGTCCTCTTCCTCAGTAGGACGTTCATTTCTATATCTTTTCCTAGGTCTCTCCGCTGTGAACCAGAAAAAATTGTACAATTAATACACAAATAAATTGAACAAATGTAATTAACTTACGATCATCATCCCAATTCCTTCTTTTACTCATAATGAATGAAGATTAACTTGATAAACTGACAGAGTAAAACACTAAAACAAAACTGAACAAGCCAAAATAAGACCAAATCAACAAGACATGTTGAACATGTTGTCTTCACGCAGCCTATATTATCTTTTCCAAAGGCAACACATTTGGCGGCAAATACAACCAAACAAAATGGTAACCAACTTTTTTTTCGTGAAATAAGTCAAGTCAAGTGAAATATTAATGTAAATGTTTACTTTATTTGCATTTATTTATTAGCAGCATTTATGTTAAATGAAAATAAATACAATCATTGATGAGATAAATTTTTAATTGAATGAATATGGGCAAAATTATTTTTTGAAATACTTTAAACATGATGAGGAAGCAAAAAAGTCAAAAAAAGATGATTACAATGTATATAAAATTAATTTTTAGTAGCTTTAGTTTTCTTCGCTGGTGGTGCCTTCTTTTTGGGTGTCTTGGGTGTTTTTGGCTTGGCGGCCTTTGATACTTTGGGTTTCTTTTCCACCTTTGCTTTCTTAGCTACTGGCTTACTGGGTTTCTTGGCGGGTTCACTTTTAGGTGCTTTTGTTTCTTTTGCTTTACCCTTCTTTTCACCGGCGACAGCTTTAGGCTTCTTTTCTTTAGGTTTCTTTTCTTTGGGTTTCTTTTCTTTGGGCTTCTTCTCTTTGGGTTTTTCAGTTTTCTCGGTTTTCTTGGCAGCTTTGGGTTTAGCAGCGGCACCAGAGGTTTTGCCCAATTTGAATGAACCTGAAGCTCCCTTACCCTTAGTTTGTACCAAACCACCACTTGTGACTGCTTGTTTCAAAAACTTTTTGATGAAAGGTGCCATTCTCTCAACATCAACTTTGTAATTAGCGGCAATGTATTTTTTGATGGCTTGGGCTGATGAACCATTTCGTTCTTTAAGCGCTTGGATAGCAGCATTAACCATTTCAGCAACTGGAGGGTGAGTTGGGGCAGCTTTGGGCTTCTTTGCAGCACCAGCGGCTTTGGTTACCTTTTTACTTTTTGGTGATGTAACGGTGGTAGCGGGGGTTGTTGATTCAGACATCTAAACACAGAATAAAAGAAAAATGGGAAATAAAGAAAAAAACAAAAAAATTATTTAGCAACTTAATAGAGTTACAAACAAATTGAAAAGTAGTAAAGAAGGCAAAATAATCCAATTGAACTAATTTAAGTGAACAAAACAAATGTAAAGTAGTGATGATGCATACCTTGATTAAATAATATTTGTTAATGTAGATTTATTTTAAAAGAAATCAAATATAAATTCACAATTAAGAGAGATGAGATGAGATGTGATGTGAGCTGGAATATTGAATCAAACTAAGATGATAAAGTAAGTCTTCAACAGACTTTTTATATAGGGTGACGGAGGTTAAAAGCGAACTCTACGAGGACTCACAACAATTTCAACTTATCCTCCTTCCAAGTTGGCAAGCTAAGTTTGTGCTTTCCTGGTGACACAAACTGATTAATTAATACAATTTAATTAACTTGTTATCTATTGATTGTGTCTTAAATTGTTTCTCTAAGGTCTAATGATTATATTGATACCTGTTATACTCTTCTAATGTGATTAATTGTGAAGATATCATCACAAAACCATGGTGTTACCCTTGTTTCAACATGTTACTTTGCAACAAACTAATCATTTTTTAATTAACACAAGGTTAATCAGTGTCATTATTGGTTTCTATAAGTGGCCCATAGAGATGGCTATTTGGATATAATAGTACCGAACAATTAAAATTATGTCTAAGGTAATATTTTAAGCTTAATTGTAGCACACCTCCATCCGTCATTTGCCTGGTAAACCTCTCCTTCCCTTACCATCCTTAACTCAGCTTCACTCCGTAATCACATTCAATAACTGTTAAGGCCAGTTCAATGGTCAATTATTATTATCTTAATATCCCCCCTATTCTGTTAATCAACATTGGTTTCATTATTTCCCTAAATTAACCTCTAAAAGCGACCAAAAAGAGTTTAAAATGATGCATCTAAATTTATATCCAAAACCTTAGAGTGAAAAAAACTTCAACCCAAAACCTCAACCTCTTTTTTCATATTACCATTATAATCTATGGTTGATTGTTAAATTATTTCAATATTCTATTTTCTTCTTATTTTCCTCTCTTTTTCTTATGTATTTTGCCTATTATTTCACCTGTTAACATTTTTATCACCTCAATATAAAACTGTATTCACCTTCACCAGAAAACCTTTTTGTTTACTTGTTTCTCCTTCAATTTTTCAATCCAACTTACTTAACCAACGTAGCAAATATTTCTCACTTTTTATTTGTTAAAATTGAAATTTAACCATTCTAGATCGCCAGAGCAATAAAAATCATTCATGAAAATGTAAAGAATTTTTGAAAAAATCCGACAAAAAGTCAAATTATATCACCAGATAATTTGTTTAGTTTTTGCCAATCTCGATATTGCTTTTTCCTTCCTAACCAAAATCACTCTCAAATAAAGTGTATCTGTCAATTTTGAATTTCGCTGGCAAACCAGATTCTCACAACCAACTCACTAGATGGAGTGTATAGAAAACCCAAAATCCTCACCGCAATCATTTTTTTTATTTTTTCAAATTAAATCCTTTAATCAAAGTTTATCCAAGCTAATTACTATCATCATTTTACCTAAATACTAGAATATCGTACTGCGATACTAGTCCTTTTATTCAACAATTATTTTAATTGAAGACATTCAATTCTCAACTAAAATTTTGGTGCAACTTACCATCTTTCATCGTTTCTCTCGCTTCATCTACCATTGCTTCTATTCATCTCTCTCTTTTTTCTTTCACTCTCTTTTCTATCTCTGTTCATAAAAATCTCATTCATATTCTTTTGATAACAATATTATAGTTGATGTCAATCAATTTGTAAATTACTGAAGATGGGAGCCTACCTTTCAGAGCCAAAGACTGAAAAGTTATCGGAAGAAGATGAGAACGAGTTTATTAAATATGGAGCCTCTTCTATGCAAGGATGGAGGACATCTCAAGAGGTATTTTCACTTTTTTTTTCATTTATTCCATCAAACATTAATCTTGTCCTACTCTGAGAAAGAATGTTTTTGTAGCTCGTTAATGTATTAAATGCTAACTGTTTGTCAGCTTTTGATACTTTACTTTAAATTTTTATTTTTATTTTGCCTCAAGTGTGTTAGCAATTTGAAGTAAATTAGTTAACTGCAAGCTTCATTTTTGCTTTCACCGCTTCTTGATATTTGATTTTTCATTCTTAAATATTCTTGTTTTTTTTCTTCTCATTCATGAATATTTCAGTCCCTTATCTCCCTTTCCGCCTTCCCTTATGCAATATTACTCTTTTCTGAACCCCTCTTCCTGTGAGAAGTAGATTAAATCATATTGACCTCATTGTATCTCAGTGTTTGATATTTTTACATTGCAACAGCGTATCATTCTTTTCTGTTAAGTTAGTGAACATTTAGAAAAAAATTATTAAAGAAAGTATTTCAGCTAATAATTGAGCAACTTGATTTGACAGCGCAATTTCAATCTTTTGGTTTCCCTCCAACCCTTTCACTGTTTATTTATATCGTTTCTGTCATCTTTTTTTTGCAGGATGCTCATATAGGTTTACTTGATTTTGATGAAAAAACCTCAGTGTTTGCTGTTTTCGATGGACATGGTGGAGGTGAAGTGGCCCAATATTGTGCTCGTCATCTCCCACAGTTCCTTAAAAATTTAAATAAATACAAAGAAGGAAATCTTAAACAAGCTTTGGAAGAGGCCTTTCTTGAATTTGATAGTCTTTTGACTATTCCAGAGATTATCGAGGAGCTTAAAGTTATAGCCGGCGATGATTATATTAGAAGTGATGAAGATGAGGAAGACGATAATGAAGCATCTCTGTTGAAAGAAGAAGCAAATTTACCATTGGAAGCATTGATAGCCCGTTATAGTGGCCATGAAAATGATCCTAATGAAGTAGTTAAACGTGATCATATTCCGCCACATGTTAGGCTAGAATTTAACACCAAAAAGGCTAAACCAATTTCACCTTTCTTGCGCGGTAAACAAGGACCATCTACATCAACTGCTGAAGATGCGAAAGCTATTAATAATTTATGCAGTTCATCATCTACATCAAATGAATCAGAGGCCTTGAACAGGTTCGAACCTTGCAGTTCAAGTAGTTCTACCAGTGGGTCAAGTTCCTCTTCTCATAATCTACCCAACGGAAAACTAAATGAAAGTGGTTCAGATCCCGAGAAAAATTCACTGTTTCATCAACAATCTGACGGAGGAGATTCCGTATCATCATCTGTGACCGAAGCTAATGAAGATAAAAATGACATTTGTAAAGTTTCGTCTACTAAGTCTGATTCGAGTAAATGTACCTCCAATGTTAGCGAATCAAATGAAGTAGTATCGGGTGATCTGTCTAATTCATCATCAGTTGATATTGAAACAAGCAAGAAAGCTAACGGAGAAACAAGTGCGCAAAATGAAAAGGACAGTTGTGTTTCGACATCTTCAGAAGCTGCACCGGCTAAGTCATCTAAACCTGAACAATCAACCTCTTCATCTTCATCCTATCCATCTCCTTCAACAGCTGCATGTGACAATACAGTCAGCGCTGCAGCATCTACAAGCGCTGATGAACCCTCATCAAGCTCCAAAGGAAAGGGCAAAAAGAAAAAAGTTGTGATTCAAGAAAATGTGAAATCAGATAGTACAACTAGACCTGGACGAATAGATTATAAAGCTATTTTAAGTGAGGATTTAATCAAAGACGGAGAAGATATTGATGATGATTCAGACTCATCAGACATGGAGTATGGTGAAGGTGAAGATGATGATTTAGACAATGAGGATGATGATGAAGATGATGACGACGATGATGATGACGATGATGACGATGACGAAGATGACCAAATGGCTGCTAACTTCGAGGCCTCATCTACTGATTTTGAGATACCTGGTCGAGATAGTGGTTGCACCGCTGTTTTTGCTGTTTTAAAAGGCAATCAATTGTATGTTGCAAATGCCGGCGATTCCCGTTGTGTTCTTTCTAGGCGTGGTAAAGCAGTTGACATGTCTTTGGATCATAAACCTGAAGACACAATTGAAAAGAAACGGATAGAAGCTGCAGGGGGGTCAATTAATAGTGATGGTCGTATTAATGGAGGACTTAATTTATCTCGAGCCATTGGTGATCATGCTTACAAAACCAATACTGAACTTAGTTTGAAGGAACAAATGATAACTGCATTCCCAGATATTCGAACGAAAATAATAAAACCAGATAGAGACGAGTTCATGGTGCTTGCCTGTGATGGTATTTGGTAAGTAATCACACGTCGATATCCAACTTTTTGATCTAATTTCATTTTTCTATATTTTCTTAGGAATTCAATGACCAGTCAAGAGGTTGTCGACTTTGTTAAAGAACGTTTAGGCAAAAAGAGTTTGTGTTCAATATGTGAAGAGGTAAGTTTTTGTCTTTGATTTGTTTTAAAGTCAAAATACTAACACAAGTTTTCATTTGTTTCTCTTCTTTCCTTTGATTAGCTTTTCGATCATTGTTTATCACCTGATACTGAAGGAGATGGTACAGGTTGCGATAACATGACTTGCATTATTGTTCAATTCACGAATATTAAACCAACCGATAGTCAGCAAGAACTAGAAGACTCTGATGATGAGGTAACCAATAATTCAAATGAAGAGCAATTAGATCCGAGCCAGTCAGACTCAAAAAAGCAGCCAGCTTCAGAGAGTCAACAAGTTTCCTCTGAGCCAGCTTCTAAACGACAAAAGACTGCCCTTTAAGTCTATAAAGTGTCATGCAAGGTGGCATTCTCTTCGTTTGCTTGCTGAAGAATTAAAAGAAATCGTTTTATTAAACTTCATTCAACTTTTCCATTTTTAACAATTGCTTCATCACCTTTTTTGGCAAAACTCTTGGTCATTTCATTATAGCTCATCTTTCAGTGTCATTTGAAAGATCCTTGGATGGAATCAGCTTTGCTCCGTCGTGCTCATTAATCCTTTCTCTTTACACAAACCAAACACCACACAACAAACACATAAACACACACACACACTCACTACTCGATTTCTTGCCTTCCATTCCTATTTTTCCTTCTGACCGAATTTTTCATTTCATGCAAAAAAACTCAACACCTTGCTTGTCTCCAAAAAGATAAATTTTAATTTAAAATCTATCAGTTTTGATCTTTAGTTATTCATTTAACTTAAGTTTCATTTATTTTTAACGTTACACAAGACCTCTCTATCTGTGAGAAATGAAACTTACAATTATCATTGATACACCCAAGCAAATTTAATAGTTATAGTTTATGCTTCTAATTCTCATACGAAGCATAAACAAGACTTGTGCATTTATCATAGATTTTTATTCCACAATTTGAAAGAAATGGTTTAAAGAAGAGACAAATTGAAGAAATAGTAACAAGTTAATTGTTATTATTAATCTTGTTATCATAATATATTATTATTACGCTAATTTTTTGTGTCCTCTTCATTTAATTGAGATGAAACTGAAATCGATATGAAACATTTTTCTTCTCAAAGATTACAAAACTAACCTAATTTAAAATTTAAATCAACAGAAAGGCCAAAACAATTCTGTAAAATCCGTGTCTTTTTGATTCTAATATTTAAATTAAATGCTTTCCATTTTTAAGTTGATGAAAAATATCATTAACCGATTTCACACAACTTTTAAGTGAAATCAATAGTTAAATTGTAAAATTTATTCAATTATCAGCCTTAAAATATAAGAATAGTTAACAATCGATAATCTTATTATCTAAAATACTGCTTGATCAATGATACACAAGACTGGTTTTAAATTGAGTTTGATTAGCATTACTTTGAATAATTATGTCTCAATTATCAGCATTTAAAGTCCAAATAGTATTGATTGACTAGTAATTAAAAATCCCAGAACTAAGATAGTCCGAGTGAAATGCTGAATAATCAAGGTTAGTTTACTGAAAGCATCCAAAGATAATTTGTTTCAAGGAAAGCTTTGGTACAAAAATTAGGATCCAAGTTCGGGACGTAATCTTCGTAACCTTTTTCAGCTCCAGTTCGGAAAACAGCAAGCACATTACGATTAAATTGGTGGATTCTTTGTCTAGTTACAGAGTCCATGAACTTAACATACGAAGGTCTTACAGTATCAGGTGATAAAACTCCACAATAAAATATAATTGAAACACAGGCAGCATAAATAATGGGTATTATATTAACTGGATCAGGTAACAAACCATTTGCATAGCCAAGACAATAAACGTTTTCAATGCACTTCCAAGTTACATAGGTTGATATGGTGGAGTTGGGTGAAAGTGTCATAGTAAGACTAGCAAGTGAACCGGCCAGAGCTGCATGCCAACCAGCTGAACCATTGCAACTTGTCCGAAGAGTACAATTGACAAGACGAAAGGTGGCCACAAAAAGTCCAAGGAAACCAGCGAAACGTACATTTTTACTATTACGAGCAGCTCTCAATACAATTGAAGGATCTTTCATTAAACGGGAAGGATTTTTAACCGAAGAGATGAGAGTTAAAATGGACCAAGTTAATCCAAATGATTTAATCAATCCATGGGCAATATAAGTGAAACAAGATGAATATGTTTTATGAGGACAGGTTGGATGCGAAGTGGTCAATAGCGACCAAAGGAATGATTGTTTTGTTGGTAGAAATTGTTTATTGTTACATCCATTTGATGTAACCACAGCAGCTCTTGCAAGTCCACTTTTAGACTCTTCCCTGCCAATTAAACCTTTAATCAACAGACTAATCGGATCATTACCAAGACCTCGGGTCCGATAAAGGTACATTAATATTGTCATTGAAGTTGTGAAAAGCATTATTTCCCCATTTGGAATGGGCTTGAAGAGTTTTCGTTTAATGGCAACTCGGTATAAACACTCTGAGGCTATGTTGATCAAATACAAGGCAAGGGCTGATCGTCGATGGGGTCTTTCAATGTGTATAGCTGCATAAGCTGCCAAAAAAGATGGTAAAAAGGCCACCAATGAGTAGTAAAATTTACCCGAAGCAGCTCGAAGACCACAGAAAAGGCTAAAGGTTAGGAAACCGTTGACGCCTAGAAAGGTTGATGAGTTCAATGCATTTCCAATAGCTTTCAGCAAAGCATCTGAAGTGTATTTACGGGCGAGTATAAATTGTACAGCATTCAAGGCTGAATACATCTTTAGTCCTTCTTGGAAAGCTGAGCTTCCAATTTCCCATGATGCCACTGAACAATGAGGTGTCCATGTATGAGCAGTTTCATAGCAGTTGTATTTGAATGACCATTCAGGTAAAAATAATTTATCCCATAATTTGCTTAACATTGACATGTTTGAACAATCCAGTTGATTTGCTTTTAAGTTAACAAATTATGTTGAATTTTAAACTTGATTCAAATTATATGATCAAATCTGTATTGAATAAAAATAAATAGCATTAATTAATAATTTTTAAAGCATCAAAAAGTAAATTTGTATATCATTTGTTTGTTATTGTGCCTACGTTGTCACAAGCTGTAAGAAGTTTTGGATCTGCTCTTGATTGCTGAACAATTCGGTTTAGTATTTATTTTTAGTTTGTACATCATTTTGTTAATTGCTAATAACTTGGGTTCTTTCATCGCTATTAGACTAAATCATCATCCAATCCAGAATAATTAACATTCAATTTGTGCCAAGCGATCCAGTGATCAGTGAGAAACCTTTTTAAGATCATCCAACAAACATTATACAGCTTCTGTCTTTAAACTGTCAATCTACTGATCATAATTTGACTTATTTTCCAATACTGATCATAGCTGATTATTGTTAAGGAATTAATGGTATACACTTATTACCATTACATGATTTTTAATTGTTACAGTCTGTAACTGAAAGCATCCAGTTCGCGCTCAACAACCATTTCAACGGTTTTTCAATGTTTCATCTCTAAATGTTGCAGCAACTGCTCAACAGTTATGTTAATGTTGTCATTTTGTTGTTGATTTGCTTCATATAATTTAATGCCTTATTTTCCCTTCATTATTTAATCGTTACAACTGTTAACTTGATTTGCTTGGTTGATATTGTTGACTGAGAAAGAGATCAATCCAACTATTATCTCAATTTTTCTCAAGTATTGCTAATTCACATCTTCAACCCAAAACCAGTTACTTAAACCATTGACAAAAAGGATTATTAAAAATTAAATTCACCCTAATCATTTATTTCCATTATTCACATTCCATAATAATTTACATATGAGCAATTAAAGCTGATAAGCGACAAAATCCTTAAATCCACCAAAAATGTTGTGAATAAGCTTGAATTTAGTTCCTCACTCGACTTTTATTCACTGGTTTACTCATGTCTAAACAAGTGAACATTGGCGAAAGCAGCATCCAAATTTGGCGTTTCATTATATTGACTTTATGGATTTAATAACAAGTGTTTGTTGATAAACAATCAGTAAAATGAAAAATACTCACGTTTAAAAGGAAACAATAAGATTGTGATTGTCCATTGGAATTACAATCTATCAAAACTACCACGGATGTTGACTAGAGCTACCAACAAACTCAATAAGATATCATGAATTTTTGATGACAATTGTTGATTATAAATCACTATTTAAAGATGTTTCTTTTCAATAACATGAAATTATTTTACAAAAATTAAATTGTATTGTAAACTAAACTTCAATCCATTGAGCAGTAAGTTTTATCACAAAACAACGCAGAGAGACACTTTTTTGAAAACTAAACAAAACTCGATCAGCTCGTCTCGACTCATTCATCTCCCTCAAAACAGGTTAGATTCACCCTTAAACAATTTTCAAACAATAAATTAGTAAAAGAAGACAATTTAGCTTGCATCTTAAAACAATAATCCAATCAATTATTCTAGGATGAATCTACAAATCACAAGACTATGGATAATCGGAAATTCATGCTCAACATGTTTACAATGGATCAAGGATTGAAAAGCCTCCAATTGATCTCACCTGTTTCACCTACTTTATTTGCGCACTGTCCCTCTTCTGTCCCTCACCATTCATCTTTCGTGATCAATTTTGACAATTAATATACATCTCAAAAATTAGTAGCATTTCTTTTTTTAAACTCAAATTAGGTTGATGAACGTTCATCTATAATGTTAATCCATAATAAGACAATAGTAAAAGATGGCTTGTAATCAATTTTGTGGCACATCAACTAAATCTAATTAGTGTGTATGATCTTAAAAAACTATTCTTGTAGTTTAGTTAATAGTAATAAATCAAAATCTCGTTCATCAACAGTTAGAACCCAGAAAAATACTTTTTTACCTTTTTTCAATAGATCGATTGCTATCGATCTATTGAATCAGCAATCATATGGTTTTGTTTAGTTTAACAAAATCAAACTTATTTGTTATTTAATATTAATGAATTAAAAGCTCTTATTAAAGCTTGAATAAGAATTTTAATCTTCCTTTTATTGGAAAATGTCAACAGATAATGATTTGGAGGAAAAGGTTAGTCAATGTTAGATTCATTCATCTACCTTGCAATAACAACGTCTGTTTCTGCTTTCCAGAAGGTTTCATTTTTGAAGCGATTTGCCGCCGAACCATGTGTGAGGCAAACTTATCTGTACTCATTTACTGGTGGTTTGGTTGTTGGATCGTTAAGCTTCATGTTTACTAGTAAGTAATCAACTCATTTTGATTGACCTTTTCAGAAATTTGAGATTGTCATAATAGCTTCATACTTTTCTTCAATGTTTATGCATAAATGTTATTTTGTCTTTCTAAAAGTTTGATATCCACTTTTATTCTTTCAGGTCATGTTCGTAAGTCAATAGCTAGAGGATTTGGTATGTTTGGTGCAACAATGGGTGTCTATTGGATTTATTGTAGATATAATTATTTCAAGGAACAAGAGCAGCTCAAAAAGATATCTGAAATACTTGCCTCTAAAGCCTTAGAATTAGGAAGTCAACCAAATGATCCAATTATTTCTGAATTTAAGAAATAGGTTTATTAGTGAAAGTTTGTTGATTCAGTTGTTATCATTACTCTTTTCTGAACCCCTCTTCCAGTGAGAAGTAGATTAAATTATATTGACCTCATTGTATCTCAATGTTTGATATTTAATATATAATATCTGGTGAACCCTCATCAAGCTCCAAAGGAAAGGGCAAAAAGAAAAAAGTTGTGATTCAAGAAAATATGAAATCAGATAGTACAACTAGACCTGGACGAATAGATTATAAAACTATTTTAAGTGAGAATTTAATCAAAGACGGAGAAGATATTGATGATGATTCAGACTCATCAGACATGGAGTATGGTGAAGGGGAAGATGATGATTTAGACAATGAGGATGATGACGAAGATGACCAAATTGCTGCTAACTTCGAGGTCTCATCTACTGATTTTGAGATATGGTTATCTTTTTGTATTTGAACTCATTCTTCCAAAGGCACAAATAGCGTAAAACAGATATTTAAATAACCTCGGAATAATTTACTTCGGAAACTTGTAAAAAATCACATTGAACCTCTAACTGAGTGAGTCGACAGATTTTCGGACAGCCTTACAAGACTAAACTGGTCAAACCAGTCAACTTTGGTCCACTTGTCTTTTTTGTTTATTTCAGTTCAGACTTTCTATTGTCTTTGCCTTATACTTTATCTTTGTATTTTTTCAACTTAAATTATCAAAATGAATGAAAAAGATAGTAATTCCAATAAAAGTAAGTCTTGAATTTCGATGCTTCATATTATTGAATAACTTTTACTTCGTTTGTTTTCAGCAACAATAAGAGTGAAACTATCTGACGATTATCAAGATATTGTTATTGACTGGAGTGCAAAGACAAGTGATGAAATTGGTGAATCAATAATTGAACAGGTAAGTATAATCTTCGCTTCCTTTGAACACATTTAATCATTAACATTATCATAGCTTTCAGCATTCACAAGAATACCAGGGGTAAAGATTAAAATGTTAACGTTTAGAAAGCCGGGTAATGGAAATCCTGGAAATCCTTTTACTCCCATTGACCCATTGGCTATTGCTTGTTTACATTATTACTGGAACTCTTGGTAATTATAATTCTTAAATAATCAGTTGTGTTATTATGGATATTTGAATATTGCTTTAATAGACTCATCTTTTCCTACTCATTAACCAGTGGTTGTAAGATGGAAGATATTAGAGATCATTTCTTTATAGATGGCGATTGTTTCATGCTCAATACAATTCTACTGTTATCATTTGATTTGGATCAAACTTACGTTCATTATGTTTTAACGCATCAAGATTTAATTGATGAAACTCAATGCAGCCGATCTCTCTGCCATCATACATGTAACAGAGCTTTTCTGGATAAACAAGCTGAGATATGCAATTCAGATTTTGATTCATATCTGCGCGCTCAGCCTCGGCGAATACGTCCATTGATTATTGGCGAAGAAGAATGGTTTGATATGGAAAGTCGAAAAATTGAAATTCTTACCGATTTTAATTTTGCACAATATTTTGATTCTTATTGTTGCAGATCTCGTCATGTTTCTATTCGTGCCAGTTATAACCTACAAACTCGTATTTACTCGCCATGCCGTGGTTAACTCTGTTTGTATCAGATTGAAATGTGTCGTCTTTCATTTAATCCCTTTTGTAGCAAATAAAACAGAAATAATTTTTATTGTTTTATTTTAAATTTTATTTTACATTTGTATTTTTGATGCATTTTCATGCATTGTTTCATTAAAATAACGATATACACTAAAAATGTTTGTAGATTTCGAGTTTGAACCCAAACCAATGTTTCAGTCTACTTCATACAAAAAGTTAAATCCAAAAACAAAAGTTGTAAAAAGTAAACTTTGCTAACCTGAAGTTAGTTATTAGGTTTGCAAAACTAGAAAAGACTAGTCAAGCAGTTGAGCGGGAAACTCAAGCTAAGCTTACAAGTTTTAGGGTTGACTTGCCTTTGAGTTTCCAAAGGCGCGAATAGCAACAGATGTTTGTAAGAAATGGACTTTACTAGTCAGGTTTGTATACAACAGTAAAACTTGACAGGAATTGTAAGTGATGATGAAATCCATTTCCTTTTATTTCTGATTAACTCTTTTTCGGATTGAAATAAATGATGAAGCTTTATTAACATGCTAAGCACCCAAATATTGAACAATCAATATTTACAAATATTTTTGGTACAATGGCACACATGTAATTAGATCAATCGGGATAAAATGTATGGCTGTAAAGATATACTTATTAGCTTGTCAAAAATTCAAGTTCAAATTCATTAAATTCAATTCATTCTTCTATTTCATCTCAAACTGCGTTTATCTAGTCAAACGAAATGCCAGTCCAATTGTATCACGATAATCTTTCTCCTACAGCGCGAATGGTTCGAATCGTTGCCAAGCATATTGGTTTCAGTTTCGAAGAAAAAGAAATCGATTTATTGTGGTGCACATAAGAAGCCAGAGTTCCTTACCGTGAGTAAATCATTATAATTATAAATCCCGATCAATTTTCAATCTTACTTGTATTCGAACTCGCTCTTCCAAAGGCGCGAACAGCGTAAAGAAATGTTTGAAAAAAACCCAAATTTACTTGGGAAACTTGTGAAAAATTACAGTGAACTCGAACTGAGTGAGTCGACGGGTTCTCGGAAAACTTTACAAGCTTAAACTGGTCAGACCAGTCAACTTTGGTCCACTTGTCTTTTTTGTTTATTTCAGTTCAGACTTTCTATTGCCTTTGTGCATGTACTTTGTTTTTGGATTGTTTTCAACTCAAATTATCAAAATGAATGAAAATGGTAGTGATTCCAATAAAAGTAAGTCTAGAACTTTGATGCTTATTATTATTGAATAACTTTTATTTCGCTTGTTTTTAGCTGCAATAAGAGTGAAACTATCGGACGATTATCAAGATATTGTTATTGACTGGAGTGCAAAGGAAAGTAATGAAATTCGTAAATCAATAATTGAACAGGTAAATACAATTTTGCTATCTTTGAACACATTTAAGCATTAAAATCATTCACAGCTTTCAGCATTCACAAGGATACCAAGTGAAAAGATGGATTTTTTAACGTTCCTAAAGCCGGGTAATGGAAATCGTGAAAATCTTTTTGTGTCGTATCAACAACCTGGAAATGCTTGTTTTTATTATAACAGGAGATATTGGTAATTATAATTTTTTAATAATCAATTGTATTATTATTGAGTTGAGTTTTGCTTTAATGGACTTTCTTTTCCTATTCATTACACAGTGATCGTAAGATGGAAGATATTAGAGATCATTTCTTTACAGATGGCGATTGTTTCATGCTCAATACAAAGCTACTGCTGACCTTTGATTTGGATAATACTTACGTTACTTATGTTTTAACGCATCAAGATTTAATTGATGAAACTGCATGCAGTGCTGATCATTGCCATCATACATGTAACAGAGCTTTTTTGGATAAACAAGCTGGAATAGTCAATTCAGATTTTGATTCATATCTGCGCGCTCAGCCTCGTAGAATACGTCCAAATATACTTTACTATGAACATTTTATTGACATGGAAAGGCGAAAAATTGAAATTCTTGCCGATTTTAATTTTGCACAATATTTTGATACTTATTGTCGCAGATCTCATCATGTTTCTATGCGTGAATTTGATAACCTACAAAATCGTATTTACTCGCCATGCCGTGGTTGACTATGATTGTATCAAATCGAAATGTGTCGTCTAAATTTAACCCATTTTTCAAATAAAACCTAAATAAATTTTACCATTCATTGTATTTTAAATGCACTTAATTCAGATTGTTTCATTTGAATAACGATTTCTCCATGCAAGTTTCAATTCAATTACCACTTGTTACAAAGTTCAACACATATATTTGTGTTATTTTGAGCAAATAAGTTTAGCAAAGTTCATGCACGCAAAGACGGTAAAAGCAAAACTGATCAGAGCAAAAAATAATTTCTAGTTCAGGCTTCATTCTTCTATCGAATGATAGATTCGTTTGATTCTGATTAAACTCCTGATAAACCAGGAAACGGGCCAATTATGAGAAATATAGTTTTTAGTTTCTGTACATCAGATCAGCTCCATTCAGTTAAACGACTTCTAGTTCAACTAGAACAACAAAATGTCAGTACAATTGTAGTGATGACTTGTTTGACTTACGAAGAGAAGAAGCGACTTACCATCATAATGGTCGCTTTTTTGTTTTAATAATACCACAACTGTTAATCAACCGGTTTATCCATTCGGGTTTACAATCAAAACAGCAATCATTACCACCGTCACAAATAAAATGATCAATTTCGAAAGTTTCTCTTTTTTTCTTGACCTTTGTCATTCTTTAGCCTTAAAATAGACCACTTATCTTTTTAGTTTATTTCAGTTCAGACTTTCTATTGCCTTTGTGCATGTACTTTATCTTTAACTTAAATGTTTTAACTTAAATTATCAAAATGAATGATAAAGATAGTATTAATAATAATAATAGATAATATTATTAATAGATAATAATTCCAATAAAAGTAAGTCTTGAATTTCGATGCTTCTTATTATTGAATAACTTTTACTTCGCTTGTTTTTAGCTACAATAAGAGTGAAACTATTGGATGATTATCAAGATATTGTTTTTGACTGGAGTGCAAAGGAAAGTGATGATATTCGTAAATCAATTATTGAACAGGTAAATACATTTTGTTTCCTTTGAACACATTTAATCATTAACATTATCACAGGTTTCAGCATTCACAAGGATACCAAGTGAAAAGATTGAATTTTTAACGTTTCTAAAGCCGTATAATGGAAATCCTGAAAATCCTTTTAGGCCCTTTGACCGTATTGCTTATTTACATTATTACTGGAACTCTTTGTAATTATAATTCTTTAATAATTTTTTGTAGCATTATCGATATTTGAATATTGTTTTGATGGACTCATCTTTTCCTATTCATTAAACAGTGATCATAAAATGGAAGATATTAGAGATCATTTCTTTGCAGATGGCGATTTCTTCATGCTTAATACCAAGCTACGGTTTACCTCTGATTTGGATAAAATTTGCGTCCATTATGTTTTAACGCATCAAGATTTAATCGATGAAACTGTATGCAGTGCTGATCATTGCCATCATACATGTAACAGAGCTTTTCTGGATAAACAAGCTGAAATAGTAAATTCAGATTTTGATTCATATCTGCCTCGTCGAATACGTCCACTCATACAGACAGGAGAACATTTTATTGTCATGGAAAGACGAAAGATTGAAATTCTTGCAAATTTCAATATCGGACAATATTTTGATTCTCATTGTTGTAGATCTCCTTATGTTGCTTTGAGTGAACAAGATAACCTACAAATTCGTATTTATTTTCCATGCCGTGGTTGACTCTGATTGTATCAGATTGAAATGCGTAAAATTTAACCCATTTTTTCAAATAAATTTTACCATTCATTGTATTGTATTTTAAATGCATTTCATTCAGATTGTTTCATTAGAATAACGATTCCTCCATGTAACTCAATTCAATTACCACTTGTTACAAAGTTCAACACAAGTATTTGGGTTATTTTGAGCTAATAAGTTCAGTATAATAATATATTATTATTTCACTAATTTTTGTGTCCTCTTCATTTAATTGAAATTTAATTTAAACTGTGTTCGATACGAAACATTTTTCTTCTCAAAGATTACAAAACTAACCTAATTTTAGTAGCAACCACAAGGCTATAGTAGAGGTTAAGCTTCACCTTGGCTTTAGCTGGAAGCTTACAGGTTTTATGGTTAACTTTTTGTATTTGAACTCGCTCTTCCAAAGGCGCGAATAGCGTAAAACATATGTTTGAAATAACCGGAATTTACTTCGGAAACTTGTAAATTACATTGAACCTCTAACTGAGTGAGTCGACGGATTCTCAGACAACCTTACAAGACTTTGATCACCAGTCAAATTTGGTCCATTTGTGTTTTTTTGTGAATTTCAGTTCAGACTTTCTATTGTCTTTGCCTTGTACTTCATCTTTGGATTGTTTTCAACTTAAATTATCAAAATGAATGAAAATGATAGTAACTCCAATAAAAGTAAGTCTTGAACTTTGATGCTTCTTATTTTTGAATAACTTTTACTTCGTTTGTTTTCAGCTACAATAAAAGTGAAACTATCTGATGATTATCAAGATATTGTTATTGACTGGAATGCAAAGACAAGTGATGAAATTGGTGAATCAATAATAGACCAGGTAAGTACATTTTTGCTATATTTGAACACATTTAATCATTAAAATCATTCATAGCTTTCAGCATTCACAAGGATACCAAGTGAAAAGATTTCATTTTTAACGTTTCTAAAGCCGTATAATGGAAATCTTGGAAATCATTTTACGACCATTGACCGTATTGCTTATTTACATTATTACTGGAACTCTTGGTAATTATAATTCTTTAATAATTAATTGTATTATCATCGATATTTGAATATTGTTTTGATGGACTCATCTTTTCCTATTCATTGCACAGTACTCGTAAGATGGAAGATATTAGAGATCATTTCTTCACAGATGGCGATTGTTTCATGCTCAATACAAATCTACTGCTGACCTTTGATTTGGATCAAACTTACGTTCATTATGTTTTAACGCATCAAGATTTAATTGATGAAACTGAATGCAGCCGATTTCTCTGCCATCATACATGTAACAGAGCTTTTTTGGATAAACAAGCTGAGATATGCAATTCAGATTTTGATTCATATCTGCGCGACCAGCCTAGGCCAATACGTCCAATGATTATTGCCGATGAAGAATGGTTTAATATGGAAAGTCGAAAAATTGAAATTCTTGCCGATTTTAATTTTGCACAATATTTTGATTCTTATTGTTGCAGATCTCGTCATGTTTCTATTCGTGCCAGTTATAACCTACAAACTCGTATTTACTCGCCATGCCGTGGTTAACTCTGTTTGTATCAGATTGAAATGTGTCGTCTTTCATTTAATCCCTTTTGTAGCAAATAAAACAGAAATAAATTTTATTTTACATTTCTAACCTGAAGCTAGTTATTTTTTTGCAAAACTAGAAAAGACTAGTCAAGCAGTTGAGCGGGAAAACTCAAGCTGAGCTTACAAGTTTTAGGATTGTCTTTCCCTTTGAGTTTCCAAAGGCGCGAATAGCAACAGATGTTTGTAAGACATGGACTTTACTAGTCAGGTTTGTAATAGCAGTAAAACTTGACAGGAAGTGTAAGCTAATAGCTCATCAAAAATTCAAGAGCATTATATTTCCTAGAAAATACACCCAGTTATCAGGTTCAGTTGATCTCATCAATATGCTTGAATTTAAAAGGTTGATTCCATAATCAATTGTTCACTTTAACTATAAACTTCTATTTCATCTCAAACTGCGTTCATCTAGTCCAACGAAATGCCAGTCCAATTGTACCACGATAATCTTTCTCCTACAGCGCGAATGGTTCGAATCGTTGCCAAGCATATTGGTTTCAGTTTCGAAGAAAAAGAAATCGATTTATTGTCTGGTGCACATATGAAGCCAGAGTTCCTTACCGTGAGTAAATCATTATAATCATAATTATAAATCCCGATCAATTTTCAATCTTACTTTAACCTTTCATCCCATCTCTTAAACAGATAAACCCATTCCATTGTGTTCCTACTCTGGTCGATGATGGATTTGCTCTTTGGAAAAGGTAACATCACTTTGATTTTTATGGTTAAAACATAAATATAAATTTTGAGCTATTTTATCAATCTTTTCAGTCGATCCACATGTAAATGTATATGTTTAGCAGATTTACTCAAATCATAAGGATAATAACATCACGATAACATTGTTAAAAATTGAATTTGTTTATTTCTAATGAATTATATTATTGAATAGAAGATTTAATTTATTTTTTCACAAATCTATTCAATCGCAAGTAATTTGAATATTTAGTGATTATAATTAAATCTTTGCCCCAAAACCAATGTTTCAATCTGCTTTTTACGAAAAGTTGAATCTAAAACAAAAGTTGTCAAAAGCTAATTTTCGCATACCAGAAGCTATAATAGTAATTTTACACTGTCTGGTTATTAAGGCAAGGCCATAGCTCCACGGTGGAGCCTCCACTTAAAGCTTACAGGTTTTATGGTTAACTTTTTGTATTTGAACTCGCTCTTCCAAAGGCGCCAATAGAGTAAAGAAATCTTTGAAAACAACCAAAATTTACTTCGGAAACTTGTAAAAAATTACAGTGGACCTCTAACTGACAAATTGTGAGTGAGCAGAAGGATTCTCGGAGAACCTTACAAAACTGAAATGGTCAGACCAGTGAACTTTGGTCCACTTGTCTTTTTTGTAAATTTCCGTTCAGACTCTGTATTGCCTCTGCCTTGTACTTTATCTTTGGATTGTTTTCAACTTAAATTATCAAAATGGCTGAAAATCTTAATGATTCCAATAAAAGTAAGTCTTAAACTTTGATGCTTCTTATTATTGAATAACTTTTACTTCGTTTGTTTTCAGCTACAATAAGAGTGAAACTATTGGATGATTATCAAGATATTGTTATTGACTGGAGTGCAAAGGAAAGTAATGAAATTCGTAAATCAATAATTGAACAAGTAAATACATTTTTGCTATATTTGAACACATTTAATCATTAAAATCATTCATAGCTTTCAGCATTCACAAGGATACCAAGTGAAAAGGTTGAATTTTTAACGTTTCTAAAGCCGTATAATGGAAATCCTGAAAATCATTTTGTGTCCCGTCACCAACCTGGCGATGCTTGTTTACATTATGACAGAAACTCTTGGTAATTATGATTCTTTAATAATCAATTGAATTATTATTGATTTGAGTTTTGCTTTAATGGACTTTCTTTTCCTATTCATTACACAGTCGTTCTATGACGCAAAATATGAGAGATCATTTCTTTACAAATGGCAATTGTTTCATGCTCAATACAATGCTACTGCTGACCTTTGATTTGGATAAAACTTACGTTCATTATTTTTTAACGCATCAAGATTTAATTGATGAAACTCAATGCAGCCGATATTTCTGTCTTCATGCATGTAATAGAGCTTTTTTGGATAAACAAGCTGGAATAGTCAATTCAGATTTTGATTCATATCTGCGCGCTCAGCCTCGTAGAATACGTCCAAATATACTTTACTATGAACATTTTATTGACATGGAAAGGCGAAAAATTGAAATTCTTGCCGATTTTAATTTTGCACAATATTTTGATTCTTATTGTTGCAGATCTCGTCATGTTTCTATGCGTGAATTTGATAACCTACAAAATCGTATTTACTCGCCATGCCGTGGTTGACTATGATTGTATCAAATCGAAATGTATCGTCTAAATTTAACCCATTTTTTCAAATAAAACCTAAATAAATTTTACCATTCATTGTATTTTAAATGCACTTAATTCAGATTGTTTCATTTGAATAACGATTTCTCCATGCAAGCTTCAATTCAATTACCACTTATCAACTGATGTTTATTGATTTAGATTCAAGCGGGTCAAGGGTGAACCTAAATCGAATGAAAACAAAAGCCAAAAACAACAAAAAGCAAGGAAATAAAAGAAGCGACTAACCATCATAATGGTCGCTTTGTTTGATCCAAATATCGAATGCCACAACTGATAATCAACTGGTTTATCCATTTCGTGTTTACAATTAAAACAGTAATCATTACCATTGTCACAAAATCTTCAATCTCAAACGATTCTCTTTCTTTTCTTGACCTTTGTCATTTTTTAGCATTCAAGTAGACCATTTATCAGTGCAAACGGTAAAGGTAATTATCATAAAAGAAATACTTTAATCGAATTAATCCGTTCCTAATGTATTATTAAATAGAAGATTTTATTTTTTTCCGAGATCTATGCAAATAACTCTTGAACCAATGTTTCAATCGAGTCTAAAAAACGATCTTAAAACATTTTATATTTTTAAAAAAGTAACTAGCTTCACATAAATCCCAAAAGACCATAGTAGAGGTGAAGGTTTACCTTGACTTTACCTGGAAGCTTACAAGTTTGGGGATTAATGTTTGAATTTAAACTCCATGTTCCAAAGGCACGAATAGCTTAAGAAAGATGTTTGAAATAACCGGAATTTACTTCGGAAACTCGTAAAAAAGTACAAAGAACCTCTGACTGAGTGAGTGGACGGAATCTCGGACAAGACTAGACTAGTCACACCAGTCAACTTTGGTCCACTTGTCAATTTCAGTTCAGACTTTCTATTGTATTTGCTTTGTTTCAAACTGGTCGTAAATCGATCTTAAAACATAATATGTCGAAAAAGTAACTATGCTTCAGATAGATTCCAAGAAGCTGGAAGCTTACAGGTTTGGGAATTAATGCTTGAACTTGAACTTCATCTTCCAAAGGCACGAATAGCTTAAGCCAGCTTAGCTAGATAGATAGCCAGTTAGCTTGCGAATAGCGTAAAACAGATGTTTGAAAACCCAAATTTACTTCGGAAACTTGTAAAAAATTTCGGTGAACCTCTAACTGAGTTAGTCGCGGATTCTCGGACAACCTTACGCGACTAAACTGGTCAAACCAGTCAACTTTGGTCCACTTGTCTTTTTGTTCATTTCAGTTAAGACTTACTATTGTCTTTGCCTTGTACTTTATCTTTGGATTGTTTTCAACTTAAATTATCAAAATGAATGAAAATGATAGTAATCCCGATATAAGTAAGTTTTGAACTTTGATGTATTTGATAATTATTTGATGAATTTAACTTCTGTTGTTTTCAGCTACAATAAGAGTGAAACTATCTGATGATTATCAAGATATTGTTATTGACTGGAGTGCAAAGGAAAGTAATGAAATTCATAAATCAATACTTGAACAGGTAAATACAATTTTGCTCTCTTTGAACACATTTAATCATTAAAATCATTCATAGCTTTCAGCATTCACAAGGATACCAAGTGAAAAGATTCATGACTTAACGTTTCAAAAATCGAGTAATGGGTTACCATATCCTGAAAATCCTTTTATGCAATTTCAACCACAGAATATTTCTCGTTTACATTATTATAGGAACTATTGGTAATTATAATTTTTTAAAAATCAATTGTATTATTATTGAGTTGAGTTTTGCTTTAATGGACTTTCTTTTCCTACTCATTACACAGTTCTCGTAAGATGAAAGATATTAGAGATCATTTCTTTACAGATGGCGATTGTTTCATGCTCGATTCAAAGCTAGAGCTTACCTACGATTTTGATAAAATTTGCGTTTATTATGTTTTAACGCATCAAGATTTAATTGATGAAACTGCTTGCAGTGCTGATTATTGCCATCATACATGTAACAGAGCTTTTTTGGATAAACAAGCTGAAATAGTCAATTCAGATTTTGAATCATATCTTCTTCACCAACCTCGTCGATTATTTCCAATTCCAATTGATCTAGAACATTTGTTGGATATGGAAACACGAAAAATTGAAATACTTGCAGATTTTAATATCGGACAATATTTTGATTCTTATTGTCGCAATTCATATCATATGTTTAATCGAACAAGTTTAAACCTCCGCACTCGTATCTACTTGCCATGCCGTGGTTAACTCTGATTGTATTTGATTGAAATTTGTCATCTTAATTTAAACCATTTTGCAGCAAATAAAACCGAAATAAATTTTAACTATTCATATTAATGTCCATATCAATTTAATATCCATAGTCCATATCCATATTAATTTTGAGTTTCTGTCTCCGATGTCTCAATCTGCTTTCTACAAAAAGTTAAAACTGAAAACAAAAGTTGTAAAAAGTAAACTTTGCTAACCTGAAGCTAGTTATTTTGTTTGCAAAACTAGAAAAGACTAGTAAAGCAGTTGAGCGGGAAAACTCAAGCTAAGCTTACAAGTTTTAGGATTGTCTTTCCATTTGAGTTTCCAAAGGCGCGAATAGCAACAGATGTTTGTAAGACATGGACTTTACTAGTCAGGTTTGTAATAGCAGTAAAACTTGACAGGAATTGTAAGTGGAGATGAAAACCATTACCTTTTATTTCTGATTCACTTTTTTACGGATTGAGATAAATGATGAAGCTTTATTAACATGCTAAGCACCCAAATATTGATCAATCAATATTTACAAATACTTTTGGTTCAGAGGTTTACATGTAATTAGATCTTTCAAGATTAAATGTTGCTCTATTAAGTACGGATCTAAAGATCTACTTATTAACTTATCGAAAATTCATGAGTATTTCATAGAAAATACACCCGCGTCATCAGGTTCAGTTGAACTCAGCAATTTTCTTGAATATAAAAGGTTGACTTCATGATCAATTGTGCACTTTGATTATAAGCTTGAACCTCATCTTGAACAACTGTGTTTATCTAGTTTAACAAAATGCCAGTCCAATTATATCACCATAAACTTTCAGCACCAGCCCGAGTAGTTCGAATCGTCGCCAAGCAAATTGGTCTCAGTTTAGAAGAAAAAGAAATCGATTTATTGTCTGGTGAACATATGAAGCCAGAGTTCCTCGCCGTGAGTAAATCATTTTATTATAATTATTTAGGATCAATTTTTAATCTTATTATATCTGCATCCAATCTCTTGAACAGATAAATCCATTTCATTGTGTTCCTACTCTGGTTCATGATGGATTTGCTCTTTGGGAAAGGTAAATTCACTTTATATTGTTTTAAACTCCAGTAAAACAAATATAAATCTTGGTCTGTTTCATCAATCTTTTCAGTCGACCCATATGTACTTATCTTGTGGACAAATTTGCGCATGGACATTCACTTTATCCAACTGATCTACGAAAACGAGCAACTATCGATCGGTGGCTTTATTGGGACTCAGGGACATTTTTCTCATCATTAAAAGCTTATTATATGCCTGCCATTCCAGGAAAATCATTTCAACCCGAAGCGGCTGAATTGTTCAAGAAAAACGCTTCTGCACTGGATGAATCATTGAAAAATACTAAATATGTTGCTGGGGATAAATTGAGTGTTGCTGATATTTCAATAACAGTTACTGTGACTTTATCTACAGCAATTGGTATTGATACAAGTGAACTCAAAAATGTTCAAAAGTGGTTGAAACAAGTGGAAACTGATCTAAAACCATCGACTTGGCAAACTTTAGTCATTGATCCAGCTAATGGTTTAGCAGATTTACTCAAATCTATGGCTTCTAAAAGTTCATAAATTGATTTCATTTCATTTTGAGAAAAAATTTCTATCTAATATTTAAAGATGAATTAAATTGAAAGATATTAGCGAAAAAAGGTTTTGTTCAACTCTTTTTACTTTTTAACACTTGTATTGAAATTGTTTGCAAAGTACAACTTTTGCTTTGCAAATCTGGTTTTGCGCGATAGTCTATTTATAAGGATAATAACATCATGAAGATCACGATAAACACCGTTAAAAATCAATGGCATTTGTTTATTCACAATTTATTATATTATTAACTAAAAGATTTAATTTAAATATTCAGACATTACAATTGAATCCTTGAACTCTACCATTGTTTCAATCTGCTTTCTACAAAAGTTGAGTCTAAAAATGTTTCAAAAAGTTTAAGAAGTCAAAAAGACAATTATCCAAAGTATCGAACAGTTATCAAATGCAAACCCGATTGTATTAAGTTCCAATGTAAATTCGCGGCAATGGCATTTGTCTAAGCAGAGAATGAGCAGGGAATCTCATTCTCTAATGTCATCACTGAAAGCGAATAACTTTTCAGTAAATCGAAGTGACTTCTTGAACAAAAACAGAAAATGTTTTCCCCAAAACAAGGATACGGAATTTCCCTTGTTGCACATTGAAAGTTGCGTCAGAAAAATGAGTTTAATGAAAAAGTCTGGCTCCACAACTGTACAAAAGGCGTTGGAAGTTTCACTTTGAATTCGATTTGATTGAAAATTACTGAAATTTTTAATTACACAAATGGATTTAGTTGCTGAAAAACCCACAAAGATCAAACTCTTAACTCGAAAATCATATTATGTATCAGTAGTCCTTTGAATAACAAGCAGTTTATGAACTAAAAGCCTTTGACTTGAAGTAAGTTCCTAAACCATTAGCTGAATCAATGACTAAAGTTTGCCAAGTCGATGGGTCAAAGTCACTTTCCACTTGTTTCAACCATTTTTCAACATTTTTGAGTTCACTTGTATCAATGCCCATAGCTGAAGCAACCGAAATGGTAACTGTAATTGAAATATCAGCAACACTCAATTCATCACCAGCAACGTATTTAGTACTTTTCAATGATTCATCCAGTGCTGAAGCATTTTTCTTAAACACTTCAGCTGCTTCTGGTTTCACTGGTTTTCCTGCAAAGCCTGGCGTATAATAAGCACTTAATGATGGGTAAAATGTCCCTGAGTCCCAATAAAGCCACCGATTGACTGTTGCTCGTTTGTGTAAATCAGTTGGATAAAGTGAATGTCCATGAGCAAATTTGTCCACAAGATAAGTAATTATCGATCGACTGAAAAGGTGAATAAAACAGACAAATTATTTGTTTACTGGAGTTTAAAACAATATTAAAGTGAATTTACCTTTCCCAAAGAGCATATCCATCATCAACTAAGGTCGGAACACAATGGAATGGGTTTATCTGTACAATATTAGATTGAAGTTGAGGGATAATAAAATTAGCTTAAAAATTACATTTCAATTACATTTGAATGATTTACTTACGGATAAAAATTCTGGCTTCAAATGTTCACCAGCCAATAAATCGACTTTTGTTTCCTCAAAAGATGTACCGACCAGCTTAGCAACAATCCGAACCACATTCGATGCTGGAGAAAGTGGATGATAATATAAATTCAAAGGCATTATTGAACAATATGAACACAACTGTTTGAAACCTAGACGTTAAGTTGATGTCACTGTCTATTAAGTTCAACTAAACTTAAGCTGTTTACACAATGAGTTGTCTGGTTATCCTTGAACAATATCATGAGATAAATTCATCAACTTCACTACTATTAACATGTATGCTCATTCAGCCTCAGCAGATGTAATCTAATAAGGTAATATAAAGATAAATTGAGCTCAAGCTATCAACACAATCATCGATTCCATTTTAATTGAACTTAAACCAAGAAAACAATGAACAGTTCTGGAATAAAGTTTTATCTTCAGATAATATTTATTAATCATGAACAATTTGATTTATTGAGATGTTCTGCTAAAATAACTGAAAAGCTATTTGTTTGAGAACCAGAATGAGTTGGATCAATTGGTTTTAAAGTTTGAAGTCACTAGACTTGCGAGGTTTCACTCAATATTTTATATTTAATACAATTCATTTGGACATTGAAGTTTGTTAAGTGCGAACAATCTACTAACATGAATCTAATTTTACATCTTATCAGCTTAAATGAAGTGCTATCACGATTTCAAAGCTGAACAGAAATGTTATCCAACGCTATTCGTAATAATATCAATCAAAATTTATTGGATTCATTATCAATCTTTATAGCTTTCAAGATTATATGTTATGAGTGCGGCTGTAAAGGTTTGCTTATCAAGTAGCTAACAGTTCATCGAAAATTTATTAGAATTTTCTAGAAAATACATCCGAGACATTTAATCAGTTCATGTTCAGTTGGTGTTGACAATTTACTTGAATATAAAAGGTTGATTCCAAAGTCAATTGTTCACTTGGATTGTAAACTTCTACTTCATCTTAAACAACTGTGCTCATCTAGTTCAACAAAATGCCAGTCCAATTATATCACGCTAGCCTTTCTCCACCAGCCCGAGTAGTGCGAATCCTTGCTAAGCAGATTGGTCTAAATGTAGAGGAAAAAGAAGTCAATGTAATGGCTGGTGAACATATGAAGCCAGAATTCCTCGCCGTGAGTAAATCGTTTTATTATAATTATTTTGGATCAATTTTTAATCTTACTATACCTTGCATCCAATCTCTTGAACAGATAAACCCATTCCATTGTGTTCCGACCTTAGTTGATGATGGATATGCGCTTTGGGAAAGGTAAATTTTCTTTAATATTGTTTTAAACTCCAGTAAACAAATAATTTGTCTGTTTTGTTAACCTTTTCAGTCGATCGATAATTACTTATCTTGTGGACAAATATGCTCATGGACATTCCCTTTATCCAACTGATCTACAAAAACGAGCAACAATCAATCGATGGCTGCATTGGGACTCAGGGACTTTTTACGCTTCATTAATTTCCTATTTTGGTCCAGTCTTTGCTGGAAAACCATTTCAGACAGAAGCAGGTGAATTGTTCAAGAAAAACGCATCTGCACTGGATGAATCATTGAAAAGCACTAAATATGTTGCTGGTGATGAATTGAGTGTTGCTGATGTTTCAATTACAGTGACCATGACTTTAGGTAAAGCTATTGGCATTGATGCAAGTGAACTAAAAAATGTTGAAAGATGGTTGAAACAAGTGGAAACTGATCTAAAACCATCGACTTGGCAAACTTTAGTCATCGATCCAGCAAACGCTTTGGGAGATGTCCTCAAATCAATGGCTTCTAAAAGTTCATAAATTGATTTCAATTGTAAAACTTTTTACAAATTTTCTCTCATTAGTTTGAAGCATTAAAACTTTTTATTAATGTTATGGATTTTCGTTAAAATCGAGATTGGCAGAGTCAAAAGGCTCAAACTTTTGCAGGTCTTTTCATTTTTCTTTCATATTTTCAACAGAAAGTTACAACATACTATTTAATGGTCAAAAATAAAAACAATGTACTGATAAAATCAAAGTTAAGACCAAGCAACGATCTTCGATCGTTTAGAGACAATTCAGAGGAAGGAAGACAAAACTAACAAAAGTGTTTTATTAATGCAAAACTTGACACAAATCGGCACAAAAACGGGTGGAATTGATTTCTTTCAAATTTAGATTGTTAGAATTGATGATTCTTTAGGTTTGTAGCTATGTCTCATAGAAACTGAGTCCACTTGTGCTCAAAAGTTTATCTGATCAATTATTTTCAAGAAAATCGTATTCAAAGCTTAAAATTCGATTGCATTTGTACCATTATGGAAGAGAGATTCGCAATGTTCAATGATGACATTAATGAAGCCAATTTTCTGGTTAAACATACGTATGTAATCTTGAGAGTGCTGCTGAAGGCTAGAATTTGAAAAAAGTTTTCAACGCATTTAGTGATGACCATTATTTACATGAATTACTACCTTGATTTCAAAGCTGAACACAAATATTATCGTACGCCATGCGAAATAATATTAATCTTCAATCAAAACTTATCGGACTCATTATCTAACTTCATAGCTTTCATGTAAAATAATGCAAATGTAACTACCGTATTAAGCAGGGCAATATAATATTTGGATAAACAATTTATCGGATATTTATAAGGATTATCTAGGAAACACATCCAAGACATTTACTCAGTTCAGGTTCAGTTGATCTTATCAATTTGCTTGGATATAAAAGGTTGACTTCATGATCAATTGTTCACTTTGATTATAAGCTTGAACCTCATCTTGAACAACTGTGTTCATCTAGTCCAACAAAATGTCAGTCCAATTATATCACCATAATCTTTCTCCACCAGCCCGAGTAGTTAAAATCGTCGCCAAGCAAATTGGCCTAAATTTAGAGGAAAAAGAAATCGATGTACTCGCTGGTGCACAAATGAAGCCAGAGTTCATCACCGTGAGTAAATTATTATAATTATATTATATATCTTACTTTACCTTACATCCCATCTCTTGCACAGATAAACCCATTTCATTGTGTTCCTACTTTGGTTGATGATGGATTTGCTCTTTGGGAAAGGTAAATTCACTTTGATCTTTATGATTTATATTAAATATAAATATTTTTATTTGTTAACCTTTTCAGTCGATCGATAATTACTTATCTTGTGGACAAATTTGCTCCTGAACATTCGCTTTATCCAACTGATTTACAAAAACGAGCAACAATCAATCGGTGGCTTTATTGGGATTTAGGAACATTTTTTTTATCATTGAAAGCTTATTACAGGCCAGCCATTACCGGAAAACCAGTACAACCAGAAGCAGCTGAAGTGTTCAAGAAAAATGCTTCTGCTCTGGATGAATCATTGAAAAGTACTAAATATGTTGCTGGTGATGAATTGAGTGTTGCTGATATTTCAATAACAGTTACCGTGACTTTAGCTACAGCAATTGGTATTGATACAAGTGAACTCAAAAATATTCAAAAGTGGTTGAAACAAGTGGAAACTGATCTAAAACCATCGACATGGCAAACTTTAGTCATTGATCCAGCTAATGGTTTAGCAGATTTACTCAAATCAATGGCTTCTAAAAATTCATAAATTGATTTTAATTGTAAAGTTTTATTCCAAACTTTTTAGCATTAGTTTGATTGAAACATTAAAATTTTTTATTGAAGTTATGGATTTTGTTAATTGAGAGTGGCAGAGTAAAAAAGGCTCATACTTTTGCAGACTTTTTCATAATCACTTCATATTTTCAAAAAGAAGTTGATGTTGCACATTCAATGGTTACAACTTGACCCAAAAAACTAGTAAAAATGAATTTAAAATTATGTACAGTTCTCTTGGCCATTGGCCTAAAAAGTTTGAGTCTCAATATTTCGAGATCGGTCTCTTTTACAATTATCATTCTTGGAACAAACATTAGATCTTATCATGGGCTGTTATATATTGAAGTTTTTAGATAATTCAAGAAACTACAAAAGAAGTAACAAGTTATAACATTGTATCACCTAGGTTGTAAGATTCGCACAAACGATGCAGCTTTGAAATTTTTCGTTGGTTTTCCAAGGATTTGCATCAAAGGATCAGATTTTTACAATTGTATGCAATTCCTTCTGACTTTGAACTCGATATAATTTGTAATTTTGTGTAAACTAGAGGATTTGAATTACGATAGTTGTTTAATATGAACAACCAGAATTAAGCTAATTTTACATCTTTTATCGGTTTAGATGAATTACTATCCGATTTCAAAGCTGAACACAAATATTATCGTACGCCATGCAGAATAATATTAATCTTCAATCAAAACTTATCTATCTTCATAGCTTTTAAGATTACCATGTAAAATGATGTAAATATTAGACCGTATTAAGCACAGCAATAAAAATATACATTCAGTTGTATGGGTAAACAGTTTATCGGAAATTTTCTAGAGATACTTCCAAGACATTTATTGAGATCTGGTTCGGTTGATCTTATCAATCTGCTTTAATATAAAAGGTTGATTCCACAAACAATTTTTCACTTCGATTGTAACTTCTACTTCATCTTAAACAACTGTGTTCTTCTAGTTCAACAAGATGCCAGTCCAATTATATCACGCTAGCCTTTCTCCACCATCGCGAGTGGTTCGAATCGTTGCCAAGCAAATGGGCCTAAATGTAGAGGAAAAAGAAGTCAATTTAATGGCTGGTGAACATATGAAACCAGAGTTCCTCGCCGTGAGTAAATCGTTATAATTTGAATTATAAATTTCCAACCCTTTTTACCTTTAACCCAATCTCATCCTGTATACAGATAAACCCATTCCATTGTGTTCCTACTTTGGTTGATGATGGATATGCTCTTTGGGAAAGGTAAATTCACTTTGATCTTTATGGTTAATATTAAATGTAAATATTGTTATTTGTTAACCTTTTCAGTCGATCGATAATTACTTATCTTGTGGACAAATATGCTCATGGACATTCCCTTTATCCAACTGATTTACAAAAACGAGCAACAATCAATCGCTGGCTGCTTTGGGATTCTGCAACTTTAAATACATCATTAAGTGCTTACTATGAACCAATTTTTGCAGGAAAATCATTTCAACCCGAAGCAGCTGAATTGTTCAAGAAAAATGCTTCTGCTCTGGATGAATCATTGAAAAGTACTAAATATGTTGCTGGCGATGAACTGAGTGTTGCTGATATTTCAATTGCAGTTACCGTGACTTTAGCTACAGCAATTGGTATTGATACAAGTGAACTCAAAAATGTTCTAAAGTGGTTGAAACAAGTGGAAACTGATCTAAAACCATCGACTTGGCAAACTTTAGTCATTGAGCCAGCTAATGGCTTCAGAGATTTACTTAGATCAATTTCTTCTAGCTCATAAATTGATTTCAATTCAAAAATTTTATTCTAAATTTTTCAAGAATAACCTTGGATAAAACATGCAAATTTTTTACCTTTGAGTAGACTTTCGTTAAAATTAGATTCGCAAATAAATTTTCAGTTTATTTCAGTCCAAACTTATCCTTTGCTTTTTTCACCTTTGTGAGATCAATGGAAATGATAACTCCGATCACAGAACAATAAAAAATTGAAAAAAAATTTCCTAAAATTTCTGGTTTGCCTTTTTGCAATTAAAATTTGTTTGTGCGTCAAATTTTTTTATTTCAATTATTTTGCTTGAGTGATATTTAAAAACATTGTTCAATTAAAAGATTTAAAAAATGAGAAATAAAATTGCTTTTTTACTTTTCGAAAGATATTTCAATGAATCAAATTATTCATGATTGTTATAAAAACTTGAAAAATTGGGTTCCCAGAATTTTGCATTGTTTTCTAGCAATTAAAATTAAAATATCAGATGATTCGGGTTGATATCACAAAGTCGGTTAAAAATGTAGTCTAAAAGTTACGAGCTTTCAATTATGAGTAGCTTTTCGTGCAGGATAAGGCTCATGTTTATCCTTTATTATGGTAATACTATCAACAATTTTATGATCCTAAGAAAAAAAACAAAAAAATCATTAAATGAATTATCAGTGCATAAAATATGAACCTAATGTTTATTACCTGATCAACAGATAACTGCTCAAAAGTTAAATGAGTACGGTTATGAATCTTCATCCGAGAAAATCCATAATCTTCAATTCTAACAGCACTCCAATCAGTTGGATCTGAAACTGGAGGATTAAGACCTTCTTGGCAACCCTGTGAAATGAAAATTCTTATAAATAAATTTTTATCAAGACTTTGGATTGAATCATACCGCTGAACCAGTAGTTATATGGACTGGAGCACTAGGATTGGTATAAGGTTCATCCAAGCTTCCATTGTAAACCTTCAAGTTGTAAATTGGCCACAATCGCTCATAGAAATGTTCGTGACCCCAAATTTCCAGATCAACACCATACTTGTAGAACAGGTCTTCTAAGCCAAGCTCATATACGACTGGAATACCTTTGCGAATCTAATGGGTGTTTGAAAAGCATTTCATTATTTTCCAATTCATCATTTCACTTGATTTTCTATTTACCCTTGATTCTCGGAAAGTGCAATCATCTTTAGTAAGACTGTTACAATACATTGGCCGATGTCCAAGTGTGATAATCCAAGGACGAACAGCTCGGTTCTCTGGTTTATTAGCTTCAATCAGATCCTCCTCTAACCATTTGAATTGAGTGTACAATTGACTCCAGCCATATTCGAAGAAAAAGTAAAATTCTGTTGAAAAACTGATGAAGTGAGCTGGACCAATGTTGTAGCTGTAAAAATGGTTGTTGATCTCTTTGCTTCTGGTATCAACCATTGTAAAACGATTAACATAGTTGGAGAAATTGCTGGAAAAGTCATTTAAAAGCAACATTTAATAATAGGTTTGCATAATTTTATCCAACACTTACTAGGCCTGTTCATGATTTCCGGGAGTTGCCATGTAAGGTACATAAGCAGCAAATGGTTCAACTTGTCTCATAAATTGATCGCCAACTCGTGCATTATCCTATCAAATGTTTGAAAATTAATTTAATAACTACTCAATAGTCAGAGGTGAATAAATTCATACCGAGTCCAAGTCATAAGCGAAATCTCCTGCGAAGAGCAAAAAGTGAAAACCAATTCAGTGAAAATGAATTACATATCTTTGATAATGAATCCTCAATGTACATACCAACATGAAGGATGGCATCAAATGCTCCATCCTGAGAGTCTTGTTGTAACTTTGGAATCGACTTTCCATTATCATTGCCAAGATCACCAAATACAGCCAAAGTTGGACTCCAATCAACACCATCTTTAATAGTCTTGAACCAGAAAATTTCACTCCAACCAGCATCACTGCCAACTCGGTAAACTGGTAAACAAACAATGAAACAGTACAAAGTTAATGATTTGATTTGATTTGATTACAATTGTTAACTAACCATACTTTTGATCTGGTTTAAGATTGTTCATTGTAACTCTGTGTATGTACATGACTCGTTTTTCTGAGCCTCCATCAACAAATTTGGTTGAATATCCGTAAGTTGTTTCATTAAGCGTTGAGATTCCATATGCAGCCGAAGGTAAACTAATTGGATCGAAAGTAGTCCAGGTAACTATCATTTCCGATGGATTGACTGGAAAACATAAACAACATACAATAAGAGCTTCATTTGACTTGATAAACAATCACTTACCTCCTAATGAAAGGTGGACTTGTTCGGGTTGCTGGTAAATAGTGGAGATGGAAAGGCCTTCTTTGAACCCATTGGTGAAGGTTAAACTGGCCAAACTGGCCAAAAGGTAATAAAGTAACATTTTGAATACAATTGAAGCACGTTCAAGCTGTTGATTGTACTGAGACAAAATAACAAATTAAATTATTGTAAAGATTCAATGACTGAATCTCTTCCCGTTACATTATCACGATCACTCGAGTCAGCAAAAAGATTACATTTTCCCATGATTAGATAAATCAATCAGCAAGAGGATGGGAAGGCCAAATTTTCCATCCATCTGGTTGCTTCTGGCTGTTGCCATTTAATATTGGAAATAGTGAGTGTCATTGGAAGCAAATATTTTCATTGAAATGGTTGAAATGAAGAGACATGAACAGAATTTAATTCAGACTTGGATTGAATTCGTTTGAACATGCTTGTGGTTTATTACAACCACAATGGATACAAATGTAAACAATAATAGATTGTAGATAGCAAACAATTACATTTTGATGGGGCTAACGATCAAATTCAATTATGATGTCATTGATAGGTTCAACACTGAGCAACTGCACTTAACTGGAATTGTTTTTCAAGTTAAATGAAAAAAATATGATAATTTGATTATCTAATTTTCAATAGTCTGGTAAAAGTAATTTCAATTGATTGCAATCCAATGTAAAACCAGGCAGATTTAGTCAATGAATTTATCCTGAATTTATGTTGTAACAAAAGATAAAAGCTAAATCAAATAAAACAAAAACAATCGACTTGAATCAAAACAGTCTCAAGTTTCTCAGATTATTATGGGAGAGAAAGGGAAGTCATTTTCTTAATACAACTGATTGTTGATGTTGTTTTACGGCTTTGCTAAGTTGCTTTCAACGAAACACCTATTCTTGACACTTCTTTGATTTCTTGAAATTTGACACATGAAACAGATTGATAATTTTACAATTCTATTAATAATCGAGCTAACTAGACTTTTAATTGTAACATAAGACTTTGCTTCCTAAATCATTCAACTTCACCATTGATGGTTTCAGTAGCAAAATTGAAAAGGCAAATCAAAAGAGTAGGTCTAAGCGCGAAATCAGTTTATCAAAATGCTTACACAGACAAAGAATCCCGCTTACATTGTGTTGGTAACAATAATAGGTGAAGATGTTATTGTTTACCTTTGAATGGACTTCCGTCAAAACCCAGATTTGTAAAGAGTCAAAAGAGTCGAGCTGTGCTAACATTTGCAATTCAAGTTTCAGAAAGTGAAAAGAGTTGAATGCAAAACATTTTTGTTTATGTTTTACAACGGAAAGTTTAAACAAAAAAGGACTAAATTGTTCATATTATTATATAAACTGTTTATGAATAATTATATGTAATATGGTCTGAATATGAATATTTATAAAATACAATTTCAATACGAAACTCCGAAAAAATGATAGCAATATGAATTTGCTGCTTAGATTTTTATTTCCATAGTCATAAAGAAATAAGAGTTATTCAACATTATTTGCCAATAATTTTTGCACTTGATTCAAATTGCTGAGTTTTTGTCTTTTGGACCATCATTCGAGCCTTGCTTCTTTCATGTAAAATCATTCAGGAATATGAATTGTTTGGTATAAGAGCTTCAACACTATTAATAGTTAGAGTTTTGAACACCAAATTTTATTTTACATCGTATGCGTTTCATTGAGTTTATGATTAAAAGGCAAAGATCCATAGTAAAATATTGTAAATTGTTGCATTTCAAATTGTTGCTTGAAAATGAAAAATCATCTTGGTTTTATTCCTAATTTCAAATCTTCGGCTGCTAATATGATGGATCCTCTTGCATATTTGATTTTTGATGGAGTTGCATCGGTAGTAAAAATGTGATAGTTTTTGACTAAATAGGCCAAGGAAAGTTTTGCGTTGATGAGCGCAAATCGCATTCCAATGCATAGTCTCGGGCCTGAACCAAAAGGTAAAAAGGTGAATGGTTTTACTGATCCATCCAAGAATCGTTGTGGATCAAAAACTTCTGGATCAGGATAATTGGCTGGATCATGATGAATGGCATAGACAGGAATAGATATTGTGGTTCCTTTTTTAATCTCTACATTGGTTCCAGGAAATTTATAATCTGAATGGGACAGCCGTTGGAACAGCACAATCGGTGCATCGATTCTGAGTGTTTCTGATATGACAGCATCCAGGTATGACAGTGAATTGAGCGTTTCATAATCATCCAAATCAACTTCAGAAATTTGTTGATATAACTTTTCTTGAATATCTGGATTCTTGGCCAGTCTATAACAGGACCAGGTGAGAAGAGTTGAAGTTGTTTCATAGCCTGCAACAAGGGAAATCATTGATGCTCCAACAATTTCATCTGTGGACAGTTTGGCTTTGTTAAGATCACCATCTTCTGTTGATGTTTCTAGATCAATAAGTGTTTGAAGAAAATCGTCAGCTTTATTCTGGCCATTTTTACGGTTTTCAATTAAAGTCAAAGTTAAGTCTCGCAAAAATTCAAGATTTTTAGGTGGAAACAAACTCAGTTTCAATAATCTGGAAAACCATCCGGGAAAAACGGCTGCACACAATAATTTCAGAGGGTTTCCTTGGAAAAATTCAATAAAATTGCGCAAGAAAACATCTTCTTCATTGCTGTAAACATCAAGATTCGTTGCAAAACAGCATTTAGCGATGACATCCATATTGTATCTTCCCCAAAAATATTTAGGATCAAACTGTGCTTCACCTGATTTGGTGAGATTTTTGAGTTGCAGTTGGGCATCTTTGTTGCAAATTTTCATCAAATTAAACATTCTCTTGATTTTTCCCGTTGAAAATGTAGGAGTTAATAGAGTTCGAATGCGTTTCCATTTTTCTCCATATAAATTTATCAAAAACGATTTCTCGATTTCGTGAAGAGATGGGAAATGAAAACCTTGAGGGAAAATGTGAAAATCTTTGACGCAAATGTGCCGAAGAAGCTCAGGATCACCAACAACTAAGTGAGCTTGTAAACCATCGTATAGACTGTGAAATATAAGAAAAGATAATAAGTTTACTAGTTCAAGAAAGAAGAAATGTTGAAAAGGATAAATAATGAATTGCAAAAAAGCAAGAAATTTTACTTGAACCTAAAGACCTTGGTTGAAATAGTGCATTGCAATTATGGAGGAGACTAGAAAAATAAAGAAAGTGTTCGGAAACTAGTCAAGGACAATTCAATGCTAAATTAGTAGAAATTGATTTTTTTCAAAACATATGAGTTAAGTTGTAACAGAAAAGTGGAAACAATGATGAGAAGGAACAAAAAAAGATTCAATTTACCCATAAAGGTTACCAAATTTCTTGTAAAAGTCCCTATTTGCTTCAACAATTGGTTTATCCACACCAGCGAATGTAGTTCCAACCAGAAATAAGGGCTTTGGGCCCTTGATGCCTTGACGCTCCCAATAAGAGTGTTTTTTCTTCACATAACTACAAGAAAAGTAGAGAAAAGGTAAAAAAAACAACAAATAAACGTGTAAGAGCAAGAAAAATATGATAAACAAGTTGCTTACAAGATGAACCAGCTGATGAAACTGACTAGAAATACAACGATCCATAGAGTCACATTAAGCATGTTTGAACATTTATTGCTATTGACTTTTTTATGGTTACATTTGATTACTATAATTGACATAAAATCACTATAAAGACAATGAAATACAATTTAATCAAATTATTTCAGTACAATTTGAAGAGAAATTAAATGAAATTGTAGAGATTTAGATACAGAGTTCAACATTGAAAAGCAAAAACTATAATGAAACAAGTGGGAACGTGGGAAGATAGCAAATGAGGTTTACATAGAGGAGGTTCAAGTACTTATTTCATCTTATGATAAACAAATTATTTAATAACTAGCCACTTGTTGCTTGATCTGACTAGTGATTCAACTGATGCTATACATCGCTTGAAATTTCACCATGTTACCAATCAACACCCGAGGCTCAGATCTTGAGCAATTATTGAATTAGAAAGCAAAATTTAAATTCGTAAATGAAAAGTTTATTCCCAGAATTCATTAACAAGTGCGTGCTAAAAACAAAGAAGACAATATCTGTTGCTCTGAAGTAATTTATCAAATTGTCATATTATGAAAAGAATGAATAATTTTTGAAACTCTTCATATTGAATGATAATTGGGCTAATGATACAATTTGCTTCCTTAAATCATCCAACTTCAACATTAAAGGTTTCTCAAAATTGGAGAGGCAAATCAAAAAAGTAAGTCTAAAACTCGAAATAATTTCTTGCAATTTCTTGAAGTAATTCATGTTGAAAATCAAATCAGTCACAATTATAATTGTCTTGAAATAATCACCGTTTTACAGTCAGTAAAGCACAAAATTATCTAAAGGTTGAAAAACTAAATGTTGAAATGGACAAACCAATTCATAAACTGTAGAGGTAACACAATAAATGATGAAAATTAATTGTTTTACACCTTTGAATAGACTTCCGTTAAAACCAAGAAATGCAGAGCCAAAAGAGTCGTACTATGCCAACAGTTTCAGTACAAGTGTTAAAAAGTATAGAGAGTTGGATAAAACAATTTTCGGTAATATCTTTCAATTTAATTCATCTTTGAATATTGGATAGATACATTGTATTTTACCCAAAAAAGTGAAAAAATTATGAGCTTTTAGAAGAAATTGCTTTAAGCAAATCTCTTAGAGCGTTTGCTGGATCAATGACTAAAGTTTTCCATGTTGATGGTTTCAAATCAGTTTCCACTTGCTTTAACCATTTTTCAACATTTTTAAGTTCACCTGTATCAATACCAATAGCTGTAGCCAAAGTCAAGGTAACTGTTATTGGAATATCAGCTACACTCAATTCATCACCAGCAACATATTTAGTGTTTTTCAATGAATCATCCAGTGCAGTAGCGGCTTTTTTGAACGATTCGAGTGAGGCTGGTTGATAAGGTTTGCCATAAAAAAGTGGTACATAGTATGCGTTCAATGAAGCGTAAAATGTTCCTGAGTCCCAATGCAGCCATCGATTGACTGTTGCTCGTTTTTGTAGATCAGTTGGATAAAGTGAATGTCCAGGAGCAAATTTATCCACAAGATAAGTAATTATGGAGCGACTGAAAAGGTTAACAAAACAGTCAAATATTTTGTATATTTATTAGTTAAGTGGAGTTATTAAACAATATAAAGTGAATTTACCTTTCCCATAGAGCATATCCATCATCAACTAAGGTAGGAACACAGTGAAATGGGTTTATCTGTAAAGGATGAGATTACAAGAGGAAAAAACTTACATTTGAATCAGTTGAAGAAATTAAAATATAAGTTAAAATAATTACTCACGGCGAGGAATTCTGGCTTCATGTGATCACCAGCCATTAAATTGACTTGTTTTTCTTCAACATCAAGACCGATTTCCTTAACAAGGATGCGAACTACTCGCGATGGTGGAGAAAGGTTATCGTAATATAATTGCAAAGGCATTTTTTTTGTTGAAAAATATGAACACAGCTGTAGAAGATCAAGTAAAAAAGTTCACAATCAAAGTAAAAAATCAAGATGAATAATAGATTATGAAACCAGACTTATGAACTTAACTTTGGATTTAAAGGCGTTGGTAAAAAATGATGAAATCAACATAACGTTTCATAATGATTTTGTATCGATACTATCGATATGATTACGATATGTGTTTGTTTCTGGTGTTTCATTGATGAATAGTGAACAGTACTTTTGCCTAAAAGCATTTGCTTCTTGTTTGATATCGAAATAAACAGAGTTTTGTGGATTTTACTCAAATCTTTTGAGTAAATAAGTCTTCACTTTTTTTGCCCATAACAATTTAGTTTTCAATTACAATTAATTCACGATGAACAAACCAATGTTAAAGTGATGGAACCAAAAAGTAAAACCCGATTTTTGTTTAATTCAAAAGATTCAATGAAAAAATTTACTTAATATGATTAAATCTTTTAATGTAATCCATGTTGATGGAAAGTTATTTGATAAAATTCTCATAAAATAATCATCATTTTGAGGCCAGTGAAGCACAAAATTATCTGTAAATCCTTATGTTGAAAAGGACAAAACCAAAACATGTAATAAATTCATAATAATGAAAACAATTATTGTTTACTTTTAATAGACTTTAAAATATTAATAATTAACGAGTTAAGAATAAATAATTTAATGTTAACATATTTTAATTAAACTATGATATAGATAGATACATGTATTTTGATCAAGCCGAGATTTGAACAACAAGCAGTTTATGAACTAAAAGCCTTTGACTTGAAGTAAGTTCCTAAACCATTAGCTGAATCAATGACTAAAGTTTGCCAAGTCGATGGGTCAAAGTCACTTTCCACTTGTTTCAACCATTTTTCAACATTTTTGAGTTCACTTGTATCAATGCCCATAGCTGAAGCAACTGAAATAGTAACTGTAATTGAAATATCAGCAACACTCAATTCATCACCAGCAACATATTTAGTACTTTTCAATGATTCATCCAGTGCTGAAGCATTTTTCTTGAACACTTCAGCTGCTTCTGGTTTCACTGGTTTTCCCGCAAAGACTGGACCAAAATAGGCATTCAATGAAGCGTAAAATGTTCCTGAGTCCCAATACAGCCATCGATTGACTGTTGCTCGTTTTTGTAGGTCAGTTGGATAAAGTGAATGTCCAGGAGCAAATTTATCCACAAGATAAGTAATTATCGATCGACTGAAAAGGTTAATAAAACAGACAAATATTTATTATTAGTTAACTGGAGTTATTAAACAATATCAAAGTGGATTTACCTTTCCCAAAGAGCATATCCATCATCCACCAAGGTAGGAACACAGTGGAATGGGTTTATCTGTACAATATTAGATTGAAATTGCGAGAAAATTTGCTTAAAATTACATTTGAATGACATTTGAATGATTTACTTACGGATAAAAATTCTGGCTTCAAATGTTCACCAGTCACTACACTGACTTCAGTTTCCTCAAAGGATGTGTCGATTAGCTTAGCAACAATCCGAACCACATTTGATGGCGGAGAAAGTGGGTGATAATACAAATTCAAAGGCATTGTTGAAGATGAATACAATTGTTTGAGATGAAGCAAATTGAACAACCAAAGTTTACAATCAAAGTAAGAAGTTGATCTTGAAAGCAGCCTTTTATATTCACGTCGTAGAGTCGTTAAGTTGATGTCCCTAACTATTTAAGTTCAACTAAACTTGAGTTGTATGAACAATGAATTGTCTATGAATCCTTGAAAAATATCATGAGATAAATTAATCAACTTCACTACTATTTACATATATGAACATTTAGGTTCAATAGATGCGTGAATCTAATCTATTAAGGCATAAAGATAAGTATTTAATGGTAAAATAAAGATCAAAGAATAGGATAACCTTTACTTTACTCTTGATAAAGATAAATTGAGTTCCAGTTTCAGTTCGATTATCGATTTCATCATAATTTGACTAAATCTAAGAAAATAATTAACAATCTGGGAAAAAAATTCATCTACAGATGAAATAACCATGAACTATTTGAATCGTTGAAATGTTTTACTAAAAATAACTGAAAAGTCATTTGTTTTTTTACTTTTTTGTTAAATCTAACGGTTGTTCTGACATTCGATAAATGTCCTGCAGTCGAACTATTTTTAACTCTAACTAAATCTGGGTTTGATTGTCTTACAGAGACAGTAGGTGGTTGAGTTAACTAACAAGTAAGAAGTAATTAGCTTCAAAGCTCGATTGTAAGTGGAACCAGAAAATTTCAATCAATACTTGTACTTAAAAAACAATGAAACCTTCTGTTGATGTTTTGCTATTGTTTAGATGATTGCTCATCTCTTATTAGATGTTAAAATCAAATTTAATTTGACAATGTTCAATGTAACTGAAAACTCCATTGTTGTCAACTCTGTTACTTTCTGGTTACTCAAGAAGCTGGCCTTCAAAGGTAACCCAACAACTGATTCAATTTTCCCTCTAATAGAAAGTCTAATGACTGGAAATTGTTTTCCTCACCCGCGAAATCAAGGTTGAAAATAAGGTTACTCAGAACAGTGAAATACATAGTTTCGCGATACCGAATAAAAGTAACGTTGAAAGGCACCAGTAGCAGTCAGTCTAGAAACCAGTGAAAGCTAACATTTTTATTCAGCTCTGTTACCTTTTGCAATGATTATTGAGTCGATTGAATCAGTGTCGATAGTTTAACCCAAAAAGTACCAGTGAAAAACTGGTAAAACATTGTTATTGTTTTCACCTTAAAATTTGCTCCATCTTATTATGCATCAATATTTGGTTACCATTTGAAACACACATACAATTAACCAGTTTTGGGTTATTCGAGCGGCAAGAAACATCTTTAACAACTTGAAAAATTTATTGTTATTTTTTTGAATAAGTGCTCTTGTCCAAAACTTATTTCATTCCCAACAACTAGTTGACAGTATTTGATTAAAGTATTTGACCGTTCAATGTTCCTGGTTAAATGAATCGAGCTTCATCAATTATATTTATACTTGTAAAGAGGCCTGTCTGATCCTCTTGACCAATTTTTTGATTTCCCTTTCAATTAACTCCAACACTATACCTTATTACCTTATTGGAAATATTAATTCATCATTAAAACCTGATTTTTCAATTCCCACCACACAATTTTGACTTTCCTCAAACAATCAGTCAATATTTAATCATGTAATTGCTCTCACTCTTCAAGTCATTTCCCTTGCCAGTCCATAACATACAAACATAACTTTACTCCTTTCTGGATGATTATCAATTCTTAGTGAACATTTCATCATTTGGTGACTCAAAATTTTCTTCTAGTGAATTCTTTTGGCTTTGAGCTTTGATTTGAATAGCTCATCATCATAAACACACTATCGATACTAAAGCAACCACCAGCTGACGTAAAGGGAGAGGGAGAGAGATACCATAAGATAACTTATCTTTGTGCTTCTGATAATTTGTAAAGAATCATTTTCGATGTTTGATTTATTAACAATTGTCCTTATTGCCTTACTACCTACTTTTTTGGTTGCCTTCATCATGGGTAAAGTGAATCGTTTAGCAAGTGATATTAGTGCCGTTGGTAAAACAATTGTGGTTACTGGATGTAACAGAGGAATTGGTCGATCAACAGTTGTTGATCTTGCTCGAAGAGGTGCCTCAGTAATCATGGCCTGTCGTAATGTTGAGGCTGCTTCCAAAGTTGCTGATGATGTTAAAAAGGAGACTGGAAATGAAAATATCACCATAGTCCAGCTTGATCTTTCATCGTTTGCTTCCATCAAGAAGGCTGTTGAAGAAATCAATGGACAACACGAGAAAATTGATGTTCTTATCAATAATGCAGGCATCTATGGATCAGATGAGAGGAAGGTTAGTGAAGATGGAAATGAAATGCATTTCCAAGCAAACCATTTAGGACCCTTTCTATTGACCATGTTATTGTTACCCAAACTAAAGGCTAGTTCACCTGCAAGAATTGTCAATGTCTCATCGGAAGCTCATCGATTAACTCGGTCAATTGATCTGGATGATGTCAATTTTACGAAAAAGTATTCGCCTTTCACTTGCTATTGTGTTACCAAATTGGAAAATGTTTTATTCACAAATTATTTAGCCGGTGAACTTAAAGACTCAGGAGTAACCGTGAATTGCCTTCACCCAGGGACCATTGAGACTGATTTACTTATTGGGTCAGCTTTCTCTAAATACTTATACCGTTGGTTAGGTCCATTCAAGCGGATGTTCATGAAAACAGAGGAAGAAGGCGCTCAAACAACAATATATTGTGCCTTGGAGCCATCATTAAATAATGTTACCGGTAAATACTTTGACAATTGCCAAGAAAGAGGAACTTCTAGCCTGGCTTCAGACCTTGGATTAGCCAAAAAGCTTTGGGATATTTCAATGAAGATGACAGAAAGTTATCTTGGACCCAAAGATGATAAAATGAAAGTTATTGAAGAGGAAAACTAATTTTTCAATGAATCTCATGTTAAACGTTGATACACCACATCAAAATTTAATCTTCCAATCGCATATATTTTTCTGAATAACAGTTCTACAGATTTTATGTTTTTAAATAATCGATGTATTCATCAATTTTTAAATGTTACAATTTATCTTTCCTAATCAAACAGAGTCAATTAAATATTGGTATTTTGTTTTAATAACATTATTTTCTTTACAATCAAATGTCACTAGTTCATGAATAGATTAACATATTTGAATGGAATCTGATTTAATACCATTGATCTCAATCGAGTCCTGGTGTACTAAACCAGATAAATATTAGCTTATTAATATAGAGAATTAATTGATAGTTTTGTAAATTAATCTTTTATTGAATTGTTCACAAGTGTCAGTAGTGAATGATGGTTAATCCACAGAGTTGTTGATACATTTTTACTAAACAACTGTTTCTTTACAATTTGTAATCTGTTTATTAGTGGTAAAATTAATGAAAAATATTGAATCATGTAAATCCTTAAACCTATTTTGACATAATTAACGGAATTAATTTGGTAATAAAAAATGTATCAAAGTTTTCTATCAACAATTTCATTGTAAACTCAATGGCTTGGTAATATTTCCTGAAGATTAAAAATATTTCACTCAATAATACCAACCTGTTTGGCACTTGAGTTGACACTTTGGTGAAATGTTTGGTAAAACAACAATCTGAAATCTGATTGACAAACTGATTAGTCCGGAACATGGTGTTTGTGTGAAGTTGAGTTGCTGAATAATAATGAATCATTCTAACACAATTGAGTAATAAACAAAAAAAGGTAAACATCAATAAAAAGATTGATAAAAAAAATAATTTTGGGTTTGGCTAAATCTTGAAGATGATAAGCACAACATTTTGTTCAATAATGTTGGGTTGTTATTTAACGGTTCCAGTCCATTTGATGTAGGACTCAATGAGACACAACTAATGAGTGTACAATATTAATTGAAGTGAAAATGTAAAAAAAATGTTGACAAAAAAAGACCAGCGGATGATTACATGATGACTGCTTCAGCTGTTTTAAGATAACTGAATGAAAGTTGCCTTAAAGACATCTTTATCCATATTGTTATTGCTTTGTTCACGGTCTAATTGTCTAATGAAGACAGGCAAAAAAATTCATTTTGATGATGATTGAGGTTTGTGAAGATGAAGGTGAAATGGTGACTATGATTTTGATGGTTATTGTATTAGCATAAGTGATTGAATAATTGTTGATTTTTTTGTTTATCTTCTGTTAACAGACGATAACAAGTTGCCATTGGCAACACTTTTCCCTCCATTTTTTGATCATCTTTTGCTAACTGGTTTGAAAAAATTATACAATCTACCATTCATTGTTTTCTTGGAAAGACTCTGCTGGTTTCATTGGACCTGGAACTTGGGATTCCATTTCTGGACGAGATGGTCGAACACGTCTTCTGTGTCCTCTTGCCTCACCACCAGGAGCGTAATGATTATCGCCTGATCGTTCAGATGAGTGACCAGCTGTTGCTGAATAATAATTCTTACGAGGTCGACCACCATCATAACCAGGTTGGAAAGCGTATCTTGGATAAGCCATTGGCTGGTGCATTTCATGGAAATCTCTTAATCCTCTTGGATCAAAGAAACCGTTGTCTTGTGACTCTTGGATCATTTGAGCCTCTGGGAAAAGTTGAGCTGATGGACCAGTCCATTCTTGATAGTTGTTGCTTCCGGCTGGCATTACTACTGGATGATGGTGGTGATGATGAACTGGAACAGGTATTGGGACAGGCACAGGAACCATTTTAGGGCCAGGATGACCACGTTTTTGCTTCTATAATCAGGTAATTGACAAATTGCAACCATCATTAGTTTAGTGTGAATCTTGTTGTTTAGTTGTTATCTTTTTCATATTTTTTTTTTGCTTCAGGTAATTACAATTTTTTCAGGCTAATTCATACACTTACCGAATGATTGTCTTGAGCTGAAGTCAATGCTAAAAAGGCCAGAATGCCAAGGAGACCCATAGTCACTCGCATGGTTATCAATTTGTCTGTTAATGGAAACACAAAAATTATAAGTTTTTCTCTTCTTTTTAGTTACTAGACTACTTTTTGCCTTTCTTTGAGATAACAACTACTACAGTTTTGCCCTCGGGTAAGTTTACATTCTTCATTTCTTTTCAGACGAGAATTATCTTTCTAAAGATCTTGTTTCTTTTTACTTTTCTTGTAGACGAAGCTTGTTGGATTAACTGCAAATTAACAAATTTTCACTCAGCCACAGTTAAATGACTAAAAGCTAAACTGGAAAAACCTAAAAGTATGGACATTGTAGACTAAAGAGCGAAAGCTAGAGATGATCAAAACGGAACTTGATTTTTTTTTCTAGAACACTTTTATCATAAAATACAAGGATAAAATATGCTCCTTCGACAATGAATGGTTTACAAATTCACAATGGGTTATTCACTTAAGGAAATAGTACACTTCCATAGATCCATTGCTTTGATTGATTCACAAAATGGGTTGATAAATGACAAAAAACAAGACACACACACGGATAGTCGGGCATAGAGAGACAAAGTAGAGAAAATTTGTATGGAATAAACATGGAAACTTACAAATGATGGATTGGATGGAAGACAATGCTTAACAAAAGATTACTTTTCAAGTGTTCAATTTCAAGCCGAATACACTAATGAGTTGACCAATTTGGATGGTGATGGGTTTTTATATGAAAACAAAAGTTAAACTGTGTAACCCTTGAAATAGGCTGGTGTCGATTGCAAAAGAGCAACCCGTTACCAATATTGAGTAAAAGACTCCACCTCGAGCCTGTCGGTCGCTTCGTTTCATGGCACAATCACATTGAATAAAACGAGCTAACACGTTAACGCCTTCATTCCCGTGTCAAGCCTGATACATTTTTTGGTTTTGGAGATGAAAATGAGAAATGATCCCATCGTAACGGACTAGTAAGAAGAGAGAGAAAAAATAATCAAGATTGAAAATGAAAGATAATCACCTTAAAAGATGAAGAAAAAAAAACGCTTTCTCTTTTAACAATCGATTAGGGGCGACTAATAAGCGTCACGGCATAGTGACGAGGTATTTGCTTGTATGTAAATACTGTTAAAATGGGATAGTGGCCTGAGGGCGGGATTCGAGTTGATAATCACACAACACGATGATCTTGATGATAATGGGGTAAATATTTTCAGTTATTTTTTTTCTTTACTTTTGTTTTGTCTGTATCTTATTATTATTACCATCATTTATTATTATGAAACCAATAACAATCTTATTTATCATTCCAGTTAATATAATTTGTTATTTTTCACTCTCGCCTTGCGACTCGTTGGACTGTATCAATATAAAGAAACAAAATAAATCAAGATGATGACTGATGATGGTGGTGATGAGCATGAACATGAACATGAACATGAACATGGACTAACAAGCCTTTTTGGTGTACAATTTTCAAAAGTAAACGGTGCGAAACTTCCTTAATGTTTAGGCTAACAAACCAAATTACTGGATATGTTTTAAGATAATATTAATTTATCTTTTTAATTCATAACTAACCCGGTTGTTGGCCTTTTTGTTTATTTGTGAACATTTTTGTCAATACCCAATTTGAGTGATAAACTAATCAGTTAACCAATAATATAGTGTATTAACACTGAAATTCAATTTAAATGAGCAATAATTAATTAACCGTTTTCTTTCAACTTTTCAGGTTTCATTGAAATATAAACAATGTTAACAATACTTTGAATTTTGGCAAAGTAAGGATTTTGATTGACTAATAATAATCAACTGTAATATTGGATTGATCATCAAATTTATGGATATGATATTAAAGGCTAAATGGTTGAACAATATTTACTGAATCAGCGATGTTTCAAATTTGGCAATCGAAATGGTGGATCAACAATCAAGATATCAATAGCAAGTTGTCACCATCATCTGATAACAAATATCGTTTTCTTTCAATTTACCTATCTTTTTGTTTTTTTATATTCAAGTAATGCCATTAGCGCATGAAAGGGCTGATAATTTTGATGATTTATAAATGATAACTTTCATTATTCCGAAACAAGCATTCAAATTAATGAAAGTCAATTTCACTGTGCAACTGTTCATGCACAATGTAAGGATCATTATCAAAAATATCAACCTTAAAATGTAAAAAATAAACAAATCAGTTCAAATAGATTTGGAAACGATAGTGAAAATTTAACCATTAAAATAATTGTAGCAACATCTTCAAACGCTCAATTGTTTGCGTTTTGATATTCAAGAGATATTATTTTGAACCGATCAAAGAATCAATTGCATCTCTAAATTACATTTCATCAAACACTTGTCCGTTTTTGTCCATATAATTACTTCATGAGTTAACGGTAGTTCAACTTGATGTGATTTAATGATTCAAAATGTTGATCATTATTGTAAAATGAAATTGTCGTTTACTTGAATTAATTCCTGTTATTACATTTCACAGTTAGCTTTAAAAGTTGATTACAATTAACACTTTCTGACAAATGTTAGCCTTAAAAGTACGGTAACAACTCAAGTAATGAGTAGTTAGCCATTGATCTGGACTGTTGGTTAACAAAAGATCCATGATTTTGGTTAAGATTATTACTGATGACTTAATTTTCATTTAATAGTGATAATGTTGCATGTTAGCATCTAATTGAAACCAAGTCACTGTTTGAGTAAATTGTTAACGTAATTGAATGGTTGCATTTTATTGAATAATCCAAATTACAGTCTGATATGATTGTAAAATTTAAAGAAATTTAATTCATTTGAAAGTTACCAAAAATAGTATTCAGTCGAAAACTTGCAATTAGCAAATGAATTGAAACAAATTGATCCAATCATTTTCACTCATCACCAATTTACTTTCTAATTTTACCGTTTAAAAATAAAACTGTTCAACTCTTCATTACCATACTATTTACCGATACAATAATTTAACATTCATCACATTCAATTGTTAAACAGTATGTAAATGTAAAACTAAGAAAAGTTAATCTAACAACTATCTTTTAACAACAATATTAGACTAATTTGTAATGCTTATTTGTAGTCTTTTGAATATGTGATCTGAAATCAAAGGTAGATCTGACAATTAATTGAAATTACAATTCCACAATTTATCCTTTACTCGCTATCTCCAAACTCTTTACTTTTCAAGTTTCAATTTCATGTTTTCCTTATTTTTTGTTGCAAAATAACCAATTTTATTGATTATTTATCCCAAAAATAAGATAACTTTAGATAACTTCTGATGCATTTGAATAACTGCCAAAGATAGATTCACAATGAAAACATGGATACAATATTTAATCGCTTCACTCAAAACAGTTTTACATAAACTCCAACAATAAGCCATAACCAATATTTCCCTCCAAAGTCAATAGTTTAAAATATGGATTCTGCATTCTTCTCCCTGTTTAAACGTGGATTTTTCAGCAACCTGAGTTCTGATTCAGCTCTCGTTACTTTCCGAAGATGTAGTTCAATCAAGACTTTTAGACCGAGAAAAAGTTTTTTTAGAATCATTTTAATGCGCTCTTTTTAAAAATATCAACACTTATCAAGTATAAATACAATCGCACCTGGGTCTCCCGTACTTAGTGGAGATTTACACCAACATACGCACAAATCGATCCTTGTTGCGTTCAATGTATGTTGGATCTCGATCTTGACCTATCCTTAACATTGTGTTGAACTTCTTGACGGCCTGAAAGATAAGAATAATTAGCGTTTTTTTGAACTAGTAAAAAAACTTATAGACAAACTAAACAAAAAGGTCGCTTACCTTTGCATAAGGATGGTGGCTACATGGGCAGCTTCCGATAGGTTTCTTTTTGTGGACTCGATAGACTCTGGTTGAAGGACGCCTTTTAAAAGATACCAAGAAACTGCGAATAATTAATTAAATCGTACTTCGATGACAGTTTTGCACAAAAATTTGATGGGTTGATTTTGTATTTTTTATGAATTGTATAAATAATAATGATGCAATTTGAGATTGAATTGATTCACTAACCAATTTCAAATTATTGGTCAAAATTTCGTTATAGTGTCTCCCTCTTTTGGTATTATCAGCAGCTTGTAAGCCGCGCCAATTGAAGAGCAGTTTTTATAAAGTGTCGCCATCTGTTAATCACATGTACATGATCTCGAAGCTGATTAGTAAACAAATCAACCGGTAATTTGTACAACAGAATTAATTTTTTCAATTGAAAGAGCTGTTTCAATAAATCATTCATAAAGTGTACATAATTTATTCTCCAAACATTTAGAGATCAATATGTGCCAAAATGACCAAACTTTACTGGTAATTTTAATAAACTGTAAACATTATTTTACGAAAAAAGTTATTGCAATTGGATTCCATGATGATTGGCAATGTAAAGGTGAGTAATTGGTTTTGAAATTATGATAACAGTAGTGATCAGAGTTAAGTTGACAAAATCTGAGATTTATTCATAGTCGCCTTCTAACAGTAAATGTCATATTAAATTTAATTTTTGCCATTTTCCTATTGTTTAGTGTCTCTACAAAACCAAATATACTCAAGACGATGACAACTGAAAATTATCTTTAGTCTGACCCCTTTTTTAATTTAACCAGACCACTATTGTATAAACATTTAGTTGACCGTGTCTAATCAATATTTTAACTCAAAATTCGGACTGTTATTCATGAAGAAAATTAGAAATAAATATCTTTTTCTCATCTCATGAATTTTAACAGAGAAGAGAAAGTAAACAACCATTAAATTTGATAGAGAAGCAAATGTTCACTAATAATCATTGTCGGGTTAATTATTGTAATGATTAGTGGTTACAGATTTATTAGTTGACAGTTAGAAATTAACTTGAAATTCGATTGGTTTAATAAGTTAAATAAAATCTGTTGTTGGAACCGGTTTTTATGAAGAAAAAAAAGCCAAAGACTTTTCATTCTCTTTCTCTTTCTACCTTCTCTCTTCTAGCCTTTCTCTTGCGATGACCTGTTCACTCACCATTGGCATCATCATCATCATCATCATCATCAGCTTCATCTTCTTCTCCATCATCCTCTCTGTTTAAACCGGCTAAACAAGTCTCTTTCTCTCATTTATATCTTCTCTTTCTTTCTTACCCAGGAACAGCTCAAAGAATGTTTGACATTCCTTCCATTGGGGCGAGAAACCAAAGGGCAAAAACAAGGGGAAGAACAAGTGAAGATAAAGATGAAAAGAAGGGATGGGGAAGAAGAAGAAAGAGAAGATAAAGTGAGAAGAAGTGAGAACGAAATGAAGCGGCTTTCAAAATTGGCCTTTGAATTGGCCTTCAGTTCAATGTGTTTTGTATAAGCAGCAACAACAACTTTGCCATTTTACTTTTCCTTGGTTTAAACTCTAACTCATACAAAACCATCTTTTTTTCATATGTAAAGCTACAAACTGAATTTGTTTTTTTTTGTTATTATTTTCTTATAGTTGACCAAAATTGTTGTCTCAGTTAATTAGAGTTGTGTTATCAAATCATTTAACCAATCTGGATTATTTAGTGTAAAGTTAATTGTGATTTGCTTGGGAAAAAACTAGCAACCGAAACAAACAAGAAACTACTGCAATGGGAAAACTGATTCTAATAAGGTAAGTCTTTTTGCATCTCATATGTTTTGTTTACCAATCTTAATTTGATTAAAATTGTGGTAAAGGTTCATCAGGAAGCTGATTTATTCCAATTAGCATCATTATGAACATGATTCAGTCTATTAGAGATAAAATTTCAACTTGATTATCAACATTAAACGCTGTAAGACAACAAGTTGGGATTGTGAATCAAATGTTAAATAACATGGCAATGTTAAAAACTGCAATCTGTTCATCAATTTAGCTTATTCTGGACTATAATTAGTGTTGAAATGTTACTTTAGATGCTGAATTTCCATGTTTACTCTTTATTAATATTTGTTAATTGTTTCCTTTTCCCTTGTTTTTGTTTACTTTCTCAAAGAAGGAGAAATGTTTGACTGTTTTCAAGCAAACTTGCCATTGTCAACCCAATTTTACATGGTTATGTCATCATCTATAATTTTTAACCAAGATGCCCATCGAGTAATTGAAAATGTTCAATGTATCATGATAACATGATTGCCAAGTATCTCAAAATGAATTGACCAAGCAATAAGATAGAAAATTATTTATGAGAATTTCATTATTTTTCAAATGAAAAAATTACAGTGTCAATGATTCCTTTTCAGATTAAACAAAGTGAAAAGTATCTTGTAAAGTCATCTGAAACCAAGTTTATTCATTTCAAGAATAAACTGTTAACTTAAATGTGGACATTGAATGTTAATACAATGAGGACAATAAAGTGGATAACCTGTTTAAAATCATCTAGAATGGTGTTTGGTTTGCCTGAAAAAGGATAACCATGAAATATTTTCCTCGACTTTGTGTTTCAAGTGATTGAAATTTCATTTTTTTATATTTTAACTCAACAAGCCAACGGAAGCCCAAACATGTTTGCTTCACCCAAATCAAGATCTAATTCAAGATCTTCTTCAAATTGCTCATCTTTACTGTTATCAACGAGAAATTTGATCCATTTAGGGTCAAAAAGGACGACTAACATTTTGTTATTATTAGGAATAATTTCTAGATTAATTGTGATAAGCTTAGTGTATTGTTACTGCACCATTTTACCAATTTCATCAGCCTCATCAATTTCCTCATCATCTTCATCTTCATCAAGTGATACCTTTTATTTTGAAATAGCTGAAAACACACCACCAGGTCGATTGGTAGGCCAAGTACCAATTAAACCTGGTTTCACTTATCGGTTTAATGTTGAACTGCCAGAGTTTAGATTTGATCAATCTTCTGGTTCAATATTAACAACTTCAGTTGCCACCGATCGAGAGATTCGTGATTTTTATCATCTCGTTTTGTTAAGCAGTTCACCAACTTATCCAATTGAGATACGGATAAAAGTGACCGATGTAAATGATAATCCACCCTATTGGCCGCCCTACATTAATAGGAATATATCTTTCAGTGAATCAGCTCCAATTGGTACTAAACTAATTCTGGAGACAGCCATTGATCCCGATGAAGGTGCCTTAACTTATGAAATTGTACAGACAACCAGAGCATCATCCGAGTCACCCTCAACCATTTCAACATCAACAATACCAACAACCTCATCATTACAAAATGAACCTTCTTTCAACGGGTCATCTTCATCATTAGCTGCCATTTTACCTTCAGCATCATCGCTTGTGTCATTCAATGAGTTACCCTTCAAATTAAGCTACAACGTTTCCTCATCTTTCCTCCATCTAGAAGTAGCCGATTCACTTGATAGGGAAACTCAGGCCAATTACATTGTTAATATATCAGCTGTTGATGATGGTGGACTTTCTGCCTTTTTAACTCTTCACGTAACCATACTGGATGTCAACGATAACCCGCCAATATTTGACCACTCTGACTATACTGTTAGTCTCAATGAGACTGTTGGTAAAAGTGTACCAATCCTTCAAGTGAGGGCAACCGATGCCGATGAAGAGGGAAATGATAATACAGCCATCAGTTATTATCTGTTGTCTGAAAAATATTTCACCATTGATCCTGAAACCGGAGTCATTTACACTGCCCAAGAAGGTCCCATAGACTGTGGAACCACGCCAATCTCATCGCCATCGCCACCATCTCCACTCTCGACAGCCTCACTTGGGTCAACATCTAGTTCCACTGGGTACAAAGTTTGTGTGTTTACCGTGTTTGCTCACGATCATGGGACACCAAGACAAAATGGACGAGCTTACATTACTGTAAACCTTTTAGATACCAATGATCATGATCCTGTGATTAAATTTCGTCATCTCTCTCGATCTGAGATTGCCTCAGTTGATGAAAATGCTGTCAATGGAAGTGTTGTCACTGCCATTTCAGTCTCTGATAATGATCATGGTCCAAATGGTGAGACTTCATTGATAATTGCTTCTGGTAATGAAATGAACCATTTTCGTCTTGAATCAATTGGCACTTCTCACATCATTCGTGTCAATGGATCACTTGATCGTGAAAAGATGTCACAATACAATTTAACCATAATTGCTCGAGATTACGGGTTACCAGCTCGATCATCAACCGCTAACCTTGTTATTATTGTTAATGATGTAAATGACCATGAACCTGTTTTCAATCGTGATATCTATGAAGTTAATTTGGTTGAATCGCTTCCCATTGGATCCTTTGTAGCTTCCATTGGTGCCGTTGATTTAGATGAAGGAATCAATGCAAAATTGTATTACTCTCTAAGTGGACCTAATGCTCACTTCTTCCAGATTGACACTCTCACTGGTTTGGTAACAACTGAAAAGGTTATCAATCGTGAGGAGACACCAGTTTTTGAGCTTAAAGCTACCGCTCGTGATGGTGGGCCTAACCCTAAATGGGCTTATGCAACCCTTAAAATTAATATGTTGGATGTTAATGATGAAGTACCAAGCTTAATTTTACCTAAAGATTCTGTCATCTACGATAATTCAAGTTCAGCTTATATTTATGAGATTGAAGAATCAAATAAACTCAACATTCCCTTAATAACAGTTGACCGTGATCTTGGAGCTAATGGTACAGTTGATTGTAACTTATTGTATAAATATGGTGGCCTCTTTCAAATTATTGACTCATCAACAGGAACCGGTAGTCAACATGCACTAATTTCAACTCGTGAACTTGATTATGAGAAGTGCTCTCAATACCGATTATCAATTCTTGTCAAAGATCGTGGTCTACCCGGTCATCAACTCAGTTCATCTTTAACATTGATTATCCGCATTAAAGATAAAGATGATCACCGTCCAATTGTTTATCCATCAACCTACTTTGCCTTCATTCCAATTGACTTTTCATCCCTCAACTATTCAGTTGTTGTTAGTCGAGTTTTAATTCGTGATCGAGACATCTTAACACCAGTAACTTTTGCCATGGATAATAATAACCAGAACAACTTGATAAGCTCAATACTATCTCTCAATAGTCGCACCGGTGAGATTAATTTAAAAACTGGTTCTCGGTCTGGATCATTTAGCTCATCTAATTTACCATCACTATTACGTTTCAATGTGACTTGTAAAAATTGTGAGCCCACTCGATCTCGAGCTTCATTCAATGTTTACACTTTAACCGATGAAAATAGGAAATCGGTTGAATCTTTGAAACGAAATTATGAATTTGAAATAAATGAATCAGCTGGTATTGGAGCAATAATTGGTAAAATTGAACTTGATGCTGGTAAATTTGATTTGACAATAGTTTCAGGTGATCCAATTGGCCTTTTCTCTGTTGACCGTCATTATCTCAAAGTTGCTGGTCAGCTTGACAGAGAAACTCAAAGTACTTATACACTTCAATTGGTTGCCTTTAACGAGAAAGCATTCCTTCATATTGATGTTCATTTATCTCTCATTGATGTCAACGATAATCAACCTTTATTCACTGAGCAATTCATTGAGCTTACTTTGCCTGTCGATGTTCCACCAAAATTAACAATTTACAGATTAAATGCCATTGATGCTGATCAATCCGCCTCTGCATCCAGAATTGCTCATCCAAGTCGGACAACATCATTATCCTCATCAACAACCTCAGTTAATCCTACTCCAGTCAGCTTAGATATTAGGTATGATCTCATCTCGAACCCTGATCATCTTTTATTCATCAAAGGAAACGAGCTCAAAGTTAATCGTAGCTTGTCATCTTTATATCCACCCGGAAGACGCTATCGATCTCATAATGATGCTCTTGATTTCATTACATTTGAAGTGATGGCAACTGATCCTGGAGCAACAACACCATTTGATACCAGTGTTACAGATCAAAGTCAAACATCTTGTGGTACTTTAAATCGCCTAACTATCCATATTATTGTGAAAGCTGTGAATACAGCGAAACCACGCTTTGGATCAACATTGTATGAAATAAGTCTTAGTGAGTCAATACCGGTCAACAGTCAATTTTTGAATATTGCTGCTACCGATGACGATGGTGATCCAATTGGATATAAAATAACTTCTGGTAATCTTGGTGAATCTTTTGGTATCTTTCCCAATGGTCAATTGTATGTGAAACGTCCATTAGACCGAGAGACTGTTGAAACATATTCTTTAACCATCATTACCTTTGAAACTAATCCAGATTCATCAGACCATTCATTATCCTCATCATCTTCTGAATCAACATTCAAATCATATTATGAAAGCCGCTCAACAACCCAAGTGATAATACATTGTGTAGATGAAAATGATAACCCGCCAATATTTGCCAATAAAACATTTCACTTTCGTTTAGAAGAAAATTGCCAAGAAAATACTCCAATTGGCCAATTACAAGCATGGGATGCTGATAAAGGTGCCAATTCAGAAATTTTTTATTCTCTATCTGAGTCAAATGCAACAGGATTAGTTGAAATCGATCCATATTCTGGCCATCTTTGGTCAAAAGTAACATTTGATGCAGAAACAACGCCTTACCTAACCTTAGAGGTTTACGCCATAGATCAATCCTTTGAATCTCAACGGTTAACTTCAACAGCTACTGTGATAGTTGAAATTGTTGATGTTAATGACAATCCACCAGTTTTTATATCATCCTCATTCTCACCATCATCTCCATCTAATGATATTAACAACGATTTGACAGGTGAAAGTTCATCATCTTCCTCTGTTAGGACATCAATTTATCCAGTTGAAAGTTTTAGCTTGAGTGAAGATACGCCAATTGGAGCTCGTGTGGCCAAAATTGAAGCCTCTGATGCTGACCAAAGCAGTGTTGTGGTTTACAAACAATTAGACTCAACAGTCCGTGACTCTTTAACTAGTGAGAATAATAAGGATAAAATAAAAGGCGTCGGCGGTGGAGGAGGGATTAATACAAGTAGCCATGTTAACAGCATTAGCATAAACAGCTCTGGCGGCTATTTTAATTTAAACAGTACAACCGGTGTGTTAACTTTAGCCCGATCCATTGATCGTGAGGTAACCAATCAAGTTGAGTTACTTGTTTCGGCTGATGATGGTTTTTATACCTCCTACAAGTTACTCAGATTCGTGATTGAAGATGTTAACGACAATCCACCTAAATTTGTTAATTTTCCCAGTTCACCTGTCACTTTACCAGAAGATGTTAAAGTAGGCTCAATTGTGTTAACATTGAATGCAATTGATCCCGATCTCAGTGATACTGGTTCACCAATCCGATATGAATTGACTCAATCCTCAACACTGGAGAGAAAACGTAAATTATTTGAGATTTCCGAGTCATCAGTAATTATCGTTTCTCCATTGGATTACGAGACTGAAAATCGCCATTATCTAAATATTAGTGCCATTGATGGAGCTGGACATAGAAGTGACATTCAAATGCTATCAATTGTTGTCACTGATGTTAACGATTGCTCGCCTACTTTTAATTTAAATCATTTATCTCAACAAACCAGCTCATCATCAATTCCAAGTCTCTCAACACAATCAGATGTAGTTAGAGTTCTTGAAAATATTGAAATTGGATCTAAACTCGTCAATTTAGCTGCTTATGATTGTGATTCTGGAGATACACTAATCTATGAGATTATTACATGCGAGGTTCGCAAAGGCGATGCATCTTATTCCTCTTCTTCTCATGGCACATCTTCAGGAGATGCTCTTGTTACCCGACATCCATCAGGTCGATATTTAAAACTATCAGAGCAACTTGAGACGGTCGCTTGTCCTGTAACAATTAACCCCACCAACGGTGATCTAGTATCAACCAATAGTCTTGATCGTGAAACTGCTGAAACAATATCAGTATCTATTAGGATACGAGATAAAGTTGGTCATTCGGTACTGAAACAGGTTACCCTGTTGCTTGAGGATATCAATGATAATTATCCTGAATTTGTTTCACCTGATTTGTTCCTCATCTCAGGCCATAAGATAGAAGAGAATCAAATTATCGGAACTGTAAAAGCCATTGATGTTGATGCTGGAATAAATTCGGTGATTACCTACAAACTGGCTTCAACCGAATCATCATCAGATTATCTGGTTATTGATCCAAGATCGGGTGATGTAAGGACAAGACGACCAATTGAAGGTTACATTAATCGACCAATCAATTTGCTTGCCATTGACGGAGCAGGTCTAGTTACCTCAGATACAGTTACCTTTATCCATCTACCTCAAAACCTTGATACCAAGTCTCATGAGAAAAGTGATTTATCCCTGGAAGTCTATGAGAATGAACCTGTTGGATTGAGATTACACAAATTCAAATGTTCATCTGATCGTTTGGAGAAGTGTGAATTTTATGTTCTCAAAGCAGCCGATAGAACCATTGCCGTTGATCGGCATTCCGGAGATCTGTATATCCAATCCAATTTAGACCGTGAAACAATAGATTCCTATTCAATTGAAATCGTCTCCATTCAAGGATATGAACTCTATCTAACCACGGTAAGTTGAAACAAATCAATCATCTAGTCAACTGCTAATGCCAATGTCTTTCTTGATCAATATTCATTTTACATTTGAGTTGATAATAAATCAATTTTTACTATTGATAATAATGACTAGCAAGATTGTTATACCTTAGGGTCAGCTGAAATAATCCCAATGGGGAGTTGAATATTATAATATTGGTGCTATATTAGGTGGTGATGATGAGGCCAAGATTGGCAGAGTTGTCAAGTTTGACTAAAGTAACCGATAAGATGTTATTTTTGGGATACATTTTTACCTTTGACCTGAACAAGTAAACAGAGAAACAAAAAAGCCAACTGCAATAGTAAAACCTTAGACAGGTTAGACTTTTACAACGCTCAGATTAAGATTGACCGAAAAGGTTTGACGGTCATTTTTTGACGGATTTATATAGCTGCATGATGACCACAATGACATTTCACCCTCAAGAGGTTTAAAGTTGAAAAAAAAGTAAGGCCCAAGAATAATGAAAGGCAAGGAAAACAAGAATGTTTACTTTTACTGAAACATTAGCAACTCTTATGCCTTGAGATTTTCAATTTTCTTAGTAGGGTTTCTTTCTTCTCTCTCTCTCTCTCTTCCTCTCATCTTCGTCATCGTCATCATCATCATCTTATTTACCTTTACAATGACTCGTTTTCAACTGGTATGCTTAAAATCAGTTGGGTTTCAATGAATTATAGTCGGAATTTTTAGCAGGATAAAAATTTACCTTTTCTTGTTACCTTGATTTAGATATCATAGGGGCTTAATCATCTAAACTATGCAACAACAATGATAATATAACAACAATAATAATAGCAATAATGATAATGATAACGATTATAATAAAGAAACTTTGTATTGAATCTTTGTTTCAAGCAAGTTTCAAGATTAGTTGGAGTGCAAGGAAGAGCAACAAAACAAAAACAGAAACTTGATGATAATTTTTGACTGCATCTAAAGCTTCTCAGTGGGAAATCTATTATTTTCAATTGTTTAGTATAATTGTTAGGTTCACAATTAAGTTAATTTCCATTAGCATTTAAAAAAGGAAACATAAAAGTTACAACAACATTTAACTTTTTCCCAAATCACAATTACATTGGCAATTGACACGCGTTTTCAATTCCTAATGATATCAATACACATTTAACTATTGAAAATAAAATAAAAATCTGAATGTCTATTAAGTATAACATTAATTTAATCATTAACATTCATAGCATTTTAATTATCAATGAATTTCACTCTGAATATTATTTAACCACTTTGGTGGTTCACATTGATCCTTATTACCTTTAAAGGTTAACCATTTGTTCAAAGGTAATTGTTTCAGATAACAAACAAATATACAAATGTTTGGTAAAAATAACTAAAGAAATGTTTCTTAAGGCAATTCCGAGTTCTCAGAATTGATCGTTTTTCTTGTTCTTTTTCTTGCACGCTCTCATCATAATCATCATCAAGTTGATCATAATCACTCCCTTGGTAATTATCGCTATTGATCAACAAATTGCCATCAATTAAGTTTAAGATTTTTGGTGTTTCTACCGACACTTTTTTTTCAACAGACTTGCGACCATTTCCAAGCATTTCACTTTAAACTCAACAATCAAATGATCATGAAAACCTATTAATTAAACGATAATGTCACTAATTTACTTTCACTCTCAATAATCAAGTTAAATATGAAAGCGTAAAAAACGCAAAACAATTTATCAAGATTAAATTGTGAACCTACAAGATGAATAATTAATGTTGATCGTTAACCAGTAGCAAGTTTTTTTTTCAAGAAAAACAAAACTCAAAGTCATGACATTGCTGGTTGATAATCATGATTAGGATAATGATGATAACGTTGTTCTGTTAATGATGATAATAATAATGCTGCTAACAATAAGTGTGTTTGTTCATCATATCATAATAATATTTTAATAGTTGTGGGAGTGATGAAGAGTTTACATTTTTTAATATAAATTGCCATTTTAAAATGTTAATGTTACCTGTTAAATACAGTAGTTTTATCATAAAACATAATAATGTGAACTTTATGAGTTCGAGTCACGAGTTAAACATTTGCTGATCACCTTACTCCTACCTGAGCAGGGTCTTCCCAACAGTTGAACCTCTTCTCACATTTTCAGGTTTCATTGAAAATAAGGTAAAAATGTAACTCTAAAAGCAACATTTCTTGGCAAACAAAATTTTTTTGACAAAATACCGAAGAGGCTCGTTTCTCATAGACTTGAGGTTAACATCTTAAGTTAGCTCATTGATACAAAAAAAGCCTCAACAATGAATTTTTGGTTAATCTATTTTACAATAGACGCTTTTCAATGGGAAAAATAACCTTTTTTTCAATACAAAAACAACTTTCTCACAAAGATCAACCTTTGATGTATCAATTGAACCTTTTTTTCACTCCAATATTATAATAACTTGACACTGATATTTATGATATCGATGATGATATTGATGATGATTTTTTTTGATAACTTTTATTGTTACCATTTCAGTAACTTGGTTTTTGTTGTACAATTTGTTATCCAATTTGAATACAAAAATCAACTCTTCTTTCGTCAAGTTTATTATGGCTTTGATTTTGATAATATATTGATAACTACTGTGACTGACACAATTTAAATTGATGTTAAATTACTGGTCATAATTTATAACCCAAAATGTTTAACCTTGTATATTGCCTTGTAACGTCTTGTCATCATGTTATTTGCCTGTTTGCATGTTAATAGTTATAACTTTTTCCCTTTTATTTCACATTCTTATTACCATTATCATGGTTATGCGACAAAAGTTCACCTTTTTTCTTCTTCTTCTTTCTTCCTTTTAAATCTCATCTTCATCTTCTTCTATGGTAATTAATTTGTCAGCAGCAAAAGCAGTAACAAGAAGAAAAAACATGAACAAGAAGAAGAAAAACTCATCCAAAGGTAAAAACTTACCTGCAAACATAACTAACATATAAAAGTATGAAAAATAAAATTAAGAAACGGAAAGGAAATACAGAAGCTGAAGTCCGAGTAAAATTTTCATCATCAGTTTAACATTTTTTGACACAAGAAGATAAAGACAGACAGAAGAGGAAAAGGTAAGAAAGTCAAGAGAGTGAAAGAGTCTCAAAGAGACAAGTCATTTATATTTTTGAAAAAATTTGCCTGCAAGGTGAATCTGATCTTCTCTTCTTACCTTAGCTTCCTTTTTTTGTTCATCTTTTTACCTTTTTTATTTTCCTCCCCTAAACTTGCGTCAGGTATGATGTTGTTTTATGATGATCATGTTGATGGTGATGGGGATCAAGATTCTCAATTAAACAAGGGCTTGTCGATTAACCATAAGTGGACTCCGCTTTTCCGCGCCCTTAAAATAAGCAACGAAAGGGCGCGGAGATGAAGATAGACTTTGTCTTTTCTTTTTTTTGTTTCGCATTTTTCCTCTTTCTTTTAATCATCATCATCTCTTTCTTTCTTCAGCCGTTCCCAACTCAAAACTGTATCCTTCTTCATCTTCATCTTCTTCTTTTTTTCCTCATTTCACCTTACATTTTCATCTTGACTTCCATATAAATATATCCATCCATTTTCACAATGTTAATATACTTAACAATATGGTCTCTTTCAGGCTACTTTCCGATCCGCCTTGCGTTGTTATGCTTCGTTTGAGTTTCTAGTCTTTCTGTAGCCTTTACCTTCAAGACATTTTCCATTGTTTTCATCCTTTTTCATCCTTTTCATCTTTCTATTTATCTTCTTCCCTTTCAAAAAGCTATTTTCAATTAGTCTGTGAGAGTAAAAAAAATAGCTAAATGTTTTTAACAAAATGATTTAAAGCTCATTCCAAGGTGCTAATTAGTGTTTTTGCTTACCTTTGAATCTATTTTAAGGTTACATCGTATTGATTGTTTTTTTGGTCTTTTGGCCTTTACGAGAAAAAGTGGAAAAACTATCTTTTCGTGTTTTCCAGTTATTTTTGTACATTTGACTTGTTTTGCTTCCCTGTAGACAAAAATCAGTTTAAAATCAGTTTACCTTAAGCATTCACACACTTGACTGGCTTGTCTCTTCTTTGCCATCTTCCCTTCATCTTTCATTTCAAATTGTATTTTGTTTACCTGTCCAGTTTAGCTTCTCTTTTTACCTGTTTCTTCGTTATTTACCTCTCATCTAACCTCCTCTTTTTCATTTTCATAATTCGCCCTTAAGCTTTCTCTTTCTTTTCTCTCTCTATTTTCATCATCTTCAACATTTATCTTCCTACTGTCTTTACAATTGCTTCATTTACAAGCCAACAAAAAAGCAACCCAAAGTCAATAGAAATGCCAATTGAAAACGTTTACTCATTACCATTCAATGTATTTTCATTTTACATTGCAATCTCACAATTATGCATAATTTAACTTTTCCCTGCAACTTACATTGATTAATTGTTACATCTTGATATTGTTCATTATTTTCATTAACAATACATTAAACTTACTAATCAAATGTTGCTTTCATCTTTCCAAACCGTAAACATGTTCATAAAGTGTCTAAATTGAAGTTAAATGATTGCCTGTTATAATTACATCTCTTCAATTTAATCACATTTTTAAGTAATATTTTACTCACTTTTTTGTGTAACTTTAATAACAAAAAAACAAAAACCACTCACAACATGATTGATTCATATTAATCGATTTACTCATCTAATTCAGAGTCACGAAGATTAGTCTCCTACATTCATCATCTTCATCATCAACATTCAATGTTTACCTTTTTTTTAATAAAAGCTACTCAAACTAAAACAATCTTGCAAAGTCTATTTACCAATGTAAATTATTCTCAATACATAAGGTTAATCACAATTAAGCTTATTCATAATTAGCGTTGACTCTTGCCAATCAAACAAATTATTTGCTCTTTCAAATAACATTTTCTGGTTTCTGAATCTTTTAGGTTAACATCAAAGTACTGGATAAAGATGATAACCCACCCAGCTTCAAATCAACTGGATCTTCAATATTGGTCAGTGAGGCGACTCCACCGGCCAGTGAATTGTTTGATCTATCAACAATTACCCGTGACCCTGATGTATCGTCCAAAATTGAATACAAATTAATTAATTGTTCTCGTTGCTTTGAACCAACCTTTCGTGTTGATACTTTCACTGGCAAAATCATTTTACAAGTTAGTTGAACAAAGACACAAATTAGAGGACCATTCAATCATCTCTCTCTCGTCATCTCTCATCAAGACTTGTTTCCTCTCTTCTCTATCATCATCATCATTTTTCCCTCAAGCATCCTTATCTCAAGACATCTTCACTTTCCGTTTCACTTTTTTAGTTTCATTTGTCTTCTCTTTTTAGATATACCTTTGTCTCTCTTTCATCTTTCTCCTTACCTGTGTCTGCAATTTACTGATCTCGCCAGATAACCTTTTCAATCTATTTCCTTTTCGCATTTCTCATCTTCAATCCTCATTACCTGGCCAAATCACTCTCAAGACACTTTCCTTCAACTTTCCCTTTCAACCTATTGTTGGCATCAAAGTAAAGATATCAACAGGACTAGTTGATGAACCTCATGTTGATCATGATTTGTTTTTCAAATCATTTTTCACTTTTAGAAATTTTTCTTCATCTTTTTTTAATTCCTTTTCATCCTTTCCTCATCTTGTTCATCAAACGGCCACAAAGAGAGATGATAATGTCCTTTGATTCAGCTGTGTGTCAATTGGCCCACACAAATTGACAACAATTTCTGGTGTAAATTAATTTTAACATAATTTATCAATTTATCTTACAGAAACCTCTTGATCGTGAAACAATTGACAGTTACACATTAATTGTTGGCGCTTCCGATTCATTTCATTTAACCACCAAAAAGATTCAGATAATCGTTACCGATGTAAATGATAATGCACCTCACTTCAGATCAAAACAGTATTACTTTGATATACCTGAAAATATGGATCGAGGATTAGTTGTAAGTTGAACCTTAACATTTACAATCTCAAACCAAATCCACTCTGGACAATAAACAACATCACTTCATAATATACATTAAAAGATGTGTTGCTATCTCAATGTAACCATTATCAAATAACATTGAAAATGTCAACTTTTAAAAAGTAAAGTGCAAAAAAGCTGAAAACAAATTATCACAGAAAAAAGAGAAAAAAAATTTCAAATGTTGAGGTAAAATCTGAGGTGTCTATTTTACTCACGCATTCAGATAATTTTCACTCATCTTGAAACATTTTTTTATTGCTTCATTTTGCAATCTGATATATTTATGATTTTTTCAAGATTAAGATTCTCATTTTTCAGTGTTTTTTAGTTTTTCCATGTAAAGAAAGCAGAAGAAGAGAAGAAAAAAGTTGATATTTTTTTTTGCTTCTCAGGAATTCAGTAGCTTGTTGTGTCCAGCCAAACCTGTCAAAGTTAATGGTGTGTTTACATCATTGACTCGTCTTGAAGATGATCTTAAAGATGATGATGTTTAGTTGGCAAAAGTTACTCTTCATCTTGATCCGCCAGTTAAACATAGTAATGCAAATACACACAGAATCATATTTGCTTGAGTTAAAGTTGTAATTGTAGTGATGCTGATGGAGTAACGTGGGTCTAAAAAGCCTCCGGGCTTAAGGGTGATGAGGGGAGGTAAAGATGAGAAAGAGTAGAAATGAGGAAGAAAAAAGTTATAAGAATTAAACTCTTGATTTGACTTGAAAATTAATCCGGATTATCGTTGAATGGCAAGAAATGTAAAGATGATGATGAAGGATAAATACTTATTAACGTGAAGAGGGTGGAAGATGAATCAAGATTGAAATCCTTTGTGATTGTTACTTTCATCTTCATCTTGACTTTACAGAAGCTTATCAACTTGAATTTTTTACCTTTACCTTTTGGAAAACAAAAGATGATGAAAATGGTTTGTTTAATGTTGTTTTGTTTCACATCTTCATCTTATCATCTTTCATTCTGTTAATTACATTTCCAATGATATAAAGATTGACTGTTTGAATACCTGTTAACGTGAGATTATCAGGTTAAACGAAAGGTAAAACAAAGTTGCCAATGTTAACACCGGCAATCATGAGATTATCAAAAGTCCATTTTAACCTGTTGTTAATGATGGCAATTATTGGAGGTGAAAAAAAATTGACTCCAAATCTTATTAGTCAATTGATTAAGATTAATTGTTGATCAATTGTTTTTAATCAAACAAGCAAAAGATGAAATCAGTTGTCTTCATTTGTTCAAATGTTATTACCATTGAAATTGTTCATGATAAATGGTCATAAACTGCAAGACAGTTATGGCATGATAATTGATTAGTATTACATGATTTAATGAAAAACCTTTATTTTTATTTTACTTGGAGTTTCAAAGTTACCAAAAAAAATGAGTTTACAATTTTATCACCAAAATTGATTTCAAGTAATTTCACCTTTCTAACCATGAAAATGTGTTCATGTTTTTCATGTTATCTCTTTATACAGTTGTTAATGTAAAAGGTATGAAAATAAATGTTGAACAGATAAACCTGGATCAATTTATTTGAAAAGCTTTAAAAGCATCATCAATTCACGAATGAATCTCAACAAGCCAAATATTGATATCAAGCTAATAAGTTATACAGCGGACTAACGATCTTGGTACACGATTAGCAGTGTGTGTGTGTGTCATTGCTTTTAAACGGCAACTCCTTGGGTGCCAAGTTGAAACTTGTATTGGCTTGGAGATGATGAAAGTAGAAGAAAAGAAGAAATGATTTCTTTTAAATTGAAATGCTTTCAAATGTCTTTACATGTCTTTTTTACCCAACCTGAGTTGTGTTACCTGTAGGAGGTCAAAATTGATTCAACATTTTTTATCATTTTCACTGGGATTTTTGAGCGTGAGTTGCTTGAGATTTGAACTGTGCAAAAAGATTTGAAAAAAAAACATTGAAAACCCAAACTCTATGAGTTTTGAAAGACGCAAATGGTTAAAGTGGTTCAAGATGGGAAAAGGTGAATAGGTTTGGATGAAATGGAAAAGTGTTTTTTTGCTTTGAAATCCTCTGGATCAGTTCGTGAAACTGATCAAAGGAGGAATTTTTTGTATGGATTGAAGAGATGGCGATGATGATAAAGATGATGAATAAAAAGACAGAGGTAAATAGCAATAACTCGTAATACCTGTTAGACAAGTTGACTTGATCAACAAGATACACTTTTACTGGCTTGGACATGATTAAATCATGTTGATTACTTGTTAATCACAAATGACAGTACAATTAATCCAATCACTTTGTCTTTCATTGATCATTGAAAAAGCAACTTCTTTTGTTTCCTTCAAATGAAACAATTGAATGTTGTTTTAACCAAATCAAACTGTGACAATTTAAATTGTTCACAGTTTGCAATTTCCTAATGTAATTTATCATTATTCATCCATTGTTTCCAGACAATCACTGATATTGGGTTCAGTTGATTTATTAGTGATGTTTGATTAAATGGCCAAATGGTGATCAACCTGATAGATGATCAATGTTACACCCAAACTCGATCATCTTTCATCTTCAATCTTTCATTTCCTCAAGATGAATGATAATCATTTCTGCAAGAACTTCTTCGCCGTAGTTCATCATTGTCATTAACAGGCAACACTCTTGATCCAACGCCAACACCAATTTTAAAAGTTTTCAGTCATTTTTTTACTTCTCTTGGATTCAACTTTTCGCTTCACTTTTTTTGTTTCAACCTTAAATTGCATTTTGCAAATGATATCAACGTTTTTCAACGTCAACCTCCCTTGGAGTGTGTTTATCTGTAATATGTAATAAACGTTGTTGATGCTGTCCCATTTGCTACTGAGTAAACATTGTAAACAAAATTTATGCAAAGAAACATCAACATTTTCATGCAACACCCAGGTAAAGGTAAAGATCAGCAAGATAAATCTCTCTCGTCATCATCTTAATATTTTTTTATGGGTTAGTCTTGAAATGGCTTTAAAGGTCAAACTCTCATCACAATACAATGAAGTGACTTTCAAAAAAAAGATTAACCTTAAGATTTATTTTTTTTCTCATATTTTTATCTTATTTATTTATGATTAATAATTTATTAATAAGCTTAATTTCATGGAAACTTGAGTTGACCATTAAAGTAAGGTATTAAACGTTTGATAATGATTGGGTAATTCAGATGATGATAACAATTTTTGAGGATTAACACCTTTGAAGGGAACGCTTCAGTTTAATGGATCGTTCCTGGCCAATGTGTGTCTATTCATATTATCCCATATTTAGTATTGTATCAAATATTGATGAAACTCAACTAAATCACATTTAAACGGTTCACCCTTAGGCTTAGTTGATTGACAGATTTCGTGTTTACCTCAAGACATTTTTTCTTGTGAACTTTTTCCCTTCACTTTTGGCTCTTTTTGCATGTTCAAGATTAAAGTCAATTAATGCAACAATCAAAGAGTATCTAATTAATCAATTTTCAGGGCTTAAAATATGGTATGATAAGGTAAAATGAGATGAAAACGATGACTTTCATATCAAAGCCAATATCAATTTTAATTACGTATTTCAAGTACACAGATTGGTTTCAAGATTGTCGCAGCTGGTTTAAGATGACAAAAAGACGATCAAGTTCAACAGTAACTGATTCAGTAAAAGCCTAAAATATTAAAACAAATGAACTTGATTCATGCAAAAGCTCAAAAATTCAATTCGATTCAGACATCAATTTGTTTAGAGTTGATTTTACATAAAAACAAATCTGGTTCAACATAAATAGTCATTGTTACTCAAAATGGCAAAAATGTAAATTGCAAAGCATTGACAAGTAACTTGATAAACTCATGAAATATTGAGAAGCAATTCCGGAAATATTGACCAGAATCTTGAGCATTAGAATTGAAAGGTTAGACAATGACCAAAGGAATCTTAAATTGAACCTGAAAGTGACCTCAAAATATGATTGACCGGGCCAATTGTTATTTTTAAAAGTATAATAATCCAATAGTATATCATTATCAGGGAAAGAAAAGCATAACACTATTGGAATCCATGTTAAAAGGTCTTTCTTTTTTTGCGTACTTTTCTATTCTCCAATAACTTAACCTGACCTGACCTTAAGGGGTGGATGTTACAAGCCCACATATTGAGTGAAATAGCAAGAAGGAAAGAAAGAAAAGAAAGAGAATGATCAAGATGAAGGTTAAGATGCAAGTTGAATGTTGATGGGAAAAAAGCAACATTTTGCTTTTGCCTTTAGGCTCAATACACTAGACTTTTGTTGGAAGAGTCAAAAGATATATAAATTTAAGTAATGGTGACTACTTTGTTGTTGATCCTGCTGATGGTTTCATTGCTTGTTGTATCTTTGATTGGTCTTTTCTTACCTCGTATTTTAATTATCATTTTATTCAAATTAACCTCACCTTTTTTTCATACCTTAATATTATCTGATGGCCTCATTTTAATCTTTATTTGAGCCATACGATAGTCGCTAATGATAATTGTAAAGAGCTTTCAAAAATTACAATTAAATGCTTTCATTTTCAATTGATATTCAAGTGAAAGTGAAGGAGTTTAAAAGTCATGTTAACATTAGTCTGGACAAATTGGTTCAAAATTGATTATCAAATTGATTGTCTAACATTTACCATAAATCAGCAATTTCAATGCTTCTGCTTGGTTATCTGATTGTTGACAATTTAAATGGCATTTTAATTTTGATTATTGTCTTGGCTAATTGTTGCCAATTAATTGCAATTTTTCAATCATTTAGTCTTTCAGCTTTGGTGTTATCTTTATGAGTTGTTAGATACGTGTTTAAGTTTGCAGTTAGCTAATTGAAACTGATAAAAGAGTGCAATTTAATGATAAAAATGTTTAAGAAACAAAATCTAACCTTTTTCATCTTCATTTATATTGATAAAAATGTTAGCACCAGAATCAAGCTTAATTAAAACACAACAAAATTCAAGCTTCATGGTTACTTTTAGGATATTTATTCACATATCTTTGAAGCTTGTTGAGAAACTAAACTTGACTGTTAATATGATTTTAATGGTGGTCAAGATTAGTGACAAATTGAATTGTCCTTTTCAAAGATTATCAAGTCAACATCAACAATGGATAAAAGCTTTTGTAACTACAAAAGATATTCACATTAGGTAATGGACATTAACCAAAGGTCTAATAATGATGCATATCTAAATGTTGACCATTAAAGGTATATTACAATCTGTCGATGATAACCCAACAAAGTCAAGATGTCTTCATTGGAATTTGTCATTTTTTAAACTTACAGGTGAACAAAGCACAAGATTAACCTTGTCTGTAAGGTTGGTATTTGAAAGTACAATATTTCAGGTCCAATTTCATGGGAAGGGAATGATTATGATGATGATGAAGGTGAAGATTTTAGTTGTAATAATATCAAAAAAATGGTGTTGTTTGTTAGCCTTATGGGTTTGGTTGCGCCTTTATGAATTTCATCCCAAGATGATAACTTGAGTTTTCATCTTCATTTCATTTTTTTTATCATCTTCTGGGCGAGGCTACAGTCATTTTTGCTTCTCTGTTTTAAGTAGGAGGGTTTAGGTTAGCAGAAGATGAAGAGAATGGTGATGATGATTGAATGAGATGAGGAGAAAGGCAAGTTCAAGATGAAAAGTGGTTAAATGCATTGGGCATAGGCTCATATCGATAATATCAAATATATTTAATATTTTTTTGTCTTGTATTTAATTCATAATTGTAAGGTTAATAGCAAAGATAGGTTAATTGGAATCAAATTGTAACCAAGGTTAAGAGGTTTCGTTTCATGGGTAAGACTCAATGGGAACGGCTAATCTCTTTACTCTCCTTTGGCTTATTTCAACGTTTTGTTCATAATTTTGTTGGCGATTCAACTTTTTTTACGCTCTTTTTGTTTTATCATCATTAACATTATCATCTAAATGATATCAATGGTATTGATGAACAGGATGATGAGGAAAAGACCATGTTTAAGTGTTATTATCGCTAAAAATTAATGTTGAACCTTTTTTTCAGCTAAACTGTTGATGTTGGTTTTGTTTTGTTTTTTGTATTAACTTTGCCTTTTTTTCTGGTTCTTGTTGTAATTGTCTATGGACATTCGGGTGGGTCAGTTAATTGTACCTTTTAAAGTTGCTGATTGTTGACATGACATTTTTACAAATGAGTTGAAATGGTTGCTTTAAATTATAACAATAATTGCAAACATGTTAACTTGACTTCAATTTTTACAAGTGAATTCATGCTTTTTAAGCTGCACAAAATTATGATAATAAATGTTGTTTCCAGTGATGATGTTGATGATGGTTTGATGATGATTGTATTAAATTTTGAGGTTTTAATATTTGGTGCAATTAGTCATTAATGATGATTATGTAAATTGGTTTTAATCGTTATAGATTACGATTCACCTTTAAGTCAACTAATACCAGTAATTACTCTGTGCGTTGGCTGGTTGATTGTTTATTAATAGACGATAATTGTTGATTTTCAATTCTAATTGATTTTTGTCTCTCTCTTATCATTTAGGTTGGATCTATTGAAGCTTTTGATCTTGATCTTGCACCTCATACATTAACATATGCAATGGTATCAGATGGTTCATTTGGTGGACCTGAACCTGAAGAATACATTTTCAATTTAAATGAGAAAACTGGAAAATTTACTTTAATGCGACATCTTGATTATGAAAGTGATCCTAATCATTTTATAATTACTTGTGAAGCCTTTGATGGATTATATCGAAGTGAACAAATTAATGTTTATTTCAATTTAATCAATCTAAATGATAATTGGCCCATCTTTGATCCAGCAACATACAAAGTTGAACTACTTGAAAATGTAACCTTAGGTCATCAGGTTGTATGCCTTTCCGCCACCGATGCAGATGCTTATGATGCTATTAATGAAGTTTATACCTTCAATGGATCATCATCTTCATCATCCGCTGTCAACTATTATTTCAAAGACACCGAGACTCTGGGTTTAACTTCAACCAATGAAATCAGTAAATTTGTTTCTGGTCCATTCAAAATTGACGGAACCTCTGGTTGCATTGAATTGGTTGACCCTTTAGACCGTGAAATGGTCACTCATTATGATTTAGTTGTGATTGCTGATGATGGTTACCACCGTACAAGTGCATCTGTAGCCATTAAGGTGAAAGATGTCAATGACAATGATCCAGTATTTGACCGTCGAACTCCAACCATTTTAAGGATTCCTGAAAATCTTGGACCTGATTCACTCGTCTATGGATTCAAGGCTGATGACGCCGATGGAGTGCCCAACAATTATGTCCGTTATGACCTGGAAAATGGGAATCCCAGTGGAAATGGTGATTTCCCTTTTGCTATTGGTCCAATCAATGGACTTCTCAGACTAACTGGAAGACTTGACCGAGAAACAACCGACACTTATTCACTGATTGTTCGTGCTCGAGACTATGGAGGTAGATCCAGATCAATAACGGTGACTCTTCATGTTTCAGATGTAAATGACAATTCGCCCAGCTTTGAACAATCAGAGATTCAGGTTTCCATACCAGAAAATGCTTCTCTCCAATCAACTGTTGTCCGTCTTCGTGCTTATGATCAAGATTCACCAGATAAGATCAGTTATCGAATCGCATCTGGTGATGTATTTGGTCACTTTGGGATATTTGAAGACACAGTTATTGTTACCATGGCTTTGGATTATGAAACGATTCCGATCTATGATTTACAGATTCAAGCCATTGATGAAGCTGGAAACAGTGACACTGCTCGATTGGTTATCAACTTAGTGAATGTTCACGATCAACCACCAACCTTTGTGGCCTCACCTTATAGTGTTAATTGGTGTGAAAATGAAGTTGGACCCATTGGTTATTATCAAGCAATTGGTGAAACAATCGACAAATCATCTGGTCAACCAGAATTGAATTATCTACTTAAAAACAATCATGAAGGTTATTTTGAGTTAAATTCAACTTCAGCTCTTCTTTCAGCCATTAAACCAATTGATCGTGAATCTTTGGGAAAAACTAATTCAAGTGGGTTTATTGAGCTTCGGATCATCGCCATAGATAAACGCCTTCCTAGACTAACTGGTGAAGGAATTGTCTTGGTTAACATAATTGATGTAAATGACAATCGACCCAAATTTTCATCACCAAGCTATTCATTTGAATTGGTTGAAAATTCAATTCATATGGCTGGTAAACCTTTTGGATCAGTGAAAGCTAGTGACTTTGATTTGACTGATACATTGAGCTATCAAATAGTTGAAGATGATTCTGATCATTTGTTTAGTGTCGACTCCCATTCAGGTCAACTGTTTCTCCAAAGTGATACATCTTTTGACCGTGAACAAAGGTCAGCATATCATTTAACCATCGAAGTGAGTGATTCAAAGTGGACCGATACAACAAAAACAACCATTTCAATTGGAGATGTTAATGATTGTAAACCAGTCTTTCGATCTCTCAACGGTCATCCAATTGATTCTCAAATTGGTCGTGTCACCTTGAAAATGGCCTCACAAAGATTAGCTTTACTATCAAATGATCTTTTCCTATTTGGACTAGTTGTTACCGATTGTGATCTCATTGGAAGTGCAAATGCTCGTGTTCAATTCAATCTTGAAACACTCAACGGTCCCTCAACTGATGGATTATTTACAATTGATGAACGCACCGGTGTAATAAGATCAACACGTTCCCTTGAAGCCAATTCAAGCTATTCAATTAAAATCATTGCCGAAGACATGGCACTTCGAAATCGCCTTGACAATAATCTCATTGTAGACTTGATGGTCAACAATGATGGAGACTCACGTAAACCTAAAAGGTTGATTGAATTGGTTCATAAAATATCTGTCAGTGAAAATGTTAAACCTGGTAAAATTGTCCACTCATTTGGTCTACTTCCTGATATACCTTCAACATCATCCGATTCAGTTTCCCTAATTATAATTGGTGGCGATCCATCAGGCAATTTTCGCATTGACCGTAAATATCTAAGAATTGGGAAACCCTTGGATTATGAAGAAGCAACTTCATATGAATTGTACATTGAAGCTTCATTGGATGATTATTACGAGATTAGTGTGGTCAAAGTTGAGGTAATCAATGAGAATGACAATCCACCCAAATTTGACCATGAATTGTACAATGCAACAATTGTTGAAGAAATAGATGAACCAGTTTTGGTCACTTCTCTTGGAGCAACCGATCGTGATTTAGTTGATGAAGAAGACAATGAATCAGATGGGAAATTACGTTATTTCATTGAATCACCCAAAGATACTCCTTTCCGGATCGATGAAAAATATGGCACTCTTTGGACAACTCGGAAAATCGATCGAGAAACAACTGCTTCCTTTGAGTTAACCATGGGTGTGAGGGATGAAGACGGCCTCACTGGACGTACTCGAGTTTTAATTACGGTTCTGGATAAAAATGATAACCCACCAAGATTCACTCGGTTATTTAGTGTCAACATCACTGAAAATGCTCCCATTGGTTCAGTAGTTATCCAAGTGACTTCATCTGATCGTGATGAAGGTTCTTATGCTCAAGCCATTTACTCATTGTTGGGTCACTCAGAGGCATTTGACATTCGCCCCACAACTGGTGAAGTATTTGTTACTGGACCTTTGGATCGTGAAATTCAAGATGAATACTTGCTCATGGTTTCAGCCAATGATGGAAGCTGGAAAGCTCAAACAACGTTAACAATCAACATTATTGATGAGAATGATAATGCACCAGTTTTTGAGAAATCAATTTATGAATTTAACTACGTTATTTCAGAAGATGATTCAAAGTCAGTGTCACCATCAGTTGGTTTAGTTGGACAAGTTCATGCTCGTGATTTAGACAAAGGATTTAATTCATTGATTAGTTATTCCTTGAAGCACAATTCAGACTACTTTACCATTGATTCAACTACCGGAGTTATCCGAATCAAACAAGTCACTGTTGGCAATAAAATGACATCTAATGTTGGTAAAAACAAAAGACACAATCGAGATGCTAAATTGACTTACAATAGTCAATTGGCCTTTTTAAATCAATTTAATTTAACTGTTATTGCTTCTGATCGAGGTACAATCCCTCAGTCAAGTGAAACCAATGTATTAATTAGCCTTAAACCAACTAAATCATCTGAATCAACTGGATCAATGCGAACACCATCATTGGTCCATAAAATTTCACTTCCATATGATCTATTGAATGGCAGTTTACTTTACAGTTTAGGAGATGATTACATTTTAAAAGATTCCGGTAGCAATAAGATTGTATCGCTAACAACTTCTGGTAATGTTATTTTTATTGGCCAAGGAATGGTTAAAAAGCGAGAAGAATGGACTTATAAATTTGAATCACTTTCTAATCATGGTTTGGTCACCTTAATAATAACAATTTGTTCACCTAATCGTTCCTCACCACGTTTCACCTCAGGCCAAAGTCAACTGGTTGTTCCTGAAAATGAATCTACAAATGATGTACTTACCCAATTTAAAGCAATGGATGATGATGAAGATACAGCTAATTCCCAATTAACATACTCTTTTGAAATAATCGAGTGGACCTTTAATGAGAGAGCAGGAGATTATTATCGCCGAGTGATTAAACCTCAATTGGAACCAAGTGAATCACTATTAATTAGTTTATCATTGAAGACTCTCCTAAATCAAACCGTTTCCACTAAAAGTATCCTAAAACCGTTTACATTGGATTCTTCAACTGGAATTGTTTACCTTAATGCTCCATTAGATTATGAATTGATTACGTGTTACCGTCTCCGAGTAACAGCAACCGATTCAGCTTATTTTGCACCTCGAAATACATCAATTATGGTCAATATTCATGTTACAGATGTTAATGATAATCCACCAATGTTTGTAGGATTGAAAGATGGACGATTAGTCTTGGAGACTCTGGAAAACAATCCCATTGGATCTACAATTGGAATCATTACAGCAACCGATTACGATTCACTTCGCTATTCTCAATTAACCTATGAAATATTACCCGAACAAGATTCAGGTTATTTCACTCTTGGCTCTAAAAATGGCCATCTTTCATCTTTGGTCTCTTTTGATCATGAATCAAAACGATCTTATTCAATCAAAGTAATTGCTCGTAATGATCGTAAAGTATTTACGACAGTTCCTGTTGAGATAAGGATTGGCAATGTAAATGAATATTTACCCAAATTTAAATCATCCAGATTCACCTTTGACATAACAAAATCAATGACGGCTGGAAGTGTAATTGGAAGTTTGGCTGATAAAGCAACCGATGAAGATTACAATGAAACCATTTACTTTTACCTAATTAAACATGGACGATTTGGTATTGAATTGGATCGTAATGGAACCCTTAGGTTAACCGAAACAATTGATTTTAATGATGTACATTCAGATAAAGGATTGTCTTTTACTGTGATTGCCAAAAATGCTGGACCAATACGAGATCGAAGTGATTATGATGAGGCTAAAATTGTGATAAACATTATAGGAGCTAATAGACTTTCTCATTTCAATCAATCCAATTACATTTGTAATGGTGATAAAAGTATCTGTTCAGATGATTCAACTAGTCCTGATGCATTATCTGTTGGAACCATTTTGTTTGTCATTTTTTTCGCCATCATTTTATTAATTTTATTGGCAAGTTTTGTGATATTCCGTCAACAACGTAAAAGGCCAATGCCTTCTTGCATCGGAGGAACCATTGGACAACGTAAATTGGGTTTAAGACAAATACCAATCAACAAATCTCATCATACACTTAATGGAGCTCATTCACAGTCATCATCATTCCTTCATTCATCTCATCATAACCAGCCAACAGCACCACCAGCACCTCCACCACCTCCACCTCCATTAACCAAACAACGTCCTCCAGATGTCATTGAATCACCAGTCTCTGTGCCACCAGCTCCACCAATACCTCAACGAGCACCTCCAATGCCACCGCCATCTTTCATGACACCCTTTAGTGACATTAACGAAGACTATTCAGATGTTATGTTAACCGGTGGACAATATGATCTTGAAAATGCTTCTTCTATCGCACCTTCAGACATTGATTTAGCTTATCGTTATAAACCTTTCCGATCAGCAGTTTTAAATGGACGTGACTCTCGTAATGGTACATCAGGTCAACACCATCGACATGCACCACTTGCAAGGCTTTCACCGTCTGTAAGTGAACTCACAGCTCCAAGGATATTAACTTTGAATGATCTTACATCAACAAATGGTCCACCCTCAGTGATACCTTCATGTCCACCTCGTCCCCCTGGACCACCAAAATCAAAACTGGGACTTCCTCTTGTAACATCTAATCGTCATCCCTACAACCAAATGGTAGGACAAAATCAAAATCATCTTAGAATGGATGAAGAGGAAGATGACGCAGTCACAGATGATTCCTTTTCATCGTCTGAATTTGACGGAGGAAGCAGTAATTATGAAAGAGCTGAAAATAATAAAAATATAATGTTAAGAAGAGTTTTATGATTTACTCAAAGAGTTATTGAACTGAAAGGTTCAAAATTTTAACTCAATTCAGCCAAATCATATTTTATATATGTACATATTTATATATACAGATATTTGTATTTAAAAACAAACCAAGGATCAGCGTTAATAATAATTAAAGTATCAATTTTTGTGAATTTCATATCTTGTTGATTATTTTCAATTTATTTTCATTATTTACGATTCCATCAGTCCTAAAGCTTTCTTTGTCATTTATGAAATTTTTTGATAATTGTTAAAACAGCAACCAGGATAGGGAAAGTCATGAATTAACAATTAATTGGGGAATAGGGTGCAAAGCATTAACAGTAAAGACTTAATTGCCATGTGACGATTGAGGCTATTCCGAATCTTACGATTCAACCAAAAATAGGTGCAGCTTTTTAAATGAAACAGAGGATCTCATCCTTAACCTAATAGATACTTCAGTAAAATTGTATAAAGTAAGGAATTTAGAAATTTCATGATAAATCGAAAGACTTTTTAAGTTATTGTCATTCTGTGAAACGACAACCTCCAGTCCAGTCTTTACCAATGCTGTATCTTCAGAATCTTAGACTATTCAAATTGATAAAATCAGGTATTTATGATCTTAAAACTGTATTACAATGAAAGGTAAATGCTTTTCATTGTTGCTAATTGTTTAAGTAACAATCAGAATTGCAAAGACAAGATCAATAATTTTATCCTTTGCATCAATCTCGATTTAGTTGTTTTATGGCAGTTTTATCATTTTCAATGTTTTACCAATGGCTTTGTACAATTGCTCTTGTCTGAGAACCGGTAATCATGGACAGTGCCGGTTAATGATTAGATCGGTATTTAAATTTGAAAGTAACAAAAAGCCAAGGCTAAAAAAATTAACTCGTCAACATTGTTGGTTATATTGGCAAATCATTTTTGCAAGTTAACCACAAATGCTGTTGTTTCCTTACCTTGCTGTAGTCATGTTGTGACTGTTGGTTGGCGTAATAATGCTGCATGAATAATAAACCAGATTGGGTTAAATTTAACCCAGATGAAGATAAGATCAGGTATTTTTCAGGCCTTAAACCTTCTAAAAAAGACCTTCTGACGAAACAAACTAAAGTCGTTTTTTGTTTCTCTCGTCTTTCATTTCTGTCTTTCTCTTCTCTCTTTTTGTAAGTCCGTCCTTTTTACTCTTTTTTGCACTAATATCAACTTTGTTTATTTTTATAGTTTTTTGTTCAATCTTTTAGATGAAGTGAGAGTAACAAAGTATCTCCTTTCATTTGAAGTAATCATCAGCAAACAATGAATATAATTGAATGATAAAACAGTAAACAAAACCGGTCAATCAGTTCCGCTGTGATACAGATATACAAACCAGAAAGAGGTAAATATCAATCATAAAGGTTTGTTTAAGATTTTATCATTTGCTTTTCATGTTTTTCATCTTTAACCAGTTGCAAACTTAATCATCGAGTCAATATTTGGGTAAGATTTTGATCGACTCGATCATGACGAGTGTGAAAAATGTTTATGGATTGACAAGTTCACAGGACAACATGAATTTCAATGGATTGAACCGATTAAAAGTGAACACTTCAACCAAATCAATCGACATGATTACCTTTGGAGACGATGATGATGAGGAAAACAAAGATGATGATAACGATGTGAACAAAAATGATGTTAATGCTTATCAAAATGTGTTGTCACTTCATGTCCATCCAGATGATGACGATGTTATTGACTCTTTACCCGGTGACAATGGGAATGATAAGGACGATGCAAATGAAGAGTCTGATGATATTATTGGACCTTTGACTAAATCTAATTTTCCTGGTTTCTCTAGAAACAATTACTATCATTCACGCATTCATCATCCTTATCCTTTCACTGGATCTTCATGGGCTCTTTCAGAGCGCAACTGTTCTCTGTCTTCCAACGCTTTGAACAAAATTATGGTTAATCGTGGTGCCTCTTCCATGTCAACCCATTCAGAAAGTTCATCCTTTTCTCCCTTATCTCGAACCTCATCATCTTCATCACATCATGATCAGACTAATCATTCTCGTGAATCAGTGAAAAGCCTTTCATCCCAACGCTCAAAATCGGAGAAAGTGATTCTTCTTCCCAGACTTTCTATTCAAAAGGGTTCAATCAAGGGTAATCAAATCAATGATTCAACACATCATGGTTCCACCAACAGTCGATCCAAATTCTGGTGTGATAAAATTTCATCCAATGCCAACAGTAAAGTGTCAATTTCCAATGGTAAAGACAATAGTGTGCTTCGTCTTCATGTTTCTGGTCAAAGTAAACCTAAACCCAATGAACCCATTTCAATAATAACTCAAGAAGCTCGTTCATTATCAGCCAATAGATATGAAAGATTGGAACCAATCGAGCAATCATCTTCTTCTTCCCTCTCAAACCATTCAGCAAACTCTAATTTATTACAATTAAAGTCACCAGCCAATGGACCAGTCGATCAACGCACTTGGCGTCAATGTAAAAATTCAACAGAAGTCATTCTGGTTGCCAATTCAAGAGATTATTCATCTTCCATTAAAGCCAAAACCAAGTCAAAAAGGTGAGTTTATATGACAAATAACCAGACAAAACCCAATTCCAACCCAATCTAGATTGATTCAAGTTCAATCATGAAAAATTACAAAAATTTCCCAATCAGTCATCGACTAAATGAACTTTCAGCTTCTCCAACTTGAAGCTTCATTTTTTGCACATATTGATTGAAATGTTTAATTGCTTGGTTAATCCCAAAATTATTATCACTGGAGCTTAAAGGACACTTTTGGGCTAAAATCAGTGTTACCATCGTTTGGTTAATCCAAGGCAATATCTAGGTGACACATTTTTTATCCTTGTATTCAAACCATTAAATATGACAACCCAAACCCACTCTCTTAACCTTCCTCCCCTCCTCCCACCACTCAACATCACCTCTTATCCTCCAATGACTCGTTTCCTCTTGGATGCATTTTTGGATTCATTTTTAACTCTCATTTTTAACTTTTCCTTGAACAAGATCACTAACCCAAACCTAGTAGTGAGACAGTAAACAACTTGAACGATTCACTTGAAAATTTCAACTTAATTACTCTGTAAGAATCAGCCAAGCAAATTAATTGTTGACTGAAAACAAAGCAATCAACATCAATGTTATTCTGAAACAAATAACAACAGGAAATGTTTATTGAAATATCATTTCTAACCATTTCAATCCATCTCAATTAGTAAAGGGTTTAATATCCATCGATATCATTTGATACAAGTAAACTTAAAGGTAAAATAAAGGTAAAATAAAGGTTTAATCTCATCACAATTAATGCACCGTTAATCTTATTATATATTATCATTTCCTGATTTCAATTAACAAACACGAACATTGTTTTAAACAGTATTCAGTGTTTTCAATGAACAAACAAAAGTTGATTAAGGAATTGATTTAATTAAGAAACCGTTTTAGCAACTTGAAAGTGATTCCAAGATGATTTAAAGATGATTTTCCTGTGATTTATCATCTTTTTGTCTTCTTTTCATTCATCATGCAATTCAAATGATTAATAAACTTCTTCCGGATCTTCTTAATAATCATAATTACAATCGAGTAGCAAATGATAGTTGCTCATGCAAATTCAACTCTTCAATTGTGAACACTTTCCAACAATTAACTTTCTCACTTAATCTAATGGGTTTGATGAGTCTTAAAATAAAACTGTTTAGTGTTTTAATCAACTTTCATTATCATGTTTTCATGATTTCAATTTAACCAAACATCTTCAGTCAAATCAAGCCAAACATTGTTTTATAAATTGTAAATCAATATTTAACATTTGAATTAAGCTTTCAATTCAATCCGCAATTAAGTTAATTTCATTAAGATATTTATAAGTGAAAGGAAAGCAATGAAAAGTAAAACAAAATGAAACCTTGATTGAGATCGAAATCAAATTGTTTTAAAATTAAATTAAACCAACTATCAGTGACAATTGTTCATCAGCCTTGATTGACTTGCCTATCATGGTCAATCAATCAATCAACAATCAACTGTAACAATTGATTGACAATTTAAGATTGAAAGACATTTCCTAATGAAACATCCTTTGTACTTGAATTGAAACTAATAGTTGACTTACTAAATTGTTTCATTAATATAAAGATTAATGCAAATCAGATCAAATTGTTATTACTTTCAACGGAATCAGTTAATTGTTGACTATAAAAAGTGAATCAATGAAATGGTAAAAAATTTCAACGTTTATTATGATTATTGGTTTAGTAATAAAAAGATTTGAAAAAAGTGATTTTAATGAAGACGTTTCAAGATTATGATGAGGAAGACAGAAGTTGAAAAAAGATGAAAAATAGAGCAAACTTTTTTCATTTTGATGGATGTTAATGTTATTTAGAGTTAAGCAAAAATTGTTATTGTCTGTTGATATCATGTTGATGTTAACCTGATTATGATTACAGTCATATTAACAATCACAATAACTCGCGAAAATGATGTTCAATTAAAAACTGTCTTCCACTGATCTTGACTACTTTTTGCTTTGGTTTGTTCAACTCTGATTTAGGTTAACATTAACAGTTTATTAAAATATCAAAAATGTATTGGAAAGGTTAAGTTGGTTATGAAGGTAATTTATAAATTGTTGACACATGAGATTAATTTGAGAATCTATTGGAGTCAAGTTAATGGGATTTCAATCGCCATCATGTTACAATATTTACTGCTGTTCAAGATGAAAGGGTAAAGATTTAAATTATGATATCAGTCATGTTTTCAGCAATTTATGAACCTTATTGGCTGATTTGGAAATTTTTAAATTATTTTCGTTTTTTTCAAGAGATAATTTGTTTCAAATGTTGATATTTTTTTGTAGGAAATATGATCAACCTTCCAGGTTAACTCCGGAACAACAGTTGGCTCGATATCATCGTCAGTTTACTTGTGAAGCTGTCTCATTGATTGTCTTGATCATTGCTGTTACCTTCTTAATTGCTACTCCATTCATTCTGGTACCAATGGTGGCTTTACCAGGAATTAATCATGATTTAATTAGGGTCCTTTTATGCTTATCTTTGATTCTCTCTGTTATATTTACCATCATTGGAGCCTTTATTGGTAATGTTTACTGGTATTTTGATGAGGAAAGCTCAACCTTTAGATGGAGACTTCATTTTGGTTCTGGGCCTAAACATTACTGGGGAACAACGTTATTTAATTTTACCAACAATCAATCCAACCAAGGAGCTAATGTTCACAATCAACCACCAAAGCAATCACATTACAATTCAGCCATAAACAATGTTTAACACAGTCGTACGCCAATATCATTTTGACAGCAATACAGTCAATTTAATCGTGATCTACTAGTTTAAACACAATCAATTTGAATTACATCTTTCAATCTGGGTTTGATCTGAAACACAAGATAGGGTAAAAGCAATAAACCAATTCTGGTTTAACCAGTGGGTTCACAATGAGGAGTCTCTACCTCTTTGATGTGTTTTCATTTATTTTTAATCCAGTTTAACATTCGCATAATTGACATGTCATGAAGTCAACTGCTGGCAAGTTATATTAAAATAATAATTTCTTGACCAATCTAGATATCAAAATAGCCCCAGCAGACTCATCATATGATTGGCATTCATCTTGCTCCATATAACCTATTAAACCGTTGAATAGACGTTGACCAACCTACAGCCGGTGAGGTTTGGGTTAAAATAATTGCTTCTGATGCCATTCTGGTTAGAAGCCAGAGAGACAATTTTCAGGTATCATTGAACATTGAGCAGATAATTTTGATTCACTTTGATTAGATTTTTGATTTTCTTGAGTTTAACACTTTATCTGACAAACAATTATCGGCAACACAGGGGTTCAATAAGTTAAATTGATGGGCAATCCTTTAACATGAAAACTCTTATTTTGTATGTTGTCTGTTAAGGTTTCCAGCAATTCAAGAAATCATTTCAAATGTTGACCATTTTATTGTAAATATATGTATTTTCATTGATTAAAATCATAAATATTAACCATTTTAAACTTGTTTTCTTATTTTAATATCATCTTATCATCTTGGTTAGTTGAGAATCTATTGAATTAAAAATGTTATTGATTCAATGTTACCAAAAATGGTTAATTGTTGACTAAATGAAGGCGTAAATCAATGAGACAAACATATCAGGTCAACGGAATCATAAAAACAAAACAGATGAAAAAATATATAAAAAAGCTGAAAGTGCATTTGATAACATTTCAATATTATTTCAGTTTATTTACCATTTAATTTACCCAATTGGTTAATCATTAGAAGCTTTTTTTATTGGGAAAACGCAAAAATTTAATGATCTCTTAATCCCAATTTAATTAAAAGAAATAGCAAAGTCAAGATAAATCATAAAGATTGACAATCTCATCTTGTCATCACTTCACCATGTGAGTATTGGTTTTGTAATTTGAGTTAATTTCGCCTGTCTTTTCTTTCTGTGGGAATTATCTGAATCAATAGAGACTAAATGACACTTAAACTGTAGTTAATTAAAAGTCAAAGTCAAAACTGAGTAATAAACTGCAAATCCTTGATCATAAGATATCAGATAAACAAAATTATCATTTTCTAACATTTAACTTCAACCTTACCTGAAAATGTACACAACAAAGCTAAAATACCTATATTTGAAAGGTTAATTTTAGCATCAATAGGAAAACATTGATAATGCAACAAATTGTTTCACATTCAATTAATCCCTAACAAAAGATCGACCTTCAAAATTGACCTTTAAAGGCTTAACCTTTAACTTGAATCAAATTTCATTCAATAAGCAACCAGAAAAGTAAAGTGAAAATAGAAGACAAATATTTCTTTAACCAGATCCAGGATAACTTCATTTCTCATGTTTCCCATTTTCAATAGTAGCTATTTTGAGCACATAATTTAAAAAAATAGATCATCACAACCAGAATAAATCTGATACAATAAATATTCCACCATAGAACCACCATTGGAATTTTCAATAAAAAAAGATGACAAAAAGCACAAGGTTAAAAATATAAAATTCCCGGTCACATTAGAGCTTGAAATTGCTGTTTCACTTGAAGGTTATTAATGTTACAAAGGTGAGTAAGCTCAAGTTCAAGGCAATACTTTTAATAGCATAATTCAACAGGTAATAATAATCGATAAGGTTTCCTAAAAAATTATAATTCCAACACTTTTATGGTAATGTTCATCATGAGGTTATCAATCCTTTAACCAGATTCACTCAAAGCTTTTAAGGCGCCTTAAAATTTGGATTTTTCAGTTACTTTTTTTAAGTGCCGCCATCTGATGTTCAGCATAAAATCTAATAAATCGACTTTTTCGATTTCTTTCTTTTTTTATCCAATGTTGGAGTTTTTTTTGTTAGATTTTTTGCTCTTCAGATATCTTTTCAATTTTTATTTTATATTTGTTAAGTGTTTAGTTGTAGCGAAAGTAAGCATTAGTTTCTGACCAAATTGCAATCAAATTGTTTCCTTGAAAAATGTGATTAATACTCCAATGGATATCTAATTGCTGTCAGCATAATGCTTGTCTTCCCTTTTTTGGGTAATCACCTCAGTTGCTTATTTTTACTGTGTTTATATTTACTTGTGGTTATTTTTTTGTTGCTTATACCCATTTAGATTTTATTGGTTCTCATTTAGGAGCTAACCTGGTTCTATTATTTTGTAGTTTTGCTTATTCTCATTCCATGTATCATTTTGAAACATTTCCTGTATTCTCAATGAGTTGATTCTGGTCATTCAATTGGAACACATTTTTTTAGTATTATCAAAACAAAAATCTCATCAATGTGTAGATAAGATTTAATTTAATGGAGGATCGAGCAAGTTTGGTTGATAGATCGAAAAGGTCTTCTCTTGCTTCAAGCCGTGCTCAAGATCCTGATTTAATTTCATTACAATTAAACAATCATTCAAAAGGTAAGTGAAAATGAAAATACTATTTGCATGCATTTACTAAACTCCTTATATTACATTTTATAATATATTTTCCTAGAGTATCTGACTAATTACCAATATTTATCTGTGTTTAGGAAACCGTAAAGAGCAGCTTCTCCATGATGCTGCCATTAGAAATGATTTGGATCTGGCCACCAGATTAGTTTCTGTTAAGATTGATATTGACAGTAAAACTCAAGTAGGTTGAAGTTTCCAATTTATTTTCAACAAATTGTTTTAATGGCCATTCTCGTACCTAATTACAGTTGGATCGGACTCCATGTCATTGGGCAGCAATGCACGGACATCTTGAAATTTTGAATCTCCTAATACAAGCAAAATGTGATATTGAAGCTGTCGATAAGGTGAATAATTTATCCAAGATTGTCTTTCATTCCCTGCGAGTTTTATTTTTCAAGTTCTAACGTAAATTTTTCCCTTCGACTGTTACTTTATTACCCTTTATCCCAGTTTGGAATGAGTCCAATGTTAGTTTCTGCTTGGTATGGTCAACTCGGGTCAATGAAATTACTAGCAGAAAATGGAGCTTCACTTAGTTTAGCCAACAAGGTAATTCAAAGGAAATATGCTTCCACCGATCTCTACCTCCATCCATATTAACCAATTTTCTCATGGTTTTTCCTAATCAATAGAAAGGACAAACAGTTCTTCATTGTTCCGTTTACAATGACCAGTTAGATGTTGTTGAATATTTACTTGGTTTTATCGATAAATTTGATATCAATGCAGTGGATAAGGTAAGTTATAAAATGTTTCAAAAACTCTTGCAAAGCTATTCTGTAATCATGTAAATTTTGTGGAAAAATTGTTATTCATTTTCCTCAAACTGTTAGGGATTTTTATAAATGATGTGAGTCGAAAGAAATAACAATTGAAAATAATTAATAGTTAATTAAATGGGAAAAGTAATGCAACGATATGAAAAGATTTATTCATAAGTGTGGTTATTATCATTCTCATTATTTTATTATGATTGACCTTCTAGTACAGAATGAAATCATGAATGAAAGAGTAAAATGAAATTCCCATTAATCTAATACATATTTCGACATGCGTGTGATGACAATCATCATCTGAGAGTTGGCATCCACATCATGATAATAATAACAGTGAAATATTCAGAGTAACTCGGTGAAAAAAGCGAGAGTTGATATCGATTTAAAGATAATCTTTTCTCTCACCAAACATTCAATGATAATAAAAAGAGGAAGTTAAGGGTTAATTATCCACATCTAATCACAGCAATAAGAGCCATCCAGAAATGTTGAATATAATGTGAAAGCAAGTTATCATTAAATGGAAAGACAGAATCTGAATAAATATTAGCAATGAATTTTTTCGTGTTTTCTGTGAAAATTTTCCAGTAAAATTTCCATCCATTTATTGATTAATCAGTTCCACTGACGTTGTTTACTGAATCGACTGAACAATCATAATTATTGCCAAAAAATAACATTTCAAAATCATTCTAAAAATAATTATCAAATAACTTATTTATAAATTGAATGAAAATGTCAGATGCTTGTCTTTGAAACTGAAATGTTTTCACCAAAAGCATTTCTCTTGTCATTTGATAACTTATATTTACCTTTTCCATATTATTTACTATTTTGGAATCAACTCACGTTCAAATAAATACATATAAATATGAAATTATTTATATAAAATTAATATATTTTGATGAACGTTTATGTAATAGACTTTGAGAAACATGAGGCAGTTTTGATTAAAAATTGATTAAAATGAGTTTGTTGAAATTGGCTGAAAACAAAAACTGAATATTCATTTAAAGTTGATCATTAATCTGTTTATCTTTTCAGAATGGTCAAACAGCTTTACATTATGCTGTCCTCAATGATAATCTTGAAATTGGCGATTTATTAATTGAATCAGGAATCGATATAAATATCAAAGACAAGGTGAGTTCAATTGATCATTTAATCTGTTAAACTTTGGCTATTAATTATTCATCATTCATTCAGGATAATCGGAGTTGCCTGCATTGGGCAGCAACCAGAGGTCATCATAAAATAATTGATCGTCTTCTCAATGAAATGAAATTATGTGATGATAGAGCTGAAGATGGCCAAACAAACCTTCATTTAGCTGTTTTAAGTGGACACAAAGAATCGATTGAAATATTACTCAAACATAACTTTGATACGTTTGCAATCGACTCGGTAAGTTCAGTTGGCTCATTATTAGGTTGAACACTGAAGTGCCAACGATAATTATCCAACTCTTGATTCAAGAAAATGAATGTTATTCTGATGAACATTTAATGATAACTTGTTAATGTTTGATTTGATTTATTGTTTTGAACAGAAAGGACGAACTGCATTACATGTGGCCAGTGGTTTGGGCAATTGTGAAGCAATTAAATTGCTACTTGATTATGGAGCTTCTCTGAATAGTCGAGATCGTAAAGGTAACACTTCACTTCACCTCGCAGTTGCTGGTAATCATTCGGATGCTGTAGCACTGTTGGTCTCTAAAGGAGCTTTCATCAATGCCATCAACAATGTAAGCATCATTTCATGTCCATCCTTTTTTGTTTACTATTTTAATGGTGTTTTAATGATGATTTACATGTAAAAAAAGGAAGCACACAATCAAAAAATAATAATAGTAATAAGGCAAGAAAAGACACACAAACAGAAACAATTAGTTAACAGCAATTTGTGAAAGATAATAATGTATTAATAAGAAAAGGCTAAACATCTCGTTAACATATCACGTATTATTATTTACCCATGACAGGCTGATTATCAAAGAGGACAAATTTAAGCAATTAATATAAATAATTTAAGATTATTTTGAAAATACATATTTACTTAACCATTAGACTTGCCCCTTTACCTTTACCTTTACCCAATTTGATTCACTCCAAAAAGTGACTTTAATTATACAATTGGATGTAAAACTGTTGGGGGAGTTTGTAAGGGTGTTAAGGGTGAACTGTGGGTGGGTTAGGTTAACCTAAACACACACCGGAGATGGGAACCGGATGAGTATCACTCTTGGGTTATAATTAAATTGCTGTTAACATTGTTTACCCGTAGAAGCTTTGTTTTTTGTAATGTTGGTCCCAAGACAAATAGTAACTTTCATTATCAACTGAAAATGTCTCTGCTTTTTTTCATGGAAAAAAAGGAAAATTCTGTTGAATCATTTTCTCTACTCACATCTCTATACAGTCCAGTGAATCGTTAGAGGTTAGATTGCGTGATGATAAATAAGGAGATGAAGAAAAGTCTTTGATGCTAAAAAAGTAGTTATTAAGACAAGATTATGAGTTGATCCTTTAATAACATGACCATGGTAAGGATGAGTGAGGTTAAATATCGCGTTGTCAACTTAATTGTGACGATTAATTTGCTTGATGGATTCAACTCAAGAAATGTGAGCCCAAAATGTTGAGCTTCTGTTAATGAGTCCTTAATTTTGTCACGAAAGGTAACACTAAATTGATTCGGTTTACTCAATTAAATCATTTAACTTAGTTTATCCATTCTGTTAACTCTACATTAAATTGATCATTTTACTTACAATTGTATCAAATTTAAAATTGAATCATTTGTTGATTATACAATTCACAAAGACCATCAATCAGACAAATGAACAATTTGTAAACAATTTCTTTGTAAACTCATTTGAATCAATGATAATTATCATAATTGATCATTTAAAGCTGATTAAATCTTGCTCACAATCATTTCAATCAACACTGAATTGAAAAATTAACAAAAAGTTGAATAAGATTTTAACTCAATTTGTCAACACAAGTTTAACTTTTACTTCTATGAACTTAATGAATCTTGAGGACAATTAAGATTATTTGATTAAAATTAGCATGAAAAGATGATGTGAATTAAAATACTAGATTAAAAACCCAACCCACAAGTCTTTCATGTTAATGAGCAGTTAATGGTTGATTGTAAAACATGGACCAGCATTTATTATTGACTGGTTTCAAAATGATTTTAAAATGATTTAAATAATAATCAGGCAACTAATCATTAACTTATAGTAAAATAGATTGATGAAGATTTACTTTCAGGTGAACTGAGACTTCACCCATTGACTGTTGTAGCTATTTTAATTGATGCCTTTTATTTGGTACAAAAATTTTATAATTATCATGAAAGAAAATTAATTGTAAATTTAACACCTTAAACCTTGCCCGTAGACAGTGTTAATAATGATCAAGACTAAGCTTAACTTGATAATGATGCTCAGATGAATTAAGAAAACTTTCAAGATTAACTTTTACCTTCATATTTAACTAATGATTCTGATTTGTTCAGCTTATTATCTATTTTGAATTAGGAAAATCATTCTTACTTTCTAATTGTTTATGGATTTGCTTTATCCAACATCTAAACTTTAATATCGCGTTTCGTTATAACTTGATTATAATTAACTTAATCTTGTTATTTATGATCGATCAGGAATGTTTGTGGGCTGAAGCACAATTTATATGTATTTTCATCAACATTAATCTTTCCATTTTTGCCAAATCTATTGCCATTTTATTTAATCATAAATTCTGGTGATAACTTTTTTCAGTAAATTGTGGAAACTCATATATCAATCATTAGCATTCTGGTAAAGCAACCAATGGGTAAAATTGATTAACTTGAATATTGTTGCCAACATTCAATTGCTATTACAATCCAATCAGATTGTGAATTGAATGCATTGCAACTGATTCAATGATTTTTCAATCATTTGATTACATTGAGAGTAAATTGTGATAACTGAAAAAATTGAATTACTTTTCAATTTGAATAGCAAAACAATAAGAATCGTGATTAATGATTGTTCATTAGTGGCTATAATTTTGTAAGTGAATTTTGATTTGCAGTTAATTACCAATTGATTAGTTTGAAATTTGAACAAATTTGTAACTCAATTGTTAGCAATTGAGTTTGCTATTTATTTATAAACCAATTTTAACATAAAAATGTCATTTTGATTGTTCCATCAAGTTAAATAATGTTTTATAACATTGATAAATTGCAAATAAATTGTAATCACTTTTGCTTTGCTTTTTTAAACTATTAATAAAATGGTCTGATTATTGGTAAATTGAAATGGTTAAATGAAAACCATTAAATGTTGATCTGTAACCACAATTTGTTTCATTTAGATGTAATCATATTTTAAACTCAACATTTCGTTGTATTACATTCAACCATTAATCTACCTTTTGATGTGTTTATGGTTTTAACTTGATAATAATTTGAGTGCCAAACCCGCAATCAGAATAATTATGTACATTGTGTTTCAATGGTTCCTATTATTTAATATACTTTGGCCCTTTCACAAACCAATGCAAATCAAATTAGGTAATAATTAATTCCTTTAATGGCTTTTCCAGATTCTCTCTCTAAAGTTACATGTGAACCCAAATAAACAATTTAAACACAAAATCATTAATTGCAAAGCCACAATGGGTCGGGTCCACAATCAATTCATATTTTAAATGAAATAATATGATTATGAGAGTTAAGAAAAATGAGAGATGATCATAAAGACCATTATTATTTTTGCATATTAATAGCTTTTCTTTGTAATCAAATATCTTACCTTAACCATTCATAGCCTTACCCGTTTGTACAATAATTTTGCTTATACTTTATGCAACATTTTGATTTAATCAAAAATCTTGCTTCAAACAAAAAAACATCAACCAAGGAGCGTTACATTTGATTGTAAATTTTGCTATTCAAGTGAAACTGAATCAAGTCCATTGGCTTTTTTGTGGATTAAAGTTTACAAAATTAACTCGCCCATAAGACATTCAAATTGTTTCTAATTGCTAAGATTGAGAAAAAAGTAGAAGTGAAAAATCATTATGAGGTTATTAACATTGATTGTTTCGCGATAATGTGTATATTGAGTATATAATTAACGAAAGTTGCAGTTTAAGTTATGAATTATGTTTAATAGATCGATAAAGACTGTTAATTACAATAAATAAAAAAATTTGTGAAACAATTTCATATTTAATGGATTTATCATGCAAAAAATTCATACAGTTTTAAACCAATGAATCTGCAGTTTGAAACAATGTAATTAATCAGTCCAATTGAAACAGTTCAGATTGTGGTCTTGACCGTCAACAGTCAACTTAATTTAACACCATTTATAAGCAATAATATTGTACTTTTTTGTTACCAGTAAACCCAAGTGTTATTACACCAGATTAAGTTTGCATCTACAATTGAATTAGTGATTTGTAAGACAGATGTTATTAAATAATTTTTCACATTCTTAAGGTGTGCCGATACTAAATTATCACCACACCTCTTGAACTAATCCATTTCCGCTTTGGAACTGTTCAACCTTGACTTTGGCCATTTTGTTTTTTTTTGTTTCATGGGATTGTCTTGTTGAAAATCAATGAATGATCTGATGATGATAATCCATTTGATTATAAACTAACGTTGAAACTGTTTTTTTGTTCAACTTGTTACAGAGACACCAAACTGGGCTACATTTAGCAGCAGAAATGGGATTCACTGAGATAGCTGAAATTTTGATTGAAAATGGTGCTGATTTCACTCTTGTTGAAAAGGTATGAAATTTGTAATAAACTTATGGTAATCAAATGATCCATCAAATTTTGTAATTGATCATGAAAAGCAAATTAAATTACAAATTGATGATCAATCTTACACAAAAGCAAAAAGTGATTTAGATAAACATTTTATTACATTAATACCTGACTTACGAAAGTCAAGTTACCTGCAGTTTCGTTTCTTATTGATATTTAACAATTATATTGTTGCTTCCATTTGTTGAACCTGTTCCCTTGCCTGGTATTGAAACAGTCGGGACGCACTGCTCTTTATATTGCTGCTCGTGGTTCCTTTATTGCAATCGTTGATATGCTGATTAAAGCTGAAAGACTTCGGGGTTCTCGATATGGCTCATCAATTGGTGGAAGCTCATCTCGTAAATCATCAATTGAACGTAATACCTCCATTGAATCAAACGAAACTCAATCAACCTATGCACGCGATGCACCCAACAGTGAATTATCTGAATCTTATTTGAAACAAATTAAAGACATTTTATGGTCACTCTCACGTAACCATCTTGAAATTCAAGATTGGAAAAGATTAGCCAGAATTTGGGATTTTACAGATGAACATATTAAAGCAATTGAACATCAATATACTGGAAAGACAAGCTATAAAGAACATTGTTATAGAATGATGTTAATCTGGTTACATGGACTTCCACCAACGAAGAATCCGGTTAAAGAGCTTATTGATGGTTTAATTGCCATTGGTAAAAAAGATGTTGCAGGTTTGTACAATATTTAGATTCAAAATGCGATTCAAATTATTCTGGTCAACAATTAACTAACAATTTATTTTATTTGTTACAGAAAAATTGAAAAAAAAGATTGAAGAAGGTCGAGTTTTATCACAAAGACGACGAAAGTGTCACTGCCTTCCATCGGATGCTAACGGTTACTGTGGATATTGTATTTTAATGTGACGTTTAATCATTTCTAATATTTTCTCATTTTAACTTTGATTCGTTTTCGTCAACTGATTGTGGTGGATTGAACAAAACCATTGAAGGAAACAATTTATTCCAACTTTTTGTGATTTCTTTACAATCGACTCATTTTCATCATTCATTATACTCGATTCACATTGATGGCATTAATTAATCAGCAATTACCACAATGAGGATGATATAATTGCCAACCATTCACTTTTAACTTCAAAACGTGTTTACAGTTTGAATATCTACAGAAATTAAATCAAATTATGTCAATTCTAATGATAAACTAAACTATTTTTACAATATTGAAGCGACAAAATTGAAACTGTATTTGTTGAAAAAATGTAAAATAGATTATATACCAAAAAATGAGATGAAACATTTACTTTTGTAAATAATTAAATCTATTGCTATTGTTGATACCGAGTGGTGTTTTGATTGCAAACATCTTAAATTAAATAAAATGTTTTCCATTGAGATTTTTTCCCGTTGAATTGGATTTAATCAAAATTGAAACAAGAATAAAATACAAACGTAATTCAACAAATAAAAATGTCTCGTTCATTTCAAGTGCACAGATATTACATTGAAATAATACATTGAATATCAGCTTATTCAAGTTGTTAAACAATCAAAATTAATCTTTAGGCTCTGGTTTAAGTTCAGTTGTTTCATCTTCAATCTTAAGTGTTTCACTCGAGGAACCAACACAAGAACCAGAAGTTTCATTAGGAATCCATAAACCATGAACAGTTGGACAAAGTGGAACATTGTTCATCTCAATTCTGGCAATCTCAGTAAAAGCAGAGGCATCAAGAACAACAAGGAAATTTTTCTTTCCAGCTTCCAACTCTGAAACAGTTGAAACTATCAAACCTTAAAGTAAAATTAAAAAGAGTTAATTTTTTATTAATCAACAATTGGTTTTATTACCTTCATCTTCAACGGTTGAACCAGGTTTGGGTATGAAAACAGCTTCTCCAGCAAATTGGGTTGTTGTACCGACCCATGTTTTTTGAAGTTTGGTCTTGACACTGAATTTAACCAACTGGATAACCATTAATGGACGTTGATGGACATTCAATGGATAAATTAAAAGATTGATAAAAATCGATTGAGAATATTAATATAGACTTTTCATGAACTAAATGATTTATAACTGTCCATTGATATTAATGTCACGCGATTCCCAAACAAACAGAAACATGAAAATAATAAATGAATTCTTACCGAATTTTGAAATGTATTTTTTTCAAACAATCCACTTCCATAGATAAATTCATAGTCCCTGGCATCAAATTTTTTGTTAATTGATGGTATTTCAAAGCCTGGAGAGGTTAATAAAAAGGAGAAACAATCAATCAACCTTATTAATTAACAATCAATTGGTATTGTATGGAGAAATGGGTAGCAAAGGACATTTATCTGGTAACCTGGGTTAAGTAGATAATCTGGTGTCACATTGATTCCTCGTTCATCAATCTTTTCTGATTTTGATGTTGTATAGCTAAGGGTTGTAAGGTTATCTCCAGGCTGCTGTTTACTTTTCATGACTTCCTCAGTGACCAAAGGTAAAACATAACGACGAATAGATGGTTGACCTTCCGTTTCCTCACGTTCAGGTTGTCGCAATTTATTAAGGTAAAATGAATCTAAAACCTTATCGTCATCATAGGCAACCAAATCAATGACAATATGATTGCCATCTTCGAATGCGTTGATAGTATGGAGGAAGAAAAATGGTGGAGCGTAAAAAATATAAGGTAAAATATGGCCACTTTCCTTGTTAATAACATGGAAGCGAGTCTGTAAATAAAAACGAGACAATTAAATTAGATTAAAAGCATTGTTATGTTTAGCTAAAGATATAATCAGATGAGTGAAGTGATCACTGAAAGGAAAAGTACAAGAAATTAAATAACCATGAGTTCAATGGTTTGGTAAGGAAATGATAATTATGTAATTAACACTTAAATGAAATATGAGACTAAAACCATTGACAAAAGATCTACCAACCTAATTAAGAGGCATTTTTAGCAAAAATCTTGGGCACAATGTTGAAAATATAACAAGAAAAGGTTGAAGTGCTATTACAGATAAGCAATGTGTTGACATTTTTCATTATTCATGATGAAAAATCGTATAAATTAGAAATCTGGCGAGATTAATAGATAAGGCAATAGTCTGACTCGGTAACAATAGGGTTAAGATAAAGACAAAGGCTTAAAAACAGTGGTTTAGGATATGAACGATGATTCAGAGTATAAAACAAATATCAACAGATGACTAACCTTCTCACGCTCACCGCACCAGACAAAAGAATCTCTAAGAGGTTGCTGTTTTACAACAGCAGCAATCAATTTAACCATATTGATGAGTAATGGTTGTTCAATTAAAATTATGTACTTGTTGGTTACTGAGAAACTGTGAGAATAGGAAAACATTGTTTTCCAAGTTGATGAAAAAGAAGAAAGGACCTCAGTAAGCGGGAAATTGTATTTATGCTCTTTGTGTTTGTTCTGGTTATGTTTCAACTCTCTGTTTGGATCAATTTTAATGATGTGATATTTTAATCCAGTCATAAAAGAAGAACCCATGTTAATTATGGTGCCATCAGGTTCAGTGTGAGGGTGAGATGAAGCAAGCTGAACTGGAGATACTTTGGAAAGATCAACTTTATATTCAGCTTCAAGAGTTTCTGGGTTAATACGCCATATGTTACATGTCTCTGAGGCGCAATATAAATCACTTCCAATGGTGTAGATATTTCCATGGACATTGTCAGTCAACTCTGAAGGTACAACTCGGTTGATGAAACGGGAAAACAGTGATTTGGTCGTATCAGGGTAGGCAGGAGTTCCAAATTCAGTGTAAACTGGTCGATGAAGGGTGATCATCTTTTGGTAAGCATCTGTTTTGAGGAAGGCTGATTTACATGTTACCCGGTTCGGTGTCAATTTGTATTTAAAAAGGATTGCTGCTCCATCAAACCAGTGATTGACAGTGAAATTTTCATCCAGATCAAACAATCCTGGTCCAATCCGGTAGAGGTTACCATCAACCCATGAAGGTAGCTCGCCAATTATCGTTAACTCTGTTTCTGTTTCACAGGCTGGTGTGTTGAAAAACAATTTATTCATTGGCTATTGAGGATATTGATTGATCTAAACTGGATTCAAGGAAAAAATAAAATCACAACTCAAAAGCAAGGTAATAAATGATAAGAAATTAAATAAAGATTGACACTGATGGAAATTCCGGTAGGCGTTGTTATCACAGTTATTATTATTAGCAGCTCATAGTTATCTATGATTATGGGTTTATTTATTAGATAATTTCACAGAGAGCTTTGCAATCAAAGAAGATCCAGGGAACATAATTGTCAGGCTTTTGGTTTAAAAAGCAGTTATTCGAGCAGCCTAACTAATTGTATAACCAATTGAATCATCTGTCTTTTTGTCTCTATTTTTCCTTTTATTCAGCAGAAATCATGTTTTATAATTTGGTTTCTTCAAGGCAAGAACGAGTTCCTGTTCGAATCAATGGAACAACGAGAAGAGCAAACCAGGTAGCCAAGGCCATAGAAAAGGTGGATTTTGACAGTTGGAAACGAGCAAAAGTCCCAGTCCAATTAATAAATTGTATAACACAATGTAACATTCTTGTTGGTAAAGGTTTAGCTCTTTTATTCAGCTAGATTCATGCAATGATTGAAAGATTCAAGATGTTTGGGTTCACAATTCAAAAATAAATTTGAATTTACTCGTTCTCTCTTGACGTCAGCTTAAAATTCAATTGAAATTTTAGTTGAATTTTCATGATGGGCAGAAGGTTTAACTTCATTTGAAAGATTCTATCAGCAGTTGGATTGCGATATTAAGTACGCTTAAAGTAAAAGATACAAGTAATTGAGATGGCCTGGTGAATAAACACGCAAATCGTTGAAAAGAGATGGATTAAATTATTGATCGGTCAAGTTAATTCTGTCTCATTGATAAGAATCGTTGGTTTATACAAGATTTGTTTCATTTGAATGCGCATTGTGCTTATTCATGAACAGAATTTAATGCGAAAAATTGACAATTTAAAATACAAGTAACTTCGTAGTTTCAGAGTAAAAGTCTCCATTCATAAAAGCAAATCTCATTTTGTTCTGAATTAACCATCAAAACTAATCTGAGCTTTCAAAAATCAATAAGAATAACAAAGTTTAGATTTTAAATTACACGCCATTTTCAGATCATTTGTTTGTTAATTTAAAATTCAGGTTGAAAGACAAAAATAAAGATAAATTGACGCTATAAATTAGCCATGTTATACAATCAAAAGATTGAGATTAAGAAAAGATGGAAACAAAAATTTGAATAATTTAAAATGATTAAAATTAACCAAGTTAACATCACAATTCTATCCGATCCTAATTTATAAATAACCTAAAAGAATAAGTATTAACTCTTTAAAGTGTCATCTGGAAACAAGGAACAGATTTCAGTCAATTAGTGCTAATTAAAAAATGTAAATCATTTAAAAGTTTCTTTGATTCGTCTCACAGCTAATTCGTTCGCTTTCCTTCCTTCATCAATGAAAGGCATATAATTGAGGAAACCGTGTTGGAGACCGTCTAAAACATCCAAAGTGACCTTTCCCTTCCACTTTTTGGCCATCGTAACATTATCATCTAGGAATGGATCAAAATGAAGAGCAATCAAATGCAGATTAATTGAAGCAAGAGATTCAAAGTCTTGATAATACAATGGAGAAATGTATGGATTTGACGTAATTTTGTATAATTTTTCAACAGTTTCCTGTAACTTGGCCTTCTCTGCTCGATACCATGGGTCACATTGTCCAGTTTGGAAGAGTTTTATATCTAAATGAGAAAAAAAGAATAGAATTATAAATCAGTCGAAAATTTAGCTTCATATTTCGGTGTTAGTAAAGAAATGAATTCTAACCTTTGATCGATTTGAGAACATTTTTCACTAACTCAACCAAATTGGGTAATCTAATGAGAGCATTATTGTCCACGGTTGATTCAGTGTTATTATGTGAATTGGTTTCATCTGTGATTGGTAAATAAGCTTCAAAACAGGATAACATTAAGCCAGCAGAAAGAAGAGAATCACAAGAGGCCAAAGTAATCGATGGAGACAGAAGAAGCGTTATGTTGAACGGTGCATAGAAAGAGATTAGCGAATTGGGCATCTGAATAGGAAAGTCTGCATCTTTGAGTCTTATATCGTTCAAAACCATACACAAACTGGTACACAGATTGCCACCAGCTGAATCACCAACTAAGGTTATTTGGGTTGGCTTATAACCAAGAAAAGTTTCCAATGGAGACTTTTTCTCATTGGTCACGGAGAGGTAAACGTCCAGAATTTCTTGAATGGCAACTGGAAACTTGGCTTCCGGAGCTAGAGTATAATTCACGCTCAAAATTGGGATTCCATCTAATTTATTAGCCCAATCACGGATAAAAATCTGTAGGAAAATGAAAAAAATATTAATAAGATATTGGTAAAAAAGGATGATAAAGATTTGCGCTAAATTAAGTATAATAGTGGGTATAAATTGCTCACTATCAATAATGAATTTATCTTTCCTTGAATGACGTACATATTATGAAACTTTGTTTACTTGAACCATTAATTTGTCGTTTAAATCCTTTAAACTTTCTGCTTAAAAGTAATCAAATGTCATTTACAAGGAAAGAATGTATCATCGAAAGATAATTTAATAGGCTCAGGTTCTTTTTTATCGAGTTCAATGTTATCATGGTAATGCAACATATTTAAGAGGACTAAGCTTAGTTGAAGCGTATCTGAATGGTCGGTTAATGAGGATAATGGTTGACTGAATAAATTGATTATAAAGGAAAGGTCAATGAGGAAAAAGGAAAATGGAATAACTTGGCCATCAGATGGAATTATTTTTGAAATATAACATCTTTGATTACCTACTTCTTGAGATTCAGGTGATCCCATGGTGAATCCCCCTCCATGACAATAGATCACTAGCTTATTTTCGTGTCCTTTTCCTAATGGGTGACTCTGAAATAATCTGCATCGAATTTTTTCCTGTTTCCATCCTGTTGGTCCGCCATGATTCTCAGTGAATCGTAAAACTTTTTTATTAATAGGACTAATTATCCAGGTTGTTTGTCGGTTAAAATAAATATCAACCCGAGTCTTGGGGCTTCGTCCATACAAAATAATAGGAAGATACGTTTTATAAAATGGGCTTTCCAAAAGGTTTCGAAGTTTGGTTACAAAAGATACATCAGCTCTCTTGACCAGCTCAGCAAACACTAAACCTCTTTGATTTCTGCTTATAATACATTTCAGTCCATCGGTGATACGAGCACTTAATAATGATAGTCCAGTTACGAAAACGGTTGTAGCATATTGAGATTGAGGACTCAACCAGAAACCACAAAATTGTCCAAAGGCGGGAGCAATCTTTTCCTTCTCAATACTCAACAGTAACCCAAACAAGTCGACGAAATACTTTAAAGAAGATGCTTGTAAACTTGGTTCCGTGTTTTCCTGAGAAGCTGCGACTAGATAAATAACAAACACATGAATAAAATTTGATTTGAATTGAAACCAGAAAAGATTAACTGTACTTACAATCTATAGAGTCTTTGCGAAGAAGTCTCACCACATCAATAGCAATGTTGGCAAAATCAAGTAGATTTTTAAGATCATTATCAATAATGGGATTTGGGTCATTTTGATAGCGATCTACAACAAGATTACATAACTTGAGTCCAATTGTTAATAGTGACCAATATCCATTAGCATGAATATCACCAAAATCATATTCTGGCGCCCAGCAAGCTATCTCATGACCACCTTCTCTAAGTGTCTCGATATGAACTGTTAAATGGGGGCAGTCACTTCTTCGTAATATTTCTTCAATTATAGACGTCAAATGATCCATTTCTTTAATCAATTTAACACTGTGTTCACCGAGGTGCCGTTGACCAGTCCACCTTGGATCAGGTAGTTGTACCGAATTACCATTTGAATATATGAGATGAGACATAATTGTAAAGATGTGAGATTAACTCAACTTTTTATACTCGTCAAACTACTTGAGTTGGTGATAAAATTAGGAAAATAAGATAAACACAAACAATCAAAAACGATCATTAATTAGATCTTTATCAATTTCTACGATTTGCTGAGAAATGTAAAAGGAAGGAAAAAAAAAGACTTGATCCAGTTGGCAAGTAGGCAAAGGTAACAAATCTTGCCTGTATTGTTGGTGTTTCTAAAACTGTTGTAGTTGTTAATGATGATGACGATAAATTAGAATGAAAGTTGTTAGCGAATTCACAATTTTCATAAATAAACATTTATATTTTTAGATTGACGAAAGCTTCACGACTCCAGTAAAAGTTTAATAAACCAAAAAAAAGTGAAAACACAAGCCAAACCCAAAAATACACTAGCGACACCGCATAAACAAGTTTTGAATGTAACTGGAAAGCTTGAAGAGCGAGTAAAAACGAGTATTTCTGAACCTCAAGGGTTTGTTAGTGAATAGCTCGACTTATTGGTTTTAGTGATTAAAACTATTATCATTTTTTTCCAACGGATTAACACACGAATCTCTGTTAAGTCCAAGTGAACCCCTTAAAAAATACTTTGGCTGAAATCCTGTGAGTTTAAAAAAGCATCTTCATTGTGGTGGAGACAATGTTATTTACAATGTAGATTTAGCCTAAATGGATCCAGATGGATTACTCATCTGTAGTTGAATGAATTTCTCTCATTCTGTGCCTGATTGGTTTAAGTTGTTGATCATGATTAGTGAAAGGATTAGTTTTCTCATGAGAGCTTCTTCCTCCCTCTCGTCCAGCCTCTATCTTCATTTCCCTTTTTTTCACTTGTCTACACTTGTCTTCCAACTGCATTTTAAGCTTTCTTCCAACATTCATGTTCATTCTGAACACTTTAAAGTTCAATATGGTGACAGACTGGCGCTAACAGGCTTAATAATTATCTCGAGTTTAAATAAGATACAGCTATGAGTTCATTTTTGTGTCAACATTATTATTGTGTGTGAAGGTTAACATTATTGGAGATAACTCTGGTAAATCGTTAATACGATTTTTATAACAAAAAACCGATTTGATGACAAAGAAATGATAACAAAGGCAAATCAGAATTAATTATTTGATCAAACCAAAAACATTGTTTCCATTTTTGACCTGAACATCAATTTATATAACAAAAGAAATTAAAAAAAACGGATTGATTCAAATTTTTAAAATTAGGCCAGCATAAGGGAAGGAAAAGAGGTGAGGACTTCAGTTGATTATCAACTGTTATATTATTTCTTTTCACTATATCTGTGAACATGTAATAATAATCATATTAATATAATAAGTGATAAAAGTAATAGTGATAATAATAAGAATAATAATAGCAATAGTAATAATAATAATTGTAATAATAATAATCATTTTCATGATAGGGTTGACTCTAAAATTGAGTGAACCTTATTTTTATGACTGCACGTTAACATTGCTGTTAGATTGTATATTGCAAGGTATTTTATCACGCTAAAGTAGCTTTTAAAAAGTACCGTTTATCACCCAAACGACACTCTTTCATTTGCTTCTGATCCCAGTAGTTGCGAAAGAAAGAAAAACAAGACAGAAAGATAGAAAGAGAAGATAGAAATAAGAAGACAAATTGAAAGGGAGACAGAAAGATGATTAAGTTAACAAAAGAGTTTACAAAGTCGATCTTATCCTTCTCTTGCTTGATAATTTATGTCGATTCGATATATATGTATGCATAATTATCACCGGTATTGGATTGAGTGTCGCTTTGAGATTTCTTGAGACGTGATTGCAAATGATTTAAAGAGTGTGAAGAGTAGAGGAAAAAGACTGAAAGAGCGAAAGGAAGAGGTGGTGAAAAAAAGGAAGCAAGATAATGAAAGGTAAAAGATAGAAGATAAAAGAGATCTAAATAATAAATGATAAATAGAAAAAAAAATTATAAAAAATGAGACAAAAAGATAGAAACTGAAAGAAGGAAGCAAATGAGAGAATGAATTTTTTTCATAGTTTGAGTGAATTGCAGCGAGATTTTTGATAATAGAATAGAGGTCATTTGAAGTGAGTTAATTAGCTTGAGTTAGCTTCCTAAAACTGTCTACCTTCTTGAGTCTCTTTTTGTTTCTTTGAAATAATTGACTAAGTGTTGAGAGATTGGATAAAGGCATAAGGATTGGAGCCAGTTATCTTTCCGAACGTTTACGTTCTGAGTGAAGTATTTAATAATTTTGATGCTTTTGATTCCAAATGTGGATTTTTCCATCGATTTTGGATGAAACTTTGAAATTGCTTTAAGTCCCGATGAGTTGTCATTTCTCCTCCTCAAATTTCAATTATCAATGTTATCAAGTGATTGTCAGATCAGCCTTATTGTTCTCTCCTTGATATGGTTTACACTGATAGATATGCTCAGCAGTTTCATTTGCATGATGCAAATTGTTAAGTTTACGCTTTTGAATCTCTAGTCGAAACATCTCTGATTGTAGCTCGGCCATTCTATCGTGAAGTTCATCAGTATCTTGGGGTTCACTTCCACTTTCAATTAATTTCTTTACCGTTACTAATTCCTCTTTCTGTGAAAAGAATAGAAAAAAAAGATTAGTATTAATAAAATTCCAATGTCTTCTTTTACATTAAAAATGATTAAATTTAACTCACCTTTACTTCATAAGAATAAAGTTTTTGTTTGAGCTCGGCAATCGTTTGAGTTAATTCTAGATCCTTAATACGATTCATCATTTGTTGCTCTTTATATTTAGCATCAAGCTCGGTATATCTGTGCTTTTCTTGTTGAATTTCATTCAACAATTTTCTTTCCTTATCTGTTACACATTCTTGTTCTTGCCTGACTTTGTTCATTTCCTCAGCTTGACGACGGATTTGATTTAGACTGACCTGATTTTGGGTCTCAAGTTCCATAACTTTTTGCCTAAGTTCTTTCAATTCGGCAACCGCTTCAGCTTCCCTTAATTTAGCACTCATCAATTCTTGTTTTAACTTGCTAATCTCATTTGAGTATTCAGAACTACGCTTCAGTGAGTTACCAAGCATCTTTAACGGACTTGAGGTCACCGATAAGGCTGATGGAGTTGAATTTGAAGCAGCTTCTAAACTATTGGGCTGAGATGAATCACTGTTAGCATGTGAAGTGGACAAATGTTCATTCCACATTTGCTGGAGATCACTTATTTTTTGTCTCAATTGTTTCATTGATAAATTAGCTTCAGCTTCACGAAGCTTCACTGCAATTAGCTCTTCTTGAAGCTGAGCAACTGCATGATCAGGTGGTACTTCTCTTAATCGTTGATTAACTTCCTCCAACTGATTGATACGTTCACGTAAATTTTTCATCTCATCATTATTTTCAGCATCTCGGAGTTTCACTGCAACAAGCTCTTCTTGTAAAGAATCAATAACCTGAGCAGCCTCTTTGGATTCCAGTGAATTTTTTAGAGCATTGATGTCTTTTAACTCCTTGATTGTCAATTCTTTTCTTTCTAGTTCTTTCTCTAAATCGATTCTTTTCTGCTTCAAGGTAGATAATTCTCGTTTAATTATAAAGTTATCTTCCGCTTCCTGAGCACGGCACACTTGACCCTGAATTAATTTATCAGCCAACTCGGCACTTTCCTGTTCCAAGTTTTCGATTCTTTGACGAAGAAGGCGATTTTCTGTACGAAGTTTCTACAAAATCAATTAGAAAATAAATATCAGAGATAGTAATCATAAACCAGTTAAAGATAAAGTAAATCATCTGTGAAATTACTTACTCTGAGTTCAACTTGTTCTTCTTGTTCTTTGGTTTTTAATGCATTATACTCCTTGGTTAATCTAGGACAAGATTTTTGAAAAAAAACAAAAGGTTAAAAATGAACATGAAATATAAAAAAATGGGCAACATTATAATGTTGAGATAGCGTACTTTTTCATCTTTTTCTGGTCATATTTGATTTGTATTGCAAGAGTTACTAGGTAATCAGGATCGATTTCACACCGAGCAGGCATTTCTTTCCTGAAATATTCAAGAAGTCCTTCCATATCGAGCTTGAGTAATTCCTCTTTGCAAATCATTAATAAAGCTATAGAAAGACGGAAAATCATTTCCATTCCCTCGGATAGAAATAAATCAATGACTCTTTCAGCGATATGTAAAGGTAAGAATGCTGTGAATAACGTTAGGAACCATGAAGATGCATACATAGTAGTATTATAATTTTGTTGCTGGAAATGTCGATTGAGTTCGGGTAAAAGTTCCTGATGAAAAATAAGATAAAATGAATTAAAAGCCATGTTTAAGAGAAAAAAGGAAAGATTAAGAATCCATGGAATAAAACTTGATTGCTAAAATAATACATTGAGAGTGTTGGGACTCAAAAATGATTACAGATTTCAAGTATTTTGCCCCTAATTGATACAAATTTCAATGATTAAATAAAACAATGAAGATGCAGAATATAAAAACTTCAATTGAATAAAAATAGTTGGAAATTACCATTATTGTCTGAATGGACTATAATTCAAGGTGTCGAATGGATTTCAATCAAATTAATCTAGTTTTTTGCTATGCTTTGATATTTTTGTAAACAATTTCCTCAATGTATCAATGAATAAAAAGAGATTTAGTAAAACTTTATTATTTTACAAAACTATTAGGTTTGCTGACAAATTACAGTTTGATTAAAACTCAGTTTAATAAAAATTCATTTCCAAGGTCCCTCCATGTTTGATCTATTTTACAACATTATTGGAGGTATTAATGATAAATTAAAAAGTAAACACAGGTAACCCAGACAGCAAAGCCCACAATTATGGCAATAAGCTCATCTACAGCTAAACTAAAAGGTACCCCAAGATAAAAAAATAAGATTCAAGGGGCGTGAAGTTGATTTCGAAAAAAATTATCGGGGTTAATAATGAAAGAAAGAGAAAAATGCTCACCTGAACCATACATTCTAGTTGATATATACATAATCCTAGTTCGGCCATGGTTGGTTTGTATATTTCTCTAAGTCTATATTCTTCCATTAATTTAACAAGAACAGAAAAAGCATCTTCAGGTGACATGTGAAGCAATAAAACACCGACAAGAAAAGCACTTCCTTGACAATAACCAACTTCACTGTCATGGATTGAATAAGCTTTCATCACATTGAATAAACCTTCTTGCCCTGGGCCATCTTGTTCCTTAAAAAATTCATGCTCTGGATATGTCCGAGCTATGTCACGTCGAATAATTTTTTCACAAGGAGAATCTTGCTTGAGATATTCAGCGTATTTTTCTCGAATTGCAGGTGAAGTTGCATTGCACAAGTACTGCCAAGCAAGTCCACGGTATTGCTCAGGTATGCCTTTACGCACCAGTTCCTGTACGGGTGGCAGAATAAAAGAAAAATAGATAGATAAAAGAGGTAAGAAAGAGAGCAAAGATAGAATGACAGAAGAAGACAGATAAAAAATGGAAAAGAAAGCTACACAAACGGATAGAGTCGCGAGATGATGCAAAATCAGGTAAAAATAAGAACCAAAGGCAAGTAAAACAGAGATAGATTCATGGGTTAGAAAGGTTTGAAAGGGACAAAGAGTATCATTTGAAGGTTTTAAAATTGAGAAAGGAAAGCAATTGAACTGTTGAAATAAACTCAGATAGAAAAAATAATGGACGGATGAATGAAAGAATGGGAAAATGGAGAAAAGGTAATGCGAAAATGACAGACTGATTGATGATAATGGACTTACCTTCCGTTCCTGAGTTGAACCAGTATTAAAAAGGTTAGGCATAACAGAGGCTGTAGAAGCCATTGATAATTAACGACAATTAACTTCAACAGGACTAAACTAAAAAGTTATTTAATTAATTAAACAAATAAACAAACAAAAATTAAGAATGACTGAACTTAAAATCAGTTGATTGTTATTGTTTGGTTCTCTCTTGCGGTACATAAGAGATGGAATGACGTTTAAACTGTAAGCTTTACAGGATTGACTGGATCCGATACTATCTAAAAGAGATCCGATTCTTACCAATGATACAGACAAAAACACAAAAAAGTAGGTTAATTAATATTGTCCAATGTTTTGAGTTATAATTCGAATTGTGATTCCGTTTTTTTTCTAACTTCATCTATTTCATCATCTAAGTTACCCTGTGGTTCCTAAGAAATAATGGTTCTATGCTCTCAGCTAGTTTTTTGACTGAGATTAGGTCATCTACTATTATTGTCACTTCATCGTCACCATTTTCATCTTCATCACTTCAACTTTGACCGAAAGCCATAATATCTTCATATTCACCGCCACCATTATCACATTAAACAGCTCAAATAATTAATCTGTGATCTTAAATACATTTGGTAATTTATGCAAAATGATTGAGATATCAGCCAAACTATTCCGAGGCTCTGTATATTTTAATAACGAGCAGCTCAAATGTCGTATAAGTTACAAAAATGTTGGTGATGAGATTGAACGTCTAGCCTGGTCTGGTGCTCAAATCCATTGTCACTCAGCTCTCGACGAGAGTAAAGTAGCTCAACATTCCAAAGCTAATGAAATTTCCGAAGAAGAGGTTGCATTTTCATCCAAGGAAACATCATTTCACCCTTGTAAAGGAGAAAAAGGACGGCTAGTTTTCTCAACCAAACCTAAAATATTATTCTGTGATCTAACCCTCCATCCAAATGAAATCAAGACTTACCTTTATGAGGAAACCATACCATCAGATTGTCCGCCTTCTTATTACGGCTCATGGGTCAAATATATGTACAAATTGACCGTTGGAACTCAAAGAGTCAACTGTGTTATTCAATTGCTACGGATGCCTCTACGAGTTATCTCATTAGTTCCAGATATTTTCGAAGCAACCAATGGTGATACAAGTGAAGAACCTGTTAGAGACGTAGGATCTCCCACTAACTATAATTATATCGACTATGAATGCAAGGAAAGCACATTAGATCTTGTTTTACATAAATTGGACTGTTTAGCTGGTAAACGCTCACCGAGCAGTTATATGATAACCAATCAAACAGGTCGAATTGCTAGGTTTTGTTTGTTGAAAAACACATTCAAATTGGGTGAAGATATAGTTGGTCTATTCGATTTTACAGATTCAACCGTACCTTGTGTCCAGGTAGAGTATTTCAATATCTAAAATATTTTTTACGATTGAATTTTTAATCTATTCTTGTTTTATTTTTTGTAGTTTTCTGTTACATTACAAAGCGAGGAAACCTTGAAAGAGGAGTTTAGACTTCGCTCTGGTAAATCAACTCACATTTCAAGTCACAGTAAATATCATGAATTTTGCCTTCACATGAATAATGCTCAAATGATTTTGCCAATTCCTTTAACGATCACACCCGCCTTTGAAACCAACTTGAGTAAGTTATTTTGTTTTATTTTGCTAATGAAATATGGATTTTCTAATGAAATGTTTGTTCGTTTTACAGTGACTCTAACATGGAAACTTCACGTCGAGTTTGTCAGTACTAAGCCTGATGATATTGATACGCACAAAATTATCGATAATTATGGAGTTATGGAACAAGGACCTGCAGAAATGAAAGTCCAAACTATGGTTTGGGATTTACCTATTCATGTTTTGCCAACTCACCCTCTACAAATAGGAAGAGGTTTATCCATGCCAGCAACTATGTCAATTACTGTTTAAATGTTCATCATAATGAATCTGGTAAACTAAAGAGCTATTGAGCGATTACATTGCACAAAATTAGTATCCTACGCCTGATTGACTTGTCCTGCATGAAATGATAATCTCGATCAGCTTGAACCAAATATGTAGAAAATTCTTACACACAAATAATTATATCGATTTTACCCAGATAGATTTATCTACAATTATACCATATTTAGCTAGCGTATTGAAAATTAACATGTTTTTCAATCAATAGATCAACTGCATAATGTGATTTCTAAACTAAAGAAAGGAAATTAAGCTGGTCAAATTGATTTTTATTGATTGTTATTGTTTTCCACTCTTTTGTTGTAAATTCAAAACTAAATAAGATCAACTGTTTAATGTAAATTTTGCAAGTCATAATGTTAAGTGGATCATTATTTTGAATCTTGATCATTATTGCAGCAAAGCAAAATGATTAAATTCATTAGGTATGAATCAAACCTTTTAATATATTGACAACATCATCGGCTACATTAAAAGATATTTTTGTGTATAAAATTATTGGAAAATACGTTTTTATTCAATCGGTAAAAAAATGTTTACATTTTGCTTTCACAGAAAACTCGAACATTTTTTACAATATTCAACATAAACATGGCAAACTATGGTTTAAGATTATTATTACGATTCTATATTGAAATAAATGATTTTTCAAAAGTAGCAAAAGATTAATAGCTCTCAGATGAATTGTAATCCAACCCAAATGTTGATTAGAAAGAGCCATAACCACCATAACCACCGTGGCTACTGTGACCACCATGCCAGCCGTAAACAGGGTAGAAGTGGGTAGAGTGTCGATCATGTTCTTGATGGCAGTTCTCTTTCAAAATGATGTTGCCACCGTCTTTGTTTTTCTTGCCACCACCGGTGAGAATTGTTTTACCGTGGCATCCTTGGATGATGATGTTACCATGTCCTGATTTACCTGCAATAACAAAGGTAACTAAGCACAAGAGTAAAGTAAAACAGATTAATTTAGCAGACATTTTGCTGTGTTTTAAAAGGTTGTTTTTTCACGAAGTAAAAGGTTTTTGTTTTGTTGTTGGATTGTCGATGAATTGAATGATGGTTGTGAAGTAAATTTCACTCTTTATATACTTAAGATTCGAGGCAATAATGGTCAAAATATGCTCACTTAAAGGCTGGTTGCGTTCATTAAGGTAGCCTAATCTTTGGTTGCTTCGGATGTACATTGCTGTACCTGACTTTGGCATCAACTCATTTTTTTCGTACTGATCCCAAGTTTGTTTAAGAATCGGACGAATCTTGTTAATTTTATCAATAAAATGACTCGCACAATAATCTGATAATCTTACGATTTTAATATTTTTTGTTTGCTTCGACAGTTAGTGTTACCCTCAGATGTTTCTGTTTCAGTTAAGCCTGATTAAAATGTATCTGATTAGTGTGATTGATTTTGTTATTGCAGTATTTCGAAATGCAACTTTTATGGCAAAAATATTTAAATTATTTCATCAATTTAGTCAATCATAACGATCTGTCGCTACTATATAAGGCCAACTGCTAGCAATATCTTTCAGGTAGTAGATCGCCAACAAGATTAGATAACAATTGAAAGTAAATTTATCAACAATTCTTATTTTAAGCCATAACTGTTGACTTAACTGAAACTAAACTGAAACTCAATAAGTTTACATGAAATAGTCATTTCAATTGAAAAATTAGTCACAATTGTCATAAAACTGTAGATTAATCATAATATGATGTTAAATTATCTTGAAAAATAAAAATTCAATTTTTCCTTTGACTGTTAATGCCTCTAAAAATGATACAAAAGTTAAGAGATGCACGATTTTTATATAAAGTAATTGAGATGATGACATAAAGTGTTGATCAGATGATCCAAAAATTAATAAATTTCATCAGGGATTCTTATGATAATTTAACATGTGTTTCTTCAATAAAAGCTTGTTCTTTAACGAATTCATAAGTTATAATAGCAGAAATTAAATTAAATGAAAAAGTAAATTTAATGATTATTGTTTACAGATTTATTGAAAAGATTTATCACAAAGTATTTCATGTTTTTTTGTACAAAATCAGGTAAAAATAATTAGCTGCATTTGATTATAAGCGACTAAAGTGAGCAAAGTAGATTGCCTTTCCAATCTGTATGAATAAATAACCTCGAGAACATCTCGCAAATACGATCGATGTTTTGGGTGTTTGTCAACAATTTGCTTACAACTTTGCTCAAAAGTAAGTCTGTTAATTGTTTGATTATTGGAATCGCCAAATTCAATATCGGCAACAATTGATTTGACTATTTTGAATGGAAGATCCAAAGCAAACACCTCGATGGTCGAATTGTTAAAAACACTGAATGATGCAAGAGTTGATGTGAGAAGGGAATTTATCTGAGCAGAAAAACGTTTTTTGTGATTGATCATGAATTTGTTTTCTATTGGGAAAAAACGAAGGTTAATTGATGACAGCAGTGAGGTAAAGTTTGAAGCATTGACATGAATAGTTCCTGAAGAATCGGATTGAGATACGGTTCGAGCAGAGGAATCAGATCTTTGATGAGAACCATCATTGAGAGATTGGAAATTTGATGAATCTCTAAATCCAATAAACACTTTGATTGTATCAACAAGCTCAGCGATTGTCATTCGGCCACATTTCTTTTCAATAATTCTTCGCTCTTTATCAATATGAAATATTCTTACTCCAATAACATCTTTTTGATTTGTATTTTCTTTTATCCGATTCAAGACAATTGAATATTTAACTCGATTCTCTTCACAATAAACATGAAGCTGATCAACAGAGTCGAAAGAATCTTCTCCATAAGGAATGGCACGAATCCCACATGCTCGTAACTCTTTAGTAATACGATTCATATCACGAATCAAATTTGAATCATTCTCAGATAGGTAGATAACAATATCACAGATACCGGCTGAATTAGTTGACAATTTTACTTCATCTTCAACAACAAATCGTGTAATTTGTTCAACTCCTAGCGACAAACCAACAGCCACTGATCCAGTTTTATCCTCATCATTGTTTGTTGGTATTGTAAACTCTTTAACTAATTTATCGTATTGACCTCCAATAGCGATTATATTGCGGAAATTTTTTCTTTGGGTCGTTTCTTCTTCAAGTTGAAAGATCAAACCCGAATAATAACGAGACAGCATGATGGGTGAAAATTTGAGCTTAACGACTAAATTGTTATTGCAGGTAACCAAGTTATTGACAACCTTTTCCATTTCTTCAATTGATTGGTTGATCAACTCGATTCCTTTCAAATGATGAGGCTGTTTTTTTCTTAAATATAGATTTAAACATGTTTTCAAATCCTCTACAGATTCTTTTTCTTGTTCCAAGATTTTCATCAAATTATTCAATCGGCTTGTTTTGGTGATATCTTCCTTTCTAAATCTTTTACACAAATATGATTTAGATAAAATAGTGATTGGAGTTGTACCTTCATCTTCGCAAACATCTCTGGAATGACTTGTGAATTTAAGGCTTTTATCAATTGATTCAGCAATTATTTCCATGGCGAGTGAATGTTTCTCATCGGGAACTTCATAATAATACAGTAATCCTCTCAGGAGATCGACATTATTTAATCGAAGAACAAATGATTTATTTTTGAGGCAGCTGAATTCATGGAGAATATCATTGAGCAAATTGATTATTTCGAATTGAGCAATAATGGTTGCATTTTGATTCAATTTGGCAGAAACAATATCAAAGGCACATTCATAGATTTCTTTTGGATGGTAAGACATCTTTCTTCCTCGGTAAACTTTTTCAATTGAATAACGACGAAAATTGGAGATCCTATTACGAGCAATGTAACGTGCAAACGGAACTCGTAAATCATACGGAGGACAAATGACACTTCCAGTTGCGTCCATAACTCTAAAAACATCATTAGTTTTGTAATATTGAGCTGACAGTGAAGGCATGTAAGTTGGAACAGAAAAACGAATAGCTCCATAACGTTGAAATACATTTGTTAGAGTTGTTGTTACAAATTGAAAAGCACGCTGTTTAATCACTGGATCAGCAAATGCTCTTTTACATTCATCTCGATGAGACACCTCTTCATTGAAATCGTAGACCACATCATCTACTACATCTGATTCTTGGTTGAATAAAAGGTTCAACAGATAATGGTAAGTTTTACTTTGAGGATTGTTGACCACTTCACGAATCACATTTTTCTGCTCCTCTTCTTCGATTTGTGGTGGTGGAAGATAAGGACTATTTAATAACTCGGTAGATGTTGGGCGTTCATTAACATCATGGTGCAACAGTACTTTGAGTAAAGATACTTCCTCATTAGAAAGACATTGATCAGCATCAGGAGGCAGTTTAATTTCAGGTTCACGTAAATCACTAAGAACTTTTATTCTTTCCGACTTGGTTTCTGTTGGCGGATAACACATTTCAAATAAAATAATACCAAGAGAATAGATGTCCACTTTTTGAGTATAAGTTATTTTGGAACCAGCGGCTTTCTTAAATTTAAGTTCAGGTGCCATGTAAAGAAATGTACCAACTAATCCTGATTGAAATGATCCACCTGAGCCTAAGCCACCAGAGATTGATTCCAAGCTATCAACAACATCACCAGATAACACAAATTCAGCTTTGGTTGCTAGACCAAAGTCACCAATTTTAACATGATCCCGAGAATCCAAGAAAATATTGCCAGGCTTGAGATCTCTATGAATAATATGATGCTCGTGAATATGGACCAAGCCTTCAACAATCTCTCGAAATAGTCTACGACGACGTGAAGGGTTGTTTGCCAAGCCAGATGAATCGATTGCATTACGTAAAGTATTTTTTTCGCACAACTCCATTTGTATATACATAACATGATTATAACGAGGTTGTTTCTCTGATTTAGATTTTGTAACATCCAACTTTTCTTTGGATTCGGAAGGTGAATCTTGTGGTGTTTCATCGCCTGGCTCTCTTTCATAAACAATGTAATTTTCCGAAAGTGATGGCTGTTGAAAATTTAGATGAGAAGATGAGAATAGTTCATGATCAGAATAATCTTCATCTGAGCTTTCTTCATCTGATGAATCTTTTATTCCATCGCTTGGTTGACTTTTACGGATAACTGTTGCTTCTGTTGTTAAATCCGATTCAATAGAATCATTTCGTTTTTCTCGATTCTCTGTTTCGATCCAAGTTCCATAATAACTGCAATGATTAAGAGTTGAAAATTGTATCAATTTGTTGATTTCAAGTTCCTCAATTGATAACTTACCGAACTACATTTTCATGATTAAGTCTGGACAGATATTTAACTTCATGGATAATCTTCCTATTTATGTTCACATTGGATGCTTTTATGGGAATCTTTTTCAATGCATAATAACATTGATCCAATTTATTCCTAACTTTGTAAACTTCACCAAAACCCCCACAACCAAGAATACTGAGAATTTCATAATCGGTTAATCTTGATCCTAATGTTTCAGATGAGACCATTAAGCTGCTCAACAATTGCTTAGATGATTTTTCACTTTCTTCGTCTTTTATGTCAACAACTGGCGAGCTGTGAGGACGACGACTAGAATGTTGAAGTGGACTTCGAGTCTCTGTATTGCTTCGAGAACGGCCAGGTTGATAAAAGAATGAATGACTTCGAATTTCTTCAGTATCATTGAAAATGTTGGCTCTCAAACATTTAGAAATGAGATCTGAAACCTCCATAGAAAGATCATAGGACGAGAGATAATTACTAACCAGCTCAGCACAGGTCATGGAACACAAATGAGTAAATGTATTTGGCCAACCGGTTGAAAGCCACAATAAAATTAAACCAAAACGATAAATATCAGTATCTTCAGTTTCAGATGACTTAGATTCCGATGAGTGGGAAGTAAGAGTGAACTGGAGATTTCTAATTTTGGCATCGACGAAAAAATTTGCTAATTTACATAAACTATCTCGGAAATCGATTATAATCACAGTGTCTCGAAGATCGCCATGGATAATATCTTGTTTGTGAAGGTAAATCAAACCTTCGAGTACATCATTCATCATTCTTTTGATATAACTTTCATCCAATTTGTCTCCTTTCATCAAAGAAGGTAATTCACAGAGTCTACATCCGTTAACGAGTGGATTAAGTAATCTGAGGTAGGATCGTTCTTTTTCCATGGAGAACCCAAATGACAGTGGTATAATTAAATTGGAATGCTTCAAACTCATTACGGATTGGGTAATTTCTTTTTCACACGATTTAAACAAATTGTAAACTGTTGCTGGCGAGATTTCTATATCCTTCCAACTAGCAACCCATTCGGTGAGAAGACAATTCAGTCCTAAATCTTCATTCATGGCGATGTAATGAATGGAATTATTCCAATTATCATGAAGAACACAATTTCCTCGAAGAATGCAAAATTCTTTGTTTTCTTTGTATAACTCCATTTTCAATCGAGTGGTTTTATGTCCGAGGCATGGTGGTTGTGAATTTTGGTTATCATCAAAAGGAAAATATGGAGTTTTTCGCGGCGATGGTGGCATAATATCATCAATAAATGATTCTCTTCTTAATCTTGATTCTTGTCTCAAAACCATCTGTTTCCTTTGAATTTCCTCTTGAATATGTTTACTTGTCGTTTCATCTCTCAATTTAGCCATGTTAATTTCAATTAAACGTTTCTTTTCTTCTTCTTCCGCAATCTTTCGACGATTACTGACCATCTGATCGTAGAAAGATGTGGGACTAGGCTCATTGTGGTCCGTTAAAAAATCTCTAGTGCAATCAATCAAAGAGTAGATTACTTCCGAGCCTTTAGATTTATAAGCAATAACTCTCAACTTGTCCAATAGCTCTTGTTTCAAACTATCTGATAAACCTCGACAGTCGACGACATTCAATTCTTGTGGAGTAGTATCAGGGTAGTTTGGTCCACAACAAATATGTAAACTACAAGAGACATGCACTTCATCGCCATGGGGCTTAACTTTAATTTTAACCTCAACAGGTTTCCATTTAGCTTTAGAACCTTTATTTTCTCGGCAATCTTCTAACTCGTCGATGTAAATTGCTTTCAATGCCTTCAGCTCCTCCTCCTGGATCCTACGAATTTCAGCCCGGTCAGTCATATTAAAAATCAAGAATCATCCAATGAATATCTAGGGACCATAACAATTGTAAATTTTGCCAACTTGGTAAAGCAAATATCAATAGCCAATCAATTTTACAGGTAATTTGGAGTTCCAACGATCCTACGAAATTTTTGGCACTGATTACAACGAAATAGCTGGACAGGACAAGCAAGAACAGGATAAAACACAATAAATAGTAAATCAAGGGTCGATCAGATGGTAACACTTATAAATTTATTAAGGTGATAATTTCAACGTTGAGGCTATTTTATAAATTATGCAACAGTCCCGATCAGCTGAAACTTGCACATGCAATTAAATTGCAGCAATTGCTTATTTGCCCGAAATTTCCAGATTTAGTTGATTTGGATTTATCACTATTCGTTCAAAATGGACGAAAATTCACTATTTCTTGAACTAATTAAATTACTAACCTTAAAAATTATGAAATAGAGATTCAGGTTAAAGGTTGCTCTCTAAATTAGAGGCTTTGAATCACGTTAATTTTTTTTCCTTAAACTTTTCACAAATTATTTTTAAATTTATTGTTTAGTTAAAATCAATGCATGTTAAGCATATTTTAAAAATTGATTTAAATTAAACATAGGATTGATACAACTGTTAACTGAAATTGTAGCTGTACGATAGCGCAGCTTATTTAGCACACTTATCCTCCACTCATCCAATTAAAATTTGCAAATTTGCGTTTAACTTAAGCTTCTTTGTTAATATTGCAGTTATTTATGTTTCCAATGATTGTAACCTTTTAAAATTGAAAACAATTAAAGATCGTTAAATTGTAAAGTCAAAGATTGCGCTAAGATTAGAGCTTTTACAGATATCTAACTATCTTTACAAGGATCGGATCCATTCTTCGGACGAATAGGCAACCTATTGGTTTACCGAGTTACTAATGGTAAGGATTGTCAGAATTGACAAAAGCAGATTGGGAGCAGCTTTTTTTAAAAAGTCTTTTGTTGTGATTTTGAATTGTCAGATTTGATTGTATTTCATCAATAAACATCATGTTAATTAATGAATATACTCTGACATTAAGCATGGTAACCAGTTCCTTTTTGACTTCTTAATTTATTGTATAATGTAAGTAAAAACTCTTGCCCTTTAATTTTATTGTGTCCTTGTTTTAGCTCCTTTGACATTTAATCTAAAATCTCTTAATTAAATTCATGACATATCAGTTATTTTATTATCCTATTGTTTGCCTGAATTACTAATCAAAATGTTAAATTGTTATATTCATATGTTATAGTAATTGTAATAAGTTATATGATTGTTATATTATTGTTATTTGTGTTTTGTCTATAGGATCATAGATATGGGATTGTGTATCTGCCGTGATTGGCTTCTTAAGGAAACGACTTCATTTACACCCGAAAGAGACCCTGAAAAAGATTTTACCAATGCTAGAGTTCGTAACAGTAGTGGTAACTCAGTGCATCAACCTAGGTATCACGCACATTCTGAACCTCCCAACGATGTTAATGATCATGTTATACCTGATAGCTCTGGAATTCATCGTACATTCTTAGAACTGTAAGTTTATTCATGAATTTTTTTTAAGATTTTTGTCTAAAATTAATCGAAATTTTATTTCTTTTATAGACCTTCCTTACCCGCAGCATCTCATCAAAATCAGTCAATCGAAGTTATAAATCCTGGTGACCGTTCCTTCGGAGAAAATGCTCAGGAAATATCCTACAACAAGATTTCAGTGCGAGAACCACTATCAAAAGTACTAGCTGAAAGGGCTATTCTCGAGCACCATTACAATGAAGTTGATGAAGAAGGCAATTCATGTTTTTATGAAGAAATTGCCGGAGCTACAAACTCTTCTGTTACTTCGTTTGTTGATGAAAGTAAATTAGGGAGACAATCAAGCGACGAAGCTGATGTAATTACTGATCCTGGTTATGAAGTAGTTAAATTCCACCAACAAAAAAGTGAACCTTGTTATGCAATTATTGATAAAAGTTTGAACAATTCTAGTAATGATGAACCAGATTCACAAGCAATGTCAGCTCATGGAAATAAGACGGATAGACAATCTGACAAAGAGGATTATTCGCTCGCAGATCCAGGTTATGAAGTGGTTAATTTTTCTCCCCAGAAAAGTGAGCCTTGCTATGCAATTATTGACAAAAATTCCAACAATTCTAAGAACACCGGAATTGATGAATCATGTCAGCCATCGAGTTCATCAACTGTACATAACCATATTAAACCATCAAGACAATCTGATGAAGACGATGATGATGATGATTATTTAATGGCTGATCCTGGTTACGAGGTGATAAACCTAACTCAGCAAAAATGTGAACCTTGTTATTCTGTAATTAGTAAAAGTTACAACAAACCTGGGAAAAGACTTTTAAATTCTGGTGACGATAAAACTAGGCATTCAGATGATGAATATGATTTGTCTGCTGATCCAGGTTATGAAGTTATTAATTTAAATCACCAAAAAGTGGAACATTGCTATGCAGTTATTGATAAAAATGTCATTAGTCCCGATGATGGAGAAGTTTCTGGCATTAGGAATCCATCAAGAGCATCAATTGTAAAAGATAGCAAATCCAGACAACCTGACGATTATGACTTGATTGCTGATCCAGGCTATGAAGTGATAAATCCTTACAAACAGAAAAGTGAACCCTGTTATGCAGTTATTCGCAAAAATCTCGATAGTGATGAAACTTGTGGTTCTAAAAGTTCATCTATTTCATCAAACGTTAATGATGGGACGACAAGGCAATCTGATGACGATGATTTTATAGCTGACCCAGGTTATGAAGTAATCAACTGTCATAAGCAAAAAAGTGAAGATGAGCCTTGTTATGCAGTTATAAATAAAAATTGCTCTAAACCAAGGAACAGTGATAGCAACAAACCACAAAATTCCTTATTTAAAACTATTGTTAACCACAGTGTTGATCAAAAATCAGAAGATGAAGACGATTCATCTGCTGATCCTGGATACGAAATTGTTAATTTTCACCAGCAGCCAGAAAATGAGGAACCATGCTATTCGGTTGTCAAAAAAAATTTAAAATAACTTAACTCATCCCGTGTAATCCATTCTAACCACTGATCCAGTTATAAGCATTTTTAATTTTTTTATGAAACATAAAATTTTCTTGATTATCTTTTATGTATCGACTTACATTTATCATTGTACTTTTTCAAGTTTCATTTTTTCGATTAAGATTTAAATCATTCATATCATTTGTGTTTTTCATTTTTATTTAAATTGCTTCAGGTATCAAAATTATAAACTTAACAATCCTCATGAATTTTTAGATAATCTCTTAAGAGTAACTGGAATTTATACAAAGATTATTATTCTGTGCATTTATGAGACCAAGATGATGGCATGGAGATGGTTGTTTGTTTACATGTTTCCATGTGTGAATGTTAAACATGACTACAAACGTGATTCAATTCTGATACAGTAATTTTAATTTCCATGTTACTATTTTTCATTTATATTTTAATTAATGGCTAACCTTTTGCCTCAAAAGTTGCAATTAACCCTGTGCCTAATCAAACCAGATATAACTCCAATAGCCTGTAAAACAATAGTAAGTCTTCAGACTCTACCTCGTGTTTATGTATCTTCACATCTATTTATTCATGTTGATTCACTATTTAAATCGTTTTGTTTTTATTTTGATTATTTGATTAAAGGCTTTAAGAAAGCTTATCCTCAAGAAAGGTTTTTACTTCATCAGATCGAGATGTATCAAGTTAAGTCAGGAAGACGCAGAAAAATTTTATCACCAACATAAAGGTAAGTTGAGATTGACAATTCAAATGAATAATTTTACTAACTGTTTCTGTGCTTTGATTAGATAGATTTTTTTTCTATCGGTTGGTCACTTTCATGTCTAGTGGACCTTTGTGGGCCCATATTTTAGCACATCCTGACGCTGTTAAACAATGGAGAGCAATCATGGGACCAACAAAAGTATACAAGTAAATACATTGACAGCTACAAATTATTGCTATACTTACATTATTTGTTTATTTCCACAGAGCAGTCTTTGAAGCTCCTAGAACTATTCGAGGCCTGTATGGTTTGACGGATACGAGAAATGCTGTTCATGGGTCAGATTCTGAAAGCTCTGCAAGAGAAGAGATTGGATTCTATTTCAAAGATTTTTCATTTGAAGATTGGAAACTTCACGAGGAAAATCAATTCAATCATAGAGACAAAATTATTTTTGACGCGGAAAATTGCATTCATAAATTCAAACCATGAAAGCAAAGCAATTTTTCACAAATGTTAATTGTTGCCAAAATCATGGATTTTATTTCTGCCTAGTATCACAAACTGCACCGCAGCCTGCAGGTCCTGTATTACAGGAGACGGTTTGATCGACCGTTTAAAAATGGTCAAAGTTTGCATTAGAAATTGGAAAAATAGCAAAGAACAGAATAAAATTTGAATTAAAAATAATGCGCGGAAAATTACAAGTCAATAGAATTTTCTGTTGTTCGGATTTAATTGAAAAAATAAAAATTCATTTCATTAATTTGTAAAGATAACCTCAAAAATAACCGAAAATCACTTATCAATCTCAATAAAGCGCCACCTTAATATTGCCATGTGAACTAAATTTGACATTTTGTTTGTGAATTTTTCATCATTGTTATGCTTCTCGAAATAAATAGTTTATTGAATTTTCGTTGATTAACGGTAAATTCAGCTTTCTTTTGGTATGTTTAAATTGCCAAAAGACACTGATATCAGCTAATAAAGTTCATCTTATAATTTTGCTTGGCTTTATCGATTATTGAACTCAACCCTGGTCTTGTGTGGATTATGTCCAAATTAAGTAACTCAGTTACCACAAAGGATTCTTCCTGTTTTAATTAAACTCCATCAAATCTTTCTTTTAAAATTTTCATAAAATTACTGCTCCATGAATCCTTGCGATGATTTATCGGACTCAGTGTCTGAAGAAGAGGAGGAAGAATTGAATGACCAAATCCAAAGAGAACCTGAGGATTATGCAAATCGTGATGCAGATGACCTGAGTAAACTAAACTGTCCTCCAGTCATTAAAGATGCCAATCCTGAGGACGATGAACCAATTCAGCACGATGAAAATTTGATCAAGGATATTGCTCAGTTTGACAATTATAAAAAAGAAGTTTATAACCATCCTTTGTTTCCACTTTTAGGTAACCTTATTTTCATTGTCTTGCATCTGTACAATTGTTTTCACACAAATTATCTATGCTTTTTCTTCTTAGCTTTGTTACTGGAGAAATGTGAAATTGCTGCAGCAACTTTTGGTGTTAATGAAGAGCCATTTGCTTCCGGTGATGCATTTATTAGTGAACTGAAAGCAGTAATACAAACCCAAACTGAAGATGATAAAAAGATTTTGGGAAAAAATCCTGAGGTTGATTCCTTGGTAAGTTAAAAATATTCATTATTCATAAGTGTTAAGGGTGATATTTTAATCTCTGTATATTTTATTCAAAGTCAGTTAATACTGAATCTTAATAATAACACTGAGTCAAAATTTTATGAGTGTTGACTCTTTGAAATTATTGTGTTTAGTATGGTATGTCCTTTCTGACAAATGCAATGAAATCGATGAATAGAATACTTTTTCATGGTTCAGAATTTGTTATTAATTTTGAAAATTAAACATTTAATTCTATTGTTATTTATCTTTCTTTTAGATGATTAAAGCAATCCAGGTTCTTAGGATACATTTACTGGAGCTGGAAAAAGTTCAAGAATTGTGCAAAGACTTCTGTTATAGATACATTACTTGTTTGCGAACCAAGATGAATTCAGAAAATTTATTGAGAGGAACCGCAAGTCTACATGGTTCTTTTGACAACTCTTCCTGCTCATCATCTTCATCTGATGAATGCTCCTCTGGTCCTTCAAATTTCTCCTTTAACGAACCAAACAATTCAGTGCCAACTGGTAATGTACCAACAAAAATTAATTGTAGCAAGATCTAATAATTTAATGATATTTATATTTCTCTCTGTCTCTTGTCATTTTTCAGATTTTCCTACCGCCATAGCTCAAGATCTCTCAAAAAATAATCAACAACCCCAACAATCGAGTGCAAATAATTCAGACAAATGTAAAGCAACCGAAAATCAGCCTCAAGATCTTGGTACAAACAAACCATTGAACTTAACTTCACGAATCGATAGTGGAACTGAAGGTGATCTCAGTGACGAAGCTTCAAATGTTGCTCAAAAAAGAAACCAAAAAAGAGGAATTCTTCCCAAACAAGCGACTTCAGTTATGCGATCCTGGCTCTTCCAACATATTGTAGTAAGTTTGTCCTAATAATTAAATTCTGGGTTTGAATCAACGGCTTTTTTCTATTAATTCCCTCTCTCTTTACTTACAGCATCCATATCCAACGGAAGATGAAAAAAGGGCAATAGCAGCACAAACAAACTTAACACTTCTACAAGTTAATAATTGGTTTATCAACGCGAGAAGACGAATTTTGCAGCCAATGCTCGACTCAGCCAACATAAACAATAGTAACGTGAATGACAATGATGTAACCATATATCAGGCGACTTCCAATGAAACAAATGCATTGAAAAAGTTAAAGACTAGTAATGGTAATAAAAATAATACCATTTTACAAAAATCTTTACCCAACTCCGTTAACAACTCTATTAAAGTTGCGAGTTCAACTAAAGAAACCAAGAAAAAATGTTCGAGTTGAAAGACGACCTACTTAAAAACCACCAAATTATGTATTCTCTTTCCATACTTCAATTATTATGATACTCATTCAATGATCATTAAGATTTTTTTGTTTCGACTCATCAAGAAAACAAATTAACTTCCATCTTTACCAGATCTACATAGTCATTGCAGTTAAATAAGGTTCACTGTTTTCTTCTCATTACTCCAGCTTCATTTGGATGCATTTTAACTTTATTATCTAAATATAAATTGTAAAATAAATAAGCCAAAGATGAGATTATTATCATCAAACCATTCCATTGATTAAATTAAAATTTGATTTAAAATTGACTATTTTCTTTCATTCGAAAGGATGAAAATTTTTTCAATAATTTCAAAAAAAACTAGAGAAAGCTGCAATTCTTGTTTCAAAATCGAGCTCAACTATCAGAGAAAATTCAAATTTCTTAATAAATTGTCTTTAATCAGTGGTTTACTCAAGATATATCATAAAATGAAATAAATATTAGTAATAATAATATTTAATAATAAGGTAAACTGGTATAGATTTGAAATGTTAAAAGCTTTAACTTACATTTTGAATGAAAAACGATTGTTTATAAAACTAAATCTCTGATGTACAAAAAGGTCTCGAATATATATTGTTTGCTTTGCTTGCATTAAATAATTAAACAGGTAAAAAATCTGAAATTAGATCAATAATCATCCGAATCAGGTGTCTTCGATCCAAGTGGAAGTTGATTGTTTCCATTTTGATCATTAAATGATTGACTGTAGTCGTTGGGTTGCTGATTTCGATAATCTTTATTGTTATGATTAATTAGTCCCTGATCGCGGTTGATATGATAATACTCTCTCGATTTCGGACAGTCCACATTGTACCACCAATCACAAACTCGGTATAATTGGTTGAAAAGAGTTCCATTGGGACAAGAAAATGAATGATGACGTCCATTTGGTTCACAGAGATGCCAGATCTGTAAAAATACATGTAAATAGATCAGATATTTTCTGATATAAACAAATGTTAACTCACTTGGCAATCAGATTGGACATCAGCATAATAACCAGCATATATTTTATTTGAACACCTGAAATCAGAGACGGGATATTGGTCTCCATAATTCCATGTATTACCTGATGAGAAAACAGTTTAGTTTTGAGATAATCAGACGAAGCTTCTTTTTTCAAAAATTACCTGAATTGTCGATTGTTTTATGGAAATTGCTCAAAACAATTTCACCTTCATTATCTTCTAAATTTTCTTCGCCATCTAAAGCAACATCATCGGAATACTTGATCTCTCCACTTGGTAGGTCATCAGGTTGGTTGTCGATTGATTCTAGATTTTCCTCTAATGGTTCGAAGCCCTCGACCAAACTCTGGTGTTGATGATATGGAAGATCTGATTCTCCATAGTGAATTTGCGATTGATAATTGTCATGGTTCACAGCATCAGGATACATATGCCAATGATCTGGAGAAACAGAGGAAAACAGTGAATCCGAAGATGATTGTTGGAAATATCTTTGAGGATAAGGCGATTTAGATGCAGTTGGTCTTGATCGATGAGCTAAATAGCCATTTTCCGATGATTTACTATTCCTTTGAATCGTCACTTTTGGTGAAATTTGTCCTAAAATATTGAAGATTATAACGAAAACAAGAAAAACATTAGAGTTGGAAAGATTCATGTTGAATGGATGTAAAGTTGAAATTGAATGAAATTGAAAGTGAAAAATTGTTTTTCATAACAGAATCTAAACCGAGATAATTGCAAATAGAGTGGCTTCATTTTTTTGTAAATCAAATCATTATTGACCCTTTGATTTTGATTGTATTGTCTAGGTATTCAGGTAACACCTAAAAATTATTCAACTGAAATCTTTGAATTGATTTTCATATATTAATCTCAACAGGCTATTTCCGTTTGAAGAATTGAACTTGACAACTTTCACTTTCCAATCACCAATCTTATGAAATTCAATACAATCAGAATTATAATTGAAAATAAATCAACTACAGAAATGGTTGTAATTAAATGATATTCATTTTCAGAGTAAAGACAATCAAATCATTCCATAACGTAGCTGAATATTGAGGGAAATAAATTAAAAGTTGTTCCAGTCGCTTGAAACGTTGAAACAACACATTTTGATCTGACATTGTGAGTTTAAAGATTCCTGGAAAAGGTCATATTGAACCATATCAATGAAAGCGTGGAGGTTCAAAAGGGATTTTACTCAGACGTGGAAAAAAATTGATGGACATTGGAGTGGGAAAAGGTTGATAACTGGTTTATACCTGAATATACGGTTACTTACCTAGTAAATCTCATTATTTCCATCACTCAGATTCTGAAACTCATAATGTGATTGTCAGATGAAGACTCGACTTTTCCAGTCAGTCGCCATCTATTGAAGTTTGTAAAAAAGCACAATCGTAACAATTTGTTGACGAATCAAAATTACTGTAACAATTAGATTCTGTAAATTATGTTGTATTTACATTTTTGAAATAAATTGTCTTGTCAGTTTGATTTTAAAAAGTCTCGCTTTTAATTTGATAGATGGAGTCAGCACAAGAATACAAAATGTCTAGTGTATTAAATTGTTATCCCCTTTATTCCCCCCTTCAACCCTCTTATCTTACTTTCCATGTCTTCGATATCACTGCCTTTGCTACTTGAAATTGATTGTTTCTATTTCAGATTTTGGACTAAGCGGTTGATTGTGTTTAATCATTCCTTGTAATAATTTTTGTTTTATTCTTGATCTCTTTTATTTTATTTTACTGTTGATAATTTAATCGGAAATTGCGTATCTGTGATCTCAATTATTCATTCATCTTTGAAATTCCCCTAAAGAGTAACTAAAGAGTTCTTGTTCTATTTTTTTCGCTCTCTCCTTCACTTGTTTCTGGTCTATTGACTCAATTTCTGTTATTTTCTTTAAAGTATTTGTTAATATTATATTGTTATCGAAGATTTTATTCAAAAAAAAATCTTATAGTGATATTATTGATTGATTTTGAACAAAAAATTGTGCTAAATAATGGATGAAAAGCAAGATTATTGCAATTTTTTTGAGGGAACTGAGAAGCTGTTGGAAATATGGTTCGACTCGGAAACCTCATCTCAAAAAAATTCTGGTGCAACTAATTGTGACCTTCGTTTGATCCCTCGAACAGCTTGGGAATCTTTATTGTCCCTGGCAAACTGTGAAATCATTAGCTTCAAGAAAAATGACAAGCTCGATGCTTACGTTCTTTCGGAAAGCTCAATGTTCGTCTCAAAGAATCGATTTATTTTGAAAACTTGTGGTACCACTACTTTATTCAATTGTATTGAGCCACTTCTTTACTTGGTCAAAAAATTTACTGGATTCGATGAAGTATTGGACATATTTTATTCGCGAAAAAATTTCCTTCGACCTGAATTGCAACCTAAGCCTCACAGCTCTTTTTATGATGAAATTGAGTACTTGGACAATTATTTCGAGAATGGTTCAGCTTATTGTATGGGTCCGATAAATCGTGATTGTTGGTTTCTATTTACTCTCAATCAAATCAAACCCATAAAAATGATTGAAGGACCTGATCAAACTTTGGAGATAATAATGCAAAACTTGGATCCAAAGGTCATGAAAATATTTACTCGAGAGGTTTGCTCAACGGCTAAAGAAGCAACTTCTCGATCTGGTATTGACAAGATACTTCCTGGAATGGTTATTGATGACTTTCTTTTCAAACCTTGTGGTTACTCCATGAATGGCCTCATCAATGGTGTAAGTTAATTAATTATTCTAAATTTCTTAGCAATTGACCATTTTCAATTGTATCAATTGCTTGAACAGAAAGAAAGATTACACTTGTGAAAAGGAAGTAACAATCTTAATCCTCTTCAAATTGCTTCGATGGTTGGATAAGGCCATCTCAAGAGTTGATTGTTCATCTTGAAAATGGATTTGTCATAGAAACAATTGTATTCTAAAATAGACCTTTTCATTTTTTCATTGATCATGATAATTAAATCTTCTTTTCTTCCCTCCTCAGGACTATTACATGACGATCCACATCACTCCAGAGCCGCATTGTTCATATGTTAGCTTTGAAACTAACTATCCTCAAGCAAATTATTATGATTTGGTCTCCCGGCTAATCAAAACCTTCAGCCCTGGAAAATTTTCATTGACTTTATTCGCTAATGAAGTGAGTCTACATTCTTTTTTTTGATTGTTAACTGTTTCCGTTGTGGCAGATTACCCATCAGATAATTTGATCTAGGAATTTAATCAATTAATTTTGTTGGATAACTTATTGGTTTAATGGATAAACTTTGCAGCTGAGATAATGTATTAATAGTTGTTAATGCTAGAATTATCTATCAATTATTTATATAATGGCAACACCAAGAAATCTTCCAAACGGCTTATTCAATAGCAACTTAACAAAAAATGATAATATGTGATAATAATTCCCTTTCCTCTTCATTAGAAATTGAAACAAGTTATTACTTAATGATTATCTTTAATGGATTTATTCACTCAAATAGAACGATTGAGTATCTAGATGTGTCAAAACCTACGTTGATCATACCAAGTTTGTTCTGATACTCTTTCCTTATCGAGAATAGTATAAAAGTTACATTGTACGAGCACCTTGAAATATCACTGATAGAATCAGTATTCTAGGTTTACATATTAATTTATCATATTACCGAAAGCTTCAACAAGCAGTTAAAAGTCAGTTTTCAAGTGCAAATACAATTATAACGAAATATTGATGGTAAATGCTTAACATTTTATATTAATTTAATGTATCGATGTATCTTATTGGTATGTTGCGATAAGATATGTCTGTGGTTAGAATAATCAATTGAAATCAAATATTTATTATTGTTTAAAAGCTAAAACTATGCCCAATGATTTTACTTATTTAACTTGAGGTTAAGATCATGCTTTTGATTGCTACTAATCACATGTCCACAATATTATGTTGCATGCTGTTCCACGCTGTAAATGAATTCGCTTAAATATTTGCAGTGCATGTTTGCTTATTGTAATTGATCTGATTGAATCTAAACGATGTTATTTTTTTCTCTTTTTCTTACAGAGTTCAATAGCGGTTGAATGCATGCAAGACTATCGGATGTTGACTTTTACTGGATTCATGAGCAAGGAGTTGCAATTCAGCCACCTCAAGAATTACAACCTCACTTACGGATTGTTCGCTAAAGCACCAAGCTGAGAATTAATGAAATATTTCTCTTCCTTCATGGTCTCTTCATGTAGATCTATGACAAAATACAAAATGAAACTGTACTTCTTTAGATTGCGATTATTAATTAAAATATCTACTCTATTATTTCAATCAATTCACATTGAAAAAAGTCCAAATTCATAATGAAAATATCATATAAAAACGAGCTATATGTTATACTTTTGTCAAGCAACAGCTTAAGCCGGAGAAAGAGTTGGAAAGATTCATGGTAGAATTAGAAGTTGAAACGGAAATTAAACCTATAAGAAAAAATCAGAAAAACCGAAACAACTGTAATAAGTAGAGTGGAATCATTTCTGATTGTAAATCAGATCATTATTGATCCTTTAGATGCTGGTTTGAATTTCCCTCTAAATGCAACAACAAAGCTATTGATTACTTAGTAGCCAAGGTTATCAACTAGATTCTGTTTCGGTTTAGTTTTCACTAAATACAAATGAAAACAAACATTTCGGTTTAGTTCTCGGCATGTTTGATTTATTAAAAGCGTTAAAATCTTTAATAAAATTTCCGTTTGTTTTATGTAAATCTAGTGATTAAAACTCATCATGTTGAAATCATGAATGACTTTTAATTCCAAGTCAAATAGACCAATTTCAATAATCCCGTAAGCCACATGTGGTAATCAGCTGTTCCTATCGTTTTGATAACCATGTTGCGTTTCTTATTTCGTCGTGATTTAACTGAATCAAATGTATCACGGTTTGTCAGACATTTTTCTTTGGAAGCCAATTCTGTTCAAAAGAAGCAAGTGCCTGTTTCATGCAATGATTCGGTAAGTTCAAGTGTTATTATGTTTCCAATTGGATTCTAATCCTTGTTTTTTTTTATTCAGGAGGATAATTCAAAGGTTCTGATTCGTTTTCCTTCCAAATTCTATCAACACTCATTCGACTCTTTTGAATCTATGATAGCAAAAGAAAAGTCTGACGCGAAAAGTTACATTTTGATCGAAGACAAGACTAATGGAAAGCTAGATTCTATACCAAAAGAAGCATTGGAAAAAATTTTAGACTCTAGTATTACCCAGATGTACAAATATCATCTTGGCTCTCGTGGCTATTGCTTAGTAAAATTAGACGATTATGAAAACTTTGCTGACAGGAATAACAAGAATTTTCAACACCAGTCATTTCCAGTTTATGCAAGGATGTTTAGCCTTTTACCGAATTCGCTCAAACTGATTAAAGATGAATTATCTACTGAACCAGTGGTAATCCCTGATTTACTGAGAAATCGTAAATGCTGGCTCAAATTTATTCATGAAAAAAATAACATGGATAGTAATGAATTCATAGACAATCTGGTTAATAGTGTCCTTCTTAATGAAGTTGAAGCCAAATTAAGATTTTTCCTGATAAATCAGTTCGAAGAGCTTCTCTGTACTGGACCATTCAATCGATGTCAAGTTTATCCTTTTGGATCATCTGTCAACGGTTTTGGTTGGAATCAAAGTGACATTGATCTGTTTCTAACTCCTGAAACATTGAAAAGCCCAAAAGATAATGCCTATGGCCTAACCTCAGCATCAAGTCAAAATATTGCAGGCGATAATAATGATACAAAAAGGGTTCTTCAGATGCTTCATGGAATTATTAATGAATTTGTTCCTGCCGTTAAAGACGTCAATGCAATTCTAATGGCTCGAGTTCCAATAATCAAATTTGACTCCATCGCGAGTGGATTGAATGTAGATTTATCTTTTTTCCTTGATTCAAGAGACAGTGGCATTGATATTGCTCATGTATTATATGAATACTCACGATTAGATGTGCGTGTTGTTAAACTTATGATATTCGTTAAATTATGGGCCATGCAACAAGGCATCACCCGATCAGCTCCAGGAGTATGGATAAATAGTTTTGGTTTAATGATGTTGGTTGTTCACTTTCTTCAAGTACGATCTCCTCCTCTACTACCTCCAATCAGTCATTTAAACGTTATTTATGATCCGTACCAAGCTAGTGTCACCAAGCAAACCAATGATTTATGTTATGATTATAAAACACCATTCATGACTCTCTTGAAAGAGTTTTTTGACCATTATGCCAGATTTGAGTTTGAAAATTATGGATGTAATGTCAGTGACGGTCTTTTGATTAAAAAACCTAGTTCTAATAGTGCACTTTACATACAAAATCCGACTCATAGATATTTAAATGTATCAAAAAATGTTCAAAATACCGAATTAGCCAAACTTGTTTTAATTGCTAGAGCTTCTCATGATATAATTAGTAGAGGTGATCATGTTAGTAGTCTTTTGAAACCCTTTTCAAGAAAATCAATTAACATTGGAGATTTATATTGACATGGAAACCAATCAAGTTAATGACTAATGATAACTTCATTGTAAAATATTAATGTTAATAATTCATGTAAATCTGATTTGATAAATAAATTTTTGCTATTTTGACAAATAGTGATTTTGTACATATGACAGGTACTAACATTATCATTGAATAATGGCTCAAACAAATTAAATGAACTTCATTTCCTCTAATTTTTGTAAATTAATTCATCATTTACGTAGCCAACTGTTAACCAATTGCTCTTATGAAATCATATAAAGATGTTTGCATAAATAGAGCATTTTACCAAAAGAATGGCTCAGTCCACCACTAACTAATGTGAAATTATTTTTCATCGTTTAGTCCCAATATATCAATCTCGTTCAAAATGTTCAAATTTGTTACTCAACTATTAGTATTTTTAATCACAGTTTCAGTGACAGTTAATGTCCAACTTTGTGGCAACCAAAATCAACAAACAGTGGACGAAGCTTTCATTGAAAGTGAAATAGTTAAAGATCTAGAAATAAAATTACCAAGCGATGGATTGGACTTGATTGAAGTTACTTATCCAAACGCAATTTGCAGGGAAAGTGTATCTTGTGGGAATGAATTGAAATCATTTCAAACACTAGAGGAGCCCATTATTAAGTATCCATCGGAATCAAATACATTATACACTTTTATGATGCTCGATCCTGACGCACTCAGTCCAGCTGCACCAACTTTACGATCCTACATTCATTGGATGGTTATTAATGTGGAACGTGATGATCTCAAGTCGGGATCTACTATCCATTCGTACATTGCTCCAACACCAACTCCGCTTTTAGGTGCACATCGCTACGTTTTCATGGTATTCGAACAACCCGAAAAATTCGCTGTTGGATCGGATGCAATTGTTTTAGAGAGAAACAATTTTAATGTTGCTGAATGGGCTGAACGGAATAGAGTATTTGGTCCAATTGCTGGGAATTATTTCTTAGAAAAGCTTCCATAAAATCTAGAAATCCAACAATCATAGGGAAATAATTATTTAATTTCAAGTTAAATTATCATTCAAATCATCAACAGTTTGATAATACTAAACACTAAATGTATCTTATTTGGCAAAAGCTGTAAACTATTGTGTGAAATCAACTATCAAATGAAATAAATAATATAAGGATGCACTTTGGTCGAATTGCTTGTGTCACTTTTTCGCTTTAATTTCCTGAAGACAATCAACTATTTAAAGGTGATTTACGAATAGTAATTTTAGTATCGCAATTTAACCAACCTAATTCAAGGACTGATTTCGGCCAACTAATACGAATTTGAAGTATTTGGAAGAAAGTCGATCTCAAAATTACTGAGAAACACTGAAAACGCCATGAATAAGCATATGACGAATACAGACTAACATTATATTTGTTGAGTAATGGCTCAAACAAATGACTTTATTCGTTTGCATTTTTGTTAATTAATTCAGCATTTACGTAGCCAATTGTTTATCCATTGCTTCTATGAAGCCAAAAGAAGATGAATAAATAGAGCGTTTGATTAAAAAGACTGGTTCAGTTCATCAACTAACTAAGAGTTAATTTTTTATCGTTTGGTTGCAAAAATCCATTCCATTGAAAATGTTCAACTTCATCACTCAACTATTAGTATTATTAATCACTGTTTCAGTGACAATTACTGTCCAACTTTGTGGTAATCAAGATCCTCAACAAACAGTTGACCAAGCTTTCATTGACAGTGGAATAGTTAAAGACCTAGGAATAAAATTACCAAGCGAAGGAATGAATTTTATTGAAGTTACGTATCTTATACCCAGTGAAAGAGTATATGTGGGACAGAATTGGATTCATTACAAACATTTGATGAACCCTTGGTTAAGTTCCCAGCCGAAACAAATACAAACTACACTTTTATGATGCTCGATATTGACGCACCAAGTCCATCTGCACCAATTATGCGATCCTTTATTCATTGGATGGTTGTTAATGCACTTGGTGGACAGCTAGAACCGCAATCTACTGTCCATCCATACATCAGTCCAATGCCAACTCCGGGTTTGGGTGCACATCGCTACGTTTTCATGGTTTTCGAGCAACCCAAAGGCTTCACTATTGATCCGAATGCAACTGTTTTAGACAGAAACAAATTTAATGTCGCTGAATGGGTTAAACAAAATACATTATTTGGTCCGGTTGCTGGTAATTACTTTTTAGAAGGAAATCCACCGAATCCAAAATTCAATCTCGCTTAAATCATTATTTGATTTCATGTGTAATATCATTCATATTACACAGCGAATGTTTTACGTAGCAATCAAATCATCAACACTTTTATGTAAATGAATCTTATTTGGCAATTTATGAAACAATTGTGTTAAACAACTATCAAATAAAAGAAATAATTGAGAACAGAAATAAAATAAATAATATAAGGATACTTTTTCGTTGAATTACTTGTGTCAATACTTTTTCGCGACTTGATTATTCATCAACTAATACAATTTCTGATGCAAAATTCTTCTGATTCTCGAAAACTGTCGATCAGAGAAGTTTTTAAATCACATAAATGGACTCAGTTCTTATGTTCCTACAAATCCCACCAAGTTTCAACTCTTAACTAAAATACTCGAGCCTTGGCAATACTTGGCAGCACCTTTGTATTGCATTTGCAAGTTTAACCAGAAAATTGGTTTATTTACCAAGAAAGGGATTGAGATGAGTTTTTTTGTTTAATAAGTTTTTGCTCGCACATCCAAAACCCAAAAATCATAATATAGAGAGAGAATTTGCAGTTTTGTACCTAAATCAGTCGAAATTATTTACATTTATTTTTTGATTTTGTTTTCTTTTTGAAAAATTTACTTAGTTCTTTTCAATTTGCATTATTGGATGAATTTAGTGGATTGATAGATGTTATGCTACAAAGGGTTTGTAGACATTGTAAATAGAATCAAATTTAACTAAAGCTGTTGAATCAAGAAGACGTTTTGTGATGCCTTGTAAGTTCATTCTTGTTAAACACTTGTGTTTAAAAATCACTTTTTCGCCTTAATTTCCTGACTACAATCAACTATTTAAAGGTGAGTTACGCTAACTTCAATTCGCTGTAACGGTCATTTGTTTATTTTCACCTAACGTAATCAGCTCTTCCGCTCAAGGATTCACCCAACTATGATTGTTGTAAAATAACAATAGATCCTCACATTATTGTTGATTTGCTCAACCACTTTGCTAGCAATTGGTAAATCAGAGTTTAACCATTTTAGAGATGAACTCGGAAATGTTTTCATTTGGTGTAGTGATAACCCTTCAGCTATGTGAAACTAAACATTCTTATTGAATTAGATCCTCTTAACCTGTGTCTGATGATCCTGATATGATTTGCTATGTTCAATTATATCTAATGGTTATGATAATTCGAATCAATGGGTTAGTCAAAAAAGCCTCTGCCAATACTCTACCAAGTGGAACAAGAGATGAAATATTAACAATGATTCAAGATTGGATACAAAGAAATAAAGTTCCTCAGGGTGAAAGAGTCTATCATCTCAATATGGACACACATGGAAATGGTGCTTTTGATACTAAAGGTACATCCAATGGTGGTAAAGAATCAGTTTGGTCAAACAGAGTAAAACTGAAAGACGACAAAGCCAACTCTCCCAATCGCAGTAAACGCAAATGGATCAAATTTAAACAACCAAAGCGTTTTCCTGGTTACAGATATTACGGATCATTCAATCGTATTACACCAGAATTATTGGATCCATTTCTCAGTAAGTTTATCCTTTAAGCTTACTTAGCTTTGTTAATTAACTAAGGCTGTTAATGCAAAAAGCTGTAAAAAGAAACAAATAACACATTTGTAACATTTATGCACAAATTGACACCAACACTAAAAGACAAATGGGAAAAACGGGTAAAAATGAATTTCTTCGAAAATTAAACACTTTAAGTTTGTAGGAAAATCAAAACTGAATGTATTTGTGTGATTTAAAAACTTCTCAGATCAACATTTGTCGAGAACAATCGAGCTTCAAACGTTGAAATTCGATCGCTT